GCTCCTCGTCTTTCTGCTCGGGTGCCTGCCCGTGGCCGCGCTCTGGGGGCTGTCGGGCTCGTTGTCGCTGCTGCTCGCGCCAGCGCCGGTGGGCGCGTCGCCGGCCGCGCTCGGCACCATCATGACGGGGCCGTGGATCGTGCCGGCCGTCATCGCCGCCTCGCTGGCGCTGTACCGCGGCGTGCACCTGCAGTTTACGCAGCTGGCCAACAGCCTCGTCGTGTGCGGCGGGTCGTCGCTCGCGCTCGTCGGCATCCTGTCCCTGGGCCTGGGCGTCAGCAACTTCATGGGGGGGCCGCCGCCGCCGTCGCCCGCGTCGCACCCGGACGACGCGCTCTTCTCCCCGGACGGCGCGCGCCAGCTGAGCTTTGCGCTCGTCTCGTTCCAGCTCGCCATCCTCGCCGCGGGCACCACGGTCCTCGACGCGGCCACCCGCCCGAGCCTCGCCCGCTCCGCCTCCTTCACCTCCTCCAACATGGTCATTGCCCTGCGCAGCATCGGCGACATGCACACGGGCGTCATTGTTCTCCGCAACCTTGCCGCTGGCGTCTTTGTCCTGGCCATTCCCGTCGCTGTCGCGCACCCGGGCGGGCTGAAGGCTGTTGCCCTCGGCCTCGGCGTCGCCCAGATCGTCATCTCCGCTGTCATTGTCACGGCGCGCTGCTACTTTGACGAGTCCATCTGGCGTGCTGACGGCAAAGTCATGGGCTTGGTTGACCTGAGCAGCTTGAAGCGCTCCGCCAGCTTCTTTGAGACAGACTAAAGCGACTACAATACCCAGTCTCCTTTTGCCACTGTCCTCGAAACTTTGACTGCTCAGTGGGGAAACACCTTTCTCTTGCTGTTCGCTGTTGCCAATCTGTTTTGTGGTGGACTTGCAAGATGTTGTCCGCTTTACCTCGAGAGTTTCTTCGCATCCCGCACTCCTTACACATCCTTTTCTTTTGTTCCCGCCCTCCTTTTACGATGTCACCATGTGCAATGTGCACACGTTACGCTCCTTGGATGATTTTATGAAGTGCGATACCCACGCTTACACTCGTTTTATGACGCGCACGACCGATATCCTCGAGTTCTACTCATGTTACAGTGCCGAAAGGGCCAGATTTGTTGTATTTCTTTGCAAGCAGAATGTATACTAGTTCAACTTCAGATTTGACATGCAGCGATGCATGCTTCTGTAGCGTCCATGTACTATAAGAAACTTTTCAAGCACCCGGGCAATGCATTCAATGACGCTCTTGTTATATTCAGACTAATAATTCATTATGTGTGTGCAAGGCCGTATAATATTCAGTTACATCGTATCCGCTATTCAAACAAACGCTCGTACGTATCTATCCTTCTCTCTTTCTCTCATGCCACTGGAGGCGTGCTCGTGCCCTGCGACTTGGACCGCCGCTGCAGCTCGATATCACTACTAATCGTTCTGGAATCTCCGTCTCCTAAGTCAGTCTCGCTATGGCTGTCATAACGCCTGGGATCACCATGCCCATAACTAGCCCTCGCAGTGGTGCGCTGGGCGCTGTCCTGGTGGAACCTGTCAATTGCCTCGGTCGCGGCCGCGGAAGCTGCCGTGTTTCGACGATGTCGCTGAAGAACATTCCAGCTCGTCACAAAAAAGATGATACAGTTCCATAGTCCTTGGAGAGGAAGCACAGCCGCCGTAGCCACGTGGAACTCGTATGGTGACTGGCCATCGATCCAGCCATGGATGCGGTTCATACTGCTCGGGATCCAGGTGACAAGAACACTAATCGCAAACAGGAAGCTGGTTCTCAGGTATGCCCGCTTGACAGGATCGGCCACAGTAAACCGTCGGGCTGCTGACGCCATGGACGACTTGACTCTCTGCATCAGCGGAGGCCGTGGTTCGCGTGGCCTTCGGCTCGGCGATTCGACGGAAGAGAAGTATTGGACAAGCCCAGAGGGAGCCTCTGTTGGCGAGTGCTCAAACACACTCTGCACGGGAATCTGCGTGTTGATCTCCGCCGGCTTTGGTCGTGGCAACGATGTTGGGCATGATCGAGGTTCGCCAGCAGTCGATGTGACCTGCACCTCGGTCACAACAGTCGCGTAGCTCCCCGTATTCTCATCATTGCGTGGCTACAACCATTAGCTTTGACATCGGCGCTGTGGTGCCATGAACAGTCTTGTGTCATGATCATTTCAGTACTCACCATTTCAACAGCTGGATCTCTGCTAGAGGCTGTTAAACTACGAAGCCTGTCCCTCGACCGAAAGACATGGTAGCCAACCAAGGCGTAGCAGAGCAGAGAGCCGGCAATGCAAATCCAGATGAGCATGTAGTATGTGTAGATTCGAATGTCATCCCACTGTCTGTCGACCCAGCACCAGATCTACAGGGCATCGAATCAGTACGGGTCAGCGCAGGCCCAGAGCAAGACTTACCGTCGCCTCGCCATATATCGGGCCTTTGGCAGCGTTTTTCGTGAGCAGCAACGTGAGGGCGATGACGAAGGGTCCACCATAGCATACGAGGCAATACACCCACCACCATCGGGCAAAGGAATCAGGCGTGGCACGAAAGTAAAAGACGAGCAAGACGTTGACGGCCATTGCCAGGGACCACCAAGGGTCAGACTGCATGAACCTAGATAAAGGGGTCAGCATGGCCGTGATGTGTTTTTTCACACAAGACTATTGACGACTTACATCTCGAAAAGAAAGCTCTGCGCTTTGCACAATGTTGAGCCTGTGCCTTTTCTGAGTCCGTCAAAGGCAATGATGGTAGCCACGCTCGCTCCAGCATTCGACACGCTCGCAAAGACGATGAATGTGTTTTGGACATTGCGTACTTTGGGGAAAAAAGCGTAGACAATGAAGACGAGCATCACCGCGACCAAGCTGATGCAGCCTCCTATGCGCTCCAGCTTGATCAGCAAGCGGACCTCATCCGGTCCAAACTGCTCCGGTGCAGACATAGGTCCCTTGCCCATATCGGCGACTTGAGTGCAGGTAGAGAGTTGGTTTTTGGTTGCGTGACGGGCAAATGGTGTTTCTTTAGAGCGCGCTTTTGCTGCGTGGCAAGTAGATTCGTGCCCTCTTTTTGTCTCTTGCAAAAGGTGACAGCGTCGTGGCAGCGAGGCAGCTTATACGCATCAGTCTCAGCCCGATTTCGATTTTCAGCTCTCCTTTCCAGCGCGGTAACACACCGCCACAAGGCTCCCTCTTTTGTGGTGTGAAGATACTTGGCAGCTTCAGGTACGAACCCGTGTCTGGCGACGAGGCCACAGCCGCGTTGAAGCGAAAGAGTGATGGCGGTGATGAGGTTGGGGGGAGACCGAGGCCGAGGCGGGAATGAGATGTCGGTGTCGAGTCAACGGGCAGGTGAAGCAGGATGGAAGGAAAGGGAAAGGGGAAGCATGTCCACTTGATCCGGAAAACAAGATGAGAAGAAATAGAAGAGCGGCGATGCTTTGTATGTCCCTGATGTCCCTGTCCGTCCGACTCGAGCATGCCGAGTCCCTTTTCCTGCTGCCTGGCGCAACGACGAGGTCGACGACGGTGCGACGATGGGGGCCGCGTCTTGCGAGCAACAAGACAAAGAATACCTCCAAGTGTCTGTTTTCCTTTCTGCAGGGGAGTGGAATTGAGGGGAAGAGAGACAAAAAAAAAATAAGCTGCCGATGCAAAAGTACTGGACTATTGATTTTCCCGCGCAGCAGTTCCTCTTGCTCGTGCTCGTGTGACCGAGACTAACGAAATTCTGGTGTATCCCACCCCGTCCGTTGTCCTTGTATTGTGTCGACGAATTTTCCTCTCATTCGCGACTGCATCTGGCCGTGATGGACGAGGTCGGTGTGTGCCGGCAAGGAGAAGGAGAGGAGGGGAAAGCAAGACTGACTGACTGGGAGCTGGCTGCGAGGTAGGGACGGCTCGGTTGGATGCTGGATGTATGTGCCTGGTGACTGGAGGGGACCCAACCCCGGCCAAGGCGGCTGCTTCTAAAAACAGAAAGCAAGCAAACGATGAATAAAACACAAATCATGGATAAATGCTTTCATCTGCGCCGTGGCGCCCGATCAATGTGAAAGAGAAGTGCCTGCAGGAGGGTCTGTGTTGGGGCAGAAACGCCCCCGCCAATGCCAATGGGCGCGGCCCTGAGTTGGATGTGGCGCGCCCGCGTCCTCTCTCATCAATGCAAAGCCTTGATAATGAAATCGTATGCAATTCTAATTTACACTAACTTGTACAAGTACAAATTACGCTGTATTCTTGGCCCTTGCCCGTGCCTCTCGCTACTGCTGCCTGCTGTGGCCCCATGCTTCTCTTGTCTGTCCAACACCAACTACACGGCCTCGGTACCACCAAGTAATACATGGCAACGAATAGAACCGTTACGCCACATACGGGCGGGATACGGTACCAACAGGGTCATACCAAGCACACTATTGATTTCCGTACCTGCAAGAACCTATCTAACTAGCTTCCCCTCTAGTTAGCATCCTTCAACCACCCACTGCTTTCTCTCCAGTCTCTCCCGCCTCTTACAACAAGCCATCATTTACAGGAATTACCTTTTGTCTAATTTGTACGTACGGCTGTGTGCTACGTCACGTCTCATAACACGTCTCCCATCCTCGGCAACACATCTCCTCATCCCCACGAGGGACAGCCCGTGTTCTCTTTGAGCCTTTGTTCTTGTTAGGCGCGCCTTGCAAGCACACTGATATCTTCAGCGCCCCTCACAAACATCCATGCAACCATATACTATGGGGCCGATACGGCATCACAAGATTCGTCACATTAGTTCATCTCAACGGCCGCAACGAGTCTCAAAGACAAGGGAATCGGGAACCGCGTCGCCGCCCAGGGCGGGTCAACAGCGGTGTGGTCCCGACGCACATCGAGTTCACTATTGTCAACGAGGGCTGGCTCCAATCAAATGCCGCAAGCCGCTCCAGTCGACGAAAGAAAAGGGTACAAAGCGGTAAGTTGTAACCTGCACTCTTGACAGGACATGATGCCATAGCCCCAGCAGTTACAGTTGAGACACTTGCTGAGCTCCCGAATGAGACCAAAACGGAAAAGAATAAAGTCCAAAATGTATAGTCCCAACACAAGTAAATCCTAACCCTAATCTTCATACACATAGACTGGCAGCAAAACCTGCATTCGCCCAATATTCATCCTCCCAATGCAATCCGCGAAACCATGTAGTAATAAATCCAGAAATCACTCAAATGGCCCCCATCAACCCCAGTCTAAAGAGTATAGATAAAGTCTGGTCTGTTATCACCCAGAGCCTCAATCTCCGCCTGCGACTTACCTTCGACAAGGTAATCGCGCTCACCTGCCAGACGCTTTTTGTTCTCTCGGCTGAGCAGCGTTTGGAAGAGCAGACTGCCGCCAAACATGGCAATCACGAGGTAGCCGATAATCGTCGCATGCCCCGCAAAGAACCGCGGGCCTGCAAAGTAAACGTTGCTGCTGACGACACCGTTGAGGTTACCCCAGCCAATAACCAGGCCGAGAACGACACCACGCTTGTAAACACCCTCGACGTTGTTGGCAACCCAGGCAATCGTAAGCGACACCGAAGGGTAGATGCCAAGAGCGCCAAGGAACGTTCCGATATACTGCACAACGGGCTTGGTGGAAGCAATCATCATAATAAAACCAACCGTTCCGACCGAAGCACATCCCATGTTGAAAATACCACGTCTGTTGACCCTGTCAGACCAGAAGCCAATGACAATAGTCATAACGGCGGCCAGGACGTATGGCGGGACACTGAGAAGTTGGTTTTTAATGATGTCATTCTTTGGTACCAGCTTCATGCCCTGAATGATGGTAGGCAGGAAGAGACTGAAAGCGTACAGAGGCATAAGAGGTCCCATGTAGATGAGCATTCCGCAGTATGTCTTCCAGTCCTTGAGTGCGGAAATGAGGAACGATGTCTTGAAGCTCTCATCGTGAGCCGAAGACTGCTTGTCTTCCTCCAAGCGGCGCACGACACGAACGCGGTCTTCTGGCGTCAAAAACTTGGCCTCGGAGGGAAAGTCCTGAACTATGAAGAACGAGGCCAGTGCAACCAGCACTGTGATGCCGCCTTCAATGATGAAGATCCACGACCAGCCAGGGCGGCCGCCGATGCCGTTCATGTTCTGAATGGCAGCAGCCAAGAGGCCGCCAAACGAGCCGGAAATGGCGGCGGCGGAGAAGAAGACGGCGGCACGCACGCCAAACTCGCTGCGTTTATACCAGCACGACAGGTAATAGTTGATGCCGGGGAACAGTCCAGACTCTGTCATGCCGAGGAACCATCGGGCGGCCATTAGCTCCGACCAGTTGCGCACAAAGCCCATGCCAATCATGGTCAAGCCCCAGAGTACCCTGTGCACCGTGTGTCCGTGGTCAGCCAAGAATTCTCGGGCGCAGCCCGCAGGCCATGTGGCACAGACTCGGGCGGGCATAAACGTGGTCTCGAGTGTCACTCACATGATGATAGGAAGAAAAATGGACGGCCGCAGACGCTTGAGGAGGATATTACAGATGGGCTCGAAGAGGGCGTACGACACAAAAAAGATCGTGAGCGTCGCATTGTACTTTGACGTCGAGTGCACCCCAATATCTTGCTCGAGATGTGCGATTTTTGCATTGCCAATATTAGTGCGGTCCAGAAAGGCAATCAGATACAACAGGGAGAGCTGAAATGCAGAGTTAGCATTGGGCGAGCACAGGTCAAAATGCCACCAAGAGGCGTGCTGTCGCGTTATGACGTACCCACGGCATCAGCTTCAAATCGAGCTTCCAAAGTAGTTTGCGCTCCTGAGAAACGTCGCGTAAGTTAGTATGCGATGTTCACTTTTCGCGCCACTGGTATAGCGAAAGTGTGCCGCGTGCGATGGGGGGAATGCACACAGCATCCAGGCAAACATACAATCTTGGCGCGCTCTTCAGCGGAGAGTCCAGCATCAAGATCATCAAGACCCCGACTGATTTCTGTTTGGGAGTCATTTGTATTCTCTGGATTGCTGGACTTTTCCATCTTGTCCTCGTCGGTGAGGCCCATTGCTGTCTTGGTGGCGGGTGGCGGCGGGTGGCCCGAAGAATACGGGGGTGGGAGACGGATTTGGTGATATGGCGTCGCTAGAGCCTTGGGAGCTAGGGCTGGTCCAAACGGACAATGTTGCCGCTGGGCACCTTGAGCAGCAGCAACAAGATTGAGGGGCGTCGGATAACGGCAGCTAGACAGACAAGTGTCTTTTCTCAGAAGAAGGCCGAGGAGCAGGAAAGAGAGTGTGATGAGGGAGCGGAAACCAGGAGGGGGATGAGGGATGCTTTACATAGAAACCACCAGGCTGATCCCGGGAACTGGTTATTCTTTATGCTCCACCGGCAAGGAAGTCGGGACAAAAAGGTTAGGTGTGGCTCTCACGCCAGAGGCCAGTGCAGGCGGGAAAAGGCAGCAAAGCTCTCTCGAGAGTCAAGGCCATTGTACTCGCGTACCCAGCTTGTTGCGAGGCTAGGTAGTTATCCAGCGACCCTTGTACCCCAGGCGGGCGGAATATGGGACCGCCCATCCATCACCACAGCCAGGGGGGGTGGACGATCCCCCGATATAGGCTTCACCGTGGTGCTGACTCTGGCATGAGCCAACGTGGGACAGGAAAATGCGCACCCGTCGGTGGAGAGGTGTGGGCTGCCTTTTTGCGCCACCAGCAATGCCATTGCTCAGTCAACTTCGACTTTGAACCACTCAATCAGAGTCACGGCGGTCTCCGTTACCAATCCATCTTGTCGGCGATTCGTGTCAATGCCTTTAACTACCCCACGGCTAAAGACGACTAAAAGTCCAGTCTTGTGGAGGCCAACAAGCGAACTAACCCCAACCCAGCACAGAAACTCGTGGAGTGATGAGTGATGCGACGCAACAAGCTACTGCGCTGTAACAAGATAGAGCCTCCTCCCACATGGCGTCAGCGATTTGGTTTTTTGTCATACCCGACGCAGAGCGACCGGTCGGCCGGCAGCTAGTAAAGCAGGGTGCTTGCTGCAAAAGCAAAGGGCTCTCCCGACGTGGCAGCCGATGCTGGTATTGCGGCGTCGCGGTGGAATTCTTTCTTCTCGCGTTTGAAGGTGATACAAAGACTGCGTGATTTCCACAACCGGTTTGCGCTAATTTTAACGCTGGTTTCTTTTGTTTCTGGTGACGAGGAGTCGAGGAGTCGAGGACTGGGGGGGACCTAGTCGTCGGCGGCGACTTGCAGGCCATGTCTCCGTGGGCCGTGTTTTCTTATTAGACTGGTATTTCAATTCTCTGGACAACTCTGGGTGATGGAGGGAAACAGTCTCAGTTCGAGGCCCATTCTTCGCCAGTGTGTGGGTGCCCGGCAAGTGCGTCAATTTGAAATTTAGCTCGAACGGCAGGGATACAGTGTCGTTTCGAACAACGCCATCGTACCTAATTATATTCGACAAGGCGGCCAGCCGTATCGAGGGGAACCAATAGCGTCGGAGTTATTATCCTCGCCTAGAAAGAGTATCACTCGTTTTGGTAACACCGCACAGCATCAATTCGCGGAAATAATAATAGATTGGAAGAGGGCAACTTTCCTTGTCCACTTGTACGCCACGTTTCTTCCTTCCATTGGGGGCCAGTCTCCAGCCAAACGGTGAGGCCGCTTGCACGAGTTGCACGGCACTGCAATCGGGCAAGGCATCCCCGAGTTGATTGTTTGTCAGATATCATAACAGGTCTCATATAAAGAGGTGGACCTTGGATTTGGAGGGGGGGGTGTTGGAAGTGGGATGGAGCAGAAGGGAAAAGCCCGCCGCCGACCCAACGTTTGTTTGGCGGGCCGGAGCGCAGAGCGCCAAAAATCACCAAAATCAGACAAGGCTGGATCAATACACGTCTGGAAAGCAAACAAATGCGGGCCAGATGGAAAACAAGCTTGCCAGGCGATAAAGAAGCCTAGGCATAAAACTGCAGTAGTTATTTCCTGTAATCCGGATATTTCCTTGTCCACCATCCGCGCAGACAAGTACAACACGAGGCGGGCCGTAGCATTGAGCCGAGAGTCACACAGGACACTTCAATGCAGAGTTTTCGGAGAAAGAGTTGTCTCTGGGTATAGGTGGACCAAGTTGTCGGGCTGATGATTTGATCTGATTACGAATTCGAGCTGCTGTAACCAGCCAACAGCACCAGGGTCAAAAGCTTACTAACAGAGCAGCATTTGTTATTCTATTTTAATTGGTCTTTTACTGCTTGAGCCGCTATATACCTTGCCCGAACACGAAATTTATCACGGTAGACCAAGGTCTTTGTAAAAGTTCTCCGGATTCGGCTCTCGGCCGAGGAATTCACGAAGCATCACGTTCTCATCCATGCTACCACCGCGCTCCAGCACAAGCTTGCGATATCGGCGACCGGCCTCGCCATCCATGGGGTTCTCTTTAAAGGCAGTGTAAAACATGTCGGTCGAAAAAACTTTGGAGTAGAGGTAGCCATAGTATCCAGCATCGTAGCCACCGACAAAGTGGCCGATAGTGGCATGCTTCTGGCCCCACTCCCTGTGAATCAGACAGATCCTGTTAGTCCTGATCTTGTGTCTCGGATGCCTTTTTTTAGACTTACATTCCGTAACCGACTTCTTCAGGTCCCTTGACACCGGAAATTTCGGCGCGCAGTTGGTTCCACAAGCGGGCGCAATTCAGCTGCTTCACCGCCTCATGCGAGTCTGGGCTGTGAACTGTCAAGTCGAAGGTCCCGATAAGGATCTGGAAGAGAGTTCCCATCGCTTCGTTGAGATGTTTCGTCTTTACCAACTTGTCGACCAGGTCCTTGGAGATCTTCTCTCCAGACTTCCAGTGAGATGAGAGTCCCTGCAGAACGTCTGGCGTCCAGCACCAATTCTCCAGCATTTGAGAAGGCGCCTCGACAAAGTCCCACATGACGGCTGTGCCATGGCAGTATGAGGTCTTAGTTTTACCGACGAGATCGTGAATGCCATGACCCAGCTCATGGAAGAGGGTAACGGCTTCGCTGTGCTTGAGCAGCGCCGGGCGACCCTGGGACGGGCGGCTAAAGTTGCAAACGAGAGCAGTGCAGGGATAATTTCTTGTCCCGTCTGCCTTGACATAACCGGGACCGAGGCTGAAGTTGGCGTTGTGGCCGTACTTGTTGGGACGCGGGTGAAGGTCAAGCAGCAGGTAGCCGACAAATTCGCCACCAGAGGCGTCGTCGTTCCAGACGCTGATAACTACCACTTCGTCGTGCCAGACAATGTCCTTTGCGTTTCCGGTAGGGCTAAGGCGGGCCTTGGCAGCTTCATCCAGCTCAACAAAATGCAGGCCAAGAATCTTTTCGAAAATCTCAAGCATGCCAGCAAAAGTCTTCCACATAGGGAAGTACTCAGCCACCTCGTTCTCATCAAGGCTATACTCCTTTTCCTTGAGAATTCGTGAGTAGTAGCTGGTGTCCCAAGCGTAAATTTCGCCATCAAATTCGAGGCCACGCTCAGCATAATCTTGTTTCTTTAGCTCGCGGAGAACATCAAGTTCTTTCTTGCCTCCATCGCCAACGCGAGTTCGAATATCGGCCAGAAAAGCCTTGACCTTCTCAGAGTCCTTAGCCATCTTGGCAGAAATCGTGATATCTGCGTGATCTTTATACCCAGCTTGTCTGGCAGTTTCGTCGCGCAATTCGATGATTTTCTGAAAGATTGGGACGTTTTGGTTCACCTAGGCACATGTCAGCTACTTCCACCCTGCGCACGCGTCTGGCGAGCCACAAGAGCTTCTCACCTTGTTGGCCTCGGCGATGAAATAGTCGCGACGAGTAGTCTCATTCTTGGCATATTTGAAGAGGGGAGTGGAGGTCGTATATTTAAAGTCAGCTTTGACCTTGCCTTCATTCTCCCCGGTCCCCTTTTCAAGCTCATCCACGTCAATATCCGTCTTAGGAATGCCCTCAAGCTGCTCCGGGGTGAACCAGACGCCGCCCATCTCGTTGTTATGATTGTTCTGAGACTCGAGGCACAGACGACTTAGCTCGAGCTGCTGCTCTTTGAAGTGGTCACGCTCGGGGCCAGGAGGGAGAAGGAGTCCCTTGGTGACATACTGGATGTACTCTTTTTCCAATATGGTGGCAAATTCGGTGTCGAGGTTAGCCGAGGCCCTATTGTTGTAGATAGTTTTGACGCGCTGAAAGATATCATCGCGCATTCGCAGGTCGATCTCGACCTCTCGTATCTTGCCGTCCGCCTTCAGGGAAGCCTCGCGGACAGCAGCGTCGGGGTGAACATTTTGCAGGAAACAGACTCTAAAGTTCTCGCCAACAGTCTCGTCATCATTTACGAGTATGGGCTGCAGGGTGTTTTGAAAGGTGGCCGTCTCGGGGGTTGTAGCTGCGACCACATTGTCAATGGCAGCTCTCTTCGTTGCAACAATCTTGTCAATCGTGGCACCGATCTCCTCGGGAGTAAAGCTAAACATTGGGGGCCGCTGCGGCGGGTTCGCAAACTTTTCGGAAGCCATGGTGCTGACAAAATGCTGAGCTGGTGGCCTCTGGATTTTCAATGGTATCTTACGCAGCTGCTGGGCCAGAGAACCGAGGCGGAAGATGTAGCGCGGGGGAGCCAGTGTGACGGCGAGAAGAAGAACGAGGCACGAGATGAGGAGCAGACGAGCCGGCTTTATTACGAAGTGGGCTGTCGACGTGGCACCACCTCGAATGCCTGGTCGGGAGGAAGGAGTTATGATGGCGGTAGTGGTAGCTCGCAGGTAAGCAGGGGACTAATTGGTGATTCGAGCGCGGGGACTGCCAACTTGGTCAATTGCGAGGGACCAGTCGACTCACGTCAAACGACAAGTGTGCAATGGAGCGGAGCAGAGGGCATATGGACTTTGGTAATGGAAACTCGGAATCGACGACGAGTGCGAAAGCGAATGGGGCGATGGGGATGGAGGGGCGGCTGGCGACCAATGCTGACGATGCAACAATACGAGAGAGGCAGGTGGTTTGAAGTTGGAGATGTGGTGTTGCGGGGCAGCACATAATTATTTACAGCAGGGTCCTTTGCTACCTAATTAAGTCGGGTGTTTGCGCGCAGTGCGAGGGCAGGTTGGCTACGGAGACCTGACTGTCTGGGCTGAATACTGGCTGGTGAGACAATTAGTACTAATTGAACTAGAAAACTATGTAGCAAAAATTGTGGTGGCTCAAATATCGAGCAGCTCTCTCGTGTCCTGTCTCGAGCTGTCGTTCAACGGCTCTCTCACTGGCTATAGACGACTTAGTAGACGCGGGTACTGCAGGCGGTCCAAGCCAGCACGGATATGGGCGGCACTACTTGGGTTTGCTGAGTGGCGCATGGCATCCCCTGCTCGGCTCGTCTGAACACAGACAGCTTCGTTTAATATAGTGGCAATATAGATGCACGACATCAGGCACCAGTTACAGATAACCATGCGCGTCAAGCCCGTTGCGGTTGTGGATGTCGTTGTGTCAATACGTAATATAAAGTCACTCTCCAAGACGAACCAGTCCATGGAAGAACTATCGTCTTTTTGGCGAAGAACAGAGCACCTAGCACAAAAAAATACATGCCAAGACACAATAGTAAACTCTCTCCGTATTGCGTCATCGTTGCTTCATAATCCCAATCAAGTTGCTTCCTATACCATGTCCCATAGTCAAACACGTAAGAAAAATTTCATCAACGCCGGTCCGTTTGTATGATGCGTTCTGGCTCGGGTCTTCGCGAGCGAAAGGTGCCCATTTAGTTGGCAAGGATCGTACGAACGAGATCTATGTGGCAGAGCCAGGTTAGCTAATGTCACCAGAGTCGGCGATGGACAGCAAGACATACCAGTGTAGTTGACCTGGCCAGAGCTGGTATCGACAGCCTTGAGCAGCTCGTCGACCTCATCCTCCGTCATCTTCTCGCCCAGGTTTGTCAGAATGTACTTGAGCTGACCGACGCCGATGAAGCCCGTCATATCCTTGTCAAAGACCTGGAAGCCGCGGCAGTACTCCTCAGGCTCGCCGGGATCGCGGAAGCCGCCGGGACGGTTGAGAACGCGCTGAAAGGACTCGAAATCGACTGCGGTTCTTGTTAGTGTTTGCTTCGTCACTCGGCCCAGACGCGATGGGCGCATGTCGCCAGACTCATCGCGACAACAATGCGACGGCTATTGCGACCCAATCCCGCACGAGCGCTCCATAGCAGCGCATCTACTTACACTCAGGGCCCAGGCCCTTTTGCAGGTCGTCAATCTCCGAAAGTGTCGGGTTCTGGCCGCAGGCGCGGAGCAGGTCGCCGAGGGAGTCGACAGTGCAGCGACCATTGCCGCGCTTGTCAAACAGGGCGAAAGCCTCCTTGTAGTTGGTGGAAGCCTGCGCGTCGAACTGGTTAGAAGCCATGGTGGTGGATGGGTGCAGAGAGCGCGAGCGTTGGTGTAGAAGAATAGCAGGGATGAAATGCAATTAGGGAGATGGGAGGGAACAGGCGAAAACAAGACGTGAGAATGTATTTCTTGCAACGATGCCACAACCTCTCCGGTGAACGGCGCGTGAAGGCTCTCCGTCAGCCAAAAAGAAAGGGCGTGCGTCGCTGGGCCGAACTGGCGAATCAGAGGCGCCAGAGGCCCGCGGGGTTGACCATTTGTTTACATTGGTGCTGGTGCTGGGGCAACTCACCATTGTTGACTTGGGACAGGGGCTGTGGGTATCTCTGTGTTGATGGTGTGGTCGGTCGGTCGGTTGCGTTTCGTGTCGATGAAATAAGCAAAAGCTTACGTCAAGCTGGTGAGACAAATGTTGTGTTCTTTCGATTCGGAATTTATCGAGTCGGCGGTATCTCGCAAAAAACAATGTTGTCAAGAACAGAAACCACAAGACCACGCTGGTCAGTTGAGAAAAAAGGGCTGGTTGCCTCCTGAGACTTCGCCTGCCCCACGCTCCAAGCCTGCAACGCCTCTCCTCCCGGCCATCACTCCTCCCCTGTCGGCACCCGTCTTTCTTTGTCTGGGCAACCAGCACGGAACAAGGCACGAGACAGGGCTTATCGTCTCAGGAACATCCTTGTACATGCATTTTCCGTCGATTTCGCCGCCCGCTTCTCGTTTGTCATTCGTCGATGGGACGAGCGGTGTGTGACCCTTTCTGCTGGTCCGCATCCAAGCTTATCAAAGAGTGTATTTCGAATCTACCAATATTGATCACAGGCTATGAATCTCGTTACTACCATGACTACAAATTACCATGACTGCACATCGACACAGGACCTCTCTTTGCTCCTTGGCAAAGGTCGCTATTAATGGCGAGTAGCGGCCAGTGCTAGCTACCCATGTCTATGTAATGCGACCACTTTCGAAACGCGCCTCCCCTCCTCACCAATGCCCTGGTTTATCTCCGCTTCGCCATGACAATATACGAGCCCCAGACCGTCTTTACCTTGGCATCCCGCCAGTTCTCGCCCATTTCCTTCCACGCCGGTTCCGACGCGACAATCTCGTCCATGAGCATGTCAACGATGTCGCCTTCTCCACCGTCTGCTCGGCTCCTGCGCTCCGGATGCGCCTCTTTCCAGCCAATATAACTGCTCGCCGTCCGTACGTAACTTTCAAAGCCGCCCAGAGTCGTCTCCTGCACCATCAACGCGTCTGCGATATCAACCTCGGTTGCCTCAGCGTCAACGTCATACAAAATCCGCTGGACCTTTTCCCATTGCTCCGCAGGTGGGACAACATCTGCAAGCAGTCTTCGCACCATACTCCGGCCTGGCTGCTCCCAATGGGGGGCCATGCTCTCGATACCCGGCGCGACGTCTTGCTCGCCGTAGCTAAATTTGTCAAAAATCACATTGGCCTTTCGATGGCCCAGTAACACATTGTCCTTGTAGCCCCAAAATGCCATCGAGCCTCCCGGTTTGGTCACGCGAGCAATCTCAGGCCATGCCTTGTCGTAGTCGAACCAATGCGCTGCCTGGCCCGACACTACCAGGTCCACGGACTCATCTGACAGAAAGGACAAATCTTCCGCCTGGGCTTTTCGGATTTCAATCTTACTGTCCGTTGTCATGCTCTTGGCTTGCGTGACCATTCCGAGGCTAGGGTCTGTCGCAATGGTTTTGCCAAACTTGGGGCTAAGCGCTCGGGAAATCAGTCCGTGGCCACAACCCAAATCCAATAGTGTACCGTTGGAGTTCTGGGCATTATGATAGTTGAGCACTGTCTTGAATAAGCTCGCGGGGTATGAAGGTCGGCTCGCAGCGTAGCCCGCTGCTGAAAAGGCTTTATTCCTGTAGCTTGGTCAGTGGGATTCCCTTGCCATTATGAACCGCAGGCGGTGACTCACGCAAACAAGGACATTATATCATTTCTTTCTACTTATTCCGAGAAGTATTCGATAGTAATTGCATTAGCGAGCTGATGACTTTTATACTTTTTGCTATTGGTCGTCGGTCCGAGCTAAATGCCGATTCGGCCGATGCTAACGTTAGTGTCCGTTCGATAATTGGTGCTTCCGGGTAGAGATGGGATTGAAGGTGTCGAGGGATTCGAACGTTTCTATCTTACATTACCCAAATATTCGGATTGTACATTGTTGAGCACTTTTGGCAGACGACGTCAGACATTAGTGGAAGTTTTTGTTTGTACCATTGCTAACAATGACGAAGCTCTGCCAGGCATTGGAGTTGCAAAACAACTCGGCAACAGTGGTCTACGAACGCGGTTGCACATTATAATATAACATACCTTTCATGGCTCACAGTCATCCCATCAGCCTTACTTTCAAAATTGTATTTATGCTAGTTATATGTGCTATCAGTGAAATGATTTGTTGGTTGATTTTTGTCAGTCTTGTTACTCATATGCTGATTACAAATGGGTGTCTGACGTCAACAGCGAGCACCAGCGCAAGGCCAATGGCGAACAGCCATGACTGCGAGGCGGATTCTTTTACAACTCACCATACATAGTTCTGCCATAACTAGTTATTATAGTCCGCGTCGTTTTTGGTGTGCTTTACTATACTTAGACGTAGTAGTCAGTTGCTGCCATTGTGACACCATCGGTAGTGTAAGAACTGGAGAGTGTGAAGAAGCACATTGTCACTGAATTCCTCATTTGACTAGTAAATTGAATCAAAGTTCGTCAGCCTACGACATGGTGGATGAGATGCGTTCGCCGGCTAGTTACGCCATCAGGTCAATTCGCTGGCGAAGGCGGGGCAGGCTGGTTTGCGGCACCCCGCCAAGCATAGCCGTAGCTCGGAGAACGCTCATAGCCGTCTGGACAATGATCTACTCTCCAGCATATATTTTATAGTCCAAATCTCCCCCTGCAAATACCAACGACACGATTTTCGCATTCAAGATGGCAACCGAGGCTACCGCGCGCAAGTTCTTCACTGCGCCGTCGTTTGCCGTGGTTGGCGCCAGCTCCAACCCGGCCAAGTTTGGCCACAAAGGTGAGTCGAGTCGCTACAAGGTATCATGGCGCTCTGGAATCTAAACTGATTGTTCCATATCCAAGTGCATGCGTGGTACCTGGAGCGCGACCTACAGGTCACTCCCATCAACCCCGCCTCCCCGTTCGTAACAGTCAATGGTAGCGACCACGCCACGGTGCCCAATGTTTCGGCCCTGGCCAACCCCAAAGAGACGGCCGTGTCCATCATCACGCATCCAGCCATCACAATTGGAGTTTTGAAGGAGGCCAAGACGGCTGGCGTCCCGTCCATCTGGCTGCAGCCGGGTACCTGGGATGACGAGGTGCTCAAGTTTGCGTTGGCTGAGGGCACATTTGAGGCTGTCGTCTACGGGGAGGGCGGCCGCGGTCATGATGGCTGGTGCGTTCTGGTCGATGGCGACAAGGCTTTGAAGGCTGCCGGAAAGCTGTAATGAACCTATTCATTATGGTTGGGTCTGTGGAGGAGAGCTACATTGACACTTGAGACCTACGTTCTGCTGCACGCGCTCTGGTGGAAACGAACTGCCCACAGTGACTGCGCTTGGAACTAGAAAAAGTGACCAAAAGTTCGCCGGCCGGGAATGGCAGAAACAAAAATTACCATAGATTACTTCGTAATAATGAAGTAGTTATTATTATAGGTTGGTTTGAATGTTTCAATGGCGAGGCGCTACACAGCTCGGTCGCCCCACTCTACTACAAAGTAAAGTAAACAAACGCGGTACCAAAATAGACAGAGGCTAGAATTCGCAACCAGCAAGCTTCAACGGCGCTCAATCTTTTTACATTTCTGGTGTTAGAAAAGATTTTTATTTACATATTCACCTCATTTATACCGAAGCGACCCTAGATCGAGGATATGGCACGTCGGTTTCTATAGATAGAAACCTCACCTCTACCGCCAATTACTTGCGACTGACCTTGTCGCGCTCCCGTTGCGCGATCCTCCCCCCACGGGTTCCTCTTCCCGCTTCGTCTCGCGCGCGAGTCTCTTCGCACCAATTCGTGACGCAATGGCCGATATCGAAAAATACTTTACCTACGATGGGCGACTCGCGTCTTTTCGTAAAACCACAAAGAAACGCGGGTCTACCGTTGGACGTGGCGCCAAACCACTCAACTGGCCACACAAACAAATCACACCTGCGAGTGTACGTGACCGGTCGCTGAATTTGCTACTAGATCCCAGTCAGCTAACAGATATGCTTGCAGCTTGCAAAAGCTGGATTCTACTTCAACCCGAGCCCCGACAATCCTGACAACTGCACATGTTTTCTCTGTCAGAAGGGTCTCGACGGCTGGGAAGCTGGCGATGATCCCTTGGTAGAACATGTGACGCATGCCTCCCACTGTGGCTGGGCCATTGTTAAAGCCATCGAAGCCGAGATTGAAGAATACTTCAAGCAGGACCCAACGCTACCTCGCATGGTCGAGGCCCGAGAAGCTACGTTTGGTACCAGATGGCCACACGAAGGCAAGAAGGGATGGCAGTGCAAAACGAAACAGGTAGGAATCCCCCAAATAAACAGAAGGAGCAGCTGATGATGCTAACTCGCCTCTTTCTCTAGCTTGTTGAGTCAGGATGGGTTTACACCCCAACTGACGAATCCGATGACATGGCAACATGCATGTATTGCCAACTTGCACTGGATGGCTGGGAACCCGAGGACAAGCCCTAGTAAGAAGAATCAACATGCCATTATCCCGTCACAATAATTGACAACCTGTTTTAGCGACGAGCATTATAAACGTTCCCCGAACTGCGCCTTCTTTTCACTCACGAGCGAACCCGAGCCATCACCGAAGCAGATTGGCCGTAGCAAGGCGACCAGAGGATCAAAGGTGTTCCGAGCGTCAACCCAATCAGTGCAGTCCGTTTTCACTACTGCTACAGAGACAAACGCTGTTGACGAAACTGCCGAGCCAGAAGATAGCATCCTCACCACTACGTCGATGGCCCAAGGCAAGAAACCTCGTGCGAAGAAGGCTACAGCTAAGGCTACAAAAGGAGGCCGAAAGAAGACTAAGAAGGAGACGACCCCTGTCGATGATGCAAGCGATGCTGAGGACGAGAGCGATATCATCAGCAGACCTCCCCCTCCCGCCAAATCAACACGCGGCCGAAAGCGAGGCAGCGTGGCTATCGACGATTCCATGATGAGCACAGCCAGTGCACCGGCGACCAAGAAACGAGCAGTCAAGACACGAGCCAGCGCGGCTGAATCATCTATGGCATCTGAGGACACAGCCGTGCCCGATGCCCCCACCCTTTCCAAGGCCAAGGGCGGTCGACAGTCCAAAACCCGCAAGCCATCTGCCACTATATCGATGGCAAACACATCTATTGTTTCGCTACGTGCTACGCCGGAAGCCTTTCCAGATGATGACGAAATCGAAAGACAGTTGGAGGCGGATCTTGAGCGTCAGCCTACCGACGAGGAGTTTGTATACGAATATCGACGTCCATCAACTCAACCGGAGACAAAGCCAGTAGAGGAAACGATAAAGAAGTCGGCCGCCTACAAAATGCTTGACCCTGAACCGTCAGAACCAGACGAGGCAGAGGTTGATGGCGAGCTGAAAGCCCTCCAACACGAGATGGAGGTGAATGAGCCCGAAAAGGAGCTAAAGGTTGCCAAGAAAGGCCGCAAGGCAGCTGGTACCCGAAAAGCTTCCAAGCAAACTAAAGCCAAAAAGACAAAAGAGCCATCTCCATTTCCATCTCCATTACCTCCTACGCCACCACCAGTCCAGTCCATCGAAATCGAAGTTGAAGAGCAAGATGAAGACAGTGTTATGAGCCCTGATACTGTAGTGAAGAATGCTGATTCTGTCGATTCAATGGCTGAGAAGCGCGGGAAAACGAAGAAGAGGAAATCATCCATGGCTTCTGAGGACTCTGTTGATATGATGACGTACGTGGAGCAAAACGAAACTCGCGTCAAACGTGGAAGTGTACTAGATGAGGAGGCGGAAGAATCGCCAGAGCCCTCACCGACACCGTCCCCAGGACCCAGCGCTCAGTTGACGAGCGAAGCACATGACGCCGCTGATTTGAACGATGATGATTTACTAGCAGCGGATGATGATATGAAAATTGCAGAAGACCCTATCGAGACTGCTACTTCGCCGATAGCACCGTGGGCGGCAGAAGCACCGTCTACACCTGGTCCAATGATATCACCGGCCGTTTCTGCGAGGCAAGCAGCACTGTCGCCGTCACAATCGCCTCAGTCGTCTGACGCAGAGAACCAGCCGCCATCTTCCAGGCCCAGCGCAACAACGAAGCGTGTCGCACTGGCACCACTTACTGCGACTCCTTCGCGCATGTCCCCTTCGAAGCGCAACGTCATTGCGGGGTTACAGAGTACGACACCATGGTCAGCAGCCAATCTGGATGTCGTCTTTGGCACTCCAAAGATAGGGACTGACAAGGAGAATGGTGTGGAACGGTTACTCAAGCAAGGCAAGGAATTGAGCAGCCCTGAAAAACAAATGACAGTTGAGGAGTGGATCCATTTCAACGCCGGAGAAGCTGAGAAGAAGCTCAAGCACGAATGTGAACGAATGGTTAGTCTGTTTGAGAGCGAGGGTACAAGAGCTATGAATGTGCTCGAAGGCTTGGCCGCTGAGTAAGGCCATGTACATGATGACGGGCAGGGCGTTTGGGTAAAGGATTTGTTTCTAGGCATTGACTGAGCGGGCATGGTTCTGCACACTGGGACACTCCTGTGTGACATTTTGGATTGTCTGGATACGCGTGCATTTACAAAGCTGGAGTAGAGGATATGGTAATAAGTACAGATACATTTCTGCCTTTGGTGGTATGATTAATGATGGTTTGTGATGTAGTGGGCGATAGCGTAATGCTAGCGACGTTGTGGCTTCCACTGGACTTGGGTCGCGTGCGTGACGTGATGGAAATGGTATGGAAGCGGCACATCTAACTATGAGAAGTAGTGACTATCATGGGGAGGGCTCTGGCATGTACTCCATAGAGAGTTATTGATTGCCATTCTCTGGGCGGATGCCGATCAAGGCAAAAGGACCTCGTACCCAAGCAACCAAGCAACCAAGCAACAAGGCTCGTTGCTATCAGCGCCTCGTACTGATGATCATGATGTTGTATTACAGGATAAAGCGATGCGCAGAGGGCGCGGTGCTTGCTTCAGTCCTTGATCAACCTGCATATCGCGTCGGCGATCGCTCTCTGGGCAAGCTTCAGCTTGACCAAACTAGCGCAAAAAAAAAGGCGATGGGGGTCCTTGGAGATGGGAGGCCAAGAAGACGAACGATTGGGAGAATAAGTGGGAAGAGAGGAAAATAGTAAGACTTCAAGGTTCCAGCCCCAAGGAATTGGGCAGCTGACCATGAGGGGGAAGTTGTGTGAGGGTGTGATGGTGGCGGGGGTTTGGGATCCGGGTCGCCGCAATGGGGTGGCTCAAGTAGACCAGTCGTCTTTTTGCTATTTGACATGACAAGGTGAGGATGGTGAAGAAGAAATCTCCAAAAATCGCCTTTAATGGTATTAGGGATGACGCCTACTCTCTTGTACCTCTTGTTCATACAGTTTGACCGTCTTTACTCTGTAGTTAGTCGTGACCAAGCATCTTGGTCATCAAGATCCTTCTCATCCAAGGCATCCGTACGTGACAATAACTAGAGAGGCAAACTGAGCTTGGACCGTAGTGGTGGACGGAGGCAACATCTCATTCGTTCGTCGCGGGAGGGAGGGGGTATATCCCAGGACGATGCCGTCTTGAGTCTCATCACACCTCGCCTTTCATGCCAGCTCGGCAGTTGCGGGTTGCCTTTGGCCACGACGTCGCCTGCTGCAGTTGCCGATATATTGAAGTCCCCCTACCCTTGTCACCACCCGGACTAGTGACGGGTCTCATCGTTTTTTTTTTTTTGTCGTCCGAGTCCTCCTGGTGATGCGATGTGATGAGGGGGGTGGGGGAGTAGGAAGCGGGGTTTGCTCTCGACGAAACGCCCTTTCTTGATGATGATAGACGCCTGACCTGGGCTCTCTCTAGCTATTTTAGACAAACTGTTCGAAAAAAAAGTATATAATTCGCGGGAAGGCGCCTCACCCGCTTCATTTCTCTTTTTTTTTTTTCTTCTCTTCTTCTTCAACAAGGAGAAGCGCCCCAGTCTGGACTCTCATTCTTTTGGATGATGGGGAAAGCTGGGTGTCGTGGACCTTACTGAATAGACCAGGTTTTGCTTTCAGCCTCGTGTCATTTTTCTTTTACTCTTTGAAAAAGAACTCTTGCTTCTTCCCCTCTGCATTTCGACTTCGATTTCATTCCAACAACGAAAACAAAAAACACACAAAAAAACACAAAAAAAAGGGGTTCGGTTTGGTTCAGCTTGCAGTCTTGTTGACCTTTGCTCTTCCTCTTTCCTACCCACCTTTCCACCCACCACACTCACTCTCTGCATCACCAAAACACACAACGCTTTACAAAGGAATACAAAAAAAAAACGATAAACCCGATTCTTTTTTTAAAAACAAAGTCTTGCTTCGTTTGCTTTTCTTTTCTTTTGAATTTCTACACCACACAAAGCGGCGTCATTTCTACTACATCGCAATGCTTTGGCGGCTCACTTTTCCAACCTCATTGTCTGACACGCTTTGCTCTCCCCCCAGCGCATACAGCCAACAAAAATGAACGCCCAAATCTCGCGGGCCTGATATACTTCTCTCAAGTATTCATTTTTCCCAAAGACAGCCCCCCCCCCCTTCTTACGTGGACGGAACCTTTTCTCCACACGAAACACAGCGAAAGAAAGCCTTGATGTTTCTACATCTTTTCGGCGTTTCGGCAACCCTTTGACGACCTTTTTTTCATCTGCGAGTACGGGATGCGACGTTCTTTTAACGACGAGAAAAAAAAAAATCCAACGAAAATGTGCGGAAAAATATGACAACATTCTTAATGAGTTATTCTTGCTGATGGAAATGGGGTTTCCTTTTACACAATGTACTTTTAGTCACTCATCTTTTTGTCGGGAGATTTGTTTGATACTGCCTGCGCTCCTTTATGTACTGCATTCATCTGAGGAAAAACGGCCGCTTTAATAAGATTGGATTCTCTGTTCGCTTCACCTTACCACTTGTAAACGTGACTGTTTCGCACAATGTGCCATGTAGACCTCTGTATCACGCGTGAAAATCAACCGTCGTTCCGAAGAAGCAAAATCGCAAATCGTTATTCAAGCTACGTCTAATTTGACTATTAACTCATTATCATGTACAGGCACTGCCAGGCCACGGCATCCAACACTACTATGAAGATCCATTAAAAGGGGGTTCCTCCTCATTAGCCATATATTCCAATCTCGTAATACGGTTTACCGTTAGATAAGCAAGGCAACCATGGCCGCGGCCAATGCTTTCGCGGCGCCGCCTAGGTCGAAACCGGCAATGGCACCATTGACAACGACGGGGGCCGTGGCATTCGGGCTCCGAACCACCGAGGGTGAGACGGTGGCGACAGAACTCGAATGCACAGCACTTTTCGTGCTCACCAACTCGGAGCTACCGCCACTCGCGGGCGAGCTTTTTGTTGCGGCCGCCGTCGCCGACGAGGGTGTTGCGCTGCCCGTAGACTGGCTCGGCCCCGTTATAGCCAAGGACTGGCTTGATTCCTTTGCCGCTGAGGACGGGCTTGGTCCTGCTGTAGCTGCCGACTGGCTTGGTCCCGCTGTGGCCGGAGACTGGCTCGATGCTGTTGCAGCCGGAGACTGGCTCGGTGCTGTTGCAGCCGGAGACTGGATTGGTACAGGCCCCGCCGCCGCCGAGCGTGTCGCCGTTGTCACCGCGCTCGAAGGCGCCTCAGGGGTTCCCGGGCTCGCGCTCTGCTGCGCCGTCGTCTGGCGCGGGGGCACAGACGAGAGCTGAGAGTCTGGGCGGGGCGGGATGGCATGCTCCGGCATGGAGGAGACGGCGCTCGAGGTGGTCTTTACCGGCTCAGAGCGACTGCCCTTGCAATAGTTGTCATACTGCTGAAACTGCATAGTGACGTATTCTAACGTGATGCTGGCGTTGACGGACGCCGTGACGCAGTCCTGGCAATTTTTCAAGCCGATCTTAAACGCCGAGTCGGCCCGGCAGATCGGTTCTATCTTTCCTTGAGAAAGTACATTAACCGAGACGTTATTGCACTCATCAAGACATTCAGACGCTCTAGGTACAGCCCCAAGTTGGTTCCCACTCTGTGTGGTGTTTCCCCCAGCCGGGGTGCCCTTCCCTTCATCGTTCCCGGCACGGCGTTTCAACACCTCGCGGGACACGCCGAACTTCTCTGGGTCGAGGTTAAAGTAGCCGATATACGGGCGGTAGTGGTACTGGCCGTCGTCTGGCACGGCACGGCGCACCAGGGGCGGCGAGGGGAGGCATTCCTCCGGGCGGCACACGTAGTCGTCCGTCGGCGGGAGTTCGAGCACGTCGCAGCCGGCGGGCTTGGGCGGCGAGCAGACGGTGCCGGGCTTGCAGCCAAAGGTCAGGTCCGAGTTGGGATCGAGCGGGACGTGGCGTCCGCTCGGCACACTGCAGATCTTGTACTTGGGATATGGGCTTGGCGTAGGGTAGCTACTGGTGATTGTCGTGATGACAGGGTAGCTACTGGTGATGGTCGAGATGACGGGGTAGCTGCTGGTGATGGTCGAGGCAGGGTTGCTAAGAGTGACTGTCGAGGCAGGGTTGCTAAGAGTGACTGTCGAGGCAGGGTTGCTAAGAGTGACTGTCGAAGCAGGGTTGCTAAGAGTGACTGTCGAAGCAGGGTTGCTAAGAGTGACTGTCGAAGCAGGGTTGCTAAGAGTGACTGTCGAAGCAGGGTTGCTAACAGTGATGGTCGAGACGGGATTGCTGACAGTAATGGTCGAGACGGGTTTGGTAACGGTAATTGTCGGGACGGGGCAGGCGGCGGTGATTGTTGAGCCGGGATTGCTGACGGTGACTGTCGAGCCGGGATTGCTCAGGGTGATTGTTGAAACGGGGTAGCTGGTGGTGAATGTCGAGATGACGGGGTAGCTGGTGGTAAATGTCGTAGTAATTGTCGCCGTCGTGGTCGCCACGGTCGTCAGCGTCACGCTGTGGTCAACAGTCGTGGTGACGGGGTACCGAGATGTACGCGTGACGGTCGCCGTTAAGGTCGTTGTCACCCACTTTGTAACAGACTGGTTCACCGTCCGTGTCACCGTCGTATAGTCGACCAGCGTCGTGGGCACGACGGTGGGCACAATAACCGTTTTTGTGGACGTGTCGGTTCTCCATTCCGTGGTCGTGACAGTGTCGCACTCGGGCGCCGGTGTCTTGTACGAGTCAGTGCGTTTGCCCACGGCAACGGACACCTCGAGCAGCTTCGCGCCTGCCGGTGCCGGCTTCTTGGTGCAGCTATCCGCTGGTTAGCTTGGGTTCGCGATGGAGGACAAGAGGTGGAGAGCGTGCGGAACACGACATACTTGACTAGTTTGGTGACGGTGACGGGATAGGACTGACAAGGACAGTTAGCAAGACACAGACAGACTGGAAAGGATTCGCATGACGGACGGTGGTGAACGTAGACACGACAGTTTGTGTCACAAAGTCGGTGGTGTGCTGAACCTGGGTATCGTGCACCTGTAGCTGATGTTAGTCAAGCTTCGAGTTCATAGGCATTCATCACTGGCGCACAGTCTGCGTTTCTGTTATGGTAGAACTGTGATCAAGTTAGCAAGGCGCTATATCAAAAAAAAACCACGACTATTGTCTGCACGTACTAGTATGTTTCCTTGATTGTCGACTCCCAATTCGTGTGTTCGCAACACGCGTCACACGGCTTCCGGTAGCTCACACGGGCTTCCGTCATGACATTCCTCGGAACGAGGTCGATATTGGCAGACACCAACCCGGCGACACAGGCTGTCGCGAGCGCAAGAAACGTCTTCATCATGGTTCGGAAGCTTGTCTGGGAAGCGAACTGATGGTTGGGCCAATGCGGGTGGCTACAGCAGCTAGAGGATCAAGGTGTAACTCGATCAGACCGTGCAACGGACTCGGCTGGTTTTGTATCTTTTTTCACATGAAATTACGCCCGGAACCAACGTCGGATAAAATTACATCGGAACCAACGTTGGAAGAAAAGCAGCCCCCAGGCTGTCAGAAATGGCGCGTGCCGCGCTGCCGCGTGGCACCAGCCGTAATTACAAAGAGTCATTTAATAAGACTAAACAGAGGAAATAGGTGGCGAAAATGAACCCATGCCGCTGTGATTACTTTGGACGCCTTCCACGACGTGCCCCGGCCGCAGGCGTGCCATGCCTGCAGGCGGCCCGGGTTTCTGCACCAGGGTGGCCCTGCGGTGGTGCCATGGCCGACCGATATGACAGGCGCGCCCGCAAGCACACGTCGTTTTTTTGAAATTCAAATGCTGAGTTGGTCGCAAATCTAACCGACCATCGACAAATTGGTGGCTTAGGTGGAACAAGTTATGCACGCCAAGGTTGGTTGTGCTGTCGGCTAACAAGGCGCAGCTATTCGGTGTGGACGGGGGGCTTTTGGCGTACCGATACGGGCTGCAATATATTCGGGCTGAGATGCGGGGGACCCATCCAACAGCTTCAGATCAGGCTGTCAATCCGGACAAAAGTTCCAGAGCCTATTCTCGCTCTGGGAAATAAGACAACTTGATCCCGAGTCCTGCTGCAACAAGTCAGTTGGGAGAAACTAGGCTTTGTCTCGCCACATGGGCATGGACGAGTATTTCATATCCTCAACTCGAGTACTTGACAAACAAGACAGAGTGACACAAAACAGCGTTGCACAAGCACAAAAAGTCTCAGGTGTGGCGCACGGTCAGCAAACAACAGCCCGCATCTCGGGCCGCGTCGGCCACTCAGTGGCCGTGGTGGCGTTGTCTAAGCCTGATTTCTCAAGCCACTTGCTGCAGAGCCTTACGTATCTGATTGAGAATACTACCAATGTAGATCAATAACAAGACGTGCGTGCGGAGACGAGTCCGGTCCAGTAAGGCGACTGGCGCTTGTTTCAATTGACGACGAGGTCTAGTGCCTTGCCAAGCCATGGTGTTGAAGACCTTGGTTGGTTGCTTTTATCAAAGTCATGTTGGGTGTTGAAGTTCCAGTGCGGTGTTGGCACCGCGCTTGTGCGTTGAGAACGTTGAAGTCTGTACGCCTTCGGTGTTGCGACCGGTTGGCCTCTAACTAACTAGTAGGTCTTGGGATCCAGTGACAGCCTGGTGCAAGGGTTGTCAGTCAGTCACAATAGTCACAGCCTCCTTCAAGGTTTCTCAGTGACAGCCTGATGGCATGGCGGCCAGGGAGGCCTAGTAGTCGTCCCCACGACTAATAACCTCCTTGTACGATTCCCGAAGCAAAATCGTCTGTGCCTGATTAGCACCTTGCGCTTGATACATACATAGTAGCAAAGAAGGCTCTGGTTAGGCACTCACATGCTCGAATTGGGCTGAGTAAGATCCTGCAATGTCGACTAGTGGAGCATATGCGTCCAATATGCCATTTGCTACTAGGCAGTTCAGCTGTGACAGTTAGCATGTCGAAATTGGGTCTCGTTCTTTTGAGAGTGGACCATACTCCAGCGACGTAGCGATCGACCCCAAGGCGGTCCATGTATCGCCGCGCAAAGACAAGTGTACCGAAGTTCTCCTTGACTGTCCTCAACACACGGTTGGCAGAGGTAATAGGAAGGTTAACGCGCGACGGAGCGTCCTCATTCAACCCATACCCGTAAATGCCACCCTGCACACATGGTTAGCGGCGAGGCAACCAATAAGTAAGTGGCGCGCACCTCTTCTCGGGTGTAGCCACGGCCAGTTGATCCAAACGTTTCGATGGCAAAGACCTCACCCTCTTCCATCTTGGTCTCATCCGAGTGCTTGGTGAACGGGATCGTCTTTTCGCCGTGAATGTGGTAGTGCTTGATGTCATGTCCGCAAAGATTTCGAACCGGTTTCACAGGGTAGACTTTGCCACGAATCTCGACTTCGTAGCTCTCCATGGTCTCCTGAATGGCAGCGCTGACGTCACAAATGCGCACGTCTATACCTGCAGTCTACAGATGCACGTGTCAGAAGTGCATCATGCCTTTGGTCTCAGACGAGCGCTACTTTACCTGGATGCTGGTGTTCGTGGCGTCCTTGACGGCGGCCAAGAGATTATCGTAGGTCGGATTAAATGCCATGGTAAAGGCGCTGTCAACGATCCAGCCGTTGATGTGCACGCCAAAGTCAACCTTGATAACATCGTCGTACTGAAGAACTGTGTCTTTTTGCCCAGGATTGGGGGTAAAGTGAGCAACACAGTTGTTTAGCGAGAGACCAGTCGGGAATCCCAGACCAGACTGAAGAGAAGCGCCAGGCTCCAGACCCTGGTTTCCCAAAAGTGCCCTGACAGCGTCTTCGATGCCAACGGCGATCTCGGTCAGCGCGTGGCCCGGCTTGACCGTTTCTTGCACCCAGTGCCTGACTTGACGGTGGATCTCTGCCGACTTGCGATAGTTGCTGAGAAACGCGGCATCTTCCAAGTTGGGCCGCTCTTCCCGGCGCAGCTCCTCGGCTTGGACTCGCAGCGTCGTACCTGTAGGCGCATCGTACTTGACGAGCTGGCCCGGCTGGAAATGTCCAGATGGAACCAGTTCGTCTAGCGGGATACGAGGCGGCCAGGACTGCTTGGAGGCGGCGGACTTGTTCTTCTTCTTGGGCCGCTTGCGTTTCTTCTTGTTCTTGTTGTCCGAGGCGGCAGTAGGGGTTAGCGGGGCGGCGGCAGCGGCGGTTCCTGCCTCGTCATCCTCATCGCCGCCATCCTCGCCTCCGTCACTTCCCAGGCATCCGTCACCATCGCGAGAGATGTGGTTGCCTCGGGGCTCACCGCCAGAGGCGTTGGATCCATGGAAAGGCGGGGGGTCTTGACGAGGTCAGCAAGTAACTAGTTACTGGGAAAGATGCAATGGGCGATGTCTCATAAATATAGCGTACCTTGCCTTCCGGGATCCTCATCTTCCAAAGTCTTGGAGCCCATGCTTGCATACCTAGCCAATTGCGTGGGTTTTCGGTTGATCAGTCTGGTGTTGTGCAGGTCGGATATTTTTCGAGCCGAGTTCCGCTCGGGGCTGGAGATGATGGCGCCTGCGTCTGGCTGGTGCGCAAAGCTTTGGCCGATGCTAAAGGGTTTCCACGTGACGATTCTCGAAGAATACTAGATATTTGGGGGTGGTTAATCTTGTTGAAACAGGACAAGGTTTAGTAGTTAGAATGTCGATCTTTATTTTTAGCAACTATTCTCCCAATGTCTTGGTTTGTTGGCCGGCCCGGGCGATCCCAGCTGCACGGATAGTTACTGGCTGTCAGACATAGTTAGCTCGAGCCTTATTACAGTGACAACCGGAACACTCGGCCATTCCACATTGTTAAAGCCTACAAATTAGACTTTTGAAATATCTGCCAGGGGGCTAATTTGTAGTAAGCTATTCTTATCAATGGCAATATCGTCCAGGTAAACCTGAGCAGCGCCAGCGGCCTTTGCTCGCTATCCAGCACGAACGTCTGACATGACGAAAATAATACACAGAAAGCCTCCGTCAATCGACCTAGCTTCCTCTAGAAAGGGTTCCTGGTCCTCCATGTCGGAAAGTACTCGCCAAGGTTGTTCTCCGGAATCTCCAGGTTAGCGACTGGCAGCCACGATTGCCCGTCTGCATCTACCCGACGTGGTAGTCCATCCTTGGTATTCCCGTCTTCTACCTCTGCGATAAAGGTTCGCTTTGTCGCTTTTTCCAGTCAAGCGATAGTTTTCGGATTTCCGATTCGAAGCATTGGAGATGTGTCCTTGGTTTGAATGATTGAGGAAGCTGTTGCCGGGTACTGTGCTACGAGGTACCCTACAGGTTAGAGGTAGGTACCTACCTCTACGGAGTACTACAGCAGCACATAGCGTCTGTTCTAGCGTCTAAATCTACACTAGTAGCGGAAGGAAACTCCGAAGTCGCGTTAGCAAGGTAGTATGAAAATACCTGATTGCTCCTTGTTGACGACAAGTCAGAGACATACTGTCCACTTGCTACCGGCTCGTGGCCGAGTATTTGCGAAAAGTAATTTGTACAGAAGCACTGCCACTGTAAGCCTTACCCCGCTCTGCAGGCAGGCAGGCAGGTCAAGTCGAAGATAATCACTACATTATAAATAACAACCCGCGTTAGGCGCTGTGCCACCACTTATCATGACGAGAATATTGCGGCTTCGAGGAGAGCCCATCGCGCAAGTTATTAATTGATAAAAGAGTTTCCAAACATGACGGCTTAAATCATGCGAATGCAACGTTGCAAGTATGTCTCGAGTTCCCCAGGGCCCTTCATTGCCTGCCCGGGGACCAAGACCATGACACCATAATTGAGCTGCAATATATAACTACCCCAAGCAAACACACACGTGCAGCGCGGAGAAGCGTTTGTGGTACAAATTAATTAACTATTAATTTGCAGTTATTCTAGAAATAAAGCAATGCCCAGGTAGACGACTGCTAAGCTCCCCATCTTCGCGGTGCTCGAGTCTGCTGCGGGCGCCAGGGTGGCCTATGCAGGTCTGAACATGGCCCCGTCCAGCTCGTTGTTTGCTCAACGCCACATCCAGCCGAGACTCGCTGCAGAATCAACATGGGCGACCGACCATGGGCGCCATGCATGGGCTTAGCAAATCGTATTTGCAAAAGTAGGCTACCGTATGAGACACGTTGGCAGCCTTGTCAACCCGGACAGACTGTCACTCCAAGACCGCATGCTGTGTGCTTGGAATTCTTGCCAGCTACACTGTTGCTTGCCCATCAAAGCTGCCAAATCATCCAATCTAGCTTGCCTTTGCTTTGGGTTTTGCTTTCCAAATATACCTTTGCGGCTCTTTCTGCGCTTACACTGTCGCCGTCGAGGTCCCCCATGCCATTCAGCCAAGTTGGCTGGCCAAGCTAGTCGCCCAATACTTCCGGTCGCTGAAACGGTCGCTGAAAAGGTCGCGGAAAAGGCCGGAAGAGCATCTGGCCGCGCCCGAGTAAAATGAAGTCCAATCTGTTGGCAATATCCATTCTACCCTTTGGCCTTGCCCATGCGCAGTTTAGTGACTGGGCTGCCGGGCAGATCAATACTACCATCTGCTTCTGGAACCAACCTCGAGGTACATACGAACACTACCTATTTGCATCCAACCATAAATGCTAATCCCCGAATAGCGGCTTTGGTGCGCGATAAGATTTATATCGATGGCGGCTCTGCATGGTGGACTCCGGGCTACGAAAACGGCACATTCGGCAAAGTCGTGAATCAAGGTGAGCTGTCCAGATCAACGACACACTACGCGCCATTCACTAATACAACCCTCCTTCTCTTTCACAGGAAACGGCCAGGGCATAATAGTATCATATGACCTGAGCAAGTCCTTTGGACCCGGCACAAATGTGACAGGCATTCTCCTGGATGGGAGTCTGTCAAAGGCTCGAGGCGGTAAAGGCAACGCCAACGGTGATGCGCCCGTGTACTACGACGGTGCGCTTCTCGGTAACGACGCCGAATTCTTCCTATATGGTGGAGCAGTCTACCAGATTGAAGTCTACGATCAGCCTGCGAGCTACGAAGTGCTCGAGTACCAGGCGTATGCGTACGGTCCTGACAAGCCTTTGTGGAAGCCCGGTTTCAACAGCAGGCGGCTGCCCGATGACGTGACGAGGTATATCGCCTACGGTGGCGCAGCCAGTGCCCCTTCGGAGAACAAGGCCTGGTATTTCTCCGGGCTTTCGGCGCCCAGTCGAGGCCCTATGGTTTGGAACGCCGCGACGAACGAGACCAGAGCTTCCACCCCTTCAAACACGCTCATCACCCTGGACATGGCGAACCAGCTGACCGAGAAGTGGACAAATACTACACTACCTAGCCATATCAAACCAAGAGCAAACCCGGAAGTTGTATGGGTCCCAGTAGGAGAACAAGGTATCCTGGTCGTGCTTGGAGGCGCGACGTATCCCGAATGGGCTTCTTCCGCCACCCACAAATCCTCGAATAAAACGCTCAGTGTAAGTCCCAGAAAGACTGCCAGATCGTGTACAGGTGACTAACAGATCGAAGGAGCAAGAAAGTCCTGCGTTTATGAGCACAATTGATATCTACGATGTCGCGAACAGCACATGGTATCAGCAACCCACCACAGGAGGACCTGGTACAAGAACGCGAGGATGCGCCGTTGTTGCCCCTGCCGCGGACCGATCGAGCTTCAACATCTACTACTACGGTGGCTTCGACGGGGTCGACACGTCCGGATCCTTCCCCGATGACGTTTGGGTGTTGTCGCTACCTTCCTTCACCTGGACGAAAATCAGCGATGGCATACCAAATCATGGGCGTGCCGGCCACAAGTGCTTCCTGCCCTACCCCGACCAGATGATGATAGTTGGTGGCTATACAGGAGGTAGCGACTCACAATGCTTGGGAGGAGGGCCTGTTGTTCTGCTCAACCTGACCAGCGGCGCGTGGATGGATCACTACGATCCCACCACATTCGGCACATACGGCGTACACGACAAGGTGCAGGCGGTTATTGGCGGGAACAGTGCTGGACATGCCACGGCGACGGCGCCCACGCCATCAGGATGGGCGACACCGGCGCTGGGGAATGTATTTGCCAATACGTATGACGTGAAGAAGATGAAAACGTACTGGCCATATAATCCGTCTTCCACAAACAAGACTGGACCGGACTATCCGTCCCCGGCACCCGAGCAACCGTCCAAAGGGGTACCCAACTGGATGGCTCCGATACTGGGCGTCGTGCTTGGTCTTGTTTTGATCACCGGAAGTCTCCTTGTATTCTGTGTCTGGCGCCGTCGGGTAGCCGCTCGCAAGGGCTCTGTGGACGCATCGTCCTCGCACGAAGCCATGTCGGAGAGACTCTTTTCCTGGGCCAAGGGCCATAACCATCCCAAACCAACTGATCCATCGGCACATTCCGCCTACGAAGCTTCAGAAGTAGCTCGCTCCCCTTCCCAGGCGTCAACACCTGCCAACGACGACCGGATCGCAGCTTCACCCTCTCCCGAATGTCACGAAATGGAAAATACACAAATTGCCGAACTTGGTGGTTCGTCTACACAAATCTCCGTAACCCTCCCCGTTCTTGACTAACTCTCTTTCTTTAGATACCTCCTCCCCAGTGGAACTACACGGCGCAGACATCACCGCTACAGAGGCCATGTGGCGACGAGCCGGGTTCAGACCAATCGCGGCCAACATTAGCTCCTTTGGCTCTCTGCGGTCGGTCGCGGGAGAGTCTCCAATCGCGCCCAGCAACCTCAGCTTCAGCGGCAGCGATGCAAGTCCTTCCTCGCCGCGTGATACTGCGCGATGGGGACAGCGTAAACTGTCCGTCATCTCCTCCGTCAGCTTCCAGAGCGGCGATGACGTGGGTACGTTTTCGCGCGACGATGTTGTCAGCCCCATAGGCCGGAACAATTCACCGACGGGAGAGAGCGAGGGCAACGCCGACCACGACGCTGCTGGCAGGGTGAGTCCGCTGAAGAATGACGAGTATGAAGCGACCGGGATGAGCCCGCTCAAGAATGCTGTTATAAGAAATGATTGTCGACGGCGCTCACAGTGAGCTAAAATTGTTATTCGTTTGGGAGTAAAGCGACGGTCTGTTTTCTTTTCTATGTAATGGGGCATCTTGAATTTTTATTCTGCGCCCCTCTGCCACACAAATTGGTCAATGTGTCTGGTCGCCAGTTTTGTCCACCCCAATATCAATGCATTCTATGAGTTTGTTTAAACTTCAGTAATTTCTTCCTCGCCATCCGCTAGCTCTGTTATTCTCCTCTGGTGGTCTTGGCCCTCGCCTTCTTCGTCGCGCATGAGAACCTGCACAAGTCTGTCACAGGCCTCCTGGACATCCTTATCGTCGACTCGGCTGTGCGTTTCGCGCACGACGGGGTAAACATTGACCCCGCGAAGATGTTCACGTCCAGCGCGCGTTGTTGTAAGCAGGAGAAGAGTCTCGAGATGGGTCTGGATAATGGTGTTGTCAGAGTCGCGCTTCTTGTCCGGCGGCAGCAGCTGCAGGTCGGGGAGCATGCTGATGGTTTCATCTTCATCGTACTCCTCATTGCCGGTAATTGGAAGCAGGATGTATGGGAGAATATCGATTTCGTCGTCATACATGAGAGACATGTGGGAGTCAACGTCGAAAGCGACATTCTTCAGTATGCTGGCGACACCTCTGCGGCGAATGTGCGAATCGTGCTCAGTAAACACCTTGAGCTTGGTGATGGGAATAACCTTGTCGTAGGTCTGTTCCGTCACAAAGTACTTGCGAATTTTTTCGTGTTTGGATAAATCGGCAAGAACATAGGCGAGATAGTCATAGTCGCCCTTGGGGTTGTAAGAGCCGCTCTGCCCCTTGACGAAGAGGTCCATGAGTTGGTTGAGGATGCAGTCGTCGGAGCCCAGCTCTTTTGGTGATTCCTGTTTCTTGTCCATGATGCGCTTGAGACTGTCTGATTTGGTCATGTTGGCCAAGACCATGGCGAAAAGGTTGGCATTCTCTTCTTTGGGGCCCTGCGCATTCTGTTAACAACGCCTTCTATTGGTAGTCGCAAGGCCTCAAGACATACCACAATGAATGACAAGACCAAATCCAAGAATTTGTCGTCGGAAGCTAAACATTCTAGAACCTCAGGATCGCCCGAGAGGTTTATCAGGCAGCTTAACGCATGCTCTGCGACTTGCTGCAAATCTGTAAGTAGCGGTCGCAGTTTACACCCGAATGGGCACATACAAAATGATCATTCAGCAGAACTTTGAGGTTCTTGATCGGTCTCATATCATCCACCTTGAAAATGCCTGGGTCTGAGAGCGAATACGGGACCAGGATCTCAGTGGCTCCCAGCCGGACCTGAGGGTTCTGATGGGTGATGAAGCCCACGAGCTACAGCTAGGTTAGCGTGTGAGATATGGTGGTTGGATTTGAAACATACCTCTTCGAGTTCGCTAGGCATTTTGTAAAATTTGAAAGAGAAAACAAAAATTTTACGCAAGATTTTGAATTTGAAAGATGGCTGTGTTGGAGAGGCCAATATTGAATCTTGATCTTTTGGTGGGGCAGCTTTTGTTCCATGGCAGTTACTTCTAGAAGCGCTAGGAAGTGAGGGTAATAAAGACGCGCATTCTACTTTGGGGGAAATATATTTACACAAAATAAATTACAAGAAAATCGGAAAAAATATTTTACATCCAGGCCTTCAATAGTCTTTCTTAAAAATCATCACGGTTCTCAGAAGAACAACCAAGCTGGAAGGCGGTCGGCCCGCACTAAGCCCATTTCGGCAAGAGGGGTGGCAGTACTGCCGGGCTAGGCACAAAATTTTAGAATTTTGGCCGCATCGTTTTGTCGCACTCGCACCGCCTACCGAGTCCACCAAGAAGCAGTTCGGCGCAGAATAAAAATACAGGCTCATCTCGCAGCAAAATAGTCCGCGAATATGCCCAAGGCGACAACCCCTACCGCAAATCGCGGTTCCCGCCGTCACAACCCCCTCGAGGACGACATCCTCGCTACGGGTATCCTGCGGAACAAGCCCTCGAAAAAGGGCTCCAAGAACGACGATGACCAAGACCAGGACGCCTTTGTCGACTCGAAAGCGTCCAAAAATATTCTTCGTATCGGCCGCGAGCTGGCCGAAGAAGACAATGCCGAGCGAGCTGGTGCTGTTGCTCCTCCCACCATTGACAACTTTGGCTACGATTCCCGCTTCGGTGACATCGAGGATGAGGCCAAGGTGTATGGCGACGAGGACGAAGTCTGGGGTGACGAGGACGAGGAGGTGGAGGAAATCGAAGTAGACCCCAACGACCTGGACACATACCGCAAATTTATGCCCGATGAGGAAGACGACTTGCTCAAGCACGGTTGGGATCGTCGGCCCACTGGCGACGAACAGGACGAAGCGCCCACCAATCTCGCCGACCTCATCCTCCAAAAGATTGCTGAGCATGAAGCCCAACAGGAGCGTGGCGATGTTGCACCTCCCCCGGACGACTATGAGATTCCTGCCAAGGTTGTTGAGGTCTACACCAAGTAAGTTATTCCAAACTGGTGTCCTAGGTGCTCGCTAATCAGCTGCCCAGAATTGGTGAAATCCTCTCCCGTTACAAGTCGGGTCCGCTCCCTAAGCCTTTCAAAATTCTGCCCACGATCCCCCACTGGGAAGACATCATCGACATCACCAAGCCCGAGAAATGGACGGCCAACGCCACATATCAAGCGACTCGCATCTTCGTCTCGGCCAAGCCCCACGTTGTCCAGCGATTTCTCGAAATGGTCGTCCTAGAAAAGGTCCGCGAAGACATTTACGAAAATAAGAAGCTCAACGTCCACCTCTTCAATGCCCTCAAGAAGGGACTTTACAAGCCCTCGGCATTTTTCAAAGGCTTCCTCTTCCCTCTCGTCGGCAGCGGGACCTGTACCATTCGCGAGGCGCACATCCTCTCGGCCGTCCTCGCCAGGGTTTCCATCCCGGTTCTCCACTCCGCCGCGGCCATCAAGGGACTCTGCGACATTGCCGCCCAGGAAGCCTCCCAGAACAGCGAGGGTGGCGGTGCGACGAACATGTTCCTCAAGACATTGCTCGAGAAGAAGTATGCGCTCCCCTTCCAGGCCATCGACGCGCTGGTTTTTCACTTCCTCCGCTTCCGCAGCGTCGACCCTGCCTCGGTGCAAGATGACGAAGCTATGGCGGGTGTGTCTGGCGACTTGCGAATGAAGCTGCCCGTCATTTGGCATCAATGTCTTCTCGTATTTGCCCAGCGCTACAAGGGCGACATCACCGAAGACCAGCGCGAGGCCCTTTTGGATCTGCTCCTCACCCACGGACACTCCGCCATTGGGCCCGAAGTCAGACGAGAACTGTTAGCCGGTAGAGGGCGTGGCGTGCCGCTGGAGCCTCAAGGCGCTGCTCTTGATGGTGACGATACCATGCTGATCGACTAGATGATGTACCTTACTAGCCGAGAAAAAGTCACGATTGCATGTTTTGCGGGGTGTTTTGGCGTTATTTCGATGGTTGGAAAACTCTTTAGACGTGATATACTACTAGTCATGCACATTCAATATATTCTTCCTTGTACAGCGTGCTTTTCAAGGCAAGTGCTCAGTCCCGCCCGCCGCGCGTTCCTGCCGCCTTGCCAACGAACGCCCCAGTCGCATCGCAACCCGAGTCTGCGACGCAAGCTTCTGCAATATCAATGTTACATCCGACCTACTCTCCTATGAAGTCTCTTTTCCACGCGCCCGTCACCGCGCGCTCCTGATATTTCCTTCTTTGGTTGGTGATTAGCGACCCTTTTACCATCTCTCGACATTGCGGTGTTCCTGTACTATACACACCAGGTGCTGGGAGGCTGCTAGAAATTGACCGCCATGACATCGTCAGTGCTTCATCGACCATGGTCACCTCATGCAAGCACGTCTGGAGAGCCAAAGTATGTCACAACCTGGAGCAGGATCATTCCATATTGGGGGCACGCTGACGACTCGTTGTAGCTATTTCAGTCTTCCCATGCAAGCGTTATCATCTGCCTCGCCATTCCTGTTTATGAACGTTGTTACGCCTTCGCCGGCGGGTATTGACAAGAGCTACAACATTCCCAAATGGAAACCGTTTGGTGCTGTTGGTGCTGCTACAGATGCAACTTCGTCACCGCCCGCGACTACCCCGATGCAGCATACTAGACCATCGCCTCCGTTCGGTGTCGACCCCCCTCGCCCACCGCGTGATGGATACGAATAGGTATAGTTCCCCGAGGGCTACTGGGCTGAGCGACAGCCTTCATTGCTGCCGAGGAGGGGTAGTATATCCAGTGCGCGCTTCTAGAAGTGGCGCGCGCGTTCCGCCAAGTCGACGAGCGAGCTGGATATAAGAGATGTTTCATACGCCTCGCCAATGTCCTCTCTGTCTACAGAGAAGCAGGACCATCTCCATCATTCGTCAAGTCCGTATCTGACCGAGTCAGCCCATGTTCTTTCGTTGCAGAGACCCGTTCAAGGTTCATTATCACGTCGTGCCAGCCGCGCGCGGCGACCGTCGCCAGGTTCTGCAGCTTCTACACCAAGGCCGGCTGGTATTATAGTTGATACCAATATTGAAACTGATCATGGTCAGTCAGATAAACATGATGCATCTGCATGGCATAAACTCTTGCACCACGCGATACATCGTCTGAAAAAGCACAAGTCCGTAAGTACGATACAAGAGGACGACTTTCAAGTCCGGGCTTGCTAATTTGGCCAAGAAGAATTCTCTTCACGAAGAGGTGTATGAGGATGCACTGCCACTGCCAGTCGACAAGAACGCCCATCATGGTAAAGTTATCCCAGGGCTGGGTAAAACGGGAACCTGGCTGCGTGAAGAATTTGGAAGCGGAAAGAGGACAAAGAAAATATTTGGACGCGCACCTTGGAATCGGAAAGATTCTACTGCCACTTTCAGCAGCGTTTCTAGCTCCATAAGAGAAGTACTCCGCGGGTACACTCCGCCAGCATCGCCACATTTAGCCGCGAATAATGCTGCCTGTACGTGCATTAGCCAAGACATACGCCCAGTAGTTTGCTAACTGGTGCAGACTTCAACAATAAATGGATGACGAATACATTTCCGGGTGGAGTATGCTACGCACGTTTCTATTCATTGACTGTAAATCTGACCTTGGATAGGAAGCGATGCGTGTGAGCACGCCTCCGATGGACGAGGACACTGCAGACGGCAGGCCCCGCGGCTTCTTTGGTCCACTGACGCCACCAGAGCCCGGAACAGCCGATTCTCAGACTTACATGACACCGATGACTTCCTTCGCCAGCCCGAAGTACAATGCCCACCGAATGAGCATGGCTGTCCCGTCAAGGGAATGGTGGGAGGCGAAACCCCAGAAGTCGCCACGCCATGACGATCCGAGCAAAGTCGCCAGGTTTGAGTTTGATATCCCTGAGCATCTTCCCAATAGCCCCATGTGTCCTGCAAATCTGCGCCATAAACATGGTGGTACTGGGTTATGCGTCTATCACGGTCGTAGGAGAGCATTATCTACGGTCAGCGACGAAGGCCCAAAGCGACGAGACTCGAAGAGCACCTGCTAAGTTCAAGCACACTTCAAAGGTAGGATTTCCGATTGCGTGAAACATCCGAAGTGCAATTATGCTTTCGTTTTGTTACTATTGTTGAGGTTGCTTTGCTTGTGCTAACACCGCAACAGTTCCATAATCAGAACAGTAGGGGGTGATCAGAGAGGCAGTTGAGATCAGCAAGGAGAAGTAGAAACCAAAATGTAGTCGTTCCTAGTAGTCTATAGTCCTAGTAGGTATTTCCCATTAATTCGTTTTTAGTACGCTTCTGGCTGAGATGACCAGAAGAAATAAGCGATCTACCTGCTTTTGTTGTACTCAATGTTAGACGTGGTAGCCAGCGTCCGCTCTGCGATGGTCATTTTCTGCGTATCCTCGTATTGAGTCTGGCGAAGCTGGACGAGGCACAGCCTTGGGTGATACATCCCGAAATGACACCCGCCGGGGGCCCCGGGACGTACCGCCAGCGCCTTGCAGGGTTTCTGCAGCCGAGAGGCCAGTATTCTCCCGTGTCGGCGGCCAGAACCTCAGCACCACCTGCTGGCTGTCGCCGTCGTCTCGCGGGGCGTCCTCGTCCCCATTCTTCCTCCCCCTCCCCGCGCGCCGCGGCCGAAACAAGCTCACCACGTTGCGCGCCGTGTCGAGCAGCGACCGGCGGCTTCGGCCGGCAGACCCGCTGCTGCTGCTGCTGCTACTGCCGCGCACGTGGACGAGGATCGTGACGACGAGCCAGCCAAAGAGGATCGTCGGTATGGACCAGGGGCTGTCGAGAAAAATGTCCGTCTTGTCGGGGGCGAAGAAGAGCACCGCGGTCACGGCGATGCCGATGCCGAGCAGGGTGCAGATGATGAAGCGCATGCGCGGGAGCCGACCGAGCGGCGACATGCGCGAGACGAGCGCCATGATGACGAGGAGGATGAGCGTGCAGCCGCAGGCAATGTAGGTGTACGCAAACTAGTTAGGCATGCCCGTGTCAGTAAAAGGTACGATCATCACGCGGGAGGGGGGAAGCCTGCAGTTGATGGCCGAGGGCAGAACATACAACGAGGCGAGAGCGCTGCCGCGTCTTCTCGCTAATGGTGACTTGGTTCTCAGCTAGTTTGAAAGGGTTACTGTCGCCAGGGTGTTTTAGGCTGATATCCGTGCTAACGTCAATGTCGAATGACGTAAAGATGCTGTTGGCCACCGTCGAGATGATGACCCTGAGCTGCTCCACAAGAATAGAGAAGCCGTTTAGAGTGGCATCGTCTAGTTCGAGGGACGAGTTGTTCTGCGCCAGCCAGGCTTCCAGGTCCGGCCAGGTCCGGTCCGGGATCGTGGAGATGTTGGAAATGGAGTGGTCGACGACGGCGCGCGCCACCGCGTCCTTGGGCGGGTAGAGGTTAAAAATCTCCGTCGTCGCGTTGGTCAGCTCGTCGGCGATGGAGCGGCTCGTCTCGTTGTAGGTCTGGAGCGGATCGTCGGCGGCATCATCGTCGGGCAGCCAGGTATTGGTGATGACGGCGAAGACATTGAACGCCTTGACAAAGAGGATGAGCTGCGTGAAGCCCTGCATGAACATGACCAAGCACAGGTGGAACGGGTAGTGCAGTGCTGTCCATATCTGCTGTCGCAGGGCGGGCAGCTGAAGGTGGCGCATCCAATCAAAGTAGACGAGAAACACGCAGTAGATGGTGGCTGTGGCGGACGTGATCATGCCGATGGTGTAGGGATCTAGGAGATGCAGAGTCAGCCCTGGTCCATTTCTGTCCTCGACGCAGTCTGCGTACTCCATGCTTCGGGCGTCTTGACAATGGTCGCAATGTTCTGCGACACGGTCTGGATGCTCTCGCCGAGAATCATGACGGTGATGAGGCTGAGGCGCTTCATCAGGTGCGTGCGCGTGAAGCTCAGCGTCTTCCAGTAGTTGGAGATGACAAGACTGAGTATGGCTTCTGCCGCGGTAAAGATGTACCATGTAATGTAGACGCGGCTTTGCTTTCCCTTAAAGCGGAATGTGATTCCCATGTACACGGCCGCGCTGGTGACGTTGATGGCGATTTGAAGGTACAGCGGCCGTCGTGCGCGCTTGTACTTGTAAATCTGCGCCAGCGTGTGTGCGTATTCAATGGCGAGGCAGATCCGCGAGACGAATAATATGAGCGCTGTGTCCGTCAGCGCAAGCCTATTGACGTTGGAGGAACGCGATACTCACACATTGTCATCATGGTTCCTTCATCCTGGTCCTCCGGGTCAAAGTTGGGCGCAACAACGGTGAAGCCGACAAGGACGCCGAGCTGGACGGCTCGCGCCACCCGCTCTATACGACAAGTTAGTTAGACGAGGACCAACTCAAGGGACGGGGATGAGCAGCAAGTACGAACCAAAGATGCTATCCGTGACGTAGCGCACATCATACAGCGTGACGACGAACCAGGTGCCCCAGAGCAAGCTAAAGTAGCCTACATAGGCTTTGAACCGTCGGTGATTGGTGACTGACTGGCTCTGCGCAAAGACGTTGTAGTTTGCCGCAAAGAACAAGTCGTAGAAGATTTCCAGCAGGGTTGGCTCCTCGTACTAATGAAACGAGATTAGCCATGTCCTAATAACGGCAACAAAGTGACAAGCATACTCGCTTGAAAGGAGGATAGCCATTGTGGCTGCCTTGATCGTCCGACGCGACGCACAAGGAGTCTTTGAACGAGTCGTCTTGGTGCGGTTGTGCTTCCGATGGTCGCCGAAGCCTGTCAGACGCTAGCGGGCTCTTGAACCAGCGCGGCTTTTCGGCGGCGACAATGAGAGGTTCTTCATGGTCCACGTGCATGGCTTATATCGACCGCTTTTGGCATACCCTCATGGCCGTTTCTTTTCGTGTTCGTTTTGCAGCCCGGGCGAACTATGTAATTGGCATGTCAAGGAGATTGAAGAGGAAGAAATAGAGGAGAGAAGGAAAAAAACGATCAGAGTTGAGCGAGGCACACCAGAGCGATGAGGATGGAGAAACTCTCTCTCCACCCCCCCAACCGGCTGGCCCAGTCCTCCGGCCGCCTGGCGCAAAGAACCGGCGATGCCAATGACCCAAGTCGTCCAAGTGGTAATAGAGGAACTACCTAGTGAATACTTGGTAGGGGCGTCGCTCGGCAGTGGGCGATGGCAGGGCTGATTCGCTAGCCTGGCACAAACTTTTTCAAGATGCTACCTGTTTCGGTCATGGGCCTGCTCCACCGCTGCATTAAGGTGCCATGGTCCATAGAAGCCGTGAAATGAGGCGCAGAGTCACATGAACTGACTGACTCTGTGCATTTTCTGCCCTGGGTGGTGGAAGTATGTCGACGTCGCGAAAGAGGCTGCCAGGCTGGTGGTTTTGGATGTTTGTGATTAGGGTGTGTTTGCTGGACACTTGCCGGCGAATGGCCCAGCACCCAAATGATACCTTGCCAGCGCACGACTCGCGCACACGAGACAAGGGGACGACACTTGAAAAAGAACGGGAGCCGCGGCAAGGTCCAGCATTGTAATTGAGCTACCTTGTCGAAAGAGGGCGTTTCTTTCTTGAATCAGCTTATCGAGTACATGGCCTCAATGTTTCCGCGCGGGAACTATTTCTTGGCACACACTCTCCGTTACTTGGCTGCTAACTAGTTGTTATTACCAGGTTAACCAAGATCACATAACCGGCAAATGCCGTTGTGGCTAACAACTTGATTATCAGAATAATTAAGTCTCTAACTCTATAGACATGCGACCTTTGAGAACCATATTCCCTTCCTCTACTCCAGCAAAGAGGCTTGGTTAGTGTACAGAACATCAACAACATTACTGAGCTTGTCAATCGTCGACAGAGCTGCGTCGTACGACTGGTCGCGGTGCGTCTCGTCGTAGATGATCAGGCAGCCGGCGCCCTGATCCAAAACACCAATGATAACCTTGTCCAGAATCATCTGCGACAGCTTGCGCTCGACCTGCTGCGTGTCCAGGCCCACCATCTTGGCAATGTGGTCAATCTCCACGCGGGAGAAGGGCTCAATCACCTTGATCAGGTTCTGTTCCAACATGGCATCGTAGAGGCGGCGGAGATGGTTGCGAATGAAGGCGTCGCTTCCCAGCTCGTAGCGGTAAGTCGACAGGGCGCGCTCGTACTCCTCCAGCGAGCGGTTGGCGTGAGCACGCGCGATAGCCTTCATTGCCTCGAGGTTCTGACCGGCATACTTGACAGCCTGCTTCGACGTCATGAGCTGGTTGACGTCGTCGACGAGGTTCAGCATGATCTTGCAGAGAAGCATGTACTGCAGGGCTGCCTGAGCCTTGTGGCTCTCGTCCTGCGTGTGGTAGCCATCCAGGGCCTCGATAAAGTAGGAAAAGGCAGTGTTGAAGTCCTTATCTTCCGCATGCAGCATGCCGCTCTGCATATCGAGGTTGGCCTGCAGCAGCGGTGGCGTGTATACGCTGGCCGCACTCGTGCGCGCGCTCGTGAGCGCGGCCCGGGCCTTGGGAATGTTGCCGAGGGCATGGTAAACGCGCGACTCCAAAAGCTGAACTTCGACCAGACGTAGTTTGTCGTCCAGACGCTTCAGCTCACGAAGCAGGCCGTTCGTTAACGTGAGCGCCTCGTAGTAGGATTGCTTCGTCATCTGGAGCGCAACCAGGCGGACCTCGAGGTCCTGGCGCTGAAAGGCTCGGCGTTCGGCCGTGGCCCATTCGATACAGTCTTTTGTGACAGCGACTTCGGTGTCGGTGCTATTGGGGATCTCCTTGAAGAGGTCCAGAAGTTGACGAACTGCGTAGAGCGAACTCGATTAGTAAAAATTGCCTGGCTTTGGCCGAGGGAAGGCAAACGTACTGAGCTTTGACGACTTTGCCTTGGCAAACGACGACAGAACCGTACGGCTCTGTCGTACAAGCTCTACCAGCTCTTGTGATTTCCTGTTTATCGAAGAATAACCTGTCAATATCCCAGTTCTACCGTAGTTGTTGAGGCGAGACAGCGGCAAACTAACTTCTCATCCTTGTACAGCTCTCCCAAGCTGATTAAAGCTTGCTCATATTCGCGCGTTGCCGCATCTGAAGTCGCCGCCGGGGCCTGGGACACAATCTCCTTGTAGGTTGCCTCTGCCTTTCTGGGGTCCGTCTTTGCAATCTTCTGCGCTTCCTGGACCCGGCTCGAGTCGGCGGCTGCCATTTTGGAAGGACCTTGGAAATGTGTTGTTTGATTGGGTATGGGGTCGCTGGTAGAATCGGGAGCAGGGTGCGGGGATGGGAATTCGAAAAGCCTAGATCCGCGTCGCAATCAGGGGCTAGTTCTCTTTTTCGTTGCCGCGATTGATGCGCAGGCAGACGTGGAATTGATGATGGTTAGACGGAGCACGAGCGTGGTGAGCTGCTAGGTTGCCACGGCGCGACGTAAGGGCCGCCGCCTGTGGCTGAGTACCTCGCCGGGGAGCTTCACCAGCCACTGAAAATGCCAAATGGAAGGCGAGGAGTCCGCTGTGGCTCAGCGCATATCGGCGGCCTTTTCTCGCCAGAACTGCTGGAGGGTTCTACCGGCCCGCCAAAAAAACCTCGGGCAATCATTGATCCGCCAGCCAAGAAGATGGCAACCCCTGCACGTTCGGTCATTATTCCCCTAAACCGGAGCGAACCGCCATAATAGCTCGACCATTGAATTTTCTGAAAGGTCACATTCGCCAAACGTCGATTTTTTACTGCGCATCTGCTTTTATGCTTGCCATTGCCGCATCAATCTAATTCCTCATCCCCTCCCTCACATATATACACCATAATCACAATGTTGCGCCAAGCCGTTGCCGCTCTCCCCAGAACTCTGCGCGCCGCTGCGCCGAGGGCCTCTGCTGCCAGCCAGCTCCTGGCGCGCCCACAGGCGTACGCCGTCGCCACGCCAGCTCTCCGATCCTTCCTCCCTGCCACATCGAGATGGTACAGCGACGCCAAGGAGGCGAAATCCGAAGAAAATTCCGAGACCAAGGAGGAGGAGAAGGGAGCGTCCGACGAGGTCTCGGAGCTCAAGAAAAGCCTCGAGGCAAAGGACGCTGAGGCACGCGACTGGAAGGTTCGTAGCGCCCCCACGGTCCATGCAAGCCCCAAATCAAAAGGATCTCACGTACTGACCGCGGTATCGCAACGCACAGGACAAGTGCATGCGCACCGTCGCCGACTTTCGCAACCTCCAGGACCGCACCCAGCGCGAGGTCAAGACGGCCCGCGACTTTGCCATTCAAAAGTTCGCCAAGGACCTCGTCGACAGCGTCGACAACCTCGACCGCGCGCTGGCCAACGTCCCCGCCGACAAGATCAACGCGTCCGAGAAGAATGACGACCTCAAGGAGCTCGTCAACCTGTACGAGGGCCTCAAGATGACCGAGCGCATCCTCATCCAGACGCTGGCCAAGCATGGTCTCGAGCGCCTCGAGCCCGAGGGCGAAAAGTTCAACCCCAACGAGCACGAGGCCACCTTTATGACGCCGCAGCCCGAAAAGGAGAACAACACCGTCTTCTTTGTCCAGCAAAAGGGCTTCAAGCTCAACGGCCGCGTCCTCCGCGCCGCCAAGGTCGGCGTCGTCAAGAACGCCTAAATGCAGAGGCGATTTGCGCGACACTCTCTTTATCTGTGGGAGACTCTGCTTCAGAAACGAGCAGAGTACTCCACGTGTACTATTACAACAAAAATCTACGATACATATTGGGCCGGCGTTGGGTCAGACACGATGTGTTAATGCTCCTCTCATGATGGTGATTCAAAGGTGAAAAAAGATTCTTTTGCATGGCGACTGGCAGCAATTGCCGGTAAAATGAAGCATCTTCCTCTTTTCTCTCTTTTTGTACAAGTAGGAAAAGGTAGATGGAAAAGCGAAGGTCTGATTTGGACAGGGAGGATTTGCAGGGTACAGTTTACATACCCTATGTATTGAAACTATCTAGTCTCGGGCGAGCTTCATTGCATCGTCTTGTACCACAATTTACTCCAAATTGTTTATTATGACAAGTTGCAAGCGGGGGATTTATTCGCTGTAGTACCATCAACATGATCCCATCCCCTAATTAGCCATCATGAATTGTTCTTTTCATCTCTCGTTTCCAATGCCCACATGTTCCATCAATTAGCCAAGAATCAGCTCGTACAGTATGATCAATGTATTTGCAATTATCAGCGGCACTATATCCATGTTAGCGGCGCGCGCTTTGGAGCTCCGTGGGCGGACTGGATGCGCCCGGCCAACGTACTTCTCATCAACGTCCGTACACTGGCAATCAGGTGTACAATCTTGGCCTGCACACTCTGCGGCTCCGAACCGGTGCCGAACCCAGGATCGTGCGATCCTGGAGACAGGTTTATGCGCGCCAGGAAGCGATCCTCTGATAAAATAGCCACCGCATTGATCAGGAGGCAGCTGACGTAGAACAGGTTGCCAAGGAAGAACATCTTGGATCGGACCGCCCTCTCAGTTCGCCGGCTCGACCTTGTGTGTATTGAGAATCAAATACTTCGTCTCCTATCGCTGGCGCCGGCTCGAGTCTTCGGCTTGTCGTCGATTCGCCGAGCGCAGGTCGTGGTGCAGTTGTCCTCTTTCAAACGGCCGGCCCAGCGCAGGGAGAGCAGAATAGGGGTGGGGCTGGAGCCTTGCTAGCCTTTCTGCCGAAAAATCGAGGTAGCTTGCTAGTTGATATGACCGTTGATATTCGAAAAGACTAGCCGTGAGAATAGCGAAAATCGGTGTTGTTAAGGTTGTAGCTTGGAACTGCGCATGTAGCTGAGCTTGTCGCGTTGCCGCCGGTGGCGTACCTGGAGACGTGGTCGATTCGATAAGCACTTATCGCACGTGTCACTTAGCTGTTGGCCACGACAGCGCAGGCAACTTTAACTCAGCAATTACCTACCATGCGCCGTCGTCATTTCATTCAATGGTACTTTTTCAAGGTCGGGCCCATCCTATGTTGGACATAGCGGCGCGGTTGTTGCCCCGATCTGGTTCTACAATCACAGCACCATAATACGGACCACTCTGCCGCCAGGCTATGAACCAGGCAGGACAGCATTCAAGGATACAACTCACCTGGGTGCAAGAGGAATTTGGATGGACGAACCCTTTAAACCCTCATCGTATTTCAACCAACAATGTAAACCAAATCTATGGATGCGACACGTAATTATAAACCCCAGTACTCCGAATACATGTAGTCAAAACAGGGCACCGACAGGCGCTATTTCTTAGCTTTGGCCTTTGCCTTGGGCTTCGCCTTGGGCTTTTCGTCCTCTTCGTCATCCGCCTTTGCTTTTGATTTCTTGGTGGCCTTCTTTGCCTTGGGCTGCTTGATATACTTGTCTTTCTTGAAATCGATCGCGTCGTCATCTTCGGCAGGGGCTTCTGCTAATTCCACGTCGTCTTCCTCCTCTATTGCTTCCTCTAGATCTGGCACGTCCTGAGCCGATTTCTTCGGAGCGACAACATTTGTGCTAGCCTTCATGAATGGGACTGGATGGCTCATAGCGTTATATCTAGGAAGCAGGTCAGCTATGGCATGCAGCCAGCAAAAGAGTGAGAATGCTTACGTCCGTGTGAAGGCCGCCTTCGCCTTGGTTTCAATTTTGACGGTACTTTCATCCATTGGCCCAACACCAAGTTCCAGAATAGCGTCAAAGTCTTCACGCGTCAAGTAGTATGCGTCCATCAGGTCGATAACCTCCGGCACCGCCTCCGAGCCCTCATCTTGAAGCTTGTCAATGAGCTGTTTCCAGAGAACGGGCAAATATTGTTGACGGATTTCATTGTGGTCACCAGAACTCTTCAGGCGCATATGAGAGTGGATCTCGCGGATATATCGTCCGAGTTTGCCAGTCTTGCTGAGGTTCCCGAGATACGAGGTGAAGCTAGAACCCATGAGTTGGCCTGCGATAAAGCTCGCAGGACGGACTGTGCTAAATATGGCGTGCGTTGGCATGAGGCTCCAATGTTGTTGGGGGCCATGTATCATTCTGTCCACCAAGTCGCCGTCGCTGATACTTTCCGCAGCCTGGTCGAACAGCTCTAGCGTCTTGAGCCTTTCTTCTCGTTTGTTGTAGCCCTTGCCATTGAGTGCCATTGGCTTGGTGCGGAGGTAGTTTTCCTGTATCATCAGAAAGCTGAAGTCGTGATCGTTGAAGTATAGCTCGATCTTATCATTCAGCGTCGCCTTGCTAGCCGGGGCAAAAAGCCCGCCGCCCAGCATCTTTTGGCAGATGTCCCACGGTTTTAGAACGACGTGCTTTTCCCAGGCCTTGGTCATGGCTTTGCCTTGATTGAAATCCATGCTCGTCTGATCCAGCTTTGCGGTCGAAATCATGTTGATGATTTGTCTAATATCCTTATTGCTGCCTTCAATCAGGGCATCGACAACGGGGGGCGGCAGTTTTAAGCCTTCGCGATGGCAGATTGTCATGATGCGTGACCGCACTTGCTCTACAGTTGGCCGGTTGAATCGCACGTCGAATGCGACATGGTCAAAAGGCTTCATTTTTGGTAGACGTCGCTCGTTGCAAATAAGAATCAACGGAACTTCTGTCTTCTTGCAAAACTTGGCCATGGCGCCAACACCTCCCCTGTCGCCACCAGACATGCCATCCACCTCGTCCATGATGAGGACAATCTTCTTTTTTGTCGTGTCGACGTTTTTACCGTCACCTGCGAAGAAGCCTAGTAGTGACGTGTTATTCATAACATCGCTAACGCCAGTTTCGACCAGCTTCTTGCTACGAGCATCACTGGCATTGCTTTCCAGGACGTCATATCCTTCAAGCTTGGCAGCCAGGTGGGCGGCTGTCGTTTTGCCAATGCCAGGTGGTCCCGAAATAATGATCGCTCGCTCGCCCCCCAGTCCATCGGCGCCACGCTTCTGGAAATTGTACTTTTTGGCCTTTGGCCAATTTCTTAGCCAGGCTTGGATCTTTTCCACTTGACCCTTGTTGCCGCATATGTGATTGAGTTGGGTAGGGGCATATTTTGAGGTGAGAAGCTGAGTCGGGGTAGCAGAAGGGCGCGGTGGACGAGCTGCACCCGGCACACTGGCTGCTGCCTTTGCAGCCTTCGCCTCAGCGACTTTCTTGGCTTTCTCCTCGGCCTCCATTTCGGCAATCTGCTGTTTGATCTTTTCTTCGTCGGCCTTTTTCTTTTCTTGCGCTTTCTGAGCTCCTTTGCCAGTTCCTCCATGGGCAGGAAGCTTGCGAATCAAATCGAACAAGCCATTCTCATCAATAGTTCTGATACCAAAAGATTTGATCTTGGCCAGTTTGCTGGGACCAGCATCGTCGCCCAAAACGACGAAGCTAGTTTTGCTGCTGGGTTGGCCAGTCACTTTTCCACCATACCGCTTCACGAGTGCCTGTCCCTCCTCACGGGCAATTGTTTGCAGGACGCCAGTGAAGACAAAGGAAAGACCGCTCAAACATTCCTCTTCACCATCGGGAATATCGGCGCTGCCTACCGGTTGAACGGTGGCATTCCCACCGCCTGCAGCTTTTCGCCAGTCGAACTTGGCATTTGGATCCGTCGGTGGTGGGGTTGGTGGCCGAACTGTGGCGACACTGTCGAGGATTTTTTGGATGGAAGCGTCTTCGGACGCATCAGCCTTCTTGGCCCGAGGTGCACGGGGCTTCGAAGCCGCTGGCTTCTTTCGCGGAAGCACTTCTTCTTCTTCCTCATCAGAGTCTGGCTCTGGGGTCTTCCGCTTCTTGCTCGCTGGAGCAGCGCGGGGGGACTTCGTCTCAGGGGCAGGTTTCCCTTTCGATACCACCCGTGACGCCTTAACAGGCATGTCTTCATCAGAGTCCTCTTTGTAGTCGTCATCTCCCTTGCCGTTGCCCTTGATGGCGGCGGCGAATATGTCATTGCCATCCTCATCGGCATCTTCCATGTATGCATCGTCGTCATCGTCTCGTGTTCCCCGGTAAGAAGGTCTGGCTGTTCGCTTCGGCGCTTGTTTCTCATTGGCTTGTGTTGTTGCTGGTGCTGTCGTTTTTGCCCCATTCACTTTTGATCGTGGACTGCTTCTGACTGGGGCATCGGATTTGGTTGCAGCAGCGGCAGATTTCTTGGGTGTAGCCTGCTTCGACTTTGGTGCCTTGTTGGATGTGAAGTAGTCGCTTGTCGAAATTTCAACGCCGTCATCTCTGTCAATAAGTCAGCGCAGCATTTTTCAGATATGCGCACCACGTACTCGGCTTTTTTCTTCTTGGGCTTCGGTGTAGGCTTCACAGCAGGCTTCGTTCTAAAGGGTGTGAGTATTGTAAAGCGCCTACGGTTCGTGGGCTGTCTTACTCGACGATCTCGTCATCATCACTGTCTTCAACAACATTGCGAACAACTTCTACTCCAACATTAGTATGTACTGCTAGCACCGAAGTTGGAATTGTCGCGTACTTCTCCGCTTGCTGTCGGGTTTCTGGCTGGGTGGCTCAGCTTTCACGGGGGCCGCGACCGCGCCGCCTTTGGGTGTAAAGAAAGAGCGAATATCAGGCATTGTGGGTGATGAGAGCGCAATGACAGGAGAAATGCTGTGATACAAATCAGACTGATTTATAGGCTTATCAATGCCAGCTCAGCTGACAGCCTTTTTCTTGTTGGATTCTAGGCAGAGCTGCGTAGGTCGTAACTAGCCTGGATCATTGCACTTGCCATGGCAGCTCCACAGGGTGGACGCGAAGGGGACGCGAAGTACGAAGTACGTGACCGACCACTTAATTGAATCATGTTAGTGCCTAATGCGTCAGGCCACCACTCTTGTCGCCGTAGACTACGGCTCAGATTTTTGGAGCTTCACGAGGACAGTAGCAAGACCGAGCAGGTAACCTTTTTGCGCAAGATGAAGCCCAGCACCCCATTAGCGCTGGCCAATGCCTTCAAAGGATTGCAAATCTCTAGTCTCTCGCCGTTGCGACAAATCCGAACGCCATTGCTCCGACAATCCGGAGCCCTCTCCAAAGCCTGGGCGCCACAACCAAAGGCCTTCTCGACAACCACACCCGTTTTTGGAACATGGCTTGAACCTGATATCAACCGCAAGAAGAAAATGGCCAAAGGACGTTGCCGAGTGGCTACTGGAGGCTCGACAAAGGGAACCACGGTCATCTGGGGCGACTTTGGCCTTCGTATGACGGACAAGCAACGTCGCATCAGCGCAAAGTCGCTGAAGATGGCAGAGGATACCATCAAGACTCGACTTCGAGGCCAAAAGTACCGACTTTACAAGCGAAAGTGCTGTAACGTCGGTGTCTATGTTAGCGGTAACGAGGTTAGCAACCCCCCAGCGACTCAGCTCGAGCCCGACGCCCGAAACCTATACTAACACCTGCCAGATGAGAATGGGCAAGGGAAAGGGTTCATTTGACCACTGGGCAACAAGAATGGCAGTCAGCCAGATTCTTTTCGAGGTTCGCGGCCGCCTCCACGAGCAGGTCGTTCGTGATGCATTTCGACTGGCCGGCAACAAACTGCCTGGTAAGTTTGCCGTTAAGTGAGCGCTACTTCCGCATTTCTTGCTGACCAGAGAAAGGACAATGGGGATTTGTCAAGAAGGGGGAGGCTCCAGTTGTTGGCATCACCAAGCTGGACGGTGTTACGCTTGAAGAGCTCAAGCGACCCAGACGCCAGCTCCCGCAGGCGCAGATTATTGAGGCGGCCGGGACTGCTCCCTCAGTTTCAGAGGCAGGTAGCGGCAGCCAACCTCCTGCTTCATCATAAGTCAACTTCCATGTATGATCCGAATGTGTATATTACCACATGACTGTGGCCCACAGCGAACTTTTCAGTAGAGGGTTGAAATCTGTATAGCATATTATTATTTCACATCCTTCTATTTTCTAGAAAGAAATATAAACCCCGGGGGTTTTCGTGCCGGTAGAATTGCGCGCAACACACAAACGTCTAACGTTAGTCCACCTCTAAGTTCTTGTAGGCCAAGCAGCACAGCCGTTGCATTGGTGATTGGTGGGGAGCTGCCAGGGCCACAGCTCTCAGGTAGGTACACTTAACGCGCCGACGCGTCTCCAGCTACCAAGACCGAAAAAAGTCCTGTACACTTCACCATCACCAGATAATCGGGCAACCACCGCAACAATGGCTCTTATTGTCGATAAACACCGACCCAGGTCGCTCGACGCGCTCACGTACCATGACGAACTCACGGAACGCCTTCGCGCTCTCGTACGAGAACCAAGCGCCAACCATGGACCGTTAACTAACTCAATACCAGGCACAAAGCGGCGATTTCCCCCATCTCCTCGTGTACGGACCGTCCGGTGCTGGAAAGAAGACGCGAATCGTGGCTACGTTAAAGGAGCTCTACGGGCCCGGCGTGGAAAAAATCAAGATTGACTCGCGCGTCTTCCAGACAAGCAGCAACCGCAAGCTCGAGTTCAACATTGTCGCATCAGTATACCATCAGGAGATCACGCCGTCCGACGTCGGAAACTATGACAGGGTAGTCGTGCAGGATCTGCTCAAGGAGGTGGCGCAGACGCAGCAGGTTGATCAGTCGGCCAAGCAGCGCTTCAAGGTTGTCGTGATCAACGAAGCTGACCACCTGAGCCGTGACGCGCAGGCTGCGCTCCGTCGCACCATGGAGAAGTACTCGCCCAATTTACGACTCATACTCCTCGCAAACTCTACCTCGAACATCATTGCCCCGATTCGGTCGCGAACACTGCTCGTCCGAGTGCCTGCGCCGTCGCACGAGCAAATCTGCGACGTGCTCGCCTCCGCGGCGAAGAAGGAGAACTGGAGCGTGATTAAAGGATTGCACCAAAGAATAGCAGTGGAGAGCGGACGCAACCTGCGCAAGGCTCTGTTGATGTATGAGGCTGTACATGCGCAAAAGTATGTTTTCAGCTCTTGCCCGTACCAGTGCTGCGTACAGAGTTTTCCGTGTTACTGACTTCGTTTACAGCGAAAAGGTTACCGACAGCACTCCCATACCGCCGGCCGACTGGGACGCGCTCATTGGGCAAATTGCCAAGGAGATTATGGATGAGCATACGCCGGCTCGGATCCTGCAGGTTCGATCGAAGCTATACGACCTCCTGACACATTGCATTCCGCCTACCATAATCCTTAAGACGCTCACATTCAAGCTGCTGGGTATGATTGATGATGGACTCAAGGGTGAAGTGGTTCGGTGGTCCGCGTTCTACGAGCACCGCATCAAGACCGGAACAAAGGTGATTTTCCATCTGGAGGCGTTTGTGGCCAAGTTCATGAGAATCCTGGAAATGTACTTGATGAGTATGGATATGTGAGCACAGCGCGTAGCCACCTGGTAATTCGGCGTTTAGGTGTCTGATGATGAAATCAAATCTTGTAAATTTCCGTTCTTAATTGTTTGGCGCTCTGCTATGCTAATTGATCTTCTTGTCATATCCCATGCTAGATGTGATACTTTCTATCACGCACCGCCGTATGATCCAGCAACTTCGCTTCCAGTACGAGGAAAATTGTCATAGGAATATGAGCGGAACTCTATGTATACTGTGTACGGTATGCTGTGTACGGTATGCTGTATACGGTATGCTAGTCGTAGAATATGGGCCATCTATACAGAGTTGTCCGCAATCCACTTCAGGAACGAGCTGACCTTGGTGAAAACATCGGGATAGCCCTGGACACACGGAACGCCAAAAGATACCAGGCCGACCAGTTCCGTCTTGTTATTCTTATCGATCAGGACGAGGGGGCCGCCCGAGTCGCCCTGGCAGGTTCCGCGGTCGTCAGCCTTTGTGCAGACGTGGTTCTTGGTGATGTTTCTTTTGTTGTAGTTAAACCACCTGTCCCTACAGGCGGCCGCGCTGGTTGTTTCGATATTCACGACCGATAGCTCCGAAGGCCTGGCGGTCCCTGGCCAGCTGGTGTAGCCCCAGCCGTAGGCCGAGACGTTGGTGCCGGCCTTGATATCCTGCTTCCGAAACAGGGCGATAGGCTTGATGGCATCGGTAAACTCAAAGGGCTCGCTGAGTTTGAGCAGGGCGATGTCGTTGATTTGCTTAATCGAGTCAAAGTCGGGGTTGGTGATGCCCTTGGAGACGTTGCGCTCGACGCCGCCCTCCTTGAGCGAGTTGGAGCCGGCGACGACGGTGAGCGATCTGGGAACAAAGTTCATCAGGCAGTGGCCCGCAGTAAGAACGTAATATTTGCTGATGAGACTGCCACCGCATTGGTGCGCACCGTCTTTCCGAATGCTGATCATGTATGGCGCGGCGCCTTTGCCAGCGAGCTGGCCACCGATAATGCTGGGCATGGCGCAGGAGAGCTCAGCGCCGAGAACGGCGACGTAGAGGGATAATGCGAACTTCATCTTCTCTTTTAGGTGTACGAGCAAAGTGAAGATGGATGTAATGGATGGTTTGCCGACACGATGACCTGGTTGGGCGAATGACGGATGCAGAAGCTGCAGAGGTGGCAAGTACGGGCTGACGGGTGTCGACGAAGCAACGCGGCAACAAAGCGAAATACTCGACGGGGATCATCCATCCCTTTTATGAATTATGATCTCATAGATCGACAGGGGCCGTAAATGGAGGTCGCGTACAATTATGGATCTCAATAGTCACTTGAACAGGTTCGTTCCTGTGTCTCACTCTGCTACATATTAGTTTACTGATTCCCGCCCTGTTTTCTCACGTAGCATTGTTGAGGGACACATGTTGAACGAGACCCCACAAATTGTCAGACGATTCGTATTGCGCTGGAAATCATGCTGCATTGCTGCTCAGATCGGCATGCACAAGAGAGGATTCTTCGTAATGTTGCATTCGCTAGGAGAAGATGCCCTGCTGCTACCAATCGATTCTAATAATAAGGCGAGTCATGACAGAGATAATAGCGGTAATTAGCGGATATAGAAGAAGAAGATAGGATAATTAGAAAAAGCTAGGTAAAAAGAGAGCGTTGAAAGGTAATGTTCATCTCCCTCCACAAAGTAGAATCGGACTAACATCTTCCTCCCTTTACACCTTTCAGTATTATTCTACAATAACGCCCACTCTGCCTGAGACAGAAAGTTACTAGTAGTCAATACTGCAATAAGATTCCCTATGACATAAAATAGTGCACGGTGATCCCGATCACAAGATCGCCCCTACAGCAGTTATCGCAATAGTTATCTTTGACCTCGTTACAATAGCATCGGCGCTAGTGTTGAGTCATCGGCTGAATATCATCAACGCAGCAGAACTTCATTGTTGCATCAAACTGCAATAGATCCCCTCAGAAAATACCCGTATAATAGCAGCGGTCACTGCCAGCTCTGAACAGTCAACGCGATGGAGTCTCCCGTCTTCGAAGTAGTAAGATCCGTCCCATTGCTGCTTGGGATGCCACGCGCCACTTACACGAAGGACTAACAAGAACAGATTCGGTCCAATCTCTCCCGACCCCCCAATGACCAACGACCAGTCGTTCTTATGACATGCGCCATTGCGGGTATGCCAACACGATGCTCGGCAAACCCGCAAGACCTGTGCACTAACTTTTGGGTAGGCGCCGGCAAGAGCACTTTGGCCAAGACGGTGATTGCGAAACTACCCAATTTTGTGCGCTTCTCTGCCGACAAAATTGTTCGTGACAAGTACGGTCTCTATGGCATTGACTTTGCCCGCGACAAGCACGCCGGATACCTGGAGGAGGCGCAGGTGCGGATCAAGACGGACCTGGCCGCGCTCATCAGAGATGGGACGAATGACGCGGTGCTCGACCTCTCGTTCTACGACAAGGAATACCGCGACGAGTATAAAGCGATTATAGAAGACGCCGGTGGGCGCTGGGTTCTTGTCTTCTTGGATGCCGAGAAGGACCTTCTCTGGCGTCGCATCCAGGATCGGCGTGCCGCACGAGACAAGATCCCGGTTGAGAGCGGCGCGAGGGACGGCGATTCGGCTTATGACATTGAACCGGCGACTTTTGAGATGTATTGGGGGGGATTCGAGCCTCCGGTTGGAGAGGGAGAGATCAGAGTCGTGGTGTCCTAAGTAGGGGTGTGGCATGTTCTTGATGAGGGAGACACGCTCTGCCAAATGAAAAGGGGCATGAATACAAGTACTTGAAATACTGACTTGTGGAAAATTCCTCTCATTTTCATCTTGTTGCGGGGTTTTTTCTTCTTCTTTATTTTTGCGATGACGGTGTCGTGTGACGCGCTGTGGGCGAAATCCAACCTGTAAATGACTCTAGGGTAGGCTGCAAAAGAGCCGAGGTAGCTCTCTCTCCATGTTAATGCTGGGAGCACGCAAGACACAACATCGCAGCGCCCTACCATATCTCAGCAAACACAATCCCGCCCAAAGCAAACCAACCCCTCCGCATCAATGGCCACAGAAATCACAGAGCGCCCCGAGCCGGGCCAAAAGACGGCGCTCATCACCGGCGCCGGCATCGGCGGCATCGGCGGCGCGCTGGCGACGGAGCTGCACCGCCAGGGCTACTTTGTCTTTTGCGCGGTGCGGCGCCCCGAGAGCATCACGGCGCTGCTCCGCCCGGGCATGGTCGTGGTGCCGCTCGAGGTGACGGACACGGCGTCGGTGGAGGCGGCGGCGGCGCGTGTCGCAGCCGTGCTCGACGGCCGTGGGCTCGACGTGCTCGTCAACAACGCCGGCGTCGTCAAGCACCGGCCCGCGCTCGACTCGGACATTGACGGCGACGTCCGCCACCTGTTTGACGTCAACGTGCTGGGGCCCATGCGCGTCGTCAAGGCGTTTGCGGCGCGCCTCGTGGCTGCTCGCGGCTGCATCGTCAACATTGGCAGCGTCGCGCCCATTGTGCCCCTCGCGTTTTCCACCTCGTACAATGCCACAAAGGCCGCGCTGCACGCGTACGGCGACACGCTGAGCATGGAGATGAAGCCGTTTGGGTACGCTCTCGCTCAAGACAGAGCCCCCCCCCCCCCCTCCTCCCCAAGAGCAATGCTTTAGAGTGCTACTAACGCTGTTTGATAGTGTCGACGTCGTGACCGTCGTAACCGGCGGTGTCAAGAGCAATATCGGTACGTGACTGATTTGGTGTCCCATCAGTATCATGCACTCAACTTACCTTGTCTGAAATGGATAGTTCGCGGGAACCCAAGCCTTCCTGCGGACTCGCTGTACATGCCCATTGAATCGTTTTGGCGCCATCGCACGCAAATGTCAAACGGCGACGAGTCCATGGCCACCGATGCCTACGCGCGCACCGTCGTGCGCATGATCCAGGCCAAGAAGCGGCCGCTCTGGTTCTGGGCCGGCGCAAAGTCCACCTTGATCTGGTTCCTGTACAACTTTGTGCCTAAGCGCCTGCGTCTATACATCATGGCCAGGCGATTTGGCCTGCTCAGTCTCGGTCAGCAGCTGGCCAAGTAGAAGCAGGGAACCAGAGCCATGAGAGCATGATATGACGAGGTATTTGTTTTTGAGTATTTGACTTGGCAGACATTGTTGCTTCGCGCGTTTAATATTAGTTTAGACTGCATTCTCGCCAACGTGGGCATATTCACCCCAGCTGGTCAATCTGACGGTGGCTCTTGTTGGTATTATTGGCCGCCGAGGCAGTTATGAAACCTGATTACAGTCCAGAGAAGAATGTGTCAAATATAATGGAGAATAATCATGTATTTGAAGAATCCATCCCAGATCATTCGTTTTAGTCTACACATAGCCAAAAACCATGACTTTAATCAATATCAACATCCCCATACAAAAACTCTATAAAACCTTACGTCTGCAGCTGTTTGCCGTTATTATTCCGCAGACGCCCTCGCCAGTGCCTCGTGCAGATGCGGCGGGAAGCGGTACCGCAACTGGCTAGTGTACGTCGTCAAGTCGAGCGTCAACTGCTTGAGCTGGTCCACCATCAATTTGCGCGTGCCCTCGTTGCCGCTAAACTGGCCGTTGGTGAGCTGCTCGCGCTGGCGCACACAACAAAGGACGGTCCACATCAACAGATTCGGCACGTTGATGGAAACGGGCTGTGGCATGGCCGAAAATTTGGCGGCGTAAGCGCGAATGGTGCTGGCATCGCCACCAGCATCCAGTGGCAGAATCTCGAGACCACGGATTTTCTACCTCGAGTTAGCAGTGATTGGCAAACTCCGGAATGAGAGGAACTTACATCAAGACATTGCGCCCACTGACCGGTCTCTACAAGATTCTTGATAGTGCTCATCTCCAACAAGACTCGGCAGGCCATCTTATTATGGTCCTGAATCTTGCGGAAGAACATGGCATCGCGTTCGTACATCCGCATCATTGTCTTAGCAAGCTCGATAGGATCGTCAATGGCAGCCAAGCTCAGACTGGTTCCTTGCTGGGCATCCGCATCGCTGTCGCCAGCTCGGGGCTTGATGGGCATCAAGCGCATAGGATCTTCACCAATTTCAAGAGAGATAGCTTCGCTAATAGCGCGGCTAACAATCGCAACAACAGCATCGTACTCGCCAGCGAGGTGATACAGCAGTACGGAATCGGTAGTTCTCCCGTTCTCGTCAGCAAAGCTTGCAGCTTGCAGCGTGACAGTGTTGATAAAGTCGTCCTCGTCGCCCAGACCAATAAGAGGACCGCGAATTTCAATGATACCTTGGATGCGCTGGCCGTCGGGGCGAATGTCTCCAATGAGCTTGCTGAATTCACGCGTCTCCAGTACTAGCTCACGCAAGGCTTCGTGGCATAGGCTGCTCTGTCTTCGACCAGCCTCCCCGCCTAGGTCTTGGTTAAGGCAGATCAATGTCAGATAGTCAACAGCTGAGGCAACATCGGCGGCGCGGAAGTCACGAGTATAGTATCCGATCATCCTACCAAAGTTGATTTGAGGTAGGCCCTTGCTGCTGTGGCTGCGGAGATCATTCGGTGACGACATTGCGTCACTGGGCCTCAACAGACCGTAATACTCCAGGGCGAGACCAAAGTGAACAGCGTCGACGTAGGAGAAGGAGTAGAGGTAGCCGATGGCATCTTCAAACATGCCCGCAAGAATCTGAAGATAGAAGAACATTCCAAAACTGCCGCTGTTGTTGTCGTCGGAGACAGTCTTGGGGAAGTGCTTAAGACCAATCTCCCGAATGCTGATTTGCAGCTCTGCGAGACCATACGACTCGCCTGCCATTTCCACACTCTTGTCGCCTTCGCGGGCGAGGTTGAACTGCAGCCAGATCCAGTCATTGATGTCAGTATTGAAACCATTCAGATCGCGGTTGGCTAGTTCAATTCGGCCAATGACTTTGTAACAAGCCATGCGGAACGGATCGATGGAGTTGTCTGGAGCATTGCGGTATCGCTGGACGTATTCGTTTGTACAACGCTCGAGCAGCTTTCTGTTGGTAATTCTGCGATCTTCGCTGGCAGCGTAGTTGTTGAGATATGTCGAGAATGTCCTGTCAATTCCTCTAAAGTGATTGCTGTTGTCATTGACATATTTCGCGGCTTCGCTGACGTTGCCGGACCGCAGCAGGTAGAAGACAATCGCCCATACAAACTCGCCCTGGACCTGTTGCAATTCAGTATTGTCGGGCACCAAGTCTTTTCTTGCTGAGCGAAGGCGGATGTATGCCTTGATCTTGCTTGTGATATCTGGGAGACCGCCGAGTTTGGCTTCGTGAGGATGCTTCAGAATGAGGCTTTCGACCTGTCGAATGAACTGCTTTTCTAAAAATGTGTTTGCGCCACCCAGAATCCTCTTCTTCATTTCGACGGCTTGAGGAGAGTTGACATTCTCGTCCAGATACATGCCAGCAAAGTGGCGCTCCTTTGTCGCGCTGTAGCCGAGAGGCGCATTGGCAGGTTCCTCGCCAACAATCTCAATCATGGCTCGGTACGCCTCAACGACATGAGACGCATGCGGTTCATGTGATTTCTCTTCAATCCGGCAGAGTTCGTGCAGAATGGGGTATGGGCGGTTGTCTAATCGGTACATGTTCAAGTTGCGAACCTTATCGGAGAGCTTCAGCTGTCTCTCACGCATGGCGCGGTCTTCCACCCCACCCTTCTTTTTGACTTCTGCTGATGGGTCGACATCTGTGAATTCGGACTCATGCATTCCGATGCGACTCGGAGCACCAATGACGGAGCGATGTAAATTGGAGTTTCCAAGGACGGAACCACGAGCCGTCTTGCCAGTGCCGCTCTGGTTTTTGCTTCGTCGCGAGCGGCCAAACCCTGCTTGGCTTTCGCGACCAGCAGTTCCAGTCTCGCGAGGAGTGATGCCAAAGTGGTCATATATTCGCTTGCGTTGCGCATCCCACTCTAGAGCAACATTGTCCTCGAGAAAGTTGTCAAAATCGCGAACCGATCGGTCCAAGCCGTCTGAAATCATGCTAAGGGTTGTCTTAGTTTGCAGGTTCGAGAGGTAAGTTTCGACATCGATTTCGTTTGGAGCATAACCGCCAGTCGCGGCGCGTTCGCCGCGTCCCTGCACATCCAAAAATCCCAAGTCCTTGGCAGTAGCACCGGGGTTGACACCTGCCGCAGCAAGCAGGTAGTGTGCTTTGCCCTCGAGGGGCTTCTCATTCGGCTTAGACTGTAGTTTTCGTAGACGGTGGCGGAGATCGCCAAGGCCCAGCTCGAGGCTCGGGAGATCCTCCATATTGGAAGTATTCTGGCCAGTCTTTTGCGTCTTGGCAAAGAGAGTGTCGAAGTAGGCGCCCGCGGGCAGCGATGACGCGGTCCCTGAACTTTGCGTGTTGCTCTGCGGCTGATTGGCGAACAAACTGCCGCCAAACGTAGATGCGGCCGGCTGCTGTTGGCTAGCAAAGACGTTCGCGCCGCCTAGTTGAGCGGTTTGTGTCGGTTGGCCAAAAAAGCCACCGCCTGTTGTCCCAGCTTGCTGTGTTTGGTTCTGCGCGTTTTGACCGAAGACGTTTTGACCAAATAGGCCACCCGTCGTGCCGGCCTGTGGCGTCTGGTTCTGCGCAGCCTGTCCAAAGACGCTACCAGCGGTTCCGGCAGCGTTTTGCGTGTTCTGGCCAAAGACGCTGCCGGCCTGTGGCGTCTGGTTCTGCGCAGCCTGTCCAAAGACGCTACCAGCGGTTCCTGCAGCGGTCTGCGTGTTCTGGCCAAAGACGCTGCCGGCGTTTCCAGTGGCGTTTTGCGTGTTTTGGCCGAAGACGCTGCCGGCGTTTCCAGTAGCGGCCTGCGTGTTCTGGCCAAAGACGCTGCCGGCGTTTCCAGTAGTGTTTTGCGTGTTTTGGCCAAAGACGCTGCCGGCGTTTCCAGAAGCGGCCTGCGTGTTCTGGCCAAACACGCTGCCCGCGTTTCCAGCAGCGGCCTGCGTGTTCTGACCAAACACGCTGCCCGCCGACGTCGCATTGCCCTGCTGCTGGTTCTGATTATTCTGAGCAAAGATCGAGTTGCCGCCCGTGGCGCCACCTCCGCCAAAGAGGGACATGTTTGATTTTGCCGTGTGCGAATGTTCGGTTCGAAGGGGGGGGAGGGAGCTTCGAGGTCAACAAAAAACCTGGGCGGTGGTAGAAGGGTGATTGGCGCGGCGGAAGAAGCTAACACACGTCGGGTGGAAGCAAATCGCGTCCTTTGTCTGCGTGCGCAATAGATTGACCTTGATGTATGCCCGGCTTGACGTGTCGATGATTGAAGACTGGAAGCGCCGTCGCGTTGGTGTTGCTGGTGCTGCTTTGCTCAAGAATTTTGGCGTTTGGTTGCTGGCCAGGCACGGGGAGCTTGGGCCAATCAGACCGGCTTACGGGGCATGGGTGGGGCCTCCATGAACCAACGTGAATAACGGCTTGCCTCACAGATGTCTAGAGATGAATTGATCATTATAAATCTTAAGTATTTTCTGCTTGAATTTTGAAATCAGTTACAAAGTACCGTTTTGACGCTGCTGTAGTGGGAGTCCGAATGAGGATGACCGCGGCCGAACTCACCGCGTATTGGCAACGAACAGTGGACACTGAAATCCATCCCAAGGAACAAGTCACGATAGAAAAAAAAGAATAATTAACAGGCGAGGTAGCTACACTCTCAACCTTTCTTTTCGTATCGAATGGTGTGCTTCTGCCCTTCACCAACCAGTAATTCATACTATTCTATATTATTTATCTGTAGATGTCTGTGTCAAGATTTTGACAAGGGTCGTTTCTAAGTTATGATTCGTCTATGCGTCGTCACCAAACTCCTTCTTCCACTGAGAAGTGGCGGCATCCACCTTTTTGCGGTAGGTTTGCTGAGTGTTGCACATCTCAAGATAAATTTCGTATTTGGCGTCGAGCATCGCCAATTCGCCGCCGTCAGTGCCTGGATCGACCAAACGACCGCGCTTGCTCATACGGTCCATGATGCTCCAAAGCGACTCAGGCTCGCGGCCTTGTTCGTTGTGACTGGCAGCCTTGGCACCCAGCATGGCAGCGCCGTGTACGACGGCGGCGTGCACATAACGGGGAATGAGAACTGGCATTCTGCAGACGGTGGCCATCAGGTTCATCAAGATTGGATTTTGGCACTGCGAGCCTGACATGAAGATGGAAGATATCTCGTGGCCAGACTTGTTCATCTGCTCGATGATCTGGCGCGTTTGGAAGGCGATGAACTCCATGGTAGCATAGTACCAGAGAGCCAGATTGTCTGTGCTCTTATCGCTGTCGAGTCCAATCATGACACCCTTCATGGTAGGGTCTGCAATGGGAGATCGGTTGCCCCACAGATCACCATAGAAGAAGTGGTGGCGCCCGAGATACGACACGGCCGGCGCATTGTTCTTCTCGGCCATGTATTCGAGGTGGGCGTTGAGCCAGTCATAAATGTGCTTGTCTTCGGCCTTGGCCAGAGCTTGCGTCGCATTAAAGGCTGGGTGGATGTCTAGCATGTGTCGGAGCAGCTCGCCAGTCGCAGACTGGCCTCCCTCGGCCATCCAATACTCTGGTAGCAGCACGTCACGGTAGGGACCCCAAACGCCGGGAACAAAAACGGGGTTCTTGGACATGGCAAGATGGCAGGTCGAGGTACCTGCGACAGCGGCAAGTCGGGTGAAGGCCTGGGATAGGTCGTTGTGTGGGACGTTGGCGTTGAGTTCGTCATCACCAAGGTCAACTTTGGCGCCGACAGTTCCGATCCAACCAGCGTAAGCATCAATAACACCGCTACCAACAGCTATCCCCTGGGGCAAACCAAGCTGGTAGGCAGCTTGCTTGCTCAAGGTTCCGACGCATTCACCAGCACTGGCGTATTTTCCATTCTGTGAAACGGATTCGTTAGCTTCGGGTCTCATATCCTCCGACTGACGGATTTGTGTCCGATTTGAGGTTGGGCAAATCAACGTGATTGGGAAGTAAAAGAGCGGCTCACCACCTTATCGACGCCTCCCATGCGTTTGAAGTCATCTTCAACAAGGTCACTGAGGCCGATGGCATCATAGAAGTCCTCCTGCCAACCTTTGACGCTGCCATCCACACCGACTGGTACGAATCCTTGCTTGCAGACGGTGCTGCAGAAGCTGCGGCTCTCGTTTCCGGTAGCAATGTGGGTGAGAGCATCGCCAAGATCGTAAAATTTGGAGCGAGCAAACAGCTCTGGGGGCATGTTGTTCTTGAGCCAGAGAATCTTGGGGATCTCCATCTCGATACTCATCTTGCCTCCGACGTATTTGAGGAGGTTATGGCCAGTGTTGTTGATCAGGTCGGTCTCTTGGACGGGTCTGTGATCGAGCCATAGTATAACGTTTCGGTCATTGCCATCATTCTTGAAGTCGGGGCCAGTGACGGCAATTGGCTCGTCGGTGTCGGTCGAGAAGACGGCTAGTGAGCAGGTGGCGTCAAAGCCCATTCCCTTGATGGAGCTGGGGTCGACCTGTGACTCGCTGACCACCTTGCGGACACATTCGCAAATGCACTGCCAAATGTCTGTGGTTGATTGCTCCTGTTCTCGAACTTGTCAGTCTGTGACGCTGGTAGCTGAGATGGCGCGACGTACGTAGTAGCCAGTCTCAGGCTGCCACAGCTTTATGTCTTGAGCAGCGAGGGCTTTGATGTCACCAGACTCGTCAATGACGCAGGCACGGGCAGAGCCCGTTCCAACATCAATACCAATGTAATGGTCCTAGAGTAGAATTGTCAATGCGATGTAGTGATTGAGATGATATGAGAGACTGTCAATGGCGGGGTGATGCGCCGAGTAGCGGAGCGTCGGGGGAGGGGCGTAAGCTCTGAGGGTATCTTACCAGCTTAGCTGGAGGTCTATCGCGGTGAAGTCAGCGTCGATGTTGCAATTGGATGTTTACTTAATCCCGCGACCAAAGTTCGGAGGAAATTTTCAGGACAGAAGGGCGGATGGCTGCAAGACGTACTCCATTGGGTTGATGGGCTTGTTGTAGGCGTACATGGCGGCCGCCTCGGAGCAATGCGAGCTAGCTTGTCGATCCGTGAATTGTGCTGTTACTGAGGTGCCGCGAGTTGAATTTAGAAGGAGAGAAAAGCTGTTGAAGGTAGAGGAATCGACCAAGCCCACACAAGATTCGAGAAACGGCGAAGTGGGAGGAAATACAAATTCGGGGACTGTGGCGGGATCGGAGGGGGAGCGACGAGGTTTGGCGGGGAACTGGGGGCGTGTGTATAAGAAGGATGCTGACAGGACACTGAGTACCTACCTACCTACCTGTAGGAGGTTGAGAATGGGACTGTAAGTGGCGCTTTGAGCCACTAACCTACCTGTAGGTACCTATGCTGAGAATGGGATGAGAGCCACTGTAAGTGGCGCTTTGAGCCACTAACAGCGCCGGGGAACTCGGCGACGGCGAGCGAGAGAGTCGAGAGGGTGGGTGTCTTTAATAATTATTAAGCGGCGACTTTAGCGGGTGCAGGTAGAGATTCAGGGCACATTCCGTGCCGCTAGCGGGCATTTACAGCGCCAACCGCATCATCAACTGGCAATGATAGTGGTCACCCCGCTGTATCTTCCCCGCTATGAGATCAATTCCGGGGCACCTCCGGTTTTCCGGAGCCTGCTCAAGGTCTGGGACAATTGGGCTTGATTGATCTTGTGCGTTTTGACCAAAGGGATGGGCTTTCTTTCCGGCCGGACTGAAAGGTTTTTTCGGTGGCAAAATTGTGATCCGCACTATTGGATAGCGACACGCCGGTACTCGACAGTCTCGCGCGGCCTGTGAGGATAAGAAGTCGAGTCACCAGCATTAGGAGATGCCGAGGAAAAAGAGCAAAAAGAGATAAATAGCAGTGCTGAAATCATCAGTAGAAAATGGATTCTACTGCCTGAGTCTGTTATCAGCTTCAAGCAAGACAAACATTTTACAATACATGGATCTAATTAACGCCATTTCCAGCTTGGTAATAAAATAAACTACAGGAATATACCTAAAACTATAGCTTTATAGGTTCATCTCCTTTATTCCTCTAGTCTTCTTTATTCCTTTTATCTGATTTCGTGCCTATATTCTTTATCCCTGTCTTGATCTTGGCTAGTACACTTTCTTGCCGCCAGCAAGGCGCTCGTTTTCTGCATACCGAGGATGCGACTAGAAAAATACATACCAGAAAGGGGCCTGAAAACAAATCATGTCAACCGGGCGGTGAAGTCTACTGTAACTATTGATGTATACCTAATTCGAATACGTACAGCCTGGCGTCCATGATCCCGAGACATTATGCAGAGCCGCCGACGTGCTTGGCAAGCGCCAAGCCTATCTTCAGAAGAACCAAAATTGTAAGACTCGCAAGGTTAGTGCTTTTAAATATGCCTTGCATTGTTGGGAAAAATTGTCCTTAGCAACTGCTGCCGTTTCTTTAGGCCTGGGCTGCGATTGATGTGCATCCTCCTCAATCTGGTCGCATGTGGCTGGCGTCAAGTATTACCTCGTCCCACTCCTACCAATTCATGCGATACAAGACGCATACATGTGCATATTACAAGGAAGGCCTTTTCACTTGCAGATATGGCGGGCTAATTAGATTCAGCTTCTTGGCTGCTTGTTCCAAGGCGTGCATATTTCGAGCTGCTGCGGTAAACGCCGCAGCTATGGATGCGCAGCCACTATAAGAGCGTCGAGCCCATGAGGGTTCCATGGCGCTCGACCTGAGCATCAACTTCTGTTCTATACCTCTTTGAATCGTTGTATTCCATATCTCACAACAAGTCACCATGCCAGGCCCGATCCCACTTCGTATGCAGCAAGTGCATCTTGGTCGCGGCCCCCTCGGCCATTTGGCCGTCAATCCGAGTCAAGATACGCCAGAAACTGTTTACGCAAGTGAACATGAGAAGCATGAGTCCATTCTACTCGAGAGATGCCCTGCCGACATCTGGCCCGGAGGCACATCTTACACTTACGGCTGCCCGCGACCAATCCTCATGTACAAGCGCCATCACAATCAATTAGTGCTGTTTCATGAGTCCATCATCATTGCCATTGTGGACATTGTCAAAAGGTGGTTTACAGATGGAGACGCGAGATTCCCGGAGAGGATGCCCCTTCTGAAAGACGAAGAAGAACTCTTGCAGGTAGGCAATATATACGTTTCTTGACTGATAGAGCTCAGGGAGACTCTGACAAATACCAGTGGTTGGACACGCAAGTCGCAGAGGGTAACCTCGCGCCTTACTCTACAGAAACTCTTGGATCTTGGAGGCCCGATTTTCTGGTTGAAGACGACAATGGTGACGAGAACTTCCGTCTCACAGAGATAAATGCCCGATTTTGCTTCAATGGCTTCATGCATGGAAGCTACGGACAGACGGCGCTTGACAGCATGGGCATGGAGAAGTCAGGGCTCGTTGGTGCCGCAGATGGAGCAGAGGTACGGTAACCAGTCGTGCGGTACTGCCGTGCATGATATACTTACTGACTGACATTAGTTTGTTAACGGACTCTTCCGTCTCTTTCGGAATGACCGTCCTCTTTATTTGCTGAAAGGTGAAGAAAAGGGAATTGACATTGGCATGTTCATACATGCTGTTCAGCTCCGGCTCGGCGTCACCCCACGCCTGATTACCCCCGACGACTTGCGACTTATTCCCGACCCTGAGGATCCGAGACGCACCATGCTCTGCTGCTTGGTGAAGTCATCCGCCAAGAGCTCATCGACGCTGAAGACGCCGAGCGGGGAGGTGGTGGAAAAGATCGACCAGGTTGGGCTGGAGCTTCAGCAACGAGAGCTCGCGGCCCTAGACCGGGACATGATGCGCCACATCAGCCTGCGCTGCTTCAACGACATGCGGACAATCCTGCTCGTCCACGACAAGCGCATGTTGGGCATCATCCAGCAGGAGCTGCCGTCCCTGGTGCGGCGTGGCGTGCTTTCGGTGGAGCAGGCGCAGGCGCTGGCCAAGGGCATCGCCGACACGGCGCTGCCCGGCTCGCGGTACATGCAGGAGCTGCTGCACCAGTCGCAAGCCGACCCGGGCCTGAAGGACGGATACCTGCTCAAGCCCGTCCGCGGAGGCAAGGGGGCGGGCATCGTGTTTGGCGAGGACCTCGACGCCGACGAGTGGCTGGCCGCGCTGCGCGACCTGCAGAGCCCCAGACTGGATCCTGCCGGCGCGAGCCTGGTGGCCCAGCGCAGGGTGGTGCAGCACGACTATGAGCTGGTGCTGAAGCGGTGCGGCAAGGTCTTCTCCCAGCCTCTGGTCGGAACGTACCACACCGTCCACGGCGCATACCTCGGGATTGGGACGTGGCGCAGCAGTGGTGGCCGCATCTGCGCGGTGAGCAGCGGAGGTGCCTGGATCTGCTCCGTGATGAGCCCTGATTAAATTTGGGCTGACAAGTAGTGAGACTGGTGAAAACTTTCAGCTGTATGATAAAACTGAATACTGATAGTGTCGGTGCTACTCTGCGGAACCTCGGTGTAAGTGGTGAGCGACTCAGCGACGCACTGACTTGAAGGTGTATACTAAGCGAGCTATTAAAGCCCAGCCCGGATTTCTGCAGACCTGCATATGTACTAGTCAGAATTTTAAATTAGGACAAGCTTATCATGCGATCGAATCGGCCTTGGTTCTTGTGCGGCTGGCATTCGTGGGGGGGATGGGATCGGCACCAGGGACGCCATTCGCCTAATGCACTAAAATCGCGACATGGAAAACGTCTTGGAATAATCTCCCGGCGAGCTGCAAGATGGCATCGCACCATCGTCGGGACAGCACGGCAGTTGCCAAGTCTCTGCAAATTCCTGCAAATTTCTGCGCAAGCTAACAATGGCGTCAACATTGTGTCTCAAATCGCCAGCGCTTAGCAGACTATAAGAACACCGAAGCAGTCAATACTGGTATCAAAAATAAAAACAATATCGCTACCTTTGTTCTCTCAACTGTTACTTACAATCTTTCAATACTTCTTGAAAAAACAACCCACACACAAAAATGAAGGCCAACACCATTGCTGCCATCGTGGCCACCCTCATCGCCAGCGTCGCCGCTGCGCCCACCGAAAAGCGCGACCTGCCCCTTCTGGGCGGTCATTCCGGCCTCATCAAGGGCGTCGGCCCTCTTCTCGACAGCGTCGAGAGCCTCATTCCTGGCCTTGGCGGCTCCGGCAACGGACAGAGCGACGACACGGCCGGATCCCTCATCAGCGGCCTCGGCCTCGGCGGCCGTGATGCCAAGTCGCCCCTCTAAATACGACGACAACGCCTCGAGTCTTTCGCTTCATTATACGCTATAATCTGCAACGCGTTGTGGAATGGCAAGAAGGCCCATTCGCCGGTGGCCATGCATCTTGGGCTCGGATAGACAAGGTTTTCTTCCATGTATACTGTTGTCCATATTTTATTGAGATTAATACTCAACTTGGGGAAAGCTACATTCTCTCTCAATCTTATCTCTAATACATATCTGGCCATTCGCGCGGTGATACTCAAGTTGGCGAATAATTTGGAGCGGGATGATTGTAGGCTTCACATCCTGACCGGAACAGGAGCACCAGAGCAGACGACGAAGAGCAGGTGAAGCCCCAATATTTAAATCACTTCCAAGTCAACATGTACACAAGCCTAAAACAATGATGCAACATCTCCCTCATTGTGTTGCAGTCACATGTTGGCCAATATTTCCAGTTTCGGAGGTTTGTCCGGTTTCGTCCAGATGGTTGAACATGCATCACTCCACACAAGACAGCTGGGCCAATTTTTAGGCGACCAAACGAACGGCCCCTGAGATCTACAAAGAACAAGTCCAGCGAATCTCGGGCTTGCTTTATGCCGAGGCCGAGGTCAGTTTAGCCTGACGTCACAACAAGTGCGCGGCGGATCTCTTGCAAGCAACAGTCTGACAGAAGAATCCATTCGTTTACATGGCTGTCTAACCTGTCTACTGTCTGTTTCAAATTTCAGGTCAGCCGCTTCTAGTGCAGCATCTCAATCATACAGGCCAATAATTTCACCAACTATGCTGCGGTACAGACCTTTTGGGTCAAACTGGTCCTTGACGGCTTTGAAGCGAGCGAGATACTGTAAACGTTAGACCAAAGCCTTTGTCTTGGATACGAAGAATCGGATGTAACTTGCCGATTTATCAAGGTTCTTGACGGCGCGCTTGAACACATCTCGCGTGTTTTTGGTCCAGTGCGGGCGACAGGGGAACTCGTCAATCAAGATGTTGGCGAGTCGAATGTCTAGTACATTGTGTCAGCCTCAATTTCGGAAACCTTTTTGTAAATGACGACGTAATGGAATCGAGATGGAAATAATGTACAAATCGACTTACAGAAATCCTCGTTATACCGCTTGTGGTCGCCCACCACAGGGCGATAGGTCGGAAAGTCCAGCATGATGGCGCCTTTGCTCCAGTCCTGGCCGTCTGCCGTGCCGGTCGTGACCTGGCCCAAAAAGTCAAAATGGGGCTTGCCAAACTTGATGTTGATGCCGCTGCGATACGTGGCCGTCATCCAGATGTACTTTTTCTGCTCGTCGTCAAACAGCTGCCGGACACGCCTGAGCATCTCGTTGGCGCGGGTTACCGGGAACGCGAGCTCCAGCGTGTAGCTGTGCAGGCCGTAGTCCCACTCGGGCGTCTGCTTGGGGTAGAGCCCGCCGACGAGAACGTCGTGGTGGGATCCGTAGACGGGCCACGTGGTCATGGCCGCGTCCGTCTCCTTGTCGTGGAAGTTGGGCTTCTCCCAGCCATCGAAGAAGGCGGCCTCGGCAGCCCAGTTGGACCACTGCAGGTACTTGCCGCTGTCGAGGAGGCCGTGAGCGGCGGCCGCTTTGAGAGGAGTGACGGAAAAGGTCGACTGGAAGGCGTTCTGCGACGAGGTGTTGTCGGGGACGACGTCGTAGTAGCGCCAGTGGAACTTGCGCTTCCATGGCCACCACTGTTTTCTCTGGTTAGAAAAGGCCCCAGGACAAGTTTCAAGAGAACATACCCAGAAGTTGGCTGTCATGTAAGGGGCAATCATGCCATATATGTCGCCATCGAGCACATCCTTCTCGTCAAGACTATGGCTGGTCAGCTCCTGCACTCAGGTTTGGTCTGTTGGCATCACTCACGTTTTCTGCATGGCATAGACCTTGGTCTCGGCATGAACTTTCATCTCCAACCTGACTATAACGCCAAGAAGACCCAAGGACGTCGAGGCCGCCAGCCAGGCATCATCAGTCTCGTTCCTCTTCACGCGGCGCACCTCGCCCGAGCCGTCGACAATGTCCATGGCCAGCACACCACCCACAACAGCAGCATCCTCGCGGAGCGCGGTCCTGTGCGCGCCCATGGCCACGCTGCCCCCGAGCGAGACATTCCAGTTGACCAGGCCGGTGCCAATGTTGGCGCCGCGCTCGTGTAGGTAGTCGGCGAGCTGGAAGAATGTCACGCCGCCCTCGACGACGACGGTGCCCTCGCTGGCGCCCTTTTCGAGCGAAAAGTTGGAGATGCCGTTGAGATGCTCGGTGCGGATAATCATGGTCGCATCGTCGGAGCACTGCGTATCGTACCACATGTGGCCCTTGGCGCCGGCGCGCACCTGTAGGCCGCGAGAGGCGGCATCGCGAACCAGGGACTGCACCTGGGCGACGGAATACGCATCGTAGACCTCGCTGACGTTGTGGCAAGAAGGAAAACCCTCGCCGTCAAAAGTAAAGTACTCATAGGCTACAGAAGAGCTGATGCCCGCAACTAGGAGGGCTAAAGATTTTGCGTGAAGCATGGTGGCAGGAGTTGACTTGGTCCGTTTGGTATCATCGTGGAGATGCTACAGGGCAACATCTCCAATATATAGCAATCCCTTCTCCCTGTGATACATTCACTGGGTTGAAACAGGATTTCAATATTTCAGGATTCATTCTTTTCTGTCTTGGGCCAAGTCTGGATCTCGGGTAGCTTTGTTTGAGACTGCAACCTGTGTAGCTGCTGCTTTGGGAAGTTCTCCCGATCCTACCCTTCAGCGCCCGAGTGTGGTCCACAACCTCAATAATCGTCGAGGGACGTCATCTGAGACGTCTCGATCTTGGTAAATAGTATGGGATCAGCTGCAGTTGGGGGGGACTGTAGCGAAAACTATTGTGAGTCGAAGCATGTGCGGGTTGAGGGAGAGATCCATCACGGTAGAGTAAAAACCGAATGAGAAAAATCATCTTGAATTAGATGACGGTATTATTGGCTGCAATCTAAGGTATTATACGGGTATTCTCCCTAGCGAAGCGCAAAAATAATGAACATAAAAGAAGGCACCGAAAGACATCCAGCAACATCGTCGCATTTTCTTCATACATGGTACACTGAATGCTTCAGTCGCGACACGAGCTTTAAACAGAGACAGGCTTGGTCTCGGCCGGAGCCTCGATATCACGAGGGTGATTGGCGTAGTCATCCTCGCCAGAGAGCTCTTCCAGGGTCTTGCGGGCCGTCTCGGGAATGAGAAGAGTGGTGGCACAGCCGAGAAGCATGAAGAGAGCAAAGATTTCCAGAACGTGGTCGAGCCAAGGAGAGGCGTTGGTCTTGGTGGCACCACGGGTGCGGAGGCTTGCAATGGCACCCTGGCCGATGATGGAGCCGATCTTGCCCGATGCGGCAGAGATACCGTGCGAGGTGGAACGGTAGCGAGTCGGGAAGACCTCACCGGGGACAATGAAGGTGGTGGCGTTGGGGCCAAAGTTGAAGAAGAACTGGGCAATGACGTAGATGGCGAGGAGGCCATTGGGAGGGAGGTGGTGGTAGGCAAAGCCCATGACGATGAAGAGAATGGTGAGGATGATGAAGCCAGCCATCTGGATGGGACGACGACCGAGAGTATCAACCGTGGCAACCGTGACCCAGTAACCGGGGACGGCACCAGCAAGGACAATGATGACGTTGCCGACGGCGGTGTTGTAGAGAAGCTCGTACACATTCTTGACATGGCCGGAGGCGGTAGAGTAGCCAATAGCCTCGAGAATGGTGCCGTTGTTGAGGGAGAGACCGTAAAAGGCGACATCAAGGCAGAACCAAGAGCCAGCAGTTCCAAGAAGGAGGAGAAAGTTCTTGCGCTTGCTGTAGTGGCGGCAGAAGTCGCGGAAGCTGGCCTTGGGGACCTCGAGGCCCTTGTCAGCCTGCTTGTGGGCCTCGGCGCGGACTACCTGGTCGGTCTCGCCCTCGGACTTGCCGTTGATATAAGCCTTGACATCGTTATCGGCCTGCTCGACATCGCGAGCAACATCGAAGGTGTAACGGGGAGTCTCGGGGATGGTAAGACGGTCTATGAAGGGTCTGTCAGCAATCATGTCCTGTCCTTGGCGGTGGTGACTTTTCGTGTGTACGTACAGTAAAGGGCGATGCAGGCAGGAACAACACCGCATCCGATGAGGGTTCGCCACATCTTGTCGACAGCGACCTGGCAGTCACCGGTGCAGTGAGCGACGTCCTTGGCGCCCTCGAGAGCATTCTTGAAGCCGAGAGTGACGAAGAGCATGACAAGCGCAGCGCCGAGCTGGCCGAAACCCTGCATGGCAAAGACGGCACCCATCATGGCACCGCGCCACTTGGTGGTGGCGAACCTGGACCGTGTTAGTCGCGATAACCTCGACAAGACTCTCTCTCTCGCATCTCGGAGAAAGGCGCAGAACTGTAGGGAATAATGGGAGAAAACTTACTCAGAGGTAATAATGGAAGAGAGGGGGTAATCACCACCGATACCAATTCCCATGATGACCTAGTTTTTTTGAATTAGGATCGGACGCTGGCATGGTTGGTTGCGAAAGAGGGCGGAAAGGGCACTCACACGCCAGAAGATGATGAGGCCGACAATGTGGACAGCAGGACCGGCAGCAGTCAGGGACTGGGCAAGAGAAGCAAAGATGATGATGATGAGTTCCAGACCATACATGCGCTTACGGCCGACAATATCGGCCAGCGCACCAAAGCCAAGCTGACCAACGACGGTGCCGGCCGAGGTGGCCAGCTTGATGGCATTGTCCGACGAGGCGGGCATCTTGCCAGTGCCCGGGTAGTAGACGATACCCAGCATAATGGTCAGCATGGAGGCCGTGAAGATGTCGTACGAGTCAGTGAAGAAGCCGACACCGGCAACCACACAGGCGCGGACATGGTACCATCCAAAGGGGGCCTTGTCAATCTCGGCGAGAGCCAGTCGTCTGCGCTCATTCAACGACTCGACGTGGGCAAACTGGTTATTAAAGTTGGTGTATGCCGAGTTACCACCGGCCGTCTTGCCGAAGCTGGCGACGGTGGTGGTGTTGTTGTTGTCTTCGGAGCTCATTGTGTGTGTGGGCTGAGGACGACGATTGGCGTCAAAAGAGACTGAAGAAGAGCAGAGAAACGATCTGCCAAGTTTGCCAAGGTCGATTGCCAAGGTGCTAGTCTTGTACAAGTGGAAAAGAACAAGAAGAAAAAAGGAAGGGGGTGTGCCAGGGGATCTTCTTTATATCCAGCATGGACATTGGTGAGCTGAGGCACCGGCAGGGGGGGGGGGGGGGAGGGCAGCCTATCCTGATAGCCGGGTGGGCGGGCACGTCTGTAGCATGCCCATCAATCCAGCTGCCTGAATGGCTCGGAGCTGGAAAAGATGGCGCGCATGACCCATGCAGCTCTGGATCGCTCTAGGGAATTTTCGTCGTCTCTTGGAGCTTGTTCCCGGGGGATTGGGCGAGGGTTTGAAGAGGGAGTGGTGTGTGGGCTGGCTGTGAGAGGCATAGCGTGGCGAGGCGTCTAACTTGGTAATTTGGGGAGCAACAGTCCCGGTACAACGGGGAGTCGAGTCAAGAAAAAAATCCCGAAAAAATCTAATAGACCAAACGATGCGTTGCCGCAAAGCCAACCTCATGTAAGTGATGATGGTGTGTGTGTCGACGCTGGCGCCCCAAAGGGTTCTGCACTAAGAATACATTAAATGGGGGCAGCCCGCTAGCAAAATAAAGGACGAGATTGAGCCAGTGAGAGATCGGAAAGGCAACACGTTGCGGCGCCACCGCGTGCCGTCTTTCCCAGGGCCAGTCTTCTTGGTACGGGTCGGTAGCGAAAGAGGCTTCTTGGCAGCCGATTGGCCAAGAGATGCGTTTGCGGGGGGGAGAAGGGAGAAAGGACGCTGATGATGATGGTCTTTTTTTGTTGTTTGTTGGACAAAGGGGGAAAAATTGTTGGTATTTATTCAAAGGAGTTGTGCAACTTGTGAGTTGCCAGTGTTATCAGTGTTAGACAGTCTACGGAACAGGTTGTTGAGACAGCCGGCGTGATTCTTTCAGCGGTCATCTCCTCATTATTAATTCGTACAAATTTTTTGTTTCTCAAATGCACAGCTGCGACTAGCGCGTGTGCCTCATCGGAGCCTCGCTGATCCCAGGCCAAGCCCATTGGCCCTTTGCTCTGGACCCCCTTCCGTTTCAGGCCACCGAGTCGCTCAATAGTTCTCGACTGATTTGACTTTCGGTCGATGTCCTGGGTAATTGTAGAGTTGTATGCAGGTGCAAGTTGAGCGTGCTGCCTTGCCTCTTCCAAATCTGCCTGCTCTGTCTCACCATCCGTTCCCCGGTGCGCTCTCATCCTCCTCCTTCTCCTTGGTCCCCGTCCCGCCTCATTCTCCCTCTCAGCTTCCCAACTAGTTAATACCTACGAACTAGTTATTCTCCCCAAACCTTCTAGGCTGGTCTTACTTTCGGGTTACCCGGCCCCCCGCTTTCCCTCCTCCACATGCTGCAGTTCCTTCATGGGTCCTTGCTCAATCAAGTACTCCGTAATAATATGTACTCCTATGTACACACTCTCTCTGTACGGAGACAGATTACGAATTACAAGTTCAATATTTTGCTCACTCCACACTCCCACGTGGGCGACTGCCCGTCGCGGATTGCAGGCTTCGACTTCTTCAGCTCTGTGTCTGTCCTTAGCGACCGAGTAGACTCGGCCGGACTGCCGATTGTTCATGGCATCCGGCTGTCACTCTGTGAGCTTTTTTTTCTCTCGGGTTTTTTTTTACCAGTGTCGCGCGACTCACACCCGAGACGCACGAGCAGCCCGTACCCGACTTTTCTTCCTTGCAAGCTTTCACCTATTCCCCTCGTAATCACCATTCTTGGATCTTGCTACTGTCAGTCCTGCCAACTCACCTCGTCCACATTGCATCGCCAGTCTAGTTATTGACGCGCGCAGCATGTCGGCCACACAGACTCAGATGGCGCCGTCGAAGCCTGCCGCCGCCGCCGCCGCCGCTGCCAAGGAGGAGCCCGAGATTCCTCAGCTCACGTACGCCATCGCGCAGACGGCCCAGGAGAAGCGCGATGCTCTGCGCCTCGTCGCCGACACCATCGCGCAACAGCGCCAGGTCGCGTCCTCGACCATGATCTTCCACCCGGCTGTTCTGGGGCCCTTTGCGGCCCTGCTCGCCGGGGTCGCGTACCAAGGCCGCAGCGACTGGGCCGGCACCGTCATCCTCGTCTCGGGCATCATCGTCGCCTACCTAGCAGCCATACAGTACTACACCTACGGCTACGTGCAGCGCGCCGAGAACTTCAACTGGCACAGCTTCATCACGCCCGCGACCGACAAGCCCGCGCAGCAGGAGGACACGGTCATGTACGCCCGCTACGCCGACCACATCATCGCCACGCTCGTGCTGCGCCTGGACAAGGCCAAGAACCCGCACAAGACGGCCGCATCGCAGCAGCAGCGTGGAAACGGCTCGACGGCGCAGGTTCGCGCCTGGGCTACGCGCTTGCGCTACCGAGGCACAGGCGTCGGCGGTGACATGCTGCGCAATGCCGTAGGCCTTGCCCGCTCCTCACTGGGCCCCGCGGTTGTCGTTGAATTCAGCCATCCTCATGCGCACACTGTTGATACCACCAAGTACTTTACTGCACCCTTTGCGCGGCGCGAAAAGAGAGCGCGACAAGCCCTCGCGCAGGCCATCAAGGATGTCGACGCAGCGGCCAATCAATGACCGAAGCTATGCCATGTATTGTAATACCACAATTCATATAAATATATATGTATATACCATAATAAAGTGTACATTGAGCGCGCCATTCGTTTGCGTTGGTAGATACACATGAATCCACGTGCGTCGAGCAGCAAACAACCACCAATCAACAAAAATTGCCAACACCCCTACGACTGTGACAAACGAGACAATGCTTCAAGCAAGCAGCAACATGTCTCGTTTCAGCGAGCCTACATGGACCGTTAGCGCATGGCGCCAGGTGTGCCTCTTTGACCCCCCCGTCATGCAAATCCGATTGGCATGCCAGCCACAAACAAACCCACGATGCTCTTTGGCGTGCTTGGCTGCCGTCTTGGCCCGCCTTGGCTGCAGATGCTGGACCCTTAGCGTCGATGACGGGAACAAGGACATGACCGGGCCCCTTTGCTTCCATCTTTATGAAAGCAAGCGATTTGTTCGATATTGCGGTCAGTGCGACGTGGTAACGTGCCTGACGCAAGACCACAATGACGAGACCACAAGTCAATTGATCATGACTGGTTCCATCTTCATCTGGTCATGTTGCCTAGTATCCCTCCACATGGTAGAAACCACTGCCGCTCTGTTCAGAGACCAGCTGCTCCCAGTTCACCCACTGGTCCAGATCCATTTCAAATGACCCAAGATCTGGGAACTCGCCGAAGCACTCGGCATTGAGTGGCACTTCCTGCGTCTTCTCGGGGCCGGTATTCATAATACTCGTATTTCCAACTCCTTGCTCCTTTCTTGCCTTTGCTGGTGCAGCCATCTCCAGCTTTTCTCTCATCGCCCCGATATACGCCGGCTCCTCTGGTTCCGGCATGCCCTCTGCCTTCTTGGCCGCGACGTACCCGTCCCAGACCTCGAGCGTCCACTTGCTGAGGGCCTGGTAGACGGCCTGTGCCGACGCCTGTCCAAACGCGTCCGGATACTGCGAGAAGACGCGGCCGATGAGCGCCCACACCCTGTCCAGATCAGGGCTGCGCGTTCTGCGGCGCGCCTCAATCAGCACAAAGAGCATCTTGTCCCACAAGTACGTCGGGTTGAGGCGCCACGCAAACTTGCGCAGGGACCGGTTCTCGCCCACCATGGACGCGTACTCGAGCAGCTTGGCCGCGCTGGAAAAGGCCACGCCGCGCTCCGCCTCCGTCACCTGCCCGCCCGAGTCGGCGAACCGCCGCGGGTTGTGCGCAAAGAGGCGCGTGTTGCAGATGGCGGCGCGCATCATGCACGTCACCAGCACGTCGAGCGGCCGCGACGGGTCGCAGTAGCGCAGATATTTCGTCTCAAACTTGTCCTCCAGCTCGTCGATGAGCGCGTCCTTTTCTGCAGCGCTCATGTTGGAGGCGGTACCAATGTCGCCCCATGAGGCGGCCGACGTGCCGGCCATGCCTGACAGGCGTTGAAGCGACTTGGACAGCTCGCAGCGGACGAGGCACATGGTGATGGATGTGATGGCCTTGCGATCCTTTGGCACTTCTGTCATGGAGGGCTGCAGGTCTTCATCCTCGACGTTCCACGGTACCCCCGCGTCGCCGGTATGGATATCCAGCGACGGCTTCGCGCCTAACAAGTCGGAAGTGCGAAAGTCTAGGTGTGCAATGTACCACCACAAACGTCTTCTCATTTCTGTCTCGAAGAGCGACAGCCCGAGCAATGTTCCGTCACGGTGTAATCCCATCTTCTGGGCCAATCGTAGGGCAATACCGCATAGGATATGTTGAGACTCGTATGGCATGGTTCCACGCATCCCCATCTGACAGACATTTAGCACCAGTGCTCCAAGAGAGGTAAACTACGACCATGGCATACCATGAAAAGACAGAAAGCCCTCAGAGTCATGGGGCTGGACGTGCTGAGTAGCCGGGCCTGTCTGAGGGCATGTCTGGCAATAGCCCTGTACCTTGAGAACATTGTCCTTTTGCTCTCCTTGAACAGTGCCTCGCATTGCTTCTCGTCGACAACGCTAATGGTGGCAAAGTAGAAGCAGAAAATCACCGCTTCGATAGGTTTCGACACTTGTTCCTTGCGCTCTGCAGCGTCTCGCACAGACTCCCAGAACGTCGGAAGGTGGATAATCTTCATGAGCGGATCAACTCTGTCCATGTACACGTCCTTGAGCGCATACAGGCAGTGCAACGTGGGGTGGCAGTCGCGTAGGGAGCCGTTGAAACCACAGTTGAGAGAACTTGATCCTAGGAAGAGATCGGTTTCGTCCTCGTCATCGTCGCTAAGGGGGGTGAATTCGTCGGGGTGTCGAAACTGGTTCCCATCAGTGTCATGCTGAAAATGAAGCAGCCAACATATTTACCTCGCCGTTTGTGTCTGTCCACAAAGTACTGCTAGAGTCTAAATTAGCAACAATAAAACATGGCTCGTTGATATTTACACACTTGTCGTAGTATCGCGAGTTACCCTCCACGTTGACCACGTTCGGCCCTGACCCGTGTGTCCCGACCAACGCGGAGCGAAGCCCCATCGGCGGCGAAGCAGCCTCGGCCCTGGTCGTGGGCGTGGGCACTGAAAGGTTTGTTATCGATTCTGTAGCAGTATAGCTCTCAGATGCGCCGTCTTCTGAGATGGCGCGCGCCATGCTCCTTCGCTCCTCGACGCCGACCTCGAGACCCCGCGTCTTGAGCATGTCCTCATAGCGCCGCAGCTTGGCGTGCATCGTCTCTCGCACCGGCTTCGACCTCGTGCGCCTCCCGCGGACCGGCATCACATATTCGCACTCAACGTTGGCGCGTGCGCAGTTGCCGCACGGCTGGACGCGGTCGCACCGGACCTTGCGCTGCCGGCAAACGAGACACGAGAACAGAAACGTCTTGGCGCTGCCATCGGCGCTGGTTCTGGGGGTGTTTTCCGGAGCCATGGAGCTCGGAAAGAAATTCTCTTTTTCATCGCGATGGTGAGAATAATTTATTTTCGCAGTTCGGAGTTGCGCGCAGTACCCCGAGGCGGCGGATGCTGTTGGTGTAAGGTCGGGGCTCGGGGCCAATTCTTTCTTTCTGGGCCCCGAGGTCCAACCCCGAGCTGGCGCCACTCGTCAGCTTCACTTATAAGTGCCGGCGTTGACAAACATTTGTTTTGTTAAATTAGCAAGAATACTCTCCTCCAATCTCCTTTCTTATTTTAAGAAATAAACCTCCTGGACTACTACGTATTCTCTGTTCTTCCCGCAACAATGCCAACCGAATCAGCGCATGACCAAGAGAAACAACCAGGCGATGCAAAGCCAGTCGCCCAGCTGGTGCAATACCCGCCGGTGATTAAACGAATTCTCATAATGGTTGCATTATATCTCGCCTTATTCCTCGTTACTCTCGTCAGTATACGTGGTCAAAGTACCACCCATCATTACTCACCAGTGTATAGGACCAAAACATTGTCGCGACCGCGATCCCGCGCATCACCGACGAGTTCCACTCCATAAACGACATTGGCTGGTATGGCAGCGCCTACCTCCTTACTACTTGCAGCTTTCAGCTCCTCATGGGCAAGGTCTACAAGTACTACCCAGCAAAGCCCCTCTTCTTTGCAGGCGTCCTCTTGTTCGAGCTCGGTTCTGCAATTTGCGGCGCGGCCCCGAGCTCCGTTGTCTTCATTGTCGGTCGTGCCGTGGCCGGGTTGGGTGCTTCTGGTCTATTCTCTGGCCTCATGGTCATCATGTTTCATACCATTCCGCTCCAGCAGAGACCGCTCTGGCAGGGTGCCGCGGGAGCCCTGTTCGCCGTCGCCTCTGTCATTGGGCCGCTTGTCGGCGGAGCGTTGACCGACAACGTCACCTGGCGCTGGTGTTTCTATCTCAATCTTCCGATAGGAGCAGTGTCCCTTCTCGCCACGATATTCCTTGTCGACCTGCCGAGCCAGACGCTGGAGCCACGAGCAAAGACACTGGTCGGCAAGTTTCAGCAGCTTGATCCCCTTGGCAATCTCGCCTTCTTCCCCGGAATTATCTGTCTTGTCCTCGCATTGCAATGGGGCGGCACCAAATACTCTTGGAGCAATGCCAGAATTATCATTCTACTCGTTGTGTGCGTTGTCCTTGTCGGCGTCTTTGTCGCGGTTCAGGCTTGGAAAAAAGAAGGTGCAACTCTACCGCCTCGCATCATCAAACAGCGCAGCATCGCCGCCGCCATGTTCTTCTGTTTCTTCAACGGCGCCGGGATGATGGTACTTCTGTACTACCTCCCTCTCTGGTTTCAGGCCATTAAAGGCGCTTCGGCGGTGCAGTCTGGCCTCATGCTCCTACCCACCATCCTCTCCGTGGTCGTGGCGTCGATTGGCTCTGGCATCTTCATCTCCCGGGTCGGATACTACGCTCCCTTTTATGTCGCCAGTTCCATCTTGACGCCCATCGGGGCCGGTCTCATGTGCACATTTACCACTTCAACCAGTCAAGGCATGTGGATTGGCTCACAAATCGTCTTGGGCTTCGGTGCCGGTCTCGGTGTACAACAGCATCTAAATGTTGTGCAAACTGTGCTAGAGCGCTCTTATATTGCCGTAGGATCTGCTGCTGTTATTCTTGTTCGCTTCCTCGGTTCGGCAATATTCCTTCCCATTGCGCAAAACGTTTTTCTCGGCCATCTCGTATCAAAAGTGGCAGCACTGCCGGGTATTGATGCCGAGGAAATTGTCAGAGGCGGGGCTACTGAGCTGCGATTATTGGTGCCTGAAGATGAGCTCGATCAGCTTCTTCATGATTACAATGCCTCTATTGTCAAGGTGTTCTATATCGCGGCTGGTACCTGCGCCGTCACCATCTTCGCTAGTGTCTGCGTCGAGTGGCGCAGCCTCAAGGCGAAGGCTCAAGCCGAGGCTGGAAAGGTGAAGTAATTTCATGATTTTGTATATTATTATCCTATATCAGCGAATCTCTCATAGAATATATATTTCAGTGTATATTCGACTTGGCTTGGTGGAATATTATACAGATACTGGTCATGGTCGATCAAATCACGACCACCATTTTATGACCGCCGCCGCCACTTTCCAGAATTGTGTGAATGTCTTGGATTTGATCCAAGTTGAACTGACGAATTGGAATATTGATTTTACCATCCTTGACAGCCGAAATAAGCTCTTGCCAAGACATAGACATGAAATCATGCTGGTCACCCCCATAGGAAGTAAGTCGGCGTCTCTGTGGTAAGTCGGTGATGGGCGAAAAGTCGCTAAAGGCCCATTCGCCTCCCTGGATTCCTGTCATGCAAACAGTTCCTTTTGGCTTGAGACATAATATGCTATCTTTCAGTGTTCTTGTTCCTATCAGCTCGAGGACCTTGTCAAACTGCTCCTCAGTCGGGATCTTCTTGGCAACGCTGCCGTCGTCCACGTAGACAATGTCTGCGCCGCTGCTTCTCAGTAAAGCTTCGCGACCGGCAGAACGGCTCGTTGCCCCGATTCTAGAAGCACCAAGATACTTGGCCAGCTGAATACCAGCTAATCCGATGGAGCTTGTAGCACCACGAATCAGCAGTGATTCCCCGGGCTGGAGGCTCAACGCCTCCGTCAACGAGCCGTATGTGGTCTGCAGCATTTCTGGAAGAGCTGCCACCGTCGCCAAGTCTAGGCTAATATCTGGGAAGGGAAGAACGAATTGACAGGACTGGCAAGCGTACTCTGCATATGATCCTGGAATCTCGCGGCCCAGGCCGCCCATGCACGTCGCAACAAGAGTACCAATGGGGATGGGAGCAACCTCCCCGGTGGCATAGCCGGCGACTCGGCCAACGAGCTCGATGCCGAGAATTCGAGGAAACTGGACGCCGGGAGAGTGACCCTGCCGCGTGAACATTTCTTGCCATCTTGTTAGCTTGGATAGTCAAGAATCTGCGCGAACCTTTACCTGCGCGGTTGATGCCGAATGCGAGCACTTTGATGAGTATTTGTCCCGGCTCCGGTACTGGGACTGGTACATGTCTGATCTGTAATACTGAGACTGGCCCAGGCGTCTCACAAACGACAGCCCTCATCGTAGCTGGAATATCCATTAGAGCTGTAGGCTTCTGATGAGATGAGATGGTTCGGTGGTTGATGCAGTACTGTTGGACTCAAGGCGGGGTTGTATGGAAGCTTGTTCTTGCATTGCATCCGGATTTGTAATTCATCATCAATCCACTAGTTATTAGTTGGGTAGTTGTCGACTCAAGGGTATGAGTTAGTTATCCACTAGCTATGGTGATGGAGAATCGCCCATCGTTTCTCGACTCTATGGTAGTAGTAATAATATCAAAGAAAATTTAGAAAATAAACATAAGAAAGCGAATTAGAACAAACAAGATGGTAGTAATAAGGGAGGTGTCAAGTATAGATAAACAGCCATACGATGGTGTGCAGGAGACAGCGACTTAGTTTGTTCAACCACCACTGTAACTAATGGTAGAAAATTACAAAAAACCTACCAACTACTCAATGCCATGACTCCAAAGTAATCAAGTAATGCATCACTTTAATGCATCAACGCCACTCAGGCGCTGGATATCTCTGTGGGTCGTCCTGCGCACATTCTTACTTGGTAGTCGGGCGAGTTCAGCTCGCGTTTTCTCCTCATTCGAATAGTGGCAGAGTGGCGTACCGCGCTCACCAGCATCCTCGTATCAATATCTACCTCATCGCGTCCCCAAACTGAACAGCTGCGCGTCCTTCGTCCGCTCACAGCGTTGAAGATGGATTTCCTGCCGCTACCGCAAGACCCGACCTATCCAACCCCGGATACGCCATATCTCTCCTCCGAGGACTGGGACCTTGGCCCTTTCCGAACGTACTTGGACAGGAAATACCAGGAGCTGGGTCTCGCCGAGGTGCCTCAGCTCGCAGCCGACAACGGGCTGCTGACGCTCCCGTTGCAGCGAGTCTTTGACGCGATCCCGGCCGCCAAGCTGCAGCCGTTTGTGCAGACGTGGCTGTGGTTCGGACTCTTGGCCGAACTGTTGAGCCTCAATGAGCTCGAAGACGGAACACGCCTGGTCAGTCTCGACCAGGCGCGGGACGAAATGGCTGCGCTGTACCGTGAATTCTCAAAGGACGGCGAGAACGGCCGGCTTCTGACGGGCGTCGCTATCCTTGAAAAATCCGACATATTTGCTCAGCGGGTACGCTTGGGAGGAGATCTCGCGCCTCGCCTCCGCTACATACATCGCTGCCTGACTCGATCCGTTCTCATCATCAACAACTCTTCCAGCCAGCTGGACTATGCCATCCGCTACTCCATGGCTGGGCTTGGGGAGCTATTCATGACGAGCATCTACGCAGGTAGCCATTTAGTAACCCCGCGCATCGTGCTACCAGCCTCGGCGTTCAACTGGTTTAGGGACTATCTCAAGGCGGGCAACGATCTCGAGAAGCGGATGCTCAGCGTTGGCTGGTGCCCGAGTGAGATTGAGAAGCTGCGCAGTCTTTTCCAGGGTGTCGCGTCTCTTCATTATGTCACGAGATTGCGGCCGCGTACCAAGCCCGGCGATCATGTCCACTGCACCAGCTATGCCTGCCGAGCTTTTCAGATTGACATCTCGCAGTACAAACCCAGCCACGTCAGCCCAGAGTGTCATTGTGATGACGTGCATGTAGATGAGGCAGAATTGGGCCAAATTCTAAGAGAGACAGACTCTTATCCCGTGTTGAAAATCGACACGGGGTCGGATGGCACTGGGCCCGCGAGTATCAAGATGGAGACGTACAAGCAAGGCGTCAACTATGTTGCGTTGTCTCATGTCTGGGCAGACGGCTTGGGAAATCCCCGCGTCAATGCAGTGCCCAACTGTCAGGTGGTAAGAATCGCCAACGCTGTTGCAGGCCTCAACCGTACAATGAATACCGGTGATGGTTCACAGTCCGAATACCGCATCTGGCTTGACACAATATGCTGCCCTGTTGAGCTCAGCGGAAAGGCCATTGCTCTTGAACGAATTTCTGACGTCTACAAAAACTCATCACATGTTCTTATTCTCGACTCGTCCCTCACATGCCTGAATACCACGACGTGCGACGTAGCAGAGATGTTGCTCAGGAGTTTTAGCTGTTCTGCCTGGATGCGAAGGCTTTGGACCCTTCAAGGTATTTCTCGCAGTTTCCTGTTGTATCCTTTTTCCTTGTCTTCTTGAGTCTTCCTTCACTACCCAGCGTCTCTCGCTGAAACCTCCTTCCTCGCTACTTGACTGACGCGAGGCGTACCAGAGGCCATTCTTCCTGGAAGTCTCTGTATTCAATTCGAAGACAAGGCAGTTTCGGCTTCAGACTTGATGCGCGACCTATACCTGGCCGGAATAAACGATATGCGCCTCCTCCGAATTTGGCACGACCTTCTCAACGAGGTAGGCAAGCGTCCCATGCGTGCAGCAGCTCAGAATCTGATCAATGACAGTTTAACTACATACAAAACTTTGATACGGCTAGCCGCAGTCTAGAAGATACCTACTTCAAGCCGCAGCTCGTCGCACTACAAAGGTCCATTCATTTTCGAACGGTCTCTGTACAGTCTGATGAACCCCTCTGCATAGCCGTCTTGATGAACCTGCAAATAGAGGGGCTCACATTAATGACTGACGGCGAGCGACGCATGGCGCGCGTCTGGGCCACATTGGCTGAGACTCTGGGCGGAATCTCAACGTCGTTGGTATTTTTCCTCGAAGAGACTCTGTCCCTCAAGGGCTGGCGATGGGCCCCGAAAAGCCTCCTTGGAAGCCTCGGCGAGGATTCCACGCTCGGCATGGATGAAAGATCGCTGCGCTTCTCTGTCCCACTGCCCTTGACTCCCCTTTCTCTAGGCACGCCGACTCCAAGAGGGCTTCGCATGAGAGCCCAAGGCGCTTACTTGACTGTCACTCCGATACGTGACCACTTTGACGTGCAGCCGTGGGCGGGGGTCACCAAGAGATCCATCGAAGCTCACGTGCTCATATATCGCGAGGCGACAAAGGAGTGGTATCGGCTTGCCGACTGGCACCGCAGTCGTAAGCTGGGGTCGTGGTCTGACGAAGAACGGAAAGCGTACGATGAAAAGTACCCGACGCCCATCTTTGACTGCATCCGATCCAACAGCGCCGCCCTCGTGTTCAATAATTTCGACGAAGAGGCCGAGATCAATGTTGCCATCTTGGGCAAGGCGCAGGGGTGCCTGGATGATGACGAGGAGCAAAAGGCGATGCTCTTCGAGCGCGAGCGCACACTCATGTGCTGGCGTCTGGGCGAGCAGGAGGTGGCTCTGCTCGACAAGGTGATTGCCACCGCCAACAGACTGGCGGATGACGAGGTAACGGCTAGGTTGCTGGCGTGTGGCAAGGAAGCTAGCCCGCAACGTGACGAATGCGTTGCTGAAGTCAGGAAGTGGCTGGAAACGACTGTTGGTCGGCAGTGGAAAGAGGATGTCGAGTTTTCGCAGCTAGTGACGACTATTATGGGAGATGGCATGGAAGGCTACGCCTGGCCTTTGATCTTGGTGGACTACTCAAATATTATTCACATGGAGGATTCCGTGCACGATCAGATTTGGTTTATTGACTGACAGGTGTGTGTTTGAGAAGAGCGCACTCGGTTTTCAACCCATCAGCTGGGAGCGTCGCGGCCAGCCATTTCCAGATGTTATTTATTCTAGCTTACTTAGTTAGGGCTGATGAAAACATCGTTGAGGTGATTGAAAGGCTGCGTCTTACGTGTAGGTGATTGTTCACTAACGCATGGTCATTTATTGAGCAAATAACAGGGTCCAGACATTGAGCGATTTAATTAATACCTAGTAGTCTCTCTTCGTTATACCCAATCACGACCCTCCAACGGCCTACCATGAATCATCACTTCCGGTATGAGGCCAAGGTTCTAGTGCTCTGCCGGGTTCTTGAAAGCCGTCGCGACAGAGAACAAGAGTCTAGAGAATAAAGTTGGGGATCAATGGATGGCTTGGCACACATATCTCGTTGGACTGACGCGTCCTTTTTAGAATCATCTCGATACTCTGGAGAAATAGGGCTCAGTGTCATGAGCACTAACCCTTGGCTAACGAAACCGGTGGCAGAGAAGCTACTGGGCACGATGAAGAGGGCTGGAAAACGGTCTAGACCAGGTTAGAAGCACCTGTTCAGGGACCAAGGTTCGCGGGCCGCGCCGTCAGGAACAGGAACCCTCTCTTGCAGCAGCCCTAGTTCGACGCGCCGGGCATGGTCGCGTGTCATCTCACCAGGACGGTCGCGTCTTCTGGGAGGATTCTCGCCTGGTCGTGTCGTCAAGCTTTTGGCGGCCGTTGATATGACGACGGACAAACTGATTTCCCAAATCACTTTGTACTAAAAGCAGATGTAGCAACTATAAAATAAGGCCGAAGTGCCTCTTCCCAGCATCGTTTGAACTAAGAGGCAAGCACTTCTCGCCGATTCCCCTCGTTCTTTTAGCAACCGAACTATCTTTCCCGTTTTACTTCCCGTCCTTTCTTTAGACACCATGTTCTTCAAAACTTCCACCATTGCTGCCGTTGCAGCTCTTCTCCGTGCTGGCGAAGCCCTCCCCCCTGCTCGGAATGACAGGTAAGACTTACACGACACACACACTCTCTCTTCATGCCTTGACCTTCCACTGACCCGAGGAAGCGTAAACGGCGTCCCGGCCATTGGAAAGCGCTGGCTCGACTGCAACAGACCTGTGCAGGGCCTGTCCCTGGACGACTGCCAGCACATGTCCAAGATTGGCTTCGGCTCGATGGGCAAGAACAGCGACCACGACAACGGCGCCATCTGGGTCGGCGGCGACGGGCCCACGACCTTTACCTTTACCAACCGGGCCGACGAGGGCGTGACCGTCGTCATGTGGCTGCAGACGGACTACAAGTCGAGCTTCGTCAACGTGCGCCAGCCGTACGTGACGTATTCGCTGCCGAGCCCGGGCGACGCCGTCACCGTGTCCGCGGCGCAGGGCATCTCGGGCGCCTTTGCCGCCCTCCACCGCGACACGACGCTCAGGGACGGCCACATCTTCAACACCTGGGGCGAGTGGTCCACCGGGCCCTACGCCACCGTCGACGTCTCCCGCCTGCCCAACATGGACGGCGACCGCATCGAGATTGAGACCCCCGGCGGCTGCCGCGCCAACATGGACCGCTGCGTCTTCACCTGCAAGAGAGCTAGCCGCTGCGGCGCCTCGGGCGAGTACAGCCTGCAGAGTTGTGAGGCGCACTCGCAGGCTGGAAACCCGCACATCGGCCATGACCATCAGTTCGTTATCCCCGTAGGCGCGAGTGAGAGAACTCGGAACAGTGAAGCTGACAATTTGTCTAGGGGCAACCCAACCGGCGGCTGCGGCGGCTTCGAGAATGGCGGCCACGTGACTGTTGGCTTGTTCTAAACCTAAAGACCGTGATGCCCATCTCGATTCTACTTTGTGTGCCGAATTGCTCGACAGCATCTTCAACGTGTCGCCACCCACCACAACTCCGTGTACATGGTCATACCAGAATGTACTTGCTTCCCCTTTCTTTCATTCGAACAGTAATGATGGGGAATAGTATATATAACTGTGTTATCCGCTTTCACTCTATTCTTGTTGGTGTTGGTGCTGAGTTGGGAGTCGCCCACCACTTCCCCAGACGAGTAGTTATAGTTATTGCCACGAAAATTATATTGAGAATCGGAATAAAAAGATCCAACGATTATTGCAGATCGAGTCTAGTATCACGCTTTCTATTATTCTGCACAACTCGCTCTTCGAATTATGTTCTACTTATAGTCACTATACCACTCTTCCTATACACTCCTTTCGATCCGCCACCAGGTGTACCTGAAACAAACACCTGAGTGGACGGATCTTACAGCCTCATTAAAAACTCGGAAGTGTTTCTTGAAGATTGATATCTATAATGTGTAGCTAGTACCCTGATATTCGCAGTATGCATGCAGACAAATCATGTTGCAGCAGTATTTCGTCGGCTCCAAGACTGGCCCAACCCGCATCTACCACTTCTATAACCGTTCTAAAACTGTCTCTATACCGTGACTGTAGCCGTCGTAGCTGGTGGGCGCTGAGCCTCGCAGAGCTGCAGCCACGAGGCCTGCTGCTCCGGCTCGGTCTTGGTGCAGGTCTGGGGAGTCGACAGCGTCGTGATGAGGCCGTCGAGGCCTGCGCGGAGGCTGTTTGCCTCGTAGCCCTTGGCGCGCATGACGCTGGCGGCGACGCGCGCGCTGTCTCCGTCGTAGCACACGACGAGCGTGTCCTTGCCCGCGAGGCTGCCCAGCTCCCCGCTCGGCGAGGAGAATGCCTCGTCCAGCTGCGTCCAGAGCCGGCGCAGGACCGAAGGGTCGTAGAACGGGCTCGCGGTCCCGGGATGGGTGAGCGGGACGTTGACGGAGCCGGGGAGCCGGCCCTGCTCGAAATCGGTAGGCTGCCGGAGGTCCAGGATGGCGGCGTTGTCGCGGGGGTGCAGCGCGGCGCTGAGCTTGGGGATCTCGCACGTGCACGTCTCCTGCGCGCGGCGGATGAGGTCGTCCATCTGTCCCTCGTTGACGTGGAAGTAGCCTTGCAGAGCCTTGGATGCCTCCCACTCCCACTTTTCATCGTATCTATACAGGTCGACCTCGAGGAGCTCCTAGTCACTGTTATCAGCGAGGTTGCGTCATTTGAAGCGATGCGAAGGCATGGAGGACCACTTACTTCATTCTTGACTGGTGGGAAGCACGAATCGTCGAGCTTGTCAAAGTACTCGCTGACGTATTGGTAGGGCAGATCGCAGCAGAGGAACACGCAGTTGATGAGACCGTCGGGGCCAGCAAGCGCGCCGAGACTGCCCTCGGCCTTTTGCTTGTCAATGTACTGGTAGAGACCCTTCAGGTTGAAGCCGGACGAGGGGCCGCAGACGAGACCCTGACGACACAGCTCTAGGGACAGACGGTACGACTCGTACGAGCCAACCTCTTCCACGTGGTCGACGGAAGACTTCCAAGGAAACGTGACGGGGCCGAGAAGGGCGTACGATCTCGGTCCCGGAACTCTGTCGCCGGCAGCAGTGCAGACACTGGATTAGGTCAGAGGTGGCAGCATTTCAAATCCAAACCAGGAGTGCTTACCCGAGTCTGAAGACGGTTGGCTTTGCGCCCTTGAAGTAGGTTCCGAGTCCGGTCATGGTTCCTGGCGTCCTGTTAGCCAACGGTCGCGTATAGGTGGTGCCGTAGTGCTAGTTAGCATACCGGATGTGCCCATGCCTGCGCAGATCAGGTTGATCTCGGGCAGTTGTCGGAGGAGTTGCGGTCCGGTCCAGCGGACATGCGATTTCCAGTTCTACATGATTAGTGTATGAAGCCGATGACGGTTCCTCACAACTCACATCGTCATTTTCGTACTGATTGGGGTTGAGGGCCTCGCTAGTCTCGTTGCCCAAACGCTGGGCGGCGCGGATGCCGCCACGCTCGTCCAGCGGCTCCGGTTGCGAAGGGCCGCCAAAGAGGGTGCTTGGCCGTGTCAGTGTCGCTTGTAGTGGACGTGTTTCACCCTCACATACATGTTGATGCCAAAGAGCTGCATGAGACGAATCTTGGCAATGCTGGTCTTGTTGCTCAGAAACGCGCGGATATCATCCAGGCCGTAGATGGCACGACCAACCAGCGACATGGACAGGACAGTCGAGCCGGAGCTGTACTCGACAATGGTCTTTGTCACATCGGGCTTGACGCTCTTCTCGAGCAGATTCAGAGCTACCTTTGGTCAGTGTGCTTCTGACGTGGTCAGGATCAAGCGGACGGCATACCGGGCATGCACTTGACGTTGTTGGCCGGATGCATGGACATCATCTTGGCGAAGATGCGGACACCATCGCCATGGTAGGGGTTCAGCGAGGATGGAACCTCGACGAGGGGTAGAGGGGGGGCCGTGTCCGGGTCAAAGTAGTCTCTGACAGAGTCAGGCCCCTTGTAGACGTTGAGGGTGTTTGTTTCCTTCATCGTCGTTGCTTGGGCGGCCATGATTGTTTGTCAGCGCAGCAAACTTGGATCTCGTGACAGAGACAGAGGGCAAAACTCCAGCTCGAAGGGAGGGTATCGGCTCTGGTGCCTGAGCTATTTATACAGACGGTTCTTTTGTTTAGTTTTTCCTTGCCAACACAGTCACGCATCGCACAACAGCCAAGCCCAGCTGACGAGCAACAAACCACCCCCGGCACTTGTCCAACCCAGCTGTTCCATCAAATATGGAATCTCCATGCGGCCCTAGACGATATTTTCTTTGTTCAGCAGCTACGCTGAAAGAGGCATCTCGGACGGTCCTGCGAGCGCTAAAAGGTATGCATATCTTTAATCACGGACTCGGGCAGGACTCGACATGTGTGGGACGAATCCGCACTTGCCAACCTCCCAAGGTTGCGCTGAAGCAGATCTATGGGCACCGGCCGTGCTGGTAACACAAAGTTATGACTAACACGTGTGTCCATCCGGGTTGGCCAGGCCATGATTGCCTGCCCAGAGACTGTCCGTGATGCGAGAAGGCGAGTTACACCATGACAGGGGGGGGGGAGCTGTCGTGAAGCGACCTTGATGGGCCGGTTCGAGACCCGCCACTGTCGCAGTCTTGAATGCCGAAGGGATCGGCGGTTCAGATACTGGGTGCGGCGAAATCTGCCAAGCTTCAATCATAGCGCTGCTCGACAACGCCATTTAAGCGACTCAATCCTGCTCAAATAGAGCGCGGGCGATCGGCGCTTACGCAAGGCGCATACCCACAACTGTGTTGGACGTGATGGTAAAAGGGGACTTGACGATGGGGGCTGCTGGGTGTTTCTTGTTTCCTTTTCTTGCTCTGAGCCAAAGAGGAAGCTGTCGGAGTTTAAAAGGGAATCTGACAAGTGACGTGGCGGCTTCTACTCTGCCAAGACGAACAGGAATACAGTTACATCCACCAACTAGTTACTATAGACATATCCACGTCTACTTGGCGACTAATCTTCTATTTCGCAGCCCCCATGCACGGATCTCAGCCTCTGCTCGTCCATGGCATGTATTCCCACATTAATCATGGCCATGGGCACAGGGCGATTTGACGTTTTTAATCTAACGAGGCCGCAGCGGTTGTGTAACCCACCCCCTTCCTTCTCGATCCCTGGTTGCTTGAATCAAGCCAGGGAGCATGTGGTTTATAATTAGGGTTAATTGAGCTTGCCCTTGTCGTCACCCAACGAGTTCCAGTTTCGCTGCTCTACTTTATCTGATCCAAGTCGCCCACTCTAAAAATTAAAAAATATTCTTCGTCCAATTGCCCCCCCAATCAGAACCTGATCCAATTGACAACTCACACACAGGGCCGGACTCGAAGCAGCCAACTACCTCACAAATGGCGGGCGCGGAAAAGTCTGTCGTTGTGGCCGCGAGGCCGACGACGGCAGATGTCAGCACGCATTCTGCGAGTGATTCCGAGGGCTCTGCGACCAAATTCAACGAGCAGACCAACTATGTTCCGAGGAGCACCATCATTACGGTATGGCAGGGGGGACAGTTTCTTCCCAGCCAGGCCAAGGCAAAATGCTGACGAAAAGCAGATATTTCTGGCTTGTGCCAGTGTCGATTTGGTCGCGTTGATGGACCAGACGACACTCGCCGCCAGTTTATACATTATCGGTGCCTCTTTCGGGTCCACGAAGGAAGTTTCCTGGATCGCAAGTGGTTACTTCATGTGAGTCCCCCAGGATCAAATCGGCACAAACCAGCCATTCGTCTAACCAATCGCAGTACGTCCACCATTGGCCAATTAATTTACGGTCGGCTGTCCGATATCTGGTCGCGCAAAGTCGTTTTGCTCGCCGGTCTCGCCATTTTCTTCCTTGGTTCCCTCGCCTCGTCGCTCGCGCAATCGGTCCTCCAGCTCACCGTCTTTCGCGCCTTTACTGGTATCGGTGGAGGCGGTCTCATGACCGTCGCGCAGCTCATTGTCAGCGATGTCGTGCCCTTGCGAGAGCGGGGAAAGTACCAGGGTATTCTGGTAAGGTTCTCTTGGTCTTGTCTCACGATGCGCGTCACTGACCAAGTTGTTGCAAACAGGGCGCCGTCGTCGCCATCGCCAACGGTATCGGTCCCGTAATTGGAGGTGCTCTCTCGTCAAAGTCGAAAGAGTCCTGGCGCTGGATCTTTCGTCTCAATCTACCACTGACTCTGCTCACGACATGCTGCGTCGTCTTCATCATGCCGCTGAAGAAGGTGCAGGGAGACTGGAGAATGTAAGTCGGCTGGACAATGGTTTCGCTACGGGCACCGAGCTAACTGGTGGCAAGTAAACTAAAGGCCGTTGACTTTATCGGCATCCTTCTCTCTTTTGCAGGCATGATTGCTGTCATTCTCGGCCTCACATGGGGCGGAAGTGAATATCCTTGGAATTCTGCACCTGTCATCGCATCTCTCGCCGCCGGTGGCGTAATCTGCGTCGCCTTTGTCCTCTGGCAATGGAAAGGACCCGAGTATCCTCTGGTACCTTGTAAGTTGAGCATTGAATCTTTTCAAAAATACTCTGAAGATGCAGCCTCATACTAACTCGCGCGCCAGTGCACATCTTCAAGTCCAAGATCGTCAACGGTGCCTGTCTGACCATGATGATCAACGGCTGGAACTTTGTCATGCAAGTCTACTATGTCCCGACTTTCTATCAGCTCGTCTACGGCTACTCGGCCACCAAGTCCGGCGCTCTCCTACTGCCCATTACCATAGTGCAGACGGTCAGCAGCACCGTGTCCGGCCTCATTGTGCATTGGGTCGGGAGATACCGCGAGTGCATCCTGTTCGGCTGGGTTTGCTGGGCTGTTGGACTCGGGCTCATGTCCACTTTGGACGAACACACAGGCCTTGATAAGCAGATTGGATACTCTGTTTTGATCGGTATCGGTGTCGGAAACACGATGCAGCCGTAGGTACACCTGTTGCCTGTCCACGAGTTCCTCACTAACCTATGCACAGCGCCTTGATTGCCGCACAGGCTGGCGTCTCAAGACGTGACATGGCCGTTGCCACATCTTTTCGAAAGTAAGTACTCTGCCATGCCGTTCCGAGGCTTCCACTAATTGTCCCAGCTTCATCCGAAATGTCGGCTCAACCCTCGGCTTGGCAGTTTGTGGCTCCATCATGTACGTATGTCTCTGTATTATCGAGTACGTCTGGCTAACCCTATCTCTTCTCAGCAACAACGTCTTGAGCAGCGCCATCCACACTCTCGACTTGGACGACGGAGCTCTCAAGGAGCTTCTGCGCAACCCGCGCACGTACACAGACACGCTGTCCCCCGACGAAGCTGCCAGGATTCGCGGTGTCGTAATTCCCGCCTACAAAAGGGGATTTCGCCTCATCTTTATTGTCGGAGCAGGACTGGCAGTACTCGGATTTTTCCTCGCCTTCGTGTTGATGCCCCAGGTGTCCTTGTCACGACCTGATGACGAAAAGCTAAAGGAGGAGGGGCGAAAAGCCCACGAGGCGCGCAAGCAGAAAAGCAAGGCTTGAATCAAAAGCAAAAGTGTTTTAAAGTAGGTCATGTCACAGGGTTTTAGAATGTAGAGGAGTGAGGCGATTCGAGCCAAAAATTTAGATGTATAGAGGGGTCAAACATGAACGACCCGAAAGCGTGGTAGAAGGAAGTCTAGATGTATTAATAAGCTAGCGCTAGAAGGAAAGTAAAGAAGGATTGATCTGCAGCTCGATGTATTTTGTTAGAGCACTGTAGTTGTCCTTTCAAGGTATCCATCCACTGATTGGGCTGGAGAGTTTGCCGCTTGGTCTCGGCTAGTCTCTAGAGTGTCATTGTTGCCTGATGGTGTGTTGGAACTGCCAAAAGCCCCGAGTTCAAACTTTTGCCAGATATGCTTAATGCCGAATCTGGAAGGTGGCTAACTAGGATCACCAGCATTGTCGCTGCAGGAAACGAAGGCGAGCATGTTTCGAATTGGGGTCCTGCCTCGAGTCCGAATGCACTGACTGTCGGTGGTATTGACGAAGACTGGAAATTCTGGGACCTGTCCAATTTTGGAGCAGCAGTGGACATCCTAGCCCCGGCAGCGAAAGTTCTCACGATTTCAAGCAAATCTGACCAAACAGTGAGAGAGTCGGGAACTTCTCTCGCAACGCCGCTTGTTGCTGGTATTGCACTCTCATGGCTTGCGTTGGAGAGCTTCAGCAGTCCTCAGCACTTGTTCGACAGGATCAAGGCTCTGGAGACTCTTGGCAGGATTTCGGGCGTACCGGCTGGCAATATCAACTTGCTTGCCAACAATGGCTTCTCCGGCTAGTACCGCATATTCATCCGAGGAAAGATGGCCGTCGATGTTGGAAAATTCGCTGAGCCTCTAGGCTGGTACTTAGAATCGCGGCAAAGTCGGCCACGGGTTAGATAGCTGCCATACCACGGCGAAGCCTGAGCAAAAGTCCAAGGGAGCGCCCTACTCTTTCTTGCTCACGACGCCACAAGGCACCAAGTATGATGAGCTAGCAAATTCAACACCAATCTTCGGGCAGTGCAAGTCGTTGTAGCTATTCGGAGATGTCTCATATGATACCAGTATAATGTAGTAGGCAAACAAGAAGGATGATTTTCCCATGCCAGGGGCTGCCATGTCAAACGGGCAGTGTCGTGGTGCGCCGCTTTGTATCGGCGCTAACTGGTCTCTCCACCCCCAACATCAGCGAATATTAGATCCATCATCAGGGACACATCACACATCCTGTTCATCCACACCTTGCATTATCAACAACGGGTCGGCATTTGCATCAAGCCGCCGCGAAAAAAAAAGCACCAATCATGCGCATCCAAATAATCGTCGCTGCGCTCGCGGCTCTGCCGGCCGCGCTCTGCCTGCAGGAACAGACACCTCTCAACGGGCACGGCAAGCTGCACGGCGCCGCCCGAGACAAGCATGCGCCGGCGTACCGCTCCGCCCTGCTTGACCTGCACCGGAACCTGGTCAGCATCCCGTCCGTGTCGGGCGCCGAGTTCAAAGTCGGCCAGTGGCTCGTCGACTACCTCGTGAGCAAGAACTTCCGCGCCGACATCCAGTTCGTCGAGCCGCGCGATGGCACGCCCGCCGGGGCCCAGCGCTTCAACGTCATGGCCTGGCCGGGGCAGTATGACGACCCGCGGCCGCGGGTGCTCGTCTCCAGCCACATTGACGTGGTCCCGCCCTTTATCGAGTACGGCATCGACGACGGGCCCGTCACCAAGGACACCGTTATCCGCGGGCGCGGGTCTGTCGATGCCAAGGCCGCTGTCGCCGCCATGACGATTGCCGTCGAGGAGCTCGTCGCCGCCGGGCGCGTCAAAAAGGACGACGTGATGCTCGTCTTCGTAGTCGGCGAGGAGGTTGCGGGCGATGGCATGATTACCTTTTCCGAGGCCGCGCACGCCCGCGACGAGCCGCCGTCGTGGCACTCGGTCATCTTTGGCGAGCCCACTGAGAGCAAGCTCGTCTGTGGCCACAAGGGCGCGCTCTTCTGCGACCTCAAGGCCACCGGCCTCGCCAGTCACAGCGGCTACCCCTGGCTCGGCAAGTCGGCCAACGAGCTGCTCATCCATGCTGTTGCTAAAATCCTTGAGACCGACCTCGGCAGTTCTAAATTGTACGGAAACACAACGTTTAATCTGGGTATGATGGAGGGTGGCGTGGCGGCCAATGTAGTCGCGGCGTCCGCCACGGCCAAGTTTGGCGCCCGTGTCGCCATTGGGCCAGAGAAGGACGGCCACTTGATTGTCCGAAAGAGGATTCAGGCTATTCTGGATGAGATTGACAAGGATGCGTTTGAGATGACCTGCAACCCCGGCTACGGCACTGTGGACTGCAACTGTGATGTGGAGGGTAAGTGATATGCAGGTGCGGAGCTTGCGAATGTTACTGACAACCCCCAGGCTTTGACACCCTGACTGTCAACTATGGCACTGATGTTGCCAACCTCAAGGGCAACTTTACGAGATATCTGTACGGCCCTGGTTCCATCCTCGTCGCGCACGGCGAGAATGAAGCCCTGACAGTGGGCGACTTGGAGTCGGCTGTTGAAAACTACGAAAAGCTGATTGAGCATGCGTTGAGCCAAAAGTCGTAAGCGATGTACTCGGGTGAGTAATTTGACACGAGGCTACAGTGTAGGAATAGAACGTCCGCCATGTCTGTTGCATTATATACCATTTCATTATTCGAATCATAAATATCGCTTGGTCAAGCCTTGACAACCTGCGCCCAACGCTCGGGCATGATTTTGGAAAAGTCAAACTTGCCATCCGCACCCTTCTCGACAGCACCCTTCTCCGTGACGACGGTGTCAATGAGCTCAGCAGGAGTTACGTCAAAAGCTGGGTTCCAGACATTGATGCGCTGGTCGGCCGTGGCCACGCGCACCTTGGTCGTCTCGTCTACGGTGCCGTCGGCCTTGATCACGGCGCCCGTAATCTGAGTGAGCTCCGAAGACTTGCGCTCCTCAATCTTGATGCCGTCACCCGTCTCGGTGACGAGGTCGATACTCGTCGTAGGGGCAGCGACAATGAACTTGATACCGTGGTGCTTGGCGAGGACGGCGAGCTGATACGTGCCAATCTTGTTGGCCGTGTCGCCATTGCGGACAACACGGTCGGCGCCGACAATGACGGCTGCAATGTTCTTCTCGGCACCTCGCGTGCGGAAAAGTGCGGCGGCCATGGAGTCGGTGATGAGGGTGCTGGGAATGCTCTCAAAGACAAGCTCAAAGGCAGTCAGGCGGCTGCCCTGGTTGTAAGGTCGCGTCTCTGTGCAGAACGCGTGCTGCAAAAGACCTTTGGACTGCAGAGTGCGGATGATGCCGAGGGCAGTGCCGTGGCCTGAAGTGGCGAGCGAGCCGGTGTTGCAGTGGGTGAGCACCGAAATCTGCTTGTCGGAGCTGGCACCAGCCTGTGCGCGCAGCCACTCGGCGCCATAGTCACCAATGGACAAGTTGGTCTTGAGATCCTTTTCGAAAATCTTTTCCGCCTCGTCGATGAAGGCTTCGACAATTTCGGCCTTGGTGGCCGCGTCGCCGCCGGCGCGTATTCTAGCTTTGAGCTGGTTGATGGCGTTGGTAAGATCCACAGCTGTTGGGCGACTCTCTTTGAGATAGTCGAGGGCGGCGTCGATGTGGGCTACAATGTCTTGGCCCGAGCCTTCGGGGACAGGGCCATTGTGAAGCTCGACAGCGAGACCCAGGCTTGCGACAATGGCAATGGCCGGGGCGCCGCGCGTGCGCATGCTAGCGATGCTGTCAAAGGCCTCGAGGCGAGTTGCGACATTGTCGTAGTGGAATTCATGGGGTAGTCGGAGCTGGTCGAGGACCTCGAGCTTACCCCGGCTATACTTGACCGCCTGCAGAGCCGACATGACTGTAGCAGTGTTCTCTAGTGAAAAGAAGAAAGGGAGATGAAGTGCGTGAAGGAAATATCTAGAGAATGAAGCTGATGGCGATTTAACCATGTGCCCCTCCATGCAAGTTAATTCTGCCGCGACCCCGCCAAGGCTCAACACGTTGATGGCGTCAGGCCAGGGACTGGCTTCCCTGCGAAACGCCACGGTGGTGCTCACCGCCTTGTGGCTAGGAAGCGCCTCTTGTGGCGCGACCGTCAGGGGAGCTCTGGCCAATGCTGTAACAACGCCACGCATACCACAAGCTCCCTGTTGCGACAGACACCTTCACGCTGCACACGACTCTGCTTTTCCAACGCTGCTCATAAAACACCAATGGCAAGCGCATTGCCATGGAGCAGCAAGCTTCAACATCAAAAGTTACTGGTAAAAACACCACCCCCGAGGCCAAGTCGCCGCTTACATGTCCTGCTCTTGCTAACCGCGACACACCGTCTGTCTAGTCGAGTACTTTGACCCTCACAATGTCTACGAGCTCCTGAAGCCGGGGATAATCCCCCGATTGCCCCTTCATAACCTTCACTGGCAGTCGCATTCGGGACCGCTGCGCTCGATCAATACCCTGCACATTGAGCTTGTAGATGGCGGTAAGCTTCAGCAAGACGAGACGCCCCTCGCAGCCAAACCGCCTGTCGCATCCGAGGCGAAAGACGACGGCTTCCAGACGCAAGCCGTAGGCGGTCACACCGAAGCTGCCGACAGCAGCGAGAGCAAATCCGCTACCACAAAAGGCACACAAGGTCGACGCCACCAGATTCCTGGCTTGCGCCGCACACCCTACCTCAAGGTCCTTCTGGTTCGATGCGACGATAACGATTCCTACAAGAACACGGTCCGCTCCGAGGTGCGCGAATGGATCAAAGAACACACACCGCCAGCAAACTCGTCTAAAAAGGCCAGTAACCAAGAGAACCATGACGCGTATGAGTGGATCATCCTACATGTTGTTATTCCCAACACTGCAGCATCCACCCAACCGCGCAGCACGAGCAAAGTAGAAGGCGGCGCAGAGAAGAACACTACGTCGCGATGGAGGACAGGCGCGACGCCTCTCCTGGAAAAATTCCGCTCCGATTTCAATAGCTCCAGCAAGAACGCCCCCGATCGGATTGCCCAGATTCGCATCGGTATCAACGATGTTCCCTACGATATGCTGCCACGAGTCGTCCCTGCCGTGCCGTCAGGGTCTAACGAGACCGAACAAGATGCCGAGAGAGCGTGGACTGAACTGGTCACCAAGTTCAAAACCCTGATTCTAAGTTCGTTCGACAAACGCGTTACACAATACGAGGAAGATATCAAGGAGAAGGATGCCCAACGCACACTCCCAGGCTGGAACTTTTGCACCTTTTTCATTCTCAAGGAGGGCCTAGCACTTGGCTTCGAGAATGTTGGCCTTGTTGAAGATGCCCTTGTTGGCTACGACGAACTCAATGTTGGTCTCGATCTGGTCCTGGCAGGACAAGCTGAGACCGGCGAGCCTGAAAGTCACGGCGGCGCAATGCTCCCATTCAGCGAAGACCTCAGGAAGATTGCTCACAAAGCGCTCGACGAGGCCTCGGGATCCTCAAACGACGAAGAGGCTGTCGATTTGCAATCTACCAACAAACCTACAGTTGATGTGGATGACATTCCCATCAGCCCCGTGAAGAAGGCCTATCGTGACATGATTCTGGCAAACAAGGTCTCCATATTCGACTTTAGATGCTACATTTTCTCCCGCCAAATCGCGCTCTTGTTGCGCCAGGGCAACACATCCGTTACCAGGGAGCAGCTGCTTTCCCGGCTCAAGGAGCAACAAGAGTCTATTCTTCACGGCGTGGCGCCACTTGCCAAAGCTACTCCTCAAAAGGAAGACGATACAGAGAACCTTACTATCCTGGCAGAGGTCTGTAGAAGAACACTTGAATTTATCCCGTCTCTATCAAATGTCATGCGGCACGACATCATCACATCTTTATCTGCAGACTCTTCAGGCAACCAGGAGGGAGTGTTTAGCACCGAGTCATACCAAGTCATCGACAACTTGGTTTCATCCTTTGCCTTTTCTATTGCACAACAGATACTAGCCCAGACAGCTACCAAGGCACTCCCTATCCCACCATCATCGTTGCCGCCTACGGACGGCGTGGAACAGAAAGCTTCCATTCCGGAGCCCAAGACGATGATGCATCCAGCCAGGAACTCTTCTCTCCATGAAAGGACGCCGAGAAACCCTTCCAGCCCGGGAGGACCTGGCCGTGCCGCGTTGCCAAACGGTGACGACCACAATACCCAATTTCTCAAAACTGGCATCGAGGAGCTGGCTGCTGGCCGCGCCGAGTTGTACATGATGTCACGAAGCATTCTACAAAGATTTGGCAAAATTCGAGGATGGAGTACTGGCTGGGACGAAGCGCCGATCGTGCACGACGCGGGCGTTGAGATTATGGAGGAAATCAGTCTCGATGATGGTTCTGACGCCAACAACGAGAACGATTCAACGAAAAACGAACAAAAGTTGAATGTAAAGACAACTCATACTAGTGCGGGAATTCGCAGCCAACTACTCATATCTGCAACGGAAAGTTCTCAAGACTTTTACCGCCTCTATGAAATTATGACCGACAAAGCGCTCCGTCACTACACCGTCGCTGACCAGCAAGGCGCCGTGCAGACGGCAATCGCAGACTTGGCCGTCTTGAAGTTCTTCTTGAAAGAGTACGCTACCGCCAAGTCCTACTTTGACAAGGCATTGCAGTATTTTGGCGAGTCAGGATGGAACATGATTGAGCTCTCGATGCTGGTCATGTATCTGCACTGTCTGAGCGAGCGCAACGCCAATCTGGATTATGTGAGGGCCGCTCTACAGCTGCTCACAATGTCTAGTGCTGCTGAGCTATCCCGGATTCAAGATTCGTCCGCGCGTCAGTTGAGGCCCAGACAGGAATCGGAAGACTCGCCCATCAAAGGCATCGTGGCCAAGCTGTGCGACTTGGCATCGTCTCTCCGCAGCGATGTCCGGTCACCGCTGTCTCTCTTCTTCACCAATATCGAAATCCTAGGAACGCCACACTACGAGGAGGGTCGCGATGGGAGCCGCGTTTCAATAGGCATATGGAGCCTGCTGCCCGACGACATTACTCTGGACAAGATTCAGCTCAAGGTCTCTGGCGTGGACGCGGGGCCTATCAAGGACCTTGTCTTTGCGAACAAGGGTGCTGTGGTGTTGAAACCAGGCAAAAACAAAATTTCAGTGTACACCAATGTAAGTGCAATACATTTTTCTCCTCGGCTTGTTGCGCAATGCTAATCGTTGCAGTCTGTCCTTGCTGGTAAGTACAAAGTGAACCACTTTGGCCTGCACGCGAACCGCATCTTCCTTCACTATGACGCCGACGTCAACACATCCCAGTCACCTTCGCCGGCGATTTTTAAGCAGCCCGAATTCACCCTCTATCAGCACTCCGACGCTCTCGACGTCGATCTCAAGGCCGCCAAGCACACCTCCCTTGACAAGAACAATAACCTCGACCTGTCCATCAGCACAGGCTGGAACGCACTCAAGCGCTGCGAGGTCCGCATCAAGCCGAGCTCCGGCGGCCTGCGCCTGCTTACGACCGAGACTACCGTCGTCAACTCTGTCCTCGAGCTGGCCAAGCCGCGCGAGTCTGGCTTGTTCCGCTTCAATGCCATGGCACCCAACACGTCCGTCACCCTACGCTTCCCATTCTCCACGGAACTCGACCTCGAGGACGTCTTTGCCAAGGTCGAAGTGACGTATGTCACCGAGGCCGATGAGTCCTACCACCTCGCCAAAATGTTTAGCATCCCCGTGGCTCTCGCCCTGGGTGTCAATGTCCAGGATGTGTTCAAGCACAGTGCCCTCTTCTCTCGCTTTAACGTCACCACAGCTACGACTGGCCCGCTGCGACTCCACAAGAGCGAACTCGTCGACTCGGAGCTCTTCTCCGCCACGTCGGGCATGGCGGCGACGGCGGTGGCGCCTATCACTATATTCCCCAAGCAATCGGCCAGCATCCTTTACCGCATTCGTCGCAACAATGACGCTCCCGTCGCCACCCGCGCCGCCAAAACCATGTACCTGAGGCTGTACTACACGCAGCTGCACACCGAGGTCGCTGACCTCATTCGCGCCTCTGTGTCCACGGCGCTGCACGCCGCTTCCCTCGGCCCGTACACCCGCGCTGTCGCTGCCTCCCTCGCTAAGGACCTGAAGCGCAGCCTGCAGCCGCGCGACCTCGAGCGTGCCGCTCTCCTCGGTGAGGTGTCGACGCTTTTTCTCCACGATGTTTCATGGGAGAAGCGCTTCCACGGGCTCGCCGCGGCCCCCGTCGTCCGCCGCCTCGCCGCCTGCCTCACCACGTGGCAGTCGGAACATAAGCACCTCGCCCTCGCCGATCTCACGACCTCGGCCGCCTCCGCCGAGCCCTCGTCCATCCTCATCCCCGTCGAGGTGCCTTCCCTCACCATTGTGCACACTGCCGACATTCGCCTGCAACAGCCCCTGCCCGCCGCCATCAACGACGGCGGCGCCACGCCCACCGTCTTCCTCAACCAGGTGCTCCACGCAACGCTGCACCTCAAGTGGACGCGCGTCTGGGACACGGAGAGCCCGCGCACCCGAGATCTCGAGTTTAGCTACGACGTCTCCGCGAGCGCCGAGGCCTGGCTCGTCGGTGGCCGCCGCAAAGGCCACTTTGTCATTCCCGGATGTACTGACAACGGTGACGACAATGGCGGCGGCGGCGGCGGCGCGTCATCGACGCCCGAGACCGAGGCTGAGATCCCGTTGATTCTTATCCCGCAAAAGGAAGGTTGGCTGCCGTATCCAAGCGTCGATATTCGCGAGGTCAATGGCGACCAGGGCGAGAGCGGCGCGCCGCGCTCGGCGGCCGGCCACAGCATCGAGGTCGATTGGAGAAATTTGGGTGAGACGGTACGGGTCGTCAGTGACAAGCAAGCAATCACGGTCAGCTTGGATGCCAGTGGCCCTGCAGGCGGCCCGTTGGTACTAGAGAGTGAAAGTCGGCCCCACGCTCCAGGTACTCGGATAGTAGCCTAGACCCGTGCAGAAGATGACATAGACTCACGACGACAAGACAAAGTACAATATACATATATACATTTGAATGGTGTCTCAATCTATAAAAAAGCTTGATATTAGAAAGCACACAAAAACAAGACCTTCCTATTAAAGCGTTTAGCTTCAGAAAAAGCTGCTTATATTTACAAATGCCGGATAATAGAGATCATACTCCAAGTTATGGATACCTTGTTTCAGAAAAAAAAAAGATGCTGCTGCTACTCAGGACATCTGTTAAAGGATGGCGTAGAAGCAATGGAGCTTGATAGAAGATATGGCCACAGGCCTACTTGGCTGCGATCTTGTCGAGTGCACCGAGCCGAACGTGCGGGCTTGCTCTGCGAAGCACCTCCTCGTTCTCCAAGTTCTCCGAGGAAGTGGATGAAAAATCGCGAATACGTTTACCAGACCTGCCCGCACTCATGCGACGTGAAGGACTTTCGCATTCAGAGCCAGCCGTCATGACAAGGCTACCAGATTCGAATAGTTGCTGAGAGATTCTGCGAACGCTGGTTGGTTCTCCACTGATCGAGATTGTAGCGGAAACTGGCGGCGGTGGTGTGGTGAGTTGCTTTGCATTATTCTCCTTCCTTGACTTGACGTCCATCGCCGGGGTTGGGAGAAGCTGCGGCGAAAGAGTTGCCGCGTTGCTCAGAAATGAAGTATTCATAGAATCGCATGTCGATACAGGGGTGTGGCTTGGAAGCATTGAAAAGTGTATGTCTTTTGTCGTTAGCTGGTTTCAAAAGGTCTAGGACAGCACATACCCTCGCTTTCCGTTATGGGATCACAGGTCGTGGGAGTATTGGTGGGAACCTTCAAGTGTTTACTGTCCCCTTCATTGCTCATCCTAACTGCATAGCTGTCGGTCCCACCATCCGTATTAGAAGGCAGTCCGGTGGAGGAAACGTAGTCGGGCATGCTTGTGTCTGTACTCGACTTGTGGTGATCATGAGTTGCAGCCTGCAGGCCTGGAGTCGAGTTAGTCTCGCCGTTGAGGCCCATACCGATACCGCTGAGCCATTCGAAATAGGCATTGGCCTCAACAAAGGGATCGGAAGCTGGCGTATTAGTCGAGAGTAGGGCATCCGAGTATGAGAATGTAGGTGGCTTGGACACTTCTTTATACTTTGCCGCTTGGAACGGACCAGTGCCCGCAATGGCCCCCCCTGCCAATGACACATTTGCATGCATAGTGAAATTGTTTCGAGGGCGAGGCGAGTGTGCATGCGATCTGCTACTACCCAGCTGTTTATCGGGCAGTGTTGTTGACGCAGAAAATGGCATGCCGCGCCACATGGAACTATTCGGCCATGCAATTGCGGAAATTTCAAGTATCTCTACGAGGCATTAGGCCTGATCATGATGAAGGCAAGAGGGAGGGGACGTACCAAGTGGTGCGTGCTGAAAAGAAAAGGCCACAATATTTTTGAGTCTTTCAAATGGCACCGATAGAGACTCTCGAGGGTAGCTTTCGCTGATGACGACTTTGATGCGACCGAGATCATCGGCCGGGCTCCAGTAACTTTGGTTGAGTAGCTCTCGTTGAAAATTGGGGAACATGAGCGACTCGACTTCTCCAGTATCAGATAGATCTGCAGAAAGTCAACATGGGGCTACAGATGAGGGCAAATGAGGCGAACCAAATGAATTCTTCAGGACGTTAGGCCATGGCCCGGACCGGTTCATCGCGAATGACCTGCAAACACTGTGAGCTGAAAGGCGGTGGCGGAAATTCCAGAGCAATTACTGACGATACCAGCCTGCCATCTACGAATAGACGGACTTCAAATACCACTCGGTCTGCAAATTTGCCATATGATCGGGTAAATTGACTGATCGGTGGCGTTGACCAAGAGTGTATGGACAGTTTGTACGGAGCACCAGGCAGTAAGCTGGGAACGAAGCAGCACACAGTCGGTAAACCAACCGAGCCATGTATGTGCGAGAGCTCTGAGCAGTTGTTAGCGAGTACAGACTAGATGTATCGATATTTACCATTGTCATGCACAACATGGCAGGCGACTTTGAATTCCTTCAGCGGAACTTTGCCATCGCGAGGGAACAGAAGAATATCCCAGTCTTCGTAACGCATGTTGAAAGTGTTGGGCAAAGAGGATGCTCAGAGAGAGATACGACCGGAAGTGATGTCGAGAGTGTCTCGAGGCGTTTCTGCGAAATTGTACTGATGAAGGATCGTCGAATCGCCACGAATGGCGCCACCGTCAGACTAGACTGCACATCAACATTAGCATCAGGTTGCATGCAAGAGCAAATCCAGTCCGATTAGGCCATAAACTCAGATGTCACGGCAACCAATAGCACGGATTGGGAAGCGAGAGGTCCATCGCAGCAGGAGTGGGCGTACCGAATAGATAGAGAGGACAGAGGGCCGCCACTGCCAAACAAACGAGTCCTCCAGGCAGATAGCTTTCGCAAAGCGGTAGCATAATCCACTGAAATGCAGGAGGAGGTAAAGGATGGAGATTTCCTCTGTAAAGCATTGCTATTAGGAAAGAGCCTGTATTGAGCGATGCTGTCAGGTAGGTACCTAGGTGGGAGTTTGTTTGAGCGGCAGAGCTGCTGGTCAAAAGCCGGTCAAACACGCTGCCAGCTGGCAGCTGCCAGACAACTCAGCAAGATGAGCATCGACTTTTAGCCCTCGTTGTGCCTATCTTCAGGGGCCAATAACTGCCGAAATTCTCAGTTCTGCCTTTATGGCGGTCCTGACCGTTGAACAATAGATAGATAGGTATGGCATGGTATGAAAAAGAAGCGTCCTCTCCTTGCTTAGATGTAATTTATTTGTTATACAGCCCTAATCGCAGTATGCCATTTCCACCAGGCAACGCGTCGTGGTGATTTTGGCGGAATCAAGTAATCGAATGACAAAGAATCCCAGCAGTCCTTCCTCGCGACCGCTACTATGCCTGTTTATGTACAAAAGAGATTTCAGTTTAGTCTTTGTAGCTGTTTTTAAGGCTCCTCGTCACCCTCTGTGCGTGCCTGAAAGACAGTGTTAGCTGTGCCTAAGTCTGCAGGCTCTATTTATGATGTTGACCTACTCTCACAGCACCGGGTCCACCAAGCTCCTTCTCCAAACCGCCCTCAAATTCACGAGGATACGAAGGCCGGTCGGGATAATTGAGATACACGAGTCCGCAAACACCAAGGAAAGTGGCGACAAAAGTGCTAATCATGATAAGACCGGGGCCAGTCGTAGTCCAGGTGTAATCCCAAGGCGAGAAGATGCCGAGCACATCGTTGTCCTCGTGGACGGGCTCGCCAAAGTTGCGGCGCTCTTGTGGATCCCACCACTGAGCATAAGGATCGCGATGCTGGCGCTTGATGCGAGGAGGATTGATGTAACCGCCGTTCTGTGTAACGTTAGTAGATCACGTCTAGGGCTTGCACCTATGAGCGCAGGGCCGGTTCAACTGACCATGCCGGGGTCTTCCGCCGCAGTCATTGTAGGAGGGTCGGGATATTTCTCATCGAGAGTCTTTTTGTCGGCGTAGTGAGTCGGAAGGTAGGCTCGGCGTTGGGCAATGGGCGCGCGGCGAGCAACGGCGAGGCTGTTGCGTAGCGCCGAGGTGCGCACAATTCGTTGTGGAAGCATCTGCGGCGCGGGGTCGGCATTAATTATCAGGGATCAATTCAGTTCAAGACAATGATCCAGCGACGTACCTTGAGCGAATCGATTGCGTTGCGGCGACCAAGTAGCCCTGGAATTGATGACTTGTCGGGGAGCTGTCGAGTGAGTAGGTAGGCTTTTGGTGTTGAGGTCTGTCCGATACTTGATGCCTCAGGCAGAAGTGACAAACTCTAGCAAGGGTTGGACTTAAAGAAGATTGCAAGACGACACAGTACTCGGAAAATTAGTAGAAACAGAGAAAATTTGGGAGTAGCTTCTGGAACCATTAAAAGAGTGATTCATCCTTTGCTTTGTATTCCATTGTTTTTACCTGATAGGTTCAGTACCTATTCACAGAATTGGCAGCTCCTTGCCACTGACGAAGAGCCCCACACGTGCAGCTTGGTCAACCACGCTAGTTAGGGGGATTGCCACTGCTATAGCAGTCTCCAACTCGCTGCGGCGCGTTCTGGCAAGCACTTCAAACATCATCATCTCGCCAAAAAGTTTTGCTCTCGTCATCAACGACCAGCGAAAACCAGGCCTTACGCCGCCGATGGAACGCTAGATATGGGCAAAACTCGCGCAGGATCTTGGAGATACACTACACACCTGTAGATTCTATATTTCTGCAATAAATGCCATCCGCGCGGAACTCGACGCCCCCCTCCCTGCCTGGTCCCGCGTCGTGACCATGGCCGACAACGCGTCGCCAGGCAAGCCTGAACATGCTGCGGACGTTTCGACCCTCAGATCCGAGCAAGACGATGTCTCTATACCAAATTCGAACGGAAACTTGTTAAACGGTGATTCTATAACCGTTCGAATAAATGGACACGCTTCCGAGGACGCGATTCTAGCCCCAAACGGACACGATATCGAAAATCTCGATTCACACAATCGTGAGGACTCCGAGCGCCCTGCTAAACGACAACGGACTCGCGACACGACCCCACCATCTAGCGCGCGAAAGCAAAAGCTGGAATCTCCGCCGTGGAAGCAGGCCGCCGCTGAAGGGCCAACATCCTTCACTGAGAATGGCCGTCGCAAGTCAGGGCGCATCAATCTGCTCCCGTCAGAAACACCCCCTCAAGGAAAAAGGCGGACAACCCGAGGCTCTCTCAGTGGACAGACCAAGACACCTAAGAAAGAGGAGCGGCAGGTGTCGTCAAGATCATCACGAACAGCCGCAAAAACTCCTGTTTCGCGACAAGCCCGGAAATCGTCCACAACGCAGTCTGCTCCGAACTCGTCATCAAAAACAACAGCGAAAAGATCAGCTCCAACGCCAAGGTCCACGATTCGAAGTCGCAGACGAACGCCCTCCCCCCCTCCGGTTCACATTCGCCACTCAACACGGCCGATACGATCATCTCGACATGTGGACGTTCCCGACATCAATGACGGACTTGTCTTGAAACGATCGCCCCGAACCGTTCGTGTCGGTCGCCCCGGAGAGATACCATTGGTTCATCCTGGGCAAGTGCCAAAACGACCAAAGCTAGGCACCAGCTTTGAGGACTTTTGGTCGCGTGCCGGCGGTCTCCCAGTCGAGGAGGGCGGCTTGCAAGCCTCGGAGGATGGCCCATTCTATACAGACGAACTGGCTCTCCGAGATGCCAGAATCATTATGAGAATTGAAGATGAAACGGAACCTGGTGGCTTGCTCGCGCCTGGTCGCTGCTCGTTATTTGCGCCAGAAGGAGACGACGATGCTCCCAGACAGTGGGCTCGTCAAGATCATTTGATCAAAGCTGTGGCAAATTTTCGGAAGCTCTTAGTAGCTGAACAACAACGGCATAGATTTTCTGCCAAGAAGCTTGCAGAAGCTTGTCGTGATGAATGGATCCGCCGGCAACCCAAATCAACGGGGCAACTAGAAGCTGAAGCTCGAGAATTATGCCTTGCGCGATATAAGCAAACTTTGAAGGCAATGAGCGGAACTTGGGAGAATGTGCGCGCCTACGTCAACAAGCAGCGCCTCGAACAATGGGAAGTCGAGGAGCAGAAGCGAGTCAAAGCTGCTTTGAACGAAGCTGTCAACCTCTCCGAGCAGAAGCTTCAAGCGCGGCAAGCTGGCCTGGACTCGGAACCTCTTTCCGACGACGACGGCTTCGATGATCTCAGCGACGATATGAGTGAGGGTATGGGCGCAATGGGGCAGGGCGATTCGGACCTAGCATCTGACGAAGGCAGCGACAACGATCTTGACGAAGATAGCGATGTCATGTCATCATCGGAAGACGAGGATGGTGACGATGTTAAAGATATTGCGGACGAGGGTCTAACACAGGAGCAGCTTCGCTTAAAATATGCCAACATCCCCGACTTTGACCCTGGTAGCAATGAAGATGGCACCGATGCACCCACCGATGCTGCGACGACACAAGTTGGGGCTGAAACGACAGATGCCGCCGCCGAGACGACCGACGAATCGATAGACATGGATGACGACTTAGGATCCAGTGATATGGGCGAAGCAGCTGGAAGTGATGAGTCGGAGGAAGAAGAAGATGAAAGCGATGCTGGAGGCATGCTAGGGCTCTTGTTTGGCAAAACTGAGCTTCAGAAATTCAAGCAAACAGAAAGTGAAGCACCCACAGTTGCAGACGACGATGACCAGCTAGCTTCAGCAGCTGACGTGAAGGAGGAATCATCTATCTTTGGTGACGATATTGAAGACGAAGACGAAGTCACCCTGATACAACACCCGGACTTCCTCGAACTAGTCGAAGAACATCGAATTCGCAAGAGTCCGACGCTCAGCTTGGTTAACGGCGAACACGATCCCCAGAAAGATGCAGCCACAGACTTGGCCAAAGTCGACGCGATGGAGGTGGATGATGAGTCGACCGAACCAGAGGCCAAAATCAAGACAACTCTACCCGAAGACGCGGATGAGACAATGGCTGAAGCAACTGCGGAGCAAGTCACAGAAGAACAGCAGCCCATGAGCCCAGAAACAGACGCAGTGTCGAATGCGCACACCTTGCAACCTACCCAGTCGCCAGAGACGACCGATACCAGGGCCTCGGAAGTAGATTCGGTTTCTGCGCTTATACCAGCCAAAGCCAGAATGGATGGCGGCGAATCAGAGTCCCCTAGCAAAGATTCGGGTCACAAAACCGAGGTGCCATTCCTCTTGCGAGGTACTCTGCGTGAGTACCAGCGGGATGGTCTGGACTGGCTTGCTGGACTGTATGCGAACCATACGAATGGAATCCTGGCAGACGAAATGGGCCTGGGTAAAACCATTCAGACCATTGCTCTACTGGCGCACCTGGCCTGCCAACACGAAGTTTGGGGTCCTCATCTGGTCATTGTGCCGACCAGTGTCATGCTCAATTGGGAAATGGAATTCAAGAAGTGGTGCCCGGGGTTCAAGATTCTTGCCTACTACGGTACTCAGGATGAAAGAAAGAGAAAGCGCCAGGGTTGGAACAACGATGATGTGTGGAACGTCTGTATCACATCATACCAACTTGTGCTCCAGGATCAGCAAGTGTTCAAACGTCGGCGATGGCATTATATGATTCTGGACGAAGCGCACAATATCAAGAATTTCAAATCTCAGCGATGGCAAACTCTGCTTGGCTTCAACACACGAGCTCGATTATTGCTCACCGGCACGCCCCTGCAGAACAATCTCACAGAACTGTGGTCGCTTCTCTTCTTCCTGATGCCTGCGCAGAATGGCGAGGGCGGTTTCGCGGACCTCCAAGAGTTTCATGAGTGGTTCCACAAGCCTGAATCCCAGATCTTGGAGAGCGGGCGCGAGCAGATGGACGAGGAAGCCAAGGCCATCATTTCCAAACTCCACAAGGTTTTGCGCCCATATTTGCTGCGCCGATTAAAAGCAGATGTAGAGAAGCAGATGCCTGGCAAGTACGAGCACGTCGAATTTTGTCGACTGTCGAAGCGTCAGCGTGAATTATACGACGGCTTCCTTTCTCGATCTGATACCAAAGAAACCCTATCGTCTGGCAACTATCTGTCCATTATTAACTGTCTAATGCAACTGCGCAAAGTGTGCAATCACCCCGATTTATTCATCGATCGACCCATTATGACATCGTTTCGCCAAGGAAGTTCAGTACCGGCAGAATACCAAGTGGCAGAGCAGCGCGTGCAGCGTATTCTGCTGCGACGAAATCCGATGCGTCAAGTGGACCTTGGATTTCTCAACCTTTTGCCGACTAAACACGAGTGGCAGTCAAGCGCAGCCTGTGATCGTGTTTCTCAGCTCAGCTCATACCGCATAATGATCGATATGAAAGAGGCACAGCGCGTTCGGGCACAGCATGCGTATTCGCATCTTGACCCGCTAACGGTGGAATCTACCGTGGACTATCTGGAGAGCGCTGCGCGATGGGGCAGATTCGAGGAACTACAACACTCGGTTTATATCAACGCGCTTCGGCGTCAGCAGAGACCTATATATGGCTCTAATTTGGTTGAGATGCTGACTGTTGATGCACACAAACGACCATACCGGCCTCGGCCCAAGCTCTCCAAGTTTCTCATGAGCTGGTTTGAGGATGAGTCGTCGCATATCAATGCGCTGACGCCGAAGCTGTATGACCGCGCAGAGGAGTACAAGGTATTGATTGAAAAGTTCTCATGCGTCACTCCGGCAGTGGTCACGAGAGATCTAAACCAGATCTTGCTGGGCCGCAAAACTGCGGCACGTTTCACTGACGAGGACCTGAAGCTCTCTGCACCGGTGCGCTGGGCACCATTCCTGCCAAAGGAGGCGCCGAGGGACCCGTGGCATGAAGCACGAATGCGACAGACGATTCAATTTCCAGACAAGCGCCTACTTCAGTATGATTGCGGAAAGCTGCAAGCCTTGGACAAGCTCCTCCGCAAGTTGCAGTCTGGGGGGCATCGTGCGCTCATCTTTACGCAGATGACCAAGGTTCTAGATATTCTCGAGCAGTTCCTCAACATCCATGGACATAAATATCTGCGACTGGATGGTGCAACCAAGGTCGAGCAGCGACAGATCTTGACAGATCGGTTCAACCACGATCCGCGCATCTTGTGCTTTATTCTATCAACAAGGTCTGGTGGTCTCGGTATCAACCTGACGGGTGCGGACACGGTCATCTTCTACGACCAGGATTGGAACCCGGCGATGGACAAGCAGTGCCAGGATCGATGCCATCGTATTGGTCAGACGCGAGACGTGCACATCTACCGACTGGTTAGCGAGCACACGATTGAAGCGAATATTCTGCGCAAGGCGTCGCAGAAGCAGATGCTCGACGATGTTGTGATCCAAGAGGGAGAGTTCACTACGGATTACTTTAACAAGATGTCCATCAAAGACGTGTTGGCGGACAAGGTTGACAATACAAGCGAAGGAGTATCTGCGGCCGATGCGGCGCTGGATCGTGTGCTGGGCGGCGGCGACAGCAGCCGTGACCAGCGGACCGTGGGCAGAGCGCTGGAGCAGGCCGAAGACAGGGAGGATGTGGCGGCTGCTCGAGTCGCTGAAAAAGAGATACACGACGACGACGCCGACTTCACGGAAAAGGCAAGCGTCCCTGCGTCGGGAACGTCGACGACACGCCAGGGCACACCACTGGACAAGGCGGACGTGGTGTTTGGCGACGACGGGCAAGTGGTGGAGGTGGAATACAATGCGTATGGTGCGCGAATGGGTACGATTGACGACTTCATGCTGGCGTTCATGCGGGAAGCATTGCGATACACGAAACTGGATCTGCCCAAGGACAAGAAGAAGGCTAAAAAGAAGGGTAAGGACACGCGAAAGCGGTGATATTGGGTAGAGGGATGTTTTTGGGGTTTCTTTTCGTTTCCTTTTTTTGGGTATCATAATAAGGGCGTTTCAAAAGAGCAGGGGCTGTACAATAAAAGCGATCGATGCCGCTCTCTGAGGGGTTTGCCCCTTTGTTCATAATTTTTTGCACATCATTTATTGCATGGCGTCGGGGGCCTGCCTACATGGCCTTGCATGGTATCGATTGGATTGAATGGGAATTATTAATGGAAATAAAGGCAAAACTCGAACGCAGTTGGAAACTGGAAGCAGAAGTGAATAGGAAGGGACTATAATCAATATAACAATATGTTGAGCACAATGTGAAGAGTCCAGTGAGATGATGATTGGTGATGTTGTTGATGGATGGCGGTCTTGGGCAGGGAGAGGCTTGAATATTAGTGCCTGATAGCGCCTGATCAGCGAGTGACGCCATGGACTTGGGTAGGTACCTTGGGAGGTAGTAGTACCTAGACTACAGGTAGGTTAGTAGGTACCTCCTACACTTTTAGCAGGCTGACGCATTGAGCGGCCGCTGAACCAGGGCCTGAAAGAGTACCTCTTTTAGGGACATTTAGGTGCTCGATGTACCTATAGCGCGTTCCAGCGGCTTTATCCCCTAAAATAAACCCCCTGGCATCATCCCCTGGGAACCTTCCGGCCCATCTCCACCGCTCTTCTCGTCCATCGCCAAACGCCCGCGCCGGCTTTACTTGGTCTCTTCTCTTCTCTCTCCCAGTCCAGCCTGGTCTACGGCGTCCACTCCTTTGACACATCTGACAGCTCTCCTTGGTTCGCATCGTTGCATCAAGACGAAACCGGTGGCGCCGTTCCCTTCTCAGGCTACGATACCCCTGCCAGGCGCATAGAACATAGAAGGCTTGACGCGCCACCACAACGCCTCTCTGCCGCGCGCACACTGGGCTCGCAACCCCGATTCCTCATCCGCACTGAGGCAACTTTTTTCATTTTCGAACACGGAGCTGCGCAAATATACGTATCTCTGAATCGATCCTCCCGCGATGCAGGCGGCCGCCAAAGGCAAGCCCGACTTTCAGGGCCGGAGGACAAAGGTACGTCACATGGCGCGACCACCCCTGTGTCTGCTTTGCTTTTTTCTTCCTCTCTCTTCAACGATGCCGCATGCGCCTCAAACAAGCCAATGCCGCCCGTCAATGCAAAACTGGCTCTGTGATACTGACTTTCTATCTTCTCCTCCGCCCCTAGCTCGCCAATTCCTACCAGGAGCTGCTCAAGTCTGTGCCCGCGCGAACGCCTGTCGTTGCCGCTCTCGCAGCTAACCAACTCGCAGTGAATTCTCCAGCAACGATCTCAAGTCGGTCGGAAACTATACCCTCGGACGCCTAATCGGCAAAGGCTCCTTTGGAAAGGTCTATTTGGCCACGCACAAGCTCACCAATGGCTCCAAGGTGCGTTACGATAGCCTCGGCGGGCCACCCCTGTCGCACTTTCGCTCATGTCCATACAGGTTGTTCTCAAGTCGGCCAACAAGAGCGACTCGAATCTCGCCCGCGAAATCCACCACCATCGACAATTCGTCCACCCACACATTGCCCGCCTGTACGAAGTCATTGTGACGGAGAACCTCGTGTGGCTTGTGCTGGAATACTGCTCCGGTACGCTGCGCTACACGACAACGGCCCGTTTGGGGTACTAACGTACGGCAGGTGATGAGCTGTACAACTATCTCCTCGATCACGGCCCGCTCCCCGTCGACAAGGTCCAAAAAATCTTTGCCCAGCTGGTCGGCGCCGTCAGCTATGTCCACCTGCAATCCTGCGTGCACCGCGATCTTAAGCTCGAAAATATACTGTTTGATAAGCACGAGAATGTCAAACTGGTCGACTTTGGCTTTACGCGGGAATATGAGGGCCGGGTGAACCACCTCCAAACCTTTTGCGGAACAATATGCTACTCGGCGCCCGAGATGCTCAAGGGCGAAAAGTACGCTGGCGAAAAGGTTGACGTTTGGAGCTTGGGCATCATCCTCTACTCGCTGCTCTGTGGTGAGCTGCCATTTGATGACGACGACGACAATATCACGCGATCACGGATTCTGGGTCAGGAACCCAAGTACCCAGATCATTTGCCGTCGGAGGCAGTATCGCTGATTAAATCACTTTTGGCGAAGCGACCGATTTTGCGACCCGGCTTACCAGATATACTGTCTCATCCATTCTTAGCCGAACATGCCGCGACTCAGCAAGCGATCCTCCAAATCAAGCCGCAGCCTCCGTTCGCGTCACCTCTGGAGAAGGACTGCCTCCAACGGATGAGGAGTGCCGGCGTCGACATTGATGCGGTGATTGAGAGTGTTTTGTCGCAACGGTGTGATGCGTTGACTGGCTGGTGGATACTGTTGCTGGAAAAGGAGGAGCGTAAAATGAAACGACGCGAAATCAAGCGTCGAGAAAAAGAAGCGGAGCGGAGTTTGCGTCGCCTATCGGCCGCCTCAAGCCGGCTTGAGCGCCTGGCACCGACGTTGCAAGATGTAGACGAGGACGGTGGCCTCACCTCACAGTTTATACGACTCGGGGAGCATCCTTCCCTGCGACGCGGACGAAGCGACCGAAGAAGCGCAGGATATTACGATATCACGATAACAGACCTACCCGAGCTGACCGAGGTGGCCAGGGAGAACGGCTCAGCGAGCGGCGGCGAGTCCGCGCGGCCGGCCGATAACCAGTCTATCCGGTCCGTCTCAACCTCTTACAACCATCGACCGATACCACCGCCCAAAGAGGGCGTCATTCGAAGTGCAAGGTCGCGCGGCTCTACACTGCACCTCATCACAACAGCTGACTCGATCAACAGCAGAGCGCAGCCGAGCCCCGGGGAGATGAGCAACGGCAATGCCAACGGCACCACCTCCAAGTGGAAGAAGAAGCCCGGCATCATGGCCCACTGGAAGCACTGGACGCACTGGTTCAAGGAGAATGCCAAGGTCCGGCGCAAGGGCCACGAGCGCCACGCAAGTCGGAGCGAGTCGGACCTCCACACCAAGGAGAGTAAGGGTGGCGGCGCGGACAAGGAGGCAAGCCCGCGTCCGCAGACGAGCAAGTACCCCAACTCGACGACGAGCGGCGGGGCCAGCCACGGCACGGCATCGCTGCCCAAGGGCGTAGTGGCAAACGGCCACTACGGCAAGGCAGCGTCACCAGGACGCCGGGTGCTGTCCAAGAGCAGCACCGCGAGTAGTCTGACGGCGCCGCAGCCGCTGCGACCACGGGTGTCGAGCAACTCGCAAGCGTACAAGAGGCAGTCCATCTCACCTGCACCCATGACGCCGCGGTCTACCGTGCGTCGCTCATCGGCCGGCCTGCGCGGCCGCAAGTCGACATCGTCATCAGTCTCGTCTGTTCGGTCGCTACATCACCACCACCACACACACTCGAAAGCATCGTCCACCAGCTCCACAGGATCTGTTTCCACGTCCAAGACGCCCCTCGGCCGAACACACTCGCCGCACCACTCGGTCAAGATGCTGCCCGCCACGCCGACGTCGCACTCGTTCCCGTCCAATATTCGCCTCGTCCGCGGCTCCCCGGGGCCGGCCCCGCTACAGCTCTACAACGAGGGCATGCCGGGCGGCAGCGGCAGCGGCAGCAGCAGCCATCGCGCACCGGGGTCGCCGAATCCGTTTGCCGGCGGAGTGCAGTTTGCCAAACGCAAGAAGAACCTCTTCAAGGGCCCTAGCTTGAACTTGCCGACGATTGCGTCGTCGTCGCGCACGTCGACGCACTCGCGCAGCGGCAGCGGCTCCAACATGCGACGGTCTACCGAAGTGGCGATTCCTGGTATCCAGGAGGAGGATGAGATGGCCGAGGAGGATGAAGAAGAGATTGAAGAGGTGGAAATGTTTAATCCGATTGTGCGCGGACCGGGTGAGATTGTGGAGGAGCAGATTATTGAGGATGATGAGCTGCCGTCGGCGCTGGACCTCGATGACATGGAGCATGGCGCGGCTATTGGGGTAAAATGAGTTTTTCTACCTCGAGAGCCATCTGCATTGATTGGCATTGTGCGATTCTCGAATTTTTCTCGCTGTTTTCTTTTCTTTTCTTTTTCTACTGGTTATTCCTGCTGGAACCAACTATACCCACTTGTTTCAAGCTGCGAGAGTTGACAGATGAGTTTATACTGAATGATTTTTTGCACGGTGGACATGATCACTTGGGATACGCCGAGCGTTGTGGATGTGTGGGGCTGTATGAGGAAGCAAATGTATTATCATGTATGAATATATGCCATTGGCCATTACGTAGCTGCTACTGCATCATGTACTGTTGTCGTTCCCATTCGCGGGGGGTTTCCCATCCTTCGCTCTCGACGTCGTTCAATCTACAGCTCATTGCTCTCGCAGCTGGTGACCTCGTACTCGACCGTGTCGTTGCCCGTCTTCCAGACCTTGGGCTTGAAGTCGAGGTAGACGAGCTCGTTCTTCTCGGGCTTCCAGTCGCCGTCGGTGTCGCGGTAGTAGACGAGCTCGCCGGAGCCGGCGTCGCGCACCTCGACCGTCGTGTGCGAGAGGGTGCCGTCGGTCGTCCACGCCAGGTGGAAGCAGCCGTTCTTGGTCACGGGAAAGGGCTTGGAGCAGCGGACGTTGCCGTCGCCGTCGATGCACTTTTCGACGGCGTAGTCGAGGACCTTGCCCTTGGAGACGGAGTCGCCGGCTGTGTGCGTGTTAGCGGAGGGAGGACTGAGGGAGGGGGAGGCGGGAGTCCGTACTGAGCATGTTGGTGAGGGCGAGGCCGCTGGCAAAGAGCTTCTGAGAAGTAGGCAGATGCATGGTGATGGCGAGTTTGATGAGATGTGGTTGTTGTTGATAAGATTTGGGTAGTAAGACGGGCACAATGCAACGGGCAGAAGGGGCACTAGCCGCTTTATATTCACCGTGGAAAAGGTACCTGAACACTGGGGAATCATGCAAGGCCCCAGGCCGCGTAACATTGGGTACGTGAAACCGGATTTCTCGAGTGAACGCCCAAAGGGGGGGCGAATTGATGGTCTCGGCTCCTTCTGTGATGCGATCGATGACGATGACGTTCTGCTGTTTCGGGAAAGGTGGTTCGCACGGTCGGAGGCCCCCAAGCTTTCTCCCCCCCCCCCGACAAAGCCGACACGGGAAAGAAAATAAAGCTCAAATAAGCAGTTGGAGCTAGTCGGCATTAAACCCGCCTGATTCTTGGCAGGGCTGTAAGAAGAGTCAAAACAGGGTACTGCAGCCGCATTACTCGCGCGACACAAGCATGCCAGTGTTCATCGAGGGCGGCGTATAAGTGCCACAAGTCCGCCAACCACTGTGCAAGTTGACGACGGACATGTCTGCACCAAGGTGACGGGAATAGTGACATTTATTATCTGCGCATATGGGCACCTGGCGCGCGACCTGGTTTAAAGCGGCAATTACCCGTGTGCAGATCTAGCAAGAGTGTCAGTTCTTTGACAATGAGATTGCGGCGCGGAGACTCGGACAGACAGTCGTTTAACCAGCATGCGCAATGCCGTTGTTCATGGGGAAAGACAAAACCCAGAGCGAACTGAGAGGCAAGTTTGGTGGAAACACGGTCAACAACGTCATCCTCAGTCAAGGGGGCCACTATTTCCGTCACCAGACAATCGTGGAAGTCGCCGTTGGGGCCGTTGATGGTGACGGAGTCAAGGAGTGGAATGATGTTTTCGTGTCCTGCATGCCCGCTTCCAGGATCGCCGATTCTCTGCTCCGCTAGGTTCCTTTGCAAAATATTGACCGACCGAGACCCAGCGCCTACAAAACTCGTCAGCCTCGGGTCTTGCTCCGGGGCCAAACAAACGGCGACAAAATCCACTGATCTGCCACGTCCCTGGCCAGCCACACGGTGGAAAACGGGCCATGGCGAATCTTGGCATGAATCTTGTAGGCCTCCATATCTTGTACCTGGGCTTCTTGTCCAGGTCATCCACGCACGTCTGCCTCAGGGACAGGATCTCGCCCAGGAAGACCGGATGCAGCCCAGTTTTAGTAAGCGCCCCCCCAACGTTTTCGCATTCAGCTTCGTTTCCGGTAGCGAACAATTGACTTGATGAGAAAGGCTCCGGGGCAGGCAGAGGTACCTGAGGAGGCATTTCCCAGGTAGTTGTGATGTGTTCGAGAAGTCGAACAGCAGACACTGGCTACGCGCGGCAGACGCCCCTCGCCCCCGCCGGGCGTCACGCCTTTATCCGTTCTTACATGACTACGGCTAGGAAAGATGAACGTCGCACAAGTGACTCATTCAGCCAGACGAAAACGCAACATGACTCTGACCAAGCTGCGTCAAGACTTTTCCATGCCCAGATACATATTCAAACACACCACGGCGCCTCCAGGGTAGCAGACCGGCAGCCCGCGACACGACAATTTTCATGAATAGAGCATAGATAGAGGTACTAGATTAACGCACAAAAATTCATATTCAGATTGCTATGCTTATAAAATAGCCCCAGAATCCTACCAATATCAATGCTGAAAGTTAATGCCAAAGTCCAACATCCGACATCCCGCCCATACCTATCATCCTCTTCACCTATAAAACCCCCTTTGCACGGCGGGTTCGTCCCCGTACGTGCCCCCCATCGACTCCCCTCCACCGTCCCCAAAGCAACTGTGGTGCCCCCGTTGCTCACCAAACCTCCAAAGCAGCCATAACCCGGCCAGTGTCCATCATAATCAAGCGGGCGGCGGCCCTTGACCCCCCCACGACGTTCTCGCCCGAGGTAAGTAGCCATCAGACGTGCTTGCCTATATTCGCACCGCGCGGCGCTGGCGAGTTTCCGCGGGCGCGCCCCGTGCCCGGCCGACGTTTGCCGTCTCCACGGCCTAGTAGTAAAGTCGAGGATACGAGGGCCAGGTGCGGCTATAGTTGTGGCTCGTGTGGCTGCTGAGGGTGGATGTGCTGCCGTCAGGGTGATGTCGCGTGCGGTGCGTGTTCGAGTGGTAGGTCTCGTAGGTCGCCGAGGGACGGGAATAAGGCACGTAGACAACTCGGGGCGTCACGTCATAGAGAGGCATGCCAATGAAGACCGAAGGCGCAGTATATAGCGGCACAGGCGCAAAGATGGGCCCAAACATGGTCGGAAGATTTTTTTTTTTTTTTTTTTTTGCAAGGGAAAGATAGATGTATTGGTGCTGGCTGCGAGGCCAAAAAAGTGCGATTTAGGAAATCGTCGAGGGTACCGAATGTAGGCGTGGTGTGTATGGCATGGTTTGCTGGGTTCGAGGCAATTATCGTGTCCGAGGAGGAAGCGACAGGCGTAGCTTTTAAGCAATAGGCATGCCTTCGAAGACGGGACGAAGACGCTCGAAATAGCGCCCCGTCGCACATGTGCTGCGTCCATCAAGGGAGAGAAGGGTAAGCAAGCGCCCGAGTATCGGAACAGGAGTGGGAACTGTAGTAGTCGCACATGGACTTCCTTGAGCAAGGAAACAAGCCCGCATGCGCTGCACGTCGTATCCGATATAAATGCCAACATAGTTACACGTGCGCGGCGACGAACAAGTAGAAAGGGGAGTAGGCGCCTGATCATCGCATCGGAGATAGACGCTGCGTCTTTGTCACACACTTCTCAGCACTCAAAGCACAAAGCGGCCCGGAGAACTTTGAAAGAGGGAGAGAATGCCCGTCTCCGTGTCTAAGTTCATTTTTCTCATTACCCGATGCATTAGTATACAAGTATTCTCCATCCATTACTCGCCCGCCACCACATGTTCCATGTTGCCGCGCGATTTATGTTTCTGTGCTCACAAGGCGTTGCGCTCCTGCTGCTTGCGCAGGCGCTCCACCACGCCGACGCGCTCCTCGCGCAGCGTGACCCAGAGCCAAAACCAGGCCACCATTTCGACGAAGCAAAAGGTAAATATGACGCGGTTTTTGAGGCCGTCAGTGGCGGAGTCGCCGCCGCCAAAGAAGCCGGGCTTGCGGCTGGTGCCGGTGGTGTAGACGCCGAGGGGGCCGGTCGGGCCAAAGGTGTAGCTGTAGAATACGAGACCCATGGAGAAGACAAATCGAAGGGGTGCTACATTTTCGAACAGGTTGTGTCAGTTTATTTTCTCTCTTCTCAACCGAAAGTGTAGACAGCAACAGCAAGCGAAGCAAGGACCAACACACCTTGCGTGCCCCAGTAGTAGAGCGCACCCAGCTCTTCGGGCATGGACAAGGACACGAGGTCGCTCAGGCCCAGCAGTGCGAGGACGACGGCGAGAAAGGCGAGTGCCGGGGAGGGTGCGTCGAGGCCGCGGGCGGGTGGCTGTGCGACCATGTTTCAATCACAGGTTAGCAAAATGTTGCGCCGCACACAAGGGAGGGTATCCGTGACACGGGGCGCGTACCAGTCCCATGCTGCGACCGAGAATGTAGACGAGTATCTGGTCATCAACGGTGCGCGGGTTGAAGAGCATAAAATAGGCCATGGTGAGGTGGAAGAGGGATATTGAGGTGATGATGGTCTTGCCAGCAATGAGCGCCATCTTGTCGGGAGGTTATCGGGTTGCCTGTCGATCGTGTCGCGTGTTCTCTGGTCGCAGAGGAGGTCTCTCGTCGGAAGTGCTTTCGAATCGTGCACTAGTCGTCGATCTCGAGATATCGGCTAGGTCTATCGAGAAGACGCCTGTAAATGTCCGCCGTAGTTTGTCGTGTGATTGTTACAAGGGTGGGAGTTGTAGTGTCGCAAAGAGACAAAGGAAGAGACGAGGTGGCGTGGCTTTGTTTCCAAGTTACCCCAGGACAAAGCGGGGTGTGTCTGTTGAGGCAGGCTGTGTTGTCTGTGTGGCAGTGTGTATTAAAGAAAAGCATGAAGGGGAAGAAAAAGGATGTATAAAAGGACATACAATAAAAGGAAAAAAACACAAAGCGCGAGGGAAAGCTGCGGTAGCAATAGAGGAGAATGTTGTGTTGGAGAAACGAAGTGGTGCAGGACGAGGCTCGTCGCGTTGTAAATTCCAATAGCCCAAAGTGCTGGGCGCGTTGCTGCATCAAGCCACTTTCAAAGTTGGTGGTGCAGGGGCCTAAGTTTTGAGTGTGGCGCTGTTTAGTTGGCGTTGTGGCGTGGGGCTCGACGGGCGTGGGAGTTCGCCATGGTATCATTTTGTCTTGGCGGCTTGTTTTAGCTGTCGCCTGCTTGGCTTCGGAAAAGAGTAGATTGTTAGTCATGAAGAAATGTTCCATCGTAGGCACCACATTTGCGGTGGACTGACATAGTATAAGCTGGACATGGACACTTCTGATATGCACTTGCCACGGGCTAACATTTGAAAGTCGTTCCCCACGGACTTTGTGCTGAAAACATCTATCGAAGCAAAAGGTATATAAATGACCCCGCGGTATAAATGGAATGACGAGATAACAATCCAAGTCGAGAACCTAGCAAAAACCAACAAAACGCCGCCGCCGAAAGCGCCTCCTAGTAGTACACGCTGTCTCATGCCCAAAATAATTCTATAAATATGCCGTAAAGTGGTCATTTTCATAGGTATCAAGCGCCCGATATGATTAATACAGAAACTGGCGCAGCTGCGGAAAATACTCTGACCACGGCGAACCCATGGTCCAGTTGCGCAGGTCCGATGCAAAAATCTCAAATTCAGGATTCAGTTCGATGCCACCACGCTCCGCCTTGGTCATCAGACTCTTGCCGGGCGGCAGTACTAACCGCATGGACCGCAGGTACAGGTCCACCGAGTGTCGGGCGTCCTTGTGCTGATTGAGGCAGAGATAGTTGCGCAGGGCGGGGAAGGGTATGAAATCGAGGGACTTGGGGTGTGGTATTGTGATTTGGGACCGCGTGGGACGCATAATGGGGGGCACATCAGCAATGGTCTCGGCTGATGGGTAGAAGCGCCACTACGTCAACGTTAGCATTGGCGCATAACAGAGCCGGGCAGAGTATACTTGCCCGCAGTAGCCTGTATGAGAGAAGGAATATGCCACACAGTGACTCTATATTCGTAAAGTCATACTGGCGTAAAATAGACGACATGATGATGGCAATCAGGTTGGACGTTTCTGTGGGGTGCAGTAGCAGATCCTGCAGGCTGGGGTTTCGCGGGGCCGTCATGGGACGCATGTTGGTTTGGCTCGCCACATTGCTAAACTCGAAAGCCATGGTGACGGAGATGCGCTCCGTACACTGAACGTCGGCGTTGTGCTGCTTGCCGCAGCGACACTCGACCACGGGGCTCTCGCCGCGAATCTCGGCCAGCAAGGCCTCCATGTCCATCTGGGCCTCGAGCGGCTCCTGAGGAAAGACGTGCTGGGCGTAGAGCCGGTCAGTGAGGTGGTCGGTGAGGTGGTTGGTGGGCGGATGGAAGAACGGGCCGCCGCCGCCGACATGGGGGGGTATGGCGGGGGCGACCAAGGTCAGCGGCGTCGTCGGGTCCGGGGATGAGCTCCATGATTCGGGTTTGGGCGGGCACAACAGCTGGCTGGGAAGCGTATGCAGCGACTGCGGAGAGGGCCCGGTGTGAGATGTCGTCGGGGTCTGGTGGTGGTGTGCTGGGTCCAGGCTGAGCTCGCGCAGATGCAGCATCATGTCGCCCATTGTGTCGCGGAGAAAGGAGACATCGCGCTCAATGTTTTCGAGGCGCGTCTTGTTCTCGGCACGGTTCTCGCGGTGCTTGAGCTTGTCAATGCGACGCTTGTTGCCAAGTTGCTCTTCAGTGAGTGTGCGTCGGGTTTTGGGCGGAGATTTCGTTTCCATGGCGGTGTTGGTGGTGGGGGATGCAGGCAAGGCCACGAAGCGGAACGCAGCACAGATGACTTAATAGATATAGAAAGGAGCGCCGGACAGCGAGAATGCGAATCGGGATTTCGATATCCTGTAGGATTTTAGCAGCAGCTTGAGCGATTTTGCCAAGTGATGACGGGGGAATCCAAGGCATGTGCAAACGGTGGACGGAAACCAATGGGGTGGCCAGTGGAGCGGCATTTGCCGTTGGTCGTTGGCAGCTGGGAGATGCATTAATCTGGTACAACAAGGCATCGATCAAAGGAGCCATTGTGAGAGACGACAGTCGGCAGTTGGGTCAATTGTCAATTGCCAGGCGGGCTGTGCAAGTAGTGTGGCTTCACCCTTCGAGAATGAATCGTCCCGCCGTAGCGCAAACCTTGGGCTCCTCGCCGCCGTCGGGTGCCCAAAACGCGGGGGCCGTGGGGGACACTATCCTCAGACGGGATTGACCATTATCAATGTCTCGTCCGGACGGTCAGGATGGTCGACCAGCACACTAAACTGCCCGAAACGGCGCGGCGACGCCGAGGTGTTGATGGCGCGGCTCTGCGCAAAAAGTGCAGATGGAAGCTTGTGCCCACATACCGTAGCCTTTGACAAAGTGGAGATCCGATGACCCTGTAATATGATGCATCGCGCCACCTGTCAATACGAGGTAAGATGTAGATTGATTAAATCTTCCCCTGATGTTCGTGGTAGCAAATGCTCTTTGTAAGAGAATGGTAATGCCACAACAGAAAATCGTCAACTATCATCCAAAATACGGTACATCCATTTGTTTATCAACTCCATCTCAAAATATTCGGCATCGTGCCACCATCCACCCTGCATTCAGCTCTCAGGGGTTGCATCTGCTTCTCCGTTCCCCAACCGCCAGCCTGGCTTTCCATCTTCATGACCCCCGCACATCTCCAGCCCAGACTCGAATCCTTGCACCGTTCAATCACATGTCAAACTCGCGAAAATTACCCATCTAGGGCAATGACTGACAGACCGCTAGCCCGCCATTATGCAGCCCTCAAAAGCATGCACACCACCCCCGCAAAAGATCAGAGGCAGGCGTTGTTTGTGGGGTGAGAGAAAAGAAGACTTGGCTCAAAGGCATTGGCTTTTGTCACTTCTAGATAGGGCATCACTTGCCCAAAAAATCCAGCAGCGCATCTCCAACTAACATGGGCAGCACCTTGAACTGCGTCTGGTCCAACACCTCTGACAGATCCGCCTTTTTGCTGCATCCCTTGCGTGCCACTCCTGAGCGCCGGTTATCCCCCGCGTGAACCACGAAAACGCAAGCGGCGCGCGAGAAGACATCCCGCATGTACTCAACCGACACGCCCGCGCCGCCGTACAATCGCGTCATACATGAGCGGAGAGTTGCGACCCTTGAACAATGCCTAGCACATACTTGTACAGAGATACTGCCCCATCGACAGCCAGGTACTGCTTCAGCGGCGAGTAAAAAAGCGGTTTAGCCTCGGGCTTGCGCCGCCTCTAACACGGCATCACGTCGGGGTACGGTGATCTGTGATATGAGGCCCAGCATTCCCGCGATGGCGGGCACCGGCGTGTACGCCGGCAGCAGCTCCGGGGCCTATCGGCTCGCTAGACTGCTACTTGAGTTTCCCCATGTTGTCACCTTGGCATCGCTCTTGATGCTGGTCGTGGCAGTCAAGGCCAGCGCCGCCCGGAAGCCGCCGACCGTGGCGAAGCCCGCGAGCTTGTTAGCAAGGTTCAGCTATGTGCCAAACAAGGGCCCACGGCCCGGGTTATGCCAGTTAATCGACGCTGCGTCAATGGCAATCTGGTTCGACAGCACCTTGCCAAGCTTCGGATTATGGGGACTATGTACATATGACCATGGTCACCGTTGCAATGGCGAGGCTATGGGGTTCGCTCGTCCGATGCAGCAATTGCTCCGTGTACGAAGTTGTTTAGGCTGGCCGGCATGAGACCAAAAGCGGCCACTGCGGCCGCCGGCGCTCGCTGCTGTAGTATCTCGCCGGGCTTGTGTTTTGGTAGGTCGCCTGGGAAATCGAACGAGTCCTTGCTGGGTAGAGTTAGCCCGGCACGGGCCTGTAGAAACGTGGACGCCGGGATGGCACTTGCCAAGCCTGCGAGGGCCGCGACCATGAGGGAAGCGACAAAACGGATGTCTAAGTTGGCGGAGCTGCGTACAACCTGGAACTTTGTAGAAATTTTATAAAAATTAAACCACCGTCATATTCATGTTATCTCTACGATTGAGCTAATCCAGAGATGGTACTTGTTTGCATCTACCTCCCCTGGTCAGTCTTTCCCAAATGGGCTGCGGAGCGAGGCAAACCGGCGCCGGACGACGAGAACTCGACACGGCCTCCGGACTACGACGCTGCGGCTCCCTGTTATCCTCGGCATCCTCAAAAAAACCAACGGCCCGGACCAGCTTTCGTTTGGGGTGTCAGCGTTCCATTCTGACAGGCAAGCAACAACGTGGCTGGATGTGACCCCCCCCCGCGGCTCCGGAGTATGTGGGCCCGACGTTAATATTCGACGTCGAACAGGCCCGCCTGGGTCAGGTGAATTCCGGCGCGTCCGTGGCGATCTGTATTCGTTCCGTGACAGATTTTGATCTCGGGTTCAGACCAATCACACGCCATCAAAGCTCTTGGCTTCCTCAACACCACCTATCAACTTCGTGATGGCCGTGTGGCCATGAAGTTCTCCGATAAGGTAATGGTTCTCGGCCGAGTAATATTGTTGCCCGCAGTTGTTAAATTCCCCTTATCGCTACATGTATTAATGAATCTAAATAGCAAGGTCTACTGGGAGGTTTCAAAAACTGATGCCCGAGTCATTTAAGAAAGAACGAAGTGGGAGAGCGAGAGGAGAAGGATCTTCGAGACCAAGCTACTAGAACGCGTTTAATCATCCTCCGTTGGTTTGCTCTTCACTGTCTGTTCAGTCTCGTTTACCGCCTCGTAGATTTCTCAAGTTCTTCCGGCCAATTCGTACCTTTCTTGACACACGTCTCTTGTTGAACAATAGTTCACCCTCACCACAGTTTAAAATATGATAATAATTAATAACTATAACCTATAACCCTCACCACAATTTAAAATATGATAAGAAATTAATAGCTATATAGTAATAAGCTCAAGTGTTGATGATTGTGTGTCGCTGGTGAATAATGTTATTGCTACCTAGAACCCGAGGCTGTGTGCAACCGCCGAAAACGCAGCCCCCCCCCCGGCGATCAAAATGTCTCTTGCGCAGCAAACGCCGCCTTGTACTCGGCGTCCCACTTGGCCTCGTACTCGGCCATGGCCTTTCTCGCATTTTTGCGCGCTTCGGCCTCGTCCTTGTCGAGCGCGGCGCGCTTGGCCTGGATCTCGGCCATGGCACCGTGCAGGCGCTCGCGGTGGGAGGCGGCGACGGCCTCGAGCTCGCGCATCTGCTCGCGCAGCTGGCGCGCGACGTTGCACAGGTTCTGCACGTACGCGCGCGCGGCCGGCAGCGCGTCGGGCCCGCCGAGCGCCTGTACGACGGCGAGCGCGGCGCGGATGCCCTCGCGCAGGCTCTCGTACGGCATGTGGCGGCGCACGAGGGCGGCCTCGTGCAGCGCGAGCGTGGCCCGCGTGCTGGCGTCACCGCTCACGAGGCCGGCCGGCAGTCGCAGGTCATCCGGGTAGCGGCTGAGAGTGTTCAGCCAGTTCGGCAGCGTGGCCGACTCGGGGCAGTCCCACCGCCGCTCCTTGAGCGCGTTCGGCAGGTGCTTCTGTATATACGCGAAGCAGACTGCCTCCATGGTGCTCTGCACGGCCAGGCAGACATGGTACTGGACGATAAAGGGCACCTGGATGGGCAGCTTGGGGTCCGCTGTTGGTTTTGCTCGTTAGAATGGACGGGCGTTGTTGGTTCAAGGTGTGGCCGCTGCAGCCGCGTTGGGGCCCAACTCACATTGCGCCGGTTCCGCGTCGTCGAGGAGGAGCTCCTCGATCGAGGGCAGCTCTAGGAACTTGTGGTAGGATTCGTTTTCGATTTGCTCCGGGCACTCGCTGCTGCTGGGCGGCGTCGGGACCCTGGCGGCGGCTGACGGCGTGGTGATGGCTCGGTGCTGTTGGGCCGAGATTTGCGCCATTGCTTCGCGCGTGACGACAAAGGGCTGGTATTCGCCACACGACAGTATGCGGACGGATTCAATGTGCTGGTTGCTCTGCCACAGAAGCTCCACGCGCCTCTTGAGCTTGCTGTTTGACACGTAGTCATGCTCGTGCTTGCTAAAGTATCCCAGGTCGCGTAGTGCGGCCGAGACCATGGCGCGCAGCTCGCTGTTCCATCGCGAGGCACTCGACGCGTCGCTTCGCGGCATCTTTTGGACGCGATTCAATGTAGCCGTGGGAGCAGACGAGGGTAGGAATGGACTTTACTGTGAGAGAATTGAGAGGAAGACTATTAGGGATATTAGGGATAGGGATATATAGGTAGCCATGCAGTCGCGGTGAAGTTTTTTTGGTCTCTGAGAGGCAGGGGCAAAGGGGTAAACCCCCGCCCCCACATGGATACCTAAAGGATATTAATGGGAAATCAAGTCTTGTTTGCCTCCCGTCTAACGTGTATTTTTAGTTGATGAGAAGAGTAGAGGCCTTGTCATGTTTTTTGAAGATCTAAGGAGGATTTCAAGCGCGTTGATGCCCTGCCGTTCTGTAACCAGAGATGTTATTATATGACCCCGCACCTGTTTTCTCAGTATTAACCTTTGATGTTGTGCGCCCTGTATCCCGTATGGAGTATCTCGCTATGGCTGGCGCTGTCTTAGCTTAACTATTACAAGTCTTCGGCATTGAGCACGACTTTTGAGCTTAATAAGTCTCCCCGTCCAAGTCAGAGAAGCGCCGCTGAGAGGGCAATTTTCCTCGCTCCCTGCTTTCATTAATGGTTGTCGTGTCCTGCCGACGGAGTTCTTTGAGGTTCTGGACCTATGTCTCACTAACCCTTTTCTACCCGCGACAAAGGTGCATGTTGCTCCGTTACAGCTAATTTGTATGATCACTTGATAGTGTTAAATTCATTGGGCGGTCCCTAAACATTCATAAATAATAACTAGTGTACGAATTACAGAGTACCAGACAGAACTAACCAAAGTCTAACACCAGCCAGCCCTAGGCGGATCAATTCTTTGGAAAACTACAAGAACCCCCTCTGTTTCTCAAAAATAGTCCCTGCATTCTTCCCTTTACCTCTACATTGCTTAACTGAAAATGAAACTCACCATCATCGCGACATGCACCCTCTTCGTAGGCGTGGCGCTGGCCGCGCCCCTGGTGCCTATACCTGGGCCTGCAAAACCGCCTGTAACAAAGTGCGAGCCTGGTCTACATTTGGTAGGATAAATTCGACTGCAAGCGCTATTTCACGGAACTGACCTGTTCTCTTTTTCCCCAGTTTAAAGGTGACAAATGCGTGGAACCCTAATGGCCCGCTTATCTGCATCCCCTACGGCGCTGTACAGTAATGGGTTCCAACTGGGCAACTCATTTGCGAGTACTGGCAAATTCACATTCAAGGATCACAGGACAAGTCGGATAGCTCCGAATCAAAAAGGGGTTCTAGATATGGAAATCCATGCCGCAACTCGGCCGCCTTCTCAAGTTCAATGCGCCTGCGACTACTTATTCTGTGCCGTGCGAGCGCTTGTTTGCCGAGCGTTTGGCGAGTAGGTGGATGAGTGACTATTCAAGCGCTCACGTCGTCAGAAATGTACTGCACATCAATTTTTTTTTTAGCTAACTGCACTACTTGAAATAATACTCAGTGCTGCACTGTACCTTGCTGGAGCATGCAGGTGAATTTACACGTGACAAGGCTGGCGAAATATAAAGCAATCAAGTTGGCGCCGAGAGCCGCCAACTTCACCAATCCACCAACCCCCCGCAGCGCACCAAAGCACAGCCAACCAACCAGGCCCGAAAATGGCTGAGGCGCAATCCTCCTACGGCGTGTCGCCGTACAAGGTCGACTGGCCCTTCAACGGCTGGCTGGTCGTGATTCTCCTCTTCGCGTACGGCGGCCTCGTCGTCAGCCGCCAGCTGCTCCTCTTCGTCGTCCTCCTCGCCAGCGCTGTTATCCTGCTCTCAGACAGCACCTCAACCTGGGGCGAGACCCTGACACTTCTCGCCGCGCTGCCCCTCGCTCTCGGCGGCGTGCTGGCATTCCTCTGCGCCCCGACCTCGTTTCGCGCGCGCCACTTTGGCACGCTGACCGTGCTCGTCAACCTCGCCGCGTACGCCTACGTCGGGCGCGGGGTGCTCGTGCCCGCCGAGGGCACCTTTCGCGGGTGGTGCGGGCGGCTGGCGGCCTTTTGGCTGTGCGCGTCGCTCGTGCAGCAGGGCTGCTACCGCGGCTGGCGCACGCTGGGGTCGCCGCACGACCGCGTGCTCGTCTTCACCGCCGCCAGCCGCACCTGGATCGCCGCGCACGCCGTCTACCGCTACATCCTGCGCACCATGCCGGCCACGCACGGCCCGGGCCACCGGCTCCGCCTGCTCGACGCGCTGTCGCTCGCGCTGGCCCTCCTGCTAGCGCGCGCTGCGGGCGTGCCGTTTGCGCACTGCTTCGTCATGGCCGACGTGCTGGTCGTGGCCGCGGCGGCGGCGTGGTCGGCCGTGGCGGACGCGTTTGGCCTGCTCCCGCCGGTTGGGGAGAGCGTCGGCTTCGATATCGAGCGGGACTTGTTCTTGGCGGGCTTGCAGCTCTCAGTGGCGCTGGTGGCGGCCGCGGGCATGTTTGAAGCGTGGGTGGACAAGTCGGTCGAGGACGAGAAGCGTGAAAAGGCTAGAAATCCGCAGCCACCGAAGCCGTGCAAGCCTGCCGTTACCACAAGCTATGAGATGTATGAAGTTTAAATCATGCCCGTTGTACGTGGATGTAGATATGGGGGACGACGAGACACATTTACGATATCAAAAATGCAGGGCTAGGCCTGGATCATGGCCAACTGTCTACATGGTGAACTGGCGTAGAGAACAAGTATGACATAATCCAACTTGGGTTACATGACCGCGTTGCCGCGGCATCAGATGACGACCTGTACTGTGTCACGATGGACTGTGTCGAGGGCGAACGCAGCAAACCAGGTGGGGAGAATGCGCGCAACTGACCCAGGTCTTTTTTATGCCATTGCCACTGCGATGTTGCTGTCCCCGGCGCATTTTGTTCCTCGTCCAGAAGATTGGCGTGCTTTGCCGCCGTAGCCGTTCGGGCAAGGGGGTTTGAGATGGGAAAACGCCATGCAGACCGAGTCGTGTGACAGAGCTTCTGTCAAGGCGGCTTGGCGCAGCATGCAGTGCGAGGCACAGCTGCAGCCCACCTACGTTGATACCATAAAATCAATGTATCGAGGCAAGTGGTGATGGCGGTGGAAGTTGAAAGTCAACCACGAATTTGCCTTTTCTCTTTTTTCTCCCAAGATAAATGGCGATGTGTGGCGCGACGCCGGCTCCAGCCACTCCAGCCACGTCAAGCCCCCGCCGTCCCAAAATAGCGAAGCAAATCGCGAATTGCCCGCTTCAACGAACAACAAGCGAGGCATCTCGATATCGACGTGACGACCGTGGGCAAACGTTTGCTGCAGAAACATGGCGCCGGCGTATTCCTCTGCATCACCTGTCCGCTATTGCTGCTCGATGCAGCCGCTCCGAACCACCCTGCAGCCTCCCTGACCTCACGAGCTGCATACTCGGGGAACGTCCGCGACCGGCATCCCCCGTCCGAACAGCCGGGCGGTGTTGTCACATTGTCGTGCCCGTACATGTATTTCCGCCTTCTCAGCTTCATTCTTAGCTCGCTGCATGTCTAGGTCATGGTATCTCTCACACTGTCTCGATATCCCATTCCGAAGGCAGCTACTTGTCCCCAACTCCTTTCGGGAACAAAAAAATGGCTCGCCTTCTTCGTCTTCTACCCCGTCCACCTCTTCTCTTCTCTGGATGATAAGAGCAGCGTCTTGGCGCCCTCGGAAGCACGCAAATTGAGGGTGGTATGGTAACTAATTACAGCTTCAGCCCCATCCGACACTAATCAGCAACCGACCCGCAACGTCAGACTCTGACTGATTTGTTTCCTCCACCCCGACGGGTCGCCGCTTCCCTTTTTTCTTCTTACGCGCTTCTTGCGCTTCTTCAATTCACATTGATTTTGACGCCTCCTCGTTCCCTTGTCCAACATGCCTCCTGCTACTGCGGATCACGAGTCGGCGCCGCTGCTGGTCGCGCGGCGCGATACCGACGAGACCCTGGCCGGCTCGGGCGAGACCATCGGCGCTACCACTAGCTTTCAACCGGACGGCGACCAGGAGAATCCGCTCGAGTGGACGCCGTCGTTTAAGTGGTTTATTGTCTTTTTGCTGTCCATGTCTGCCTTTACCGTGTATGTAATGTACATCTTGTCGCCATCCTGACTTTGATCCGCTAACACAAAACGCAGCACCTTTTCCTGCGTGTCCGTCGTCCCGGTAGCCCGTCGCATATCCCGCGACCTCGGTGGCCGCCCCGACGACACCTCCTCCGAGGTGCTTCTCGTAACCATCTGGGAGCTCGGCGAGGCGGCCGGCCCGCTGCTCATCGGGTCCCTCTCGGAGCTCTTTGGCCGCAGCCCTGTCATCAACACAGCCAATGTCTTTTTCGTCGCCGCCCTCGCCCTAGGTGCCCTCGCCCCGACGCTGCGCTTCCTCATCTTTACCCGCGCCCTCACCGGCGCCGCCGTCGCCATCAACGTCCTCGGCCCCGCCATCATCGGCGACATCTTCGTCCCCGACCAGCGCGGCACCGCCGTGAGCATGATCCTCTTCGCGCCCCTGCTCGGCAGCTCCATCGGCCCCGCGTTTAGCGGCGCCGCCATTGAGACGCTCAGCTGGCGCGTCATCGTCCTGGTCAGCGTCGTCCTGGCCACCGTGTGCTACTCCATATCGTTTGTCTTCTTCCGCGAGACCTACACGCCAGCCATTCTCCGCCGCCGCGCCGCTAAAGTGGCCGCCGCCGGCCTGGCATCGGACATGGATAAGCCGCCGACCAAACACACCTACAAGTCGCTTTGGCTGTCCATCGCGCGGCCGGCGACTGTTCTGGCTAGCAGCGGTGTGCTCATGGTGATTTCATTCTACATTGCCATCATGTTCTCACACTTCTACGTGGCTGCCATCACCATGCCCAGAATTATCGAGGACGTTTACCACCTATCGCCTACGGCCGCTGGATTTTCCTTCTTCTCCAATGGTAATGAATCATGTTGTCTCATCAGGAATGTCAAGCTAACACATTGTAGCCATCGGATCTCTCATTGGCATCATGGTCTGCAAGCAATGGCTGGACGCCATCTACATCAAGCTTCGCGACAAGAACGATGGAGTTGGGCTGCCAGAATTTCGCCTGCCAATTGCCATTATAGGTGCCGTCACCATGATTCCTGGCGTTGCGCTCTACGGTTGGTGCGCCGAGTACAACTGGAGCATCTACGTCTTCCTCACCTCCTGCATCTGGGTCCGCATGTCCCTCATCATGTCCTTTACGCCCTTGACTGCCTACGTCGTCGATGCATGCGGTCTTTATTCCGCGTCGGCATTAACTGCCGTCATTGTCATCCGCTGCCTCGCGGGTGCCTTCTTGCCGCTGGCGATTGACAAGCTCATCAATGCTATTGGCTATGGCTGGGGCTTTACCGTCTACGCGCTGGCTACCCTAGTGGTAGTCTCAGTGCCTGTTGGCCTTTACTACAAAGGCGAAAGCTGGAGGAGAAATAGCGAGTATACCATGGTGGAGGAGCATGTGGGAGCTGAGTAGGCAGCATGGGGACCGGGAGAAGAAAAGCGTATTATAGACCTGATACATATCTTTAAATACAATATCATTAGTAATATCCTACGCATTGTCTAGCTTGAAGAACGCTGCGAACATGTGTCATATCATCAGGTGTATGAACTTCACCTTTCATTCTCAATATGGTTAGCGCTGCTGATGAAGAATTATTGAAGTTACAAGGTACATATAGAATTGTTTATAAGAATAATTGAGTATATAATGTTTTAACGAATATGATGCTTTTGCCAATAAGCGCCCGCTTTCTGAGTGGTTTTCGGAACAGCAGGTGAAGGCACGCCTGTTTCCTCGTGGCTTACCAGTTTTGGTATATCAAGCCTTCAACATGGCGACCTCTCAAGACAAAGAAAACATTTATCTTCTCCCCGATGCCGTCCCGAGCATCATAAAGGGCGATTTAATAGTCCGGGCTTTTATTCCATGGGCCCTTTATTCCCTCAAAAGCGAAGTCTCCGAGTCTAGGCTACGCCAACTAGCGACGACATGGGAGGACGACTACGTGCTTGAGATGGAGAATTCAGACAATGTTCATCTCATCCGGTCCGCGCCTGCACCATCCCTCTACCAGTCCAGCCTCCAATCAGCCCTGGACGCCCATATTCAATACGGCCATGACAATAGAGATAATATGAGGTACTTTCCATGGGGGTTCCTCGTCGTGCACGACACAGACTGGGAAGCGCAGGGACTGTGGCTTGTTTATGTGGATGTATATGGTGACAACCCGCTGACTGCGTTCCGGGTGCTGACGACGACTGTAGCGGAAGCGTGTGAGTCGTTGAGAAATGAAGAGGACTCGGCAAGTCAAGTGGCGGAATGGTATGCGGTGGAAGAGGAGTGTGTGTAGATGGAAAGACTAGATCAATTTTGACTTCCTGCCCTGAACTTATCAGATGAACCTAGACCGACGACTTTTGCTGGCAGAATCGGTCCAGGAGAATCAGTAGGCCGAGACTATAGATCAAGTTGATAGTAAATCTGATTTGGGCTCAAACGTTCTCTCGCAATTTTACGAGCTTCTCGTTTCGGGTAAAAGGAGTACCTATGGTACTTAAGGCACTTTTGCTACGCGACATCATTCTGATTCCAAGGCCTGTATGTACTATTTGTCCACCACACCACCAATTGTCATATCCACTCAATTGTATCACCTATAGCTGGGCTCATGAACGGAGGATAGCCGAAACTACTGCTCCGCGCTCTTTCGGGCGGCCGATGTCATTCTGCATTCTGAAATCATGGCGAATTTACTATAGCCAGCCAGTGCTTCTACTCCGGGCTTCGCCCGCGCCGGTAGTTCGCCGACTGGTGGGCGTTTTGACCAGAATGCAGTTAGGCTAACCCGGGTTCAAGCAAAAAGGCGCGACTCATCGTTGATGCGTCATTGTAGCTGGCAAAAGGGCGCTACCCTGGGCCGGTGTCTGTCGGACGCAAGACGACTTCCTCCCCAGCGAGGCTTGGCTTGGCTTCCCCAGGGCCAAGACTTGCGCCCACCCATCGCCAAGCCGGGAGGCGGGAAGCGAGGCGAGTTGTTGCAGATGCTGGGAGGGCTTGCGATGCTGGGTTTCTATTTGCCCATGAACTGGGTCCTTTCATTTCCCCTCAAACTCATACCTGAATCTAATTAGGGACCAGTTCTCGTCGGCCGACCGAGCTCGTGTGTTGTGCTCGTGTTTCTCGTAGATGGGGGGGAAATAATGACGGAGAATAAAGGAGAGTCCACACGGGGATAAGCTTCAAACGTCAAGCAAGCCATGGGCGCAGCTGCCAAATGTCCCATAGTAGTTGTGACAACTTGTAGATGGGGTGGCAAGCCGCCGAACAAAGTGGGACACACTTTGACAGGCACGCTAACTATCCCCTTGGCATCTCAATTCGATCGTGCGGCTTACAGAGAATTTCGTCTCCAGACGCCGTGCCAATCGATGCGGCGGTGACACGGTAGCATCCAGAGATCGGCTTGTCGCGCCCACTCCCTTTTCTCCTAACGCTAACCTCCTAGCCCCGGAGTTTACTAGTTAGAAGGCGCATCGCATCCTCTTTAACGACGCATGGTCGTTTGCGCGATAGGTCGTGGTACAAGGGTCAGACGACGCCTTCCGCGGTCGACGGCGCCCCCCGAGTTCCGACCAAGAGAGTCGCCTTATCCCACAACGTGGGCGACACTCCCCAAAGGCGCAATGATTGGCCCTCCCTCAAACATGTGGTTTTGCCAAATTAGGAAGGCGCTTCGGGTCCGGCTCCCGCTATGCGACTCCTGGTCCCATTTGCCAGGCTTCGCTCGGTACCAATCCTTGAAGGCATATGAGAATAATATAGCTTCAGACTAGATGACGATCCTCGTGTTGCGCTATTCGTGGAAACTTCTACTTGAATCTCGGTGCTGATTCCTCCTGACTTGAAGTATCCCCCGTTAGACTCTGTCTGGTTTGCCACAATCCCTGTAAGTGGCAAAAGGCAACAAGGCCCAACGGCGACCCCTTCCAATCTTGGGACGGCGTGATTTGCCCCATCATTGCCTTCGCAAGTCGCAAACATCACTACTATCCAACCAAGCAGGTTGTCAAACTCAAAACAACAACTGACATCTGCATCAGCGCAGAGTGTCCACCGATATTCCATGAACCTATTGGCTCCTGCCTCTGCGCTTGAACAAAAGTTCGTCGAGTCGTGTCACACCACATTGTACGCGGTGCATGTGAGCCTGGTCTTAATTCCACACTGTGGTACTCTCGAGTCTTCAGCCACCATCGGACCAACCAGCCCTCCAGCCTCCATCCCGACTTGGCCTGTAGATTCTGTCAATTTGGGACTCCATTTGCGAGTGACCTTCCAATTTCGTGTAGTTCATGCAATGCCACGATGGAACCTTGTCAACACCACGAGTTGGCTTTGGACAAGTTATGCCATGTATAAAGATGTCTTCCCTTGCTCCGGATTCAAAGTATGAAATCATCATCAACATCTACTTTTCTTCTTCTGTCCTTTCCACATCACTATTCACTCCTTAAAATGCAGTCCTTTGGTAGCTTCCTCGTCGCCGCTCTGGTAGCCGGCTTCGCCTCTGGTAACCCCATGCCCAGAGCCTCTGGCTCTTTTGAGCTGAAGCAGACTGCCAACCCAAACTTTTCCTCCCGCAACGGCCCCCAGGCTCTCGCCAACGCTTACAAGAAGTACGGCAAGGCCGTTCCTGACCACATTGCCGTTGCTGCTGATAAGAACACAAACGCCAAGCGCGCTGCTGGCACCGCCACTGCCAACTCTATCCGGGGCGACCTAGAGTACCTCGTCGACGTCCAGATTGGCGCCGGCCAGACGCTCAAGCTGGACTTTGATACTGGTAGCTCTGACCTCTGGGTCTTTTCCACCCAGACCGAGGGTGCCGGCTTCCAGACCAAGTACGACCCCTCGCGGAGCTCCTCTGCCAAGAGGCTTAGTGGTGCTACCTGGGAGATATCCTACGGTGATGGCTCCAACTGCTCTGGCGACGTCTACACCGATGACGTTACCGTTGGTGGTCTGACTGTCAAGGGCCAGGCTGTCGAGGCTGCCCAGGAGGTTTCTCAGCAGTTTGCCCAGGGTCAGAGCGACGGTCTTCTCGGCCTTGCCTTTTCCCAGCTCAACACTGTCACGCCCCAGAAGCAAAAGACGTGGTTCGACAATGTCAAGCCTCAGCTTGATTCCCCTCTTTTTGTCGCCGACCTGAAGCACAACGCACCTGGCAGCTACATCTTTGGCAAGATCCCCAGCGGCGCCGAGCAGGCCAGCTACGTGGATGTCGACAGCAGCCAGGGATTCTGGGGGTTCAGTGCCACGACCATGTACGGTGATGTTCAGGCCATTGCCGACACTGGCACGACTCTTCTCCTCCTCGACAACCAGAGCGTCCAGAGCTACTACGCCAACGTCCAGAGCGCCGAGTATGACCAGCAGGAGGGCGGCTTCGTCTTCAACTGCGGCGAACAGCTCCCTGACTTCCCGTTCCGCGTCGGAGGCGGCATCATCACCATCCCTGGCGCCATCATCAAGTACGCCCAGGGCTCTGACGGCAGATGCTTTGGTGGTATTCAAGCTGCTGGCAACATTCCTCTCAATATCTTTGGCGATATTGCGCTGAAGGCTGCCTACGTCATCTTCGATGGTGGCAACAACCGTCTCGGCTGGGCCCAGAAGAACTAAGTTGTACCATAGGTTTGCGCGTGTTTCATGGCTTGACAGTTGGTTCCAAAAGTCCGACAGCTTTATTTTACATTCTCATTATTATTATACGTACATAAATATTTGCAGTATACAAATTACAATTACATACTTTGTACATTTAAGGCCTTCTCAAAACGGGCGTGACTTGGATGAATCGTAAGTGGCAACTGAAGTAGAGCTAGGGAAATAAAAAGAAATTCAGGTTGAACAAAAATTGAAAAGGCGCGACTGAAAATGAAATATTTGGAGAATAAGAGTCATATTCCCGTGGCTGAATTAGTACGCAATGCGATGCATTCGTGTTAAGCAACTTGCTATTGACACGGCAGTTTTTTACCGGAGCCGCCGGATTGTGCTCAGTCTTGGATAATATATCAAAGTTTTTATCCCAAATTTAGGATGATTTTTTCCTTGATTAATGCGACATGCTTCTTTATCTGAATAGAGAGGCTATATTCTACATTCCATTATTCATCCTGCCTGCTTCCGAGCGCTTTGTGGAGAAGGGAACTCCACCTCCATCTTTCGGCATTCGCGCTCGGGTCGCGCGCTGATAGGCTTCCTCTAGCACCAACCATTTACCTAGCCGACGATAGATTGATTGCTGCAGCCCCTGTTCTCGCCGCAATTCGGAATCATTGTTTCTCTGCGAATGAAATGTCCGCGCTGATTCCACCCGCGGACGGTCAATTACCGGCATCTGTGCCGCCGGTCCATCGCAGAAAGCGGCTCAAGATTGACGTTGCGTGCGATCGCTGTCGGAGTCGCAAGGTCAAGTGTGACGGCGTCCGGCCAGGTATGCCATCACCATTCAAAAAAAGGCCGTTCCTATCCTTGGGACGTCTTCAGAAACTGACTGCAATGTAGCATGTGGTCATTGTTCGCGCAAGTTGGACCAGCGCGACAAATGTCACTATGGCGGCAGCTCCAATGTCTCTCCACCACCCAACAGCGCAAACGCGGCATCACTGCCCGCCCACAACAAGGCGGCCATCAGCAACGATTCTGAGCCAGCGAGAATCACCGCCCATAGGTTGAACAATGGCGCAGGCCGGCCCTTGCGCGGTGCTCTTCCTCCCGTCCATAGGCCCATTGAAGCAAGGCCGGCTCCGACCAGCTCGGACTTCGCCCAGCCGCATTCATCGCTACAGGCAGGAGAAGCCAGACCCGCGCATACTGCTGATTCCATGACGGCCATTGGTGACGAGACCACAACCGAGTTTTTTGGCAGCAGCAGCGCTGGCTCATTCACCGCCCAGATTAAGGCCGCTGTCGACTCCCGTCTGGGCCGCTCGCCCAACAGCCACCCCGCCGGGACTCAAGGACCGGGGCACTTGCCAACGGCTCAGCTGGCTTTCAAACGTCGCCATGACCCCAAAAACGCCCTCTTGCCTACGCGCAGGCTCGCCGACGAGCTGATGCGAACATACTGGCTCTATATTGACCCGCTGTACCCGTTTCTCAACAAAAGACACTGGGACGACTGCTACACTCGCTTGTTCGCTGGCGAGCCTCTCGACACAGACGAGCCTGTCTTCCTGGCGTCTTTGAATATTGTTTTTGCGCTCTCGACTCAACTACACGAAGGCCAGGATGCTACGGTCCGCAACGACACGAGCCAGGACTACTTTCAGCGGGCGCAGGATCTTGTGCAACTCACGATATGGGATCCGGGCAGCCTCCAAGTGGTCCAGTACTTGTTAATCACAAGCCAATACTTGCAGTCGACCAACTCGCCGCACCAAACCTGGATGGTGGTAGGCCTTGCGGTCCGTACAGCCCAGAGTCTGGGATTGCACTTGCCCGAGACTTCAGCCGCCAAAGCATCCACGACCGACAGGGAACTCTATCGCAAGCTATGGTACGGGTGTGTTTTGATGGATAGGTAAGTGCTCTGCGTAATGAACTTGTACTTGTGAAACTACTAACAAGCCAAGAATGGTCGCGCTCACCCACGGACGTCCAGCAATGATATCCGCTGAGCTTGCCAGCAGCGTCCCCTTACCAGCTCTCGCGGAAGAGGGTTCGCAGACACCAGAGGACTCCACAGACGTCGCATTCTTCGTCAAGTCCGTCGAGCTCTATGAAATCAACCAAAAATTAGTCGAGACATTATATTCCGGTCCCACTCAACGCGCACAACGCTTGAAGCCAGGCCAGCGAGCCGTCAGCGACTTGGCCAACATTGTCCAAATTGACGGCGACATGTCGGACTGGGAGCAGAGTCTTCCGAAGCAGCTGCAGCAGCACACCTTGGGGACAATCGCGGCACGTCCCAGCATCATTCTCCGTCTGCGCTTCCTGCACGCGAGGATCCTGCTCCTCCGCCCTATTCTCAGCTTGGTATGCTTGCCTCATGCAGCGACGGAATCCGACACGGAGCGGCTCGCGAGCAGGCTGCACAAGCAATGCGCGCTCGAATGCGTCGCCACAGCGAGAGCCACGATCCGCACATTCTTCCATCACCAAGTCTCCGACGGCACCGTGGGCCTGTTGCCTGCCTGGTGGTACCGCTTGTATTACCTCTTCTCAGCGTCGACGGTGCTGATTGCCGCTAAACTGCGCCCGGACGTCTTCCCGGCCGACGACATCAACCAGTCCTGGGAGCAAGCAATCCACGTCTTCGAGACACTCCAGCACGTCAGCCAGTCAGCGCAGAAATGTGTCACTGCGCTTCGAATCTTGTCGACCAAGATTCTGTCGAGCATAGGTGGCGTGCCGCAGCCGGATACGGAGCCCCAGGAAGCGTCGGCAATAGACACGCCGAAAATAAGCTACGACTTCCCGTCGAACGCCGGTGCTCAGAAGATGATGGACGGATTCGACTTCAACTTCAACTTTGACGATATTAATTTTGATGTCGAGGTTGAGAATTACGCGTGGCTGAACGAAGTGACCTCGTGGAACTTGTTAAGTGGATGAACGCAATGTCATGTAAATTCTGCAAGAGAACGATTGTACAGTTCTTTGTCTACTTCTCAAATACCATGGTATTCTTAACACTCCCCAGCTGGCTGATTTTGACCTCGACTACATCGCCATCCTTGAGGTATTTTGGCTCCTTCATGCCCATGGCGACTCCGGACGGTGTTCCCGTCAAAATCACAGTACCTGCTTCGAGAGTTGTGCCTTGGCTGCAAAACGAGACAAGCTCCTCGACTCCAAAGAGAAGGTCATTGGTCGGGCTATTCTGACGCTCCTCGCCATTGACAAACGTTTGCAGGTGTAGGCCCGATGCATTTCCAACAACTCGAGGGCTCACAATCATCGGCCCAAGAGGAGCAAACTTGTCAAAGCCTTTGCTGAAGCACCACTGTGGCACACCGCCGGCTTTGGCCGGATCTCTTTGCCATGCTCTGTTGGACACGTCATTTGAGGTGCAGTATCCTGCGACGTACTCGAGGGCAGCTTCTTTGCTGATGTTGCGACCGTCTTTGCCAATCACAATGGCCTGTGATTTTGGTTAGCCGAGTTCAACCACAGTCTACCGTCATCGCGAGGAATGCATACCAATTCACCTTCATAGTCGAGGGTTCCTTCCTGTGCAATGACAGGAATAGGAATGTCTTCACTAAAACCGGACAGGCAAGTGCTCGGCTTGATGAAGACGGAAGGGTACGGCGGTGGGTTGCGGCCGCCCTCTTGAACTGCAGTAATGTCAGTCAGGGAGACAGCCATAATTCGGTACAGGTTATGCTTACTGTGTTTCATGTAATTGAGACCAATGCACCTGATGATCGGCACGTCGGATCTGCGGAGAACCGGCAACAGCTTCTGAACTTTGATGGCGTCTCCCTGAGCGAGCGGCCCAAAGAGACTGCTGCCCTGCAACTCTACCGCCTGCAATTCACCACGTTGCCACTTGAGAGCCAAGTCTTGTTCATCTTTGACGAGTAAATCGCCCAGTTTCTCACTGCCGTCGGCAGCTTGGAAGCGAACGAGGCGGGACCAGGACGTCATTGTGCGAGTTCGAGGGAGATGGCGCTGAATGATGCAATTGCGTACGATACTCATCATACAACAGTATAGTTCGGAAAGGACACTCTATTTAATGGAAATATTTTACTGGTATTTCATTGGCAGAATGGTAACACTACGCAAGTTGTCGCTTCGGTGCCAAGCGTTCGGGCGCATGCCGAGATGTCGGAAGGGACGAACCAATCACGGCATGGTCCGGCCGGAGCGGTGCCCGCGATGTTCGGAATGCTCGCCACGCGAGATGGTTACATCCAACCATGAATTGATGGGACATCCCCGCCTTCTGCTCCCCAGAATATAATCGCGGGGAGTAATTTACTTATAATTCGATCGCTGAGCTTGTCTCTCTTTGGCGCATTTGCCTTGTCTGTGTGTTTATACATTTGCTGACACCAAGTACTTCGCATCTTTCAGCGCACTCTTGAACCCATTCGGAACCATGGTTTCGAGTACTGCAGCTGAGGCGACCGATTCGGTCATGCAAGAATACCTCCAGTCACTGCCCCAGATGCACATGGAGCCGCTCTGGGCGCGTATGAACGACATGGTGCCTCCCTCGCCAAACCCGGCGTGCCAGCCGCATCTCTGGTGCTACGACGACTGCCTCCCCTTCCTCTCCCAAGCGGGCAGTCTTGTTACGGAGCAGATGGCGGAGAGGAGGGTGTTGATGCTCGTGAACCCTTCGATGAGTACGAAACAGCTCTAGCAATGGCTCAGCATTTTTTTCTCTCGGAGCCTGGCTAACCGCAACTACAGAGGCTCCGCACACCACTGACACACTCTACGGTGGTCTGCAGTGGGTAAATCCAGGCGAAGTCGCGCCTGCTCATCGTCATATCGCCTATGCCGCGCGCTTCATCATCGGCGGGAATGGCTTCACTGCCGTCGAGGGCAAGAAGATGCCGCTGCAGCGCGGGGACGTGGTGGTCACACCCACATGGCATTGGCACGACCATGGTAACGAGAGCAGTGAGCCCGTGGTGTGGCTGGACGTCTTGAATCTCCCTCTATTCACCTATCTACCCGTCAACTTCGCCGAGGGCTACGAAAAGGATCGATACCCCAGTGTGTAAGTTTGCATCATCTCGGTTCGTCTCGGGAAGGGGGGCGCTGACTTGACATAGTGAGGACGCAGGTGCAGACTGGCGCCATCCATGGCACAAGACGCAAGCGGCTCTGGATGACACTACCGAGTCGTACTCCATCTTCCACTACCGGGACTCCAAGGGCCGGCCTCTATCCACCACCATCGGGGTGCAGGCGGAGCGCCTGGGTCCATCCTCCATCTCAAAGCCTTCACAGGATGTGAGCTCGTTCCTGTACCACTGCTACAAGGGACAGGGCCACACTATTGTCACCCCCCCAAAGGGTGAGAAGCTGGTTCTCCACTGGCGCGGGCGCGATACATTTGCTGTACCTGCTTGGTCGAAAGTGCAGCATTTCAATGAGTCGATGACAGAGCCGGCGTATCTGGTGGGCTTTCATGATGGCCCTTTCATCGATAACTTGGGGCTGCGAGCTAGTCCACCTGCCGCTTAAAATAGACAATATACTTTGCCTCGTACAGATTCACATGTTCCGTTCACTAAGGCTATATATGGTCTATGTATAAGAACTGTCCAATGATAAGTAGTATACACGCCGTGGCACGAGACGTCGCTGAAGCGCTGATATACCAGTCTTCTAAGCCCAAAGAGTCATGCAAATCTTGTCACCTATCAGCCTGAAAAAAAGTTGTACGGAGGGTCAAGTGAAGCATTAGGAGTGAGCAATTTATGTGCCAAGTTTATTGAGAAATTGTATCTAATTTCGCCAGCGAAACTCTGGGTGCTTCCAGTCAAGGTTCTGGATCTCTGATGCATCTAGATGGCTCAGTTCAGCGGCGGGATCCAAGTGCTCGCGACGCTTATTATCCCTTAAAATCCAGAAATACAACAAAGTAGCGGTAATAATGACCGAAGACATGGCAGCCAGGTTGAGACCTGTGCCAATATTGTACAGGGGACCGTCAGAGGGCACGTATGCCCAGGTCGCCGCCAGTCCTCCCATGTTACCCAGCATCACATTTGTTGCAATCGCAGAGGACCTTGCCGTGTCGGATGCGACGTTGGCTGCGGCATGCGAGTTTGTGAGGGCGCCATATGTGTAGATGCCAAAGAACGGCAGGAAAATGGCGCCATACCGAACATTGGGGCTCGGGGTGGCAATGAAGAGCGCATAGCCTATTGTCGGGATGACGGCGCAGAGGATGAGAAAGATGCCCCTCTTGTTCATGCGCCAGCTGGCATAGCTGGTGACGACGCAGCAAATGGCGCCGAGAATGTATGGCGGCACGGTCAATAGCTGCTTCGTCGTCATGGCCCTGTCCGGAAAGATGGTGGCCACGAGAGTCGGCAGGAAAAAGGACGCGCCCTGGACAATGATGCTGTTGAGCAGGAAGATGCAGCCGGTTGCGAGCACAACGGGATTGAGGATTCCGCGGCGCGTCTTGGTCCAGTTGAACTTGTCCACGAGTTCTTGGGCGTGGCCACGCTCACTCTGCAGGCGACGGAGCGCGAGTTCCTTTTCTTCCTCTGAAAGCCATCTTGCCGTTTGGGGGCCATTCGCCATGACGAACCAACTTCCGATTCCTAAAACACAAGTGGCGATGCCTTGCAAGTAGTTGCCTTGTCAGTCAAAGTGTCAGACATGTAGACAGCGTATCGATAAGCGCACCTTCAATGACAAAAATCATTCTCCAAGAGTGAAGCATGCCAATACCAGGAATTCTCAGAATCGCAGAAGCTAGCAGGCCGCCAAAGGCGCCCGCCAGCGACCCCGACACAATAAAGAGCGAGATTCGAAACGTCATTTCGCTTTGGCGGTACCACCGAGAGAGATAGTAGACGAGCCCCGGCAGGATGCCCGCCTCGAAGATGCCGAGCAGGAAGCGGACGCCGCAGAGCGCCGAGAAGTTGGGCACCAGGCCGGTGCACATGGTCAGGACGCCGAAGCAAAAGGTCGCGACCGGGATGAAGCGTCCCGGGCCAACCCACTTGCACAGCATGTTGCTCGGGATCTCGAACAGAATGTACGACACGTAAAAGACGGACAGCGAAATGTTGAACTGATAGCCGTGCATGTTGAGTGTCCTTTCCAAGCCCGCAATTCTTGCATTTCCTGGAAACGCTGGTTAGCCGAGGGGCACGGGAAGCCGCTGCCAATGTCTACTGACCAATGTTGGCACGATCGATGAAAGAAAACACTATGGTCAAGTATTAGCCGCAGTTTTTGAAAGTCTCGTGTGTCATGACTAACAGAAGATGATGCTGGTCAGAGGCACAATGTGCCAGTCCATCTTCCATCGAAGCTTGGACTCGCGTTCTTGTTCAGTGGCATCTTCGGTTAACCTTTGACCATTCAGTTCCTCCAAGTTCTCAGTACCTCATTCCTAGATTTCAGTATGAATACGTACTCTGCCCCGCCCAAGGGAAGTTCTTCAATGTACTTGGTGCTTGCCATACTTTCGAGGTCATCACGCTTTTCCTGCACTGCGGTGGCCATGTTTGTTGAGATGGCGAGAAAGGGGACACAGTGGAAAGATATCAATGAGTCGTGGGAGAAGATGAAAGCACTCCTGTCCGAGGGACACGTTCTATTAATCTATCGCGCAAAAGCTGTTACCCCGGACAGGGCGACAACCAAGAACTGGGAGCTAGGTGGAGTTGGCGCAACTAGTCCCCTACCCTCGACAACTCGGACGAACGTCACAGTCAATTAAACAGCCTTCCATTCGGAACTATAATGTGGCGCTGCATTGCTTCTGGTTTAGTCGGCAGTTGAAGCTTGTTGCGTGACCAAAGCCGGCTCCCCGGCTCCCGGGCACACTGCTCATCTCGGTTGCCCTGGGATGAGGAGGCGCAGATAATAAAGTTTAGTGGCACAGAAGGGTGTAAACGGCAAGGCTAGGACAACATAATTGGGCCTTCCGAGAACTCAGATATTGGGTTCCCTCAACTTCATTACTCGTGCGCAATGCCTTTCCTCTCCTTGAAATCTATGCCGCGCGACGATTCCGGGGTCAAAAGCTGGGGAATTCTGTCACCAATGGAGCTATCTTGAGTTCCATGTTGCCTTGACACTTGGGTGATGAATTTTTCTACTTGCAGAATCCAAAATAAGCACTCATTCAGTCGGAAATCGGCTCTATACAGGTTGCAAATGCAATCAATATGTGACCAATGACGGAGCTTCCATTCTTGCTGAAAGGTGAATTGTCAACCCCGCGATTTATTCATGACAGAATATCCACTTCTCCAGCTTTGCCGGAGAATGAGGCTTGTTTCTGAGCCGAGATCTCTAGGTCCGAGTTCCAGCGGTTGATACGTTGTCAATCCGTGGTTCCCCAGATGTACTTCCGAGACGGAACGATCGCTGATTGGCCACGGAGGCAACATTAGACTTCATTCAGACATTGGGGGGCGTGGTGTAAATAGCGGACCTACCTGATAAATGCTATAATACTGCTGAACAATGCTGAGCAATGCTGAACAATGACAAGGCAGTGTTTGTGTTGCGTTGTACAAATTATTCCAGCAAAGACAGTCGCAAGAAATGAAATTGTCAAAGGCACCCGCCCCCCCCCTACTCTTTGTTCTTTGTCCCTGTGGCTTTGGCTGCTCAACCTTTGATACTGGACAAGGCAATGAATGAATCGATTGCTGTGATTTATCAGCCAGAAGTTGGCATCAAGTTGGCAAAAGCCCGGCCACTGATGGTGCCTGATGTTAGCAAGAATCAGTTCGCGAGACTCAAGGAACCGTCGCCAATTGTGGCGCAAGCTACCCTGGAGAAGACTGCGCCACAATTGGCGACGGGAGGCCGCCACAGCCTGCCGTTTAAGCTTGGTAGGCTTGCCGCGCTTGCCGCTCATCGCTCGCTGCGTCATCTCCGCCCAAAGCAATCCCTTTGTGCTCCCTACGCTACGTGGCCCTGCGAGCGGCATGGAACGGGAACATTCGAGTGGTGCAGTCTCTCTTGTGCCAGCTGAGGTGGCCAGCAGCGACGGGAGCAGTGCGAGCCTGGAGGCCGCGGCCGCGTACACATGACGCAGACGGCGCGCTACAGCTTGGCCTTTGCGTTTCTGTAGGGGAATATAAATAGATGACGGCGCCTGCCCTGTGATTCTCACAAGACCTCACAATCATCACACGGTGGTATTGGCAAACGTGAAATGGCACCTACCATCGAATCATCCCTGGAGACGCAGGGCCTTGCAAGCGAGCAGACGGAGCTCCTGAACCTCATCGACAAACTACAATTTGCACAGCTCGACAGTATCAAGCTCCCGCAAATCGTCGTCGTGGGCGACCAGTCGGCCGGCAAGAGCTCTGTCCTCGAGGCCCTCTCCGGCACCCCGTTTCCGCGAGATGCCGGGGCCTGCACGAGATTCGCCACCGAAATTCGGCTCCGCAGAGCAAAGGAAGCCCGACTCAAAGTGTCCATCATCCCCGACAAGACGCGCCCGTACAACGAGCAGACCAAGCTGCTCCAGTATGGCGGTGACGTCACGGGTGACATGCCCTTTGAGACGCTGATGCGCGAAGCCACGGAGCTCATCGCACCAAAGAACATTCCTGGACGATTTGCGGCGAAAGACATCCTCGTCGTGGAGAAGACGGGCCCCGAGATGCCCCTTCTCACACTTGTCGACTTGCCTGGCCTGGTTCGGGTAGCCAACCGCGACCAGTCCGAGGCCGATATCGCGACCATCGAACATCTCTCGGACCGTTATATGAAGAGCTCCCGAACGATTATTCTTGCCGTTATTGGAGGCAACAACGACTACGTCCAGGCTCCAATCCTGACCAAGACTCGCCAGTTTGATCCAAACGGATCCAGAACGATTGGTGTTTTGACCAAGCCGGATATGACCGAGGGCATCGGCCTGGAAGACAAGTTTGTGGAGCTCGTCATGAATAAGGACGAAGAGAACCACTTCAAGCTGGGCTGGTATGTCCTGCTGAACCCTGGCCCGGGTGAGCAGTGGACCACTGCTGCGGACCGCAACCGTCGCGAGACGGAATTCTTCACCCGCGGCAAATGGGCAAACCTGCCACCGGAGATATGGGGAATCGCCTCTCTGCGTCAGAAGCTCAGCAGCCAGCTGCAGCGCCACATCGGCAAGCACGTCAAGAGCCTGCGCCGCCAGATCCAGCAGGCGCTCGAGCGCTGCGAGGGCCAGCTCAAGGAGATGGGCGAGGGCAGAGACACGGTGGAGGAGATGCGAATCGACTTGGGAGAGCTGTTTGCCGCATCCAACAATTTGGTCACGCCTGCCGTTAACGGCAACTACAAGAACCCGTTTGGCGAGCGCTTCTTTGCCCGCCAGTCGAGCCCCAAGGGCACGCCCTCGCAACAGCTCCGCGCCCGCGTCCGCGAGGAAAGCGAGCGGTTCGCGCGTCTGTTCCGCCAGCAGGGCCGCAAAGTCAACTTTTCCGAACCCTCTACCGCCAACCTCCCGTCTGCCGGCACCGTGGGCGACCAGAGCAAGAAGGATTTCGCGCAGCGCGAAGTCGAGCCTCTTCTGCGCCAGATTCGCGGCAACGAACTGCCCCTTGACTCCAACCCCCGCGCTCCGTATATTCTCTTCCAAGACTACTCGCGCAACTGGCCCGTGCTGGCGCAAGAGTACAAGGACAACCTGAGCGTCATCTGCAACGAGTTCCTGGTCGACCTCATCAGCCACATCTGGCCGATGCGCATGCGCGACCCGCTACACTACCACTTCTTGGAGTCCAAGATGCGCGAGCTCTTCGACAACGGCGACAAGGAACTGACGCGCCTGACGGACGACATGGAGCTGGAACTTCAGCCGTTCGACCCCGAGTACGAGGTGCGCCTGCGCAAGTGGCGCGCCGACGCGACGGCGAATGGCGGCACGTACACGGAAGCGGAGGAGGTGCTGGAAAAGATGCTGATCTACTACGACCTGACGGCGCGCATCTTCACCCGCAACATCATTACGCAAGTGGTGGAGCGCCACCTGCTCCTCGGCATGCTGCGTCTCTTCAACCCCGTCGAGATTCTGCGCATGCCCAACTCGACTATTGAGTCCATCGTCGCCGAGAATAAGGAGACACGCGACCGCCGCCTGATGCTCAAGGAGCAGAAAAAGGCCATTGAGGAGGCGCGCAACATTTGCGCCAGCTTGGCCATGCGCAGCGATCTGCGCGCCTATGCCGATGAGGCCGACGACGACGTCGACACGGACACGGACAGTCCGACGACGAGCCGTAGCACCATACCGCAACAGCCTGTCAACCCGCAACCTGCGCCGTCGCGTCGATCTGCCGAGGCGAACCGACAGGGTTACCCGGAAGAGCGTCCTCGACCAGCTGCCGAGGCGAACCGACAGGGCTACCCGGAAGAGCGTCCTCGACCAGCTGCCGAGGCGAACCGACAGGGCTACCCGGAAGAGCGTTCTCGCCCAGCTGCCGAGGCGAACCGACAAGAGCGTCCCCGTCCAGCGGTAGATGCACGTGGTCGTCCTCAGCAGGCGCCTCAACCGCCGTACCAGCAGCCCTCGGCGCCCGTTGCGCATGTGGCACCGGCTGCGCCGAGCTTCTACCAGGAGCAGTCTCGTGAGCGGGACCCGGCATATTACGCGACGGCGGCGTCGTCGGGGCAGCCGCACCATGGGCCGCCGCCCCCTCGTCCGCATAAGGAGGCTGGCTACGAGGAGTCCAACGGCTACTACGACGCGGCTCCAACCCAAAATGGAGGAGGTAGGGGGCACAAGGATAGTGCCCGCCAGCGCCTCGTGGCCTCGATGCGTGGGCAGTAGGGGACTTGACATGGCAAGCGAATTTTGTTTTCGTTTCGGTGTTTTGGCGGGATCTGTATTTCATTTGGATATATAGAATGGATTTATCGAAACTCAATGATTGGGAATGACGAGCAAAACTTTCATTATTTGTGATATGACTGGTAAAATGAATCAGGATGGACACAATGTAAAGAGTCACCTCCCCCTTCTAACCCCATGTCCATTCTAACCACGTAAACAAAGGAAAACAAAGAATCCAACGTGTTCTAGCTCAATTACTCGGAAGTCTTCTTCAGGCCAACCCACTCGGGGTAGTTGTACAAGACAACGGCGTCTGTGGCAGCGCACGTCGCCGCGCCGAACTTGACGTACCGGCGCGTCTTGGGCGCGAGGTTGCGCCACGCCCAGGAACTGCCGCCTCCAGTCGAGGCAGAAGAAGCAGGCGCGCCGGCCATACTAATCCCGGCTTCGGCAGACGGACCCATGACGCGGGTCGAAGTGCTAAAGGTGGCGGCGCGGCGGGCGGCAGTGCGGGCGAAGATGGTGGCAGGCATGGTTGTGTGTGTAAGTGGGCTTTGGTTGCAAGTGGTAGTGGTAGTGGTAGTGGTGGAAAGGTAGTGGGTTGTGTTTGTGCTTGATTGCAAGGCAGTGTGTGTTTAATGATGTAGAATTTTTAAATCCATTTGTTGGATTTGCCAGGACATTTATAGCTTTGCCGACATGTTGCTCACCGTCATGGTTGGTTGATGAAGCGTTATGGTTAAGCGTAATGGTGTAAGGCCGGAACTCCACCAATGATGGCTGATCAGAAACGCCGCATAACTCGTACCGATTCCGCGAAATTTTCGTAAAAAATGCCAAACTTGGACAAGATTCAAGAGGGAGACTCGGTATCGTCCAGGAGAATGCAGGGAACTTTGTCGTTGGTGTCGTCGGCAATGTACGTGCCGAGGACCGGGTCTGTGGGAGTTCAGAGTCAGCTTTGTGCGTCCGAGGGAAACAAAAGGTGGCGAGAAGCCATACGAACTCTGTTGTACCGGGCGGCTTGCCAAACATGCAGGAGGACCAAAAAGACAAAGAGACAGAAGAGGGCCAGGGCGGCGCGCAGGACCGGGTGGACGGGTGGGCAGTCGTGAGGCGGCGGCGTGGTGCCGCCGTCGGCGTGGAGCGCGCCGGCGGAGCGCTGGAATGCGTCGGCTGCGACTCTCTTTGACAGGGATACGAGAGACTCTGGGCGACAAAGGGCGGTTTGTGTCGCGGTGGGCATGGCACGGGCGAGTGCGACAAAGGCGAGCATGGAAAGCATCGTTCAAAGGCGTGGACTAAGAAGCTACAGAAATGAATTCTGTGAGAAAATCCTAGAGCTGGTCAAAGCAGCTCGCAAATGGGTCTTGCGCAAGATTATATACAACGTCCATAGGAAACCCATCGTCATCTGCATTTTCGGATTCGCGTCGAGGCCGTGTGTTTCCCAGAGGCAGTGCAGAGTCCGATCGAAGCTCCGATCGCATCGGCCCAGCCTGCTAAGAATCAAGCCAGCTAGTGGAACGAACCCCAGCTATTTTGCCCGTCCCAGACAGTACAAGATACAGGGCAGGCACCAAAGGGCGGCCACTGGCACACATCGTGCTGACGCGGCTGCCACGCCATGGGTACCGCCCTAGCCTCGATACCTAAATCATCAACACGCGTCTCCTGGGGTAAGTCTGAAGTGGAATCAGTTTCTCACGGCAACAGTTAGGCGGGCTGTGTCCAGGTCAGCCTTATAATAACACCGGCCGGGTGGGGTCAGACCTCGGACTCTGCTCGGGTGGAGTCCCGAGTCCGAGCCGGCGTATCGTACAGAGACCGCCGCTCCACACGGCATATCCCCAGTTTTGGCCCTCGACTGAGAAATTGTGGAGGGTTGGTTGCTCGATATGCTTTCAAATTGAACAATATTGTCCCTGGCCCGTCGAGCTGTAGTGGGGAAGTGAAACTTAAAGCCTTCCAAAGACGAAAATAGAAACAGGTCTCAAGACCCTCAGCTGTTAGAGTGCGCCGTGGCGCCGCCACGGTAGATAGCTCCAAGGCGACATAGCGAATGAATCTCTTGGTACATTTTCATCATCATTAATAATTATTGTGCGTCCTGCGCGGAGTTTTGATACAAGTTTTGGTCGCCGCGTCTCTGTTGCGCGGAAAATGCGACCCGGCGCATGACAAACATGACGAGGGCCCAGCATCAACGCACACCGGCGCATCGCTGCACGTCCCAACCACATGGCGCATGTGCCATTTTCATCTATTATCATGACCAAACGCGGTGCCGGCCTAGAATCGGCTCTTCTTGCGCGCCCCCACCAGCTCACCAATCGTATCGCGCACCCAGTCCACCACGGCTTTGATCATGCCCTGGGGCTTGTTCGCCTTGCCGGTGTAGCCGCTGCTGCCACTACCGTCGTGCGCGGGTTCGGTTCCCATGGTAGGGAGGACGTTGTCGCCAGCCGAAAGACTGACAAAAAGCGCAAACGGGACGAGCCAGACGCAGAGGCCAAAGTACGAGGCAATCATGGTGAAGCTCGGGACCTCGACATCGTCATAGTACGAGGCGCGTTGGTACGACGAGGTTTGCGTGTCGGAAAAGTGGCGGAACCATACGTAGTGGTCGACGAGGACGAGGACTGGCAGCCAAGTGTTAGACGCGACACGGGGAGTGCTAAGCAGGGAGCTGGGGAGGGAGGAAGCATACCACAGGACAGAATGAAGAGAGGATCTGACAGCTTCACGAATGGGAAGCGGCGCATGTTACCCAGGTAGACAATGTGCGAGACGACGCCGAGTAGCGTGGCCCAGATGGGGAAGCCATCGACAAGACACAACACGACCTGGACACCGACAATGGTGTAGATGGTGCGCGTGAGGAGGCGCTTGGCGATGACGGTATGCTCCTCGACCAGCTCGGAGAGGTAGTACAGGCCCGAGGCGATGGCGAGCGTGAGGAAGCCAAAGCCGACAATGGCGCCGGCGTAGCCGATTAGGGGAAGAATCCACATAGTTGAAGCTGAAGAGGGAGGGCGGATGGAAGAAGGAGCAAGTACGTGATGATGACCAGGAGAAGAAGAAGAAGCAGGATTGTTTGAATCAATGGGTGTATTGCATGGCCTGCGAGGAGGGTAATGGTCGCCGGTTGTCGTAAGAGGACGGTTATGCGATTCGAGAAAGAGGGTTCGTGGACGTTCAGAGGAGGCAAAAGCTTAGCTGGAGAGATTCAGGGATGACGAGGGTGGCAGGATGCCACGCCACCAAAATCGCGACCGGCCACTTATCGATAAGACAACACCCACGTAAAAAAAGATTAGTGGGGGAAGCTGTACTACAGCGACACCGACTCGAGGTTATCGAAGGCATCACGACGACACTATTCTCCTAACCTCTTTGAAAATTTGCTCGGAGTCGCTCAGACAACTTTCTCTTAGCCTCGACCATATCTCATCACCGCCAACATGTCTCGTCCCGAGGATAGCCTGTAAGCCCTCCAGTCATCCCGCAGACCCTCCCCCCCCAAACTAAAACTCTTTCCTCCCGCAGCGCGGCCGACGTCCACTACGACGACATTGAAGCCCGCAAGTACACGACGTCCTCGCGCATCCAAAACATCCAAGCCTCGATGACGCGGCGGGCCCTGGAGCTGCTGGACCTGCAGGGCCCGTCGCTCATCCTCGACATTGGCTGCGGCAGCGGCCTCTCCGGGGAGATCCTGTCCGGGGTGGCGGCGGACGAGGGCGGCCCGCACACGTGGATCGGCATGGACGTGAGCCCCTCGATGCTCGACGTGGCGCTGCAGCGCGACGTCGAGGGCGACCTCGTGCTGGCCGACATGGGCCAGGGCGTGCCCTTTCGCGCCGGCACCTTTGACGCCGCCGTCAGCATCTCGGCCGTCCAGTGGCTCTGCAGCGCCGAGACGAGCGACACGTCGCCCGCCGGCCGCCTCACCCGCTTCTTCAACGGCCTCTACGCCGCCCTGCGCCGCGGCGGCCGCGCCGTCTGCCAGTTCTACCCCAAAAACGACGCCCAGCGCACCATGATCACCCAGGCCGCCGTCAAGGCCGGCTTCGGCGCCGGCCTGCTCGAGGACGACCCGGGCACGAAGAATGTCAAGCTGTATCTGGTGCTCACCGTCGGCACCGTGGCGGGTGGTGAGGGCGGCGGCGGCGGCGGGGATATTACGAGCGTTGTCGCCGGCATGGATAATGTCGAGGTGGATGACGCGCGGCGAAAGTTTGCCGCAGTCAATAAAAAGGCCGAGGTGAAAAAGGGAAGCAAGGCGTGGATTGTCAAGAAAAAGGAGCAGATGGAGCGCAAGGGCAAGATTGTCAAGTCCACGTCCAGATATACGGGCCGCAAACGTCGCGTTGCGTTTTAGACGGCCTGAGGGCAACGATTACGAACAGAAGCATGACTGGCACGGCGTTTTGGCGTATTCAACACAATTCGACTTTTTTTTTTCTCTTTACTCAAAAGTAATGTAGCAGCACTCATCTAGGCAATGAGACGCAAAGATGGTCATGGGCAGCCAATTTTTATTGGCTTCTGGCCTCATCATACGTTAAAATCATATCTGCTCTTGCAATATCTACTTGTGCATCTACTCAGGCTTCATGGTGGGAAAGGCAAGCACCTCTCTGATGCTGTGGTTGTCGGTCAGGAACATCATCATGCGGTCGATGCCCATGCCCCAGCCTCCAGTAGGCGGGAGACCGTACTCGAGAGCCTTGCAAAACGTCTCGTCAATGGCCTGGGCCTCGTCGTCACCCTGGGCCTTTTGGTTGGCCTGCTCCTCGAAGCGCACGCGCTGCTCGGTTGCAACGTTCAATTCGGTGTAGCTGTATGGGTAAGCATTGGTACGGGCTCAAGGACAATAGAGGACTTACGCGTTGCAAATCTCCTTGGTACCGACGAAGCACTCAAAGCGCTCGCAAAGACCGGGAATGGAGCGGTGGCTCTTGGCTAGAGGAGACATCATCTTGGGGTGGCCAAAGATGAAGGTAGGGCTAATCTGCGGGGGCGTCAGCATCACTGGAAATAAAATTATGAGGAAGCATGCTTACGCATTGAGATTCGAGGTACTCGCCGACAAGAGCGTCGAGCATACGGGCGTTGGTCAGAGGGGGGTTGCACTCGACGCCAGTCTTGACCAGAATCTTCTTAAGGAACTCGCCCGTCTCGGCCGTGTGGAGGACATCACCAGTGGGGAACTTCTCGCCCGTAATCTCCTCGAGGGCGGGAATCATGTCAATTCTGCGCCATGGGCCCTCCCAGTTGATCTCGAACTCCTCGCCCTTGGAGTTGTGGTACTTGGTGATGTAACTGCCGTGAACATGCTTGACAAGGCCGGAGACCAGCTCCTCGGTCATCTTCATGAGATCGTAGACATCAGCGTAGGCCATGTAGAACTCGAGGGTGGTGAATTCTAGACCAGTTAGTACATCACTCGGTCTCGGGTGCGTTTGCCAACAAACCAGGGTTATGGGTCAGATCCATGCTCTCGTTGCGGAACTGACGGCCCATCTCGTACACGCGATCCAGGCCGCCGACGACAAGCATCTTGAGGTACAACTCGGGGGCGATGCGCAGGAACATGTCCATGTTGAGGTCGTTGTGGTGGGTGATGAAGGGCTTGGCGGTCGCGCCGCCGGCAATGGTGTTGAGCATGGGAGTCTGCACCGAGACAAAGTCGCGGTCGTCGAACCAGCGGCGGATGTAGGTGTCGACCTTGGCGCGCGTGATGAGGACGTCGCGTGCCTTGTCGTTCATCATGAGATCGAGGTATCGCTGGCGGAAACGCTGCTCGGCATTCTTGAAGCCGTAGTGGTCATCGGGGATCTAAGGGGGGGGGCGGTTAGCTGCACCCGGCCGGGATTGAGGGGAGGACGTGATGACGTACCTGGTGCAGACAGGGAGACAGAAGAGTGAGCTCGCTGGCGGCAATGGACAGCTCGCCGGAGAAATCGCCCTGGCCCTGCTTGGTCTTGGGGTTGGTGCGCGTGGGGTAACCGCGGATACCGACAATGTCACCACGGCGGATGTTGACGTGTTGGTCCTCGAAGCTGGGGGCGCCTTCACCGAGATGGTCGGCCTGGGCGAGGACCTGGAGTCTGGTGCCCTGCGCAGAGTTAGTGGCCGTTGTCGCGTGCTGTCGCGTGTCTGTCTGGTTGTACGTACATTGGAGCGGAGATCGTAGAAGAAGAGCTTGCTGCCGGCCGCGCGGCGGACATATATTCTGCCAGCGATATCGAGGGGCTTGGTCTTGTCGATTTCGCCATTCTTGAGGTGGGAGAATTCCTTTTCAAAGTTGCGAATGTCATATGTGACTTCAAACTGCGGGCACGGTTAGCAGCCGTAGCGACCGTCTGTATGGCGGGGAGCGAACCTTGTACGGGTAGGCCTTGCCCTGCTCGTGGAGTTCGTTGACGGTCCGCGAACGAATTTCAAAGTACTGTCGAGTGTCAATATTTTATTCTAGAATTTTGATTGGCGCAATGTTCGTCGCCTACCTGGTTAGGCGTCAGGTCCTTCTCGGAAGCCTCTGAGCTGCCGGCCGCCTTCTTGCCAGCAGGAGGGGGCGCGCCCGACTTTTCAGCCTTTTCCTTCTTGGCGGCCTCACGCTCGCGGACCTTTTGGCGCTTCTTGAGCTCCGACTTGGAGATCATCTCGCCGGTGACCTCGTCCAGATGCAGCTTGGCGACGGCGGCGGCAGCGGCATCGACAGGCGCCTCGGCGGCGGGGGGCTGATTATCGGCCATGGTGTATGGATGGGTATCAGTTCGTTGCGTAGCTCGTCTCGATTGCGTCTGGAAAATAGGTTGGTCTCGCCCGGGCTGGTTGCGAGCGGTTATAAGATTGCGGCACGAGGGGTAAAATTGAGTCACAAAAAATAGCAGCAGAAAAATATCCCACCGGCGTCTTTGGTGTACCAAAAGAAAACCCCACCAACCGCCAAAGATTGCCCACCAAATGGCAAAAGGCTGCCCGACTCACCCCTCCTTGAATGGGTGGGGCCGTCTATCAACCCTATAATGTGTCGCTCTGATAGATTCCAATTCCATGGTTAGTGCTATCTAGTCAATCGAGAGCTTGCTTCTTTCAGCTGAGTTTCTGACTCTGTTCTGTTCTGGCTGTCTGTTGCTCATCACCCTCGCTTCAACTACCCCTCCTCGGTCGCCTACCCCGCGGACCCCCGCGAGACCCTTGTAGGCCGTTATCGCAAGCTTGATGACTGTCACTACGGTAGTAAGTCAATGGTCTGGTTCTACTTCAAACAGCCTCAATGCACGTATCTTGTACCAAATTCAAAGTGAGTCATGGACCAAAATCTATCGGAACATAAGCGCATTCCACTCACCCCCCCCCCAAAAGCTTCGCCATTTTCGGACTCTGCCACTTACACAGTTATCTCTGCCATGGCAGTCGAGATAAAATTTGTCGAAATAAAATCATTCGAAGTTTTGATACTGCAGAGCCGATGGCCAGCAGGGCGAGTCCTGGTATCCTATTGTCTTCGGCTGACCGGCTGACTTTGGTTGGCTACCGATGAACCCGGTCGAGTTTCCCTCTGCAGGAATAGTATAGTTCAAATAGCTAAAGTATGGCTAGGATGGATTTTGTACTACTGGCGGCCAAGTCTGAGGAATCGTGCAGACGTACTCTCGCTGTGCTTTGCCGTCTTTGTAGCCAACCCTCAGGCAAGCAACTCTGGCTGCATCGCCCTCGACGGGCTCCCACACCAGCGGATCCAATGGAAAGGATGAGTGGTCACCCTCCCAATCGACAATTCCCTTCAAAGCAGGGTCTAGAACGGGAGGCTGACCAAAGGTATACTCGAGCTCTCCACCATACGTCTTGGGGATACTGCACTTTTCAATCACCTCCTCCAATGCAGAGAGAACCTCGTCGCGCCCGACGATGCGAATCTTGGACACGGTGACAGGATCAAGCCAGCCCTTGATCCAACCAAAGACGGACTGAAAAAGGGCGGCGCGCCCACGATGAAGATTGCGCCGAGCGTTTCAGGGTAGTACGCGGATGCGAGATACGCTAGAGTGTGAATGTGGCTCTTGAGGCTCCAGAATTGCAAGACGCTGATGCCAGAGACGTCCATGATGTACGTGCTAAGGGTGATGGGCACCTCGGCATGCTCGCGGTCGGGCAGCTGAGTCGAAAGAGGTTGGGTGAAGCGAAGCAGATTTTCATACAAGGCTGCAAAGCAGATGAGGTTTGCCGACGTCTTGCCGTCCTTCTTTGCCAGGGAAAAGTTGGGTTTCGCGGCGACCATTTCACTCGCCGCTACCGCTTGACCATTGAGTGTCTGAGGCGCCCAGACGTAAACGGGTGCCCCGACGCGATCCCGTCTACCGGTCCATTGCGGGTAACTTTCCCGTGTTGTTAGCAGAATGCCGATGAGAACAGGTAACTGCGTCAGAGGGTGTGGCGTCGGGCAACATACAAGAGAACGCAGCTCCTTGTAGGCTTCGCAGTCAATAGTTTCGTACAGAGTGTCGATTTCGTTGGCCTGACGCCAAGTCTCCGTGTCGTTAAACTGAGTGTAGGCAGCTTCGACGTCCCATCGGCGAGCGCGGAGGAAGCGCCTGTGAGTTCGTGCTTGTCAGAGAGTTGTGCATACTGGAAAATCATATCGTCGGCATACCAGCCTCGCACTCACAGCAACTTGACGTCCTGCGCGGGCGTAGACTTTTCAAAGTCAGGGTACTCCCGCTTTGCGAGCAGGCTTCTGAAACTGTCGAGAGCGTCCTGCTGCTGCACAGTCAATGACCCATAGTGGCCGGTGGGATATTGGGATACCGAGTCGTTCCTGACAGCCTGGCTACTAGGAGGAGGCATGGCTACCTGCCTTGGGTATTAGCTTGGGTCAATTACAGGGCTGCCCTGTCATAATGGAGCTACCGATGGCGTCAAACGAGCACTGGTCACTTACAATTGACCCAATGTTTGTAATGCAGAATTCAAAGGTATAGGAGGTGTTATTGTATAGCGTAAGATTAGTTGCGGGGAAGAGGATAGCTAGATTGCATATACGGATGCTTGGTTTGTTGTGGGCAAAAGGTCGACTCCGGCTCCGTAGCGTGGCTGGAAGGCTACAAATGGTCTCACGTTAGCCAGCCACCACGACGAAGAAGACATTTCTGATTCACTGCAGTGAGACCTCTCTAATGTGACTACTCGTGCCGCCCCCTCTTTATCGACCGCCTCTGCCAAGGCATAGGCATTCTCAAAGCAGCAAACCCCGCAGGTATATTCCACATATTTAACACAGAGGTACGAACAACGTGGCAAAACTTGGGGTTGTCGATGAAAGCGGTGGTGAGAAAGTGGACGGTACGAGAGGCTCTTTGAGGAGAGGTCGTCGCAATGATTGGATGCATTGCGATACGCTTATTGTCGTTTCTGACTACGATAGCCTCCTTGTGGTAGAAGAACCTCCAGGGTGTGAAGTAGAGGCTAGAGGACGAGATTCGGCTCAAGTGGCGATCGTCGTCGGCGAGTGGCTGGCGTGCACCGTTTTGAAGTTCATAAGTCGCAATTCATCCTTTATTGAAAACTTCCATTATGTTGCATCCCATATACCGCCCCCAGTGTGTGTGAACTATAAAATGCTATATTGACAATTGATCATATCTTCCAAGCCGTCGCGCCAGCGTATGTATTATTGGCCCTTGCCCGTCCTCGTCCTCGTCTTCAACGAGGACTTGGGAGTTCTCAGCACGCCAAATGCAGCAGCCGCCACCACGGCTGTGCCGGTAGCTCCCACCGTATAAGCATATTCTCTGCCTGCCCACCAGTAGATGCTAGTGAACAGGATCGGGCCCAGACCGCGACCGAGCTGACCCCAGCTGCGCAAGTTGCCCAGTTTGCTGCCTCTCTCGTCCTCGTCAGCCTCGAAGCTGCTGAGCGCATTCAGACCCGTGACCACAGTGGCCGAGGTGATGGCTAGACAGGTCGCCGCGGCGTAGAGGCCACCAGTGGTGTTGAGGCGCGCCAGCAAGACAAAGGCAGCTAGGCAGGCCGTCGTGCCAAGACGCACAGAGGTCAGCGGCGGCAGACGCCGAGTCACGCCACCTTGCAAGATGGACGCGACGAGGCCAATGAAGCCGAGTAGCCGGCCGTTGTTGCCAGATGAAAACGCAAAGAGATCATACGTCATAAACGACAGCGAGCTTTCCATCCCAGAAAAGAACAGCAAAAAGACAAAGTGTACAGCGTTGAGTATAATGTGTGAGTTTGTTCTCTCGAGAGGCTTTTTGGGAGCTGTTGATTTTGTGCCGTTACCGTTCGAATTTGCTTTACCGCCGGTTGCTGTCGTCTTTCCTGTAATGGCGGGGAGAGTCTCAGGCAAGTAAAAGTACAGGTAAACTGTCTCCAGCACGATGAGCCCTAAGCTGACACCAGCGGCCGTCGCAAATGGGTTGGCCTTGACGGAAGGAACGGTGCTCAGCCAGGCACCCAACGCGGGGCCAAAGGTAAAAGCTACTGAGAAGCAGGCGCCGATGATGGCCATAGTCGAGCCACGCGACGCCTCGTCTGAAATGTCGCTTGCCATGGCGGTGGCCAGCTGGATGTTGCCTTCAGAAAGACCGCCGACGACACGGCTCGCGATAAAAGTTCGGAAGTCGACAGCAGCGACCCAGAGTAGCACAGAGAGGATGTTGCCGGCCATAGAGGCGAGGAGAGCTTTGCGACGGCCATACCGATCGGAGAGCCGGCCAATCAGCGGTGATGCAAACGCCTGGAGGAGACTGACTCGCGGCGCGCAAAGGTTAGCAGATCGAAAGATGTTGTTTGTGGGGAGATCCGGCGTCTCACGAAAACAGAGAGCCCATTGCGCCGCCGAGCAGGACAATGTCATAGCGCGATTCGATCGGTCGCGCAAAGGACGCCTTGTAGCTGTTGAGGCCACCGATGATGCGCTGCAGGAGGGTCGGGGGGCCGCCATCAATGAGTGCTGGAGCTTCGAGGTCGCGGTAGAACTCGAGAAGTCGCGGGAAGAGTGGGAGGATGAATGTAAAGGGGATCTATCGAGATGGTGGTCAGCCTCTTCTTCTGCGCTCTAGACGCGCGCGCGCTCACCCCGCCGCAAAGTGAGGGTGACGCTTGCGCTGAAGCTGGATAGGGAGTCAGGCATGTCCTTACCAAGTCTAGAAGAAGTGAGAAAGCAATCACTCGCAGGACTCGCTTCCTTGTAGCCGGGTCGACGGTGGCTGCCATGGCGGATGGATAGGACAGACGCGGTGTTAGGACATCTGAAGATGCGGGACAAGGATACAGGCAAGAGCAGAAGCGCGATTTCTGGCCAGCCAAATGATAAAGAATATGCAGATACGAAAAGCAATGCAAAACAGAAAACGCAGTCGAGGGTACCTAAGAAGCTGGGTCAGGCCAAGCTGTCCAGTCAGGGATCCGATGATGACAAGATCACGATAGCTCCCCGGGAAGTCAGTGGGCCGAGAGGCTGTGGCTTGACGTTTGTGGCGGAACAGGGCAGGTACCCAACGAGAGACTTGGGCTAACAGATAGGTACCTAGGTAGGTAGGTGTGAGTTAGTTGCTGGCACTACCCAATCAGTCATGTATGGCTCAGGAACAAATTGCTTGAATTTTTTCAAGAAGGGGACAGAAGTAGCAGAGCAAATAGAAAACAATTAGATGACAGCCAATTGATGTTTTGTCTCTGCACACAAGTGGTGACAATGGTGCGACAGGGGAGGCAACACTATTGGCTACAGAGAACCGGTTCCCATTCTTTATTCTTTGCGGTGTGGCGGTGCTCAGCTGGCCTGAATAGGTAAGTACTTCCTTCACTATGATGCCTCTGTGGTAGATGCAGGTACCTGACTCAACCCGCTATGGGCACCGGGGCTGGTACTCCGTACATATTACTGGTTTGCTTGTAAACAGCCCGTACGCGGTTGACTGGGCCGCTGTAAACAGCACTGCTAAACTCCCCACTCTCTTGCCTCGCCAACAGCTTCTACCGGGCGTTGCCCTTTGACTCTCGTCCTCGATTCGGGTTTCTTTCGTGTCTCTGGAACTTTGCACCTGGTCTCTTCGATCATTGGCGGTCTCTCCCTCTGGTTCTCCACGACCAATTCCCCGAGTGCCCGTCAGCGTTGGTACTCTGCCTTTGCTCGCACTTTGGAGTGCCTTTCTTCGTCCTGTTTCGTGCCATCCTGTCCGTCCTTCGCCCTGCATGCCGCCTGGCCTTGCATACTGCATCCTGCGCCGCTGAAGCCCCATTCTGGAAGCTCGTCACCGCTCAAACCTTGCTCACGATTTTGCTCCTCTGGCGCGGCTTGGACCTGCCTAGCTTGGACGGCCGGGATAGCATCTGATTGAGTAGCGGGAGTGCGCCCGCAGCGCCAGAATGACGGAGCGCCAAGATCTTGACGTTACCAACGAGGCTCTCCTTGACCCCCAACTTCTCTATTCCAAAGAATACTGCATTGGTGAGTAATAGTTGCCCAAGGACGCTTGCGCGAACTCACTCGCGAAGCGCAGTGCAAAATAGTGCTAACAGCTACCAGGCGGGGGCAGCTTCGGCAAGGTGTTTAAAGGGTACGAGCGAAACTTCCCACCGCTCCTCTGCGACGCTAACACACCCTATCAGCGTCGATAAACGCACCGGCGAGGCCGTCGCTATCAAGGTCATTGACATTGAGAACGCCGAAGACGAAGTCGAAGACATTATCCAGGAAATAGCCATCCTCTCCGAGCTACAGTCCCCTTACGTCACCAAATACTATGGCTCCTACTCCAAGGGCGCTGAGCTCTGGATCGTCATGGAGTTCTGTGCCGGCGGCAGCTGTGCCGACCTGATGAAGCCCGGCCTCATCAGCGAAGACTACATTGCCATTATCACCCGTGAGCTGCTCTTGGGGTTAGAGTACTTACATGCCGATAAGAAATTACATAGAGATATCAAGGGTGCGTCTGAAACTGCTTGACTTTTTTCCTCTTGCTAACACGAAACTAGCTGCCAACGTCCTTTTGAGCGCCGCGGGCCAAGTCAAGCTGGCTGACTTTGGCGTCTCTGGCCAGCTGTCAGCAACCATGACCAAAAAGAATACCTTTGTAGGCACCCCGTTTTGGATGGCACCCGAAGTCATCAAGCAATCAGGCTATGACCACAAGGCCGATATATGGTCCTTGGGCATCACTGCTCTCGAGCTAGCCAACGGTGAACCGCCATACGCCGACATTCACCCCATGAAGGTTCTCTTCCTCATCCCCAAGAACCCGGCACCCCGTCTCGAGGGCAACTTCACAAAGGCGTTCAAAGAATTCGTCGAGCTTTGCCTGCAGCGCGACCCGAAAGACAGGCCCAGCGCAAAGGACTTGCTTCGACACCCTTTTATCAGAAGAGCAAAGAAGACTACATACCTGACGGAGCTGATTGAACGTCACAGCCGCTGGTCGGCAACGCACAAAGGCGACGACGACGATAATTGGGATTCTGCTTCAGCAGGCGTACCCACCAGACGCGACAAGGTAGACGAGGATATGTGGGATTTTGGCACCGTCCGACTCGTCGGTGACCGCGGCAGCAAATTCACTCGCCCTGGCCTCAACGACCTCAACGACAAGGGCACAAACGCAAGAGCAGCGAGGTCGCGTGAAAATTCGGATGATTATGGCGAAACGAGGCGCGAAGTGAGCCCGACCAAGGCGCGCGACTTTGCCTTGGATGCTAGCGACACTGTCAAGGCCCCCTCGAGACAGTCGAGCCCCCAGCGAAAACCGCTGGCACCTGCCGTGCACTCGCCGGCCAAGGTTCCCTTGCCCGCAAGTCCGATAAAAACGGCGAAACAACTCCTGCCAGAGACACCGACCAAGTCAAAACCCTTGCCACCCCTAGCCGAGAGCCAGTCTCCCGACTATGATCGGGAGCTGCAGGCCCAACTCCAGCAAGACCTGAGTGTGCTGAGCATAGACTTCTCCAACCGCAGTTCACCATCGCCGGCGATAAAGGCACCTTTCGCCGAAAAGCCGCTACCACCAACACAACAGGGGCCAGACTCGAGACCAACATCGCGCATCGGACCCATTCATCTGCAGGATATTCCGCCTTTCCGAGGCAGCCCGTCGTCTCAATCGCAATCACAGTTTGCATCTCCGTCACCAGCCGCGTCGCAGGTCAGAACGCCCATCAAGTCTCACTCGCCAGCGCCGGACATTACTACGCCGTCTTCATTCCCGTCTCCGATGCCTGCTAATCCCAATGGCGAGCTGGATGCGCTCAACGATGTCATCTTCCCGGCGTTAGAGGAGGCCCTTAAGCGGCGTGAGGCGCGCCTGCAGCAAATCTTTGCCGTTGAGCAAGTGGGAGCAGTGAAGCAGCAACGAATAGAAGTGGCGCATGACAAATTACGCAAGATGGTCTACAAGCTGGCGCATGTATGCAAAGAGATTGACCACATCGACAAAGCTGAGCCTGTCGGGATGGGCCGGGATGTAGGAAATTTCCTCGAGGGGCTTCTGGAAGAGATTTTAGTGCGCGTCGAGCCTCTAGATGAGGAAGAGCTAGCTCAGTAGTGCGGTGCATGGTGAAGACGATTCAGGAATGACATGGCAAGAATTGAACGTTTAATGAAGAGCATGAACGAGCTGTTATAAAGACGGGGCAGCTTTTTTTCTCGGGTTCCGCTGCAGGCTATTCGGTAGGCATATATAGGTATGGCATTCAATTGTGCATTGATGGCTTGGTAGGACATGTGGCGCACGGAGGCCCTTGGAAGTTGTTTTCCGCAAGGGCAGATACATGGCTTTCCAGATGAACAAAGGATAGGATAGAACTATGAGGCGCTGCAATACAATCTGACATACAATAGCGGACTAAACACCAAAATCCCTTGATGTGACAGAATGTGGCGCTACGGAGGTTGTAGATTTTGAGTGAAGGATTGGCAGTCTTTGCTACCAGAGGCTGACGAAGGGGTGCTGCCCATTGCCTTTTCGTAATTATCGTCGGAAATGGTCACCGGGAAGACAAAGGCAGCGTTGCTGGCGCACCAGGAAACTATTCAACAATGGACTGTCCAAGCCGCGCGAGTTGTTCCCCTTTACTGCATAAGTGACCTTGTGCGGTGCTACACAGGCTGCCTGACAAGATCGAGGTGAGCAAACTGATTGGGGCTGTTTGCGGAGTATGAACCCAAGGCCGCGGAGAGCTACGCGCGCGGCGGCGTGATGGCGGGCTTCGTGAGCCTGTCGAGCTTTGCTGCTTTGGAGCGGTTCATCGCCGCGGTGGAGGGCGGGAGGTGCGAGGCGTACGGGGGACGCTGGGAGACAGTGTCCGTCTTTGACGCCGGCCTGACGCCGGCGTGGTCGGAGGAGGAGTTGGAGGCGTGAAGAGCACAGGGTCGCTATAAACCGCGGTGTGAACCTTTGGAGACGTGGCAGTACGATTTGGAAGACTATCCACTGATACAGGGGTCCACGGTTGTTTGCATGTCTTTCGGTGTCGGGGTTCGGATGTAGCGTTGTTGGAGAGATGTAATTACCAGATGTCAGGATGGCTTGTCGTCTCTCTTTTAGGTTTTAGCCGGCCATTTTCAATAGCGACATGGTTCAATCGTCGCGTTGCTTTTGGGTACCAATGCCTCTGTGACATGGATAATGAATAATTCATGGAAATGTAGAATCGACAACTCGCTAATCCCCTACCCAGAATACGTCACAATGCCTGCCAAACGCTAACTACGCCTCATCAGGAACAAGAGTCTCGCCGGACGGCCCCGGGCTTGGCGAGCTGGCCTCGGAAACACGTTCGCATTCCGGCCGCTGGTCCGAAGAAGAAAAATTTCAGTGGTAACTGCGCCACAGGTACCCCCGGCCAGGCCGACCACTTATCTGTGGCTTGCGCACGACGGCGCCAGGACCCCCTGTTCATTGGACGTGGCTCGGCTCTATTCTGGGTCCCAGGTTTAACGTTACGGCAGGCTGGTAGGCCTTTTTGAAGACTGGTCCGCCGCCAGAGGGGGGGGGACACACCTAGCGACAGGCTAGAATGCCGCCAAGCGAACTCCAAACCAACTTGTTTTTTTTTCTCTCCCTCTTCTTCTTTTTCTCCCGCAAAACATCCTCGTCTTCTCTTTAAATCACTCTTGTTCTCTAAACCCTCTCCGCTCCGGATCTTCGTCTTTGCTAGTCAAAGGGGATTCTTCTTCAACGACGGTCTTTCCCTCCTACGGTCTTCCTTGATCCCACGACAATCACACACGATGCTGTCGCGAAGCTCCCTCCGCGCGGCTCAGGTACGTCACTGCGTCTTTTTAAACCTATCTGTGAAGCTAGCTGGTCGTTGGGAAACGGGAGACGTGGAACGCTGTTTTAGTTGCCACATGGCCAAGAATTGAGTTATTTTGGTCGCGGATTACATTGTCATCGACCTTATCACGGTTTGCTGCGGCAAGCTGGCCTAATGCCTCTCGCTACTCGCACGGGCTCCGCAGGATGCGACAACAACAGTACCAAGCTCAATGACCGAGTTCTGCGGTCTTCCACCTCCTACCGCATCACTACGCTGCAGCGTCCATGGACTCGATCCGCTAACTCCCGCAGGCCCTCCGCGCCGCCGCTCCCCAGCCCCGGCTGTCCCGAACCATGGCCACGATCCAGTCCGACATCTTCAAGCCCGCCAAGTACGGCGGCAAGTACACAGTTACGCTGATCCCCGGTGATGGTATCGGTGCCGAGGTCGCCGAGTCGGTTAAGACGATCTTCAAGGCCGACAACGTGCCCATTGAGTGGGAGCAGGTCGAGGTCACGGGCATCGAGGAAGGCGACGGCGCCCGCACCGAGGCCGCCTTCCGCGAGTCGGTCGAGTCGCTCAAGCGCAACAAGGTCGGTCTCAAGGGCATTCTGCACACGCCCGTCTCGCGCTCCGGCCATCAGTCCTTCAACGTGGCCATGCGCCAGGAGCTCGACATTTACGCCTCCATCTCCCTCATCAAGAACATTCCCGGCTACGAGACGCGCCACAAGAATGTTGACCTATGCATCATCCGTGAGAACACCGAGGGCGAGTACTCGGGCCTCGAGCACCAGTCGGTCCCCGGCGTCGTCGAGTCGCTCAAGATTATCACGCGCGCCAAGTCGGAGCGCATCGCCCGCTTCGCCTTTTCCTTTGCCCTCGCCAACGGCCGCTCCAAGGTGACGTGCATCCACAAGGCCAACATCATGAAGCTCGCCGACGGTCTGTTCCGCAGCACCTTCCACAACGTCTCCAAGGAGTACCCCACCCTCGAGGTCAACGACATGATTGTCGACAACGCCTCGATGCAGGCCGTCTCGCGCCCGCAGCAGTTTGACGTCATGGTCATGCCCAACCTGTACGGTGGCATCCTTTCCAACATTGGCGCCGCCCTCGTTGGTGGCCCCGGCATCGTTCCCGGTTGCAACATGGGCCGCGAAGTGGCCGTCTTTGAGCCCGGCTGCCGTCACGTCGGTCTGGACATCAAGGGTAAGGACCAGGCAAACCCCACGGCCCTGATCCTGTCGGGCAGCATGCTCCTGCGCCACCTAGGCCTCGACAACCACGCCAACCGCATCTCCAAGGCCATCTACGCTGTCATTGCCGAGGGCAAGGTCCGCACCCGCGACATGGGCGGCGTGTCCACGACCCACGAGTTTACCCGCGCGATCCTCGACAAGATGGAGACGGTCTAAGTTGGCGACTGGGAAGCGACGAGTCGAAAAGAAGACAGCGGCACTTGCTGCATAATACCCTTTTCCAGAGAGAAATAGAAACAATTTCCTTTGTTTGAATACAAGACGTAGAATGGCGGACACGCGATGCTGAATACCACGGCGAAAGACGGGGCGGCGCCATGGAATATGGAGGATCCGAAAGAAGAAGGGACCAAGAGGGGGGAGGAACTGGACGAGAAGGAGAATGGAGAGGAAGAGGCGAGCTTTTTCTTTTTTTGCATGTACATGATTGCATTTGTGGAATTACCTGGCAGCAATAGCAGCTGAATGTATAGAATTGTTCAATCACAGGCCTAGAGTGACGTGTACGTGTACCCATCGGCGCTGTTTCAAGCCTTGTATCTATAGTTACTTGGAAATATCGTGTTAAATCTGACGCTGTTCGGACGAGTCGGACAGGTCGGACGAGTTCCAAAATGCTCACACAAAAGCCATTTCATTTCGTTCCTTGATCGATAGCACAGCCGCCTCCTTCCCTTGCCCCGCCCGACAAAGGCTGTGATTCCAAATTGTGAAGAGCGTCGCGCGCCATCCTGGCGAGGAAAACCCCCCCAACTCACGGACCTCGAAGGGTCTTGCAGGCGAAGCTCCGGGCAGATGGAGGCTGCGCGCCATCGCCGCAGTCGTAGCTTCTTTCGTCCAGCTTCTTTCGTCCAGCTTCTTTCGTCCAGCTTCTTTCGTCCAGCTTCTTTCGTCCAGCAGTCCACACCTCTCTCTCTCTCTCTCATTCTCCCCGCTTCTTTGACCATGCCCGTAACAGTAACCTCTCCAAAACCCCGCAGGACACTAGCAGAGCCGGCCGCCTCGCTCCCTTGCTAATCCATGAAGTCATGGCAATTCCAAATTCTGCCGAGTTTACAAAGGCGAGAAAAAGAAGTGGAGGGGGGGGGGCAAAAGTCTTTATATAGAGAACGTTCCATCCGCACCCTGATGGTCTCTTCCTCTGCCACACGAACCCCACGCAAACTCGACCAATTGGGTAATACGACACTACTATATTTTTTTATTTGATTTGCTGAGAGATCTCAATACAATGGCCATCAAAGGTAGCTGCATGTGCGGCGATACAGCCTATCAGTTTACTGGTGAGTCGCGCCGGGTCGTCGGGCGGGGGGTTGGTGGGGGAATTTGCTGATGATGTCAAGGACCGGTTGAGGCCACTGCGCTCTGCCACTGCACCGATTGCCAAAAGGTATGTTTTTGTTCTTTTTTTTTCTTTTTTCTAAATCGGAGAATTGTCCAACAATTGCTGACTCCTTGCCAGTGGTCGGGCGGCGCCTACACCTCCAACGTGGTGACCCCTCGCGACGGTTTTAGCGTCACCAAGGGTAAGCATGACATCCACCTGTTCACTTACACGGCCCTTGTCTATCAAAATCGTTTCTCTCCTCCACACAAGAGGGAGAAGGAGAAGAAAAAAAAGAGAGAGAGAAAAAAAATCTGACCATATCTGCCAGGAACCCCCAAGACGTACGACGCCGTCGGCGACTCGGGCAAGGTCAACAAGCACTTCTTCTGCGGCCGCTGCGGCTCCTCGCTCTACACCGAGCTCGAAATCATGCCCACGGCCGTCTGCGTCAAGGCCGGCTCGCTCGATGGCGGCAAGGCCGCGCTCGACAACAAGGTCGGCGTCGAATTCTACACCAAGGACCGCGTCGGCTACCTGCACGGCCTGGCCGACGCGAAGCAGGTCGAGGCGTTTGGCAACTAAACCCCCTCTCGCCGCTCGCCGTAGCTAGAATCGTTCCATAGATGAATATTCTGCTGCTCGTATTGTCCTATCCTTGCCCACCCAAGACACGGCCCGTCGTGACTCTTGAGCTGGGCCCCCGTGAGACCCCGTCTTGTGTGTCTGCGTAGCCGGCTGCTTACTTCCCCTGCTCCCTGTGGAGGGACAGGAGCGTTTCCCTCACCTTCATCTGTCGCTCATTCTCGAATGGGTCTATGAATTCCAGCTTCCCGTCTTGGTCCCGGCTTGGCTTGAAGACGCTCATTGGGTCCGCACCGCCGACCTGCACTAAAACCTTGATCAAGCCCAGCTTGCCCCAACGCGCTGCCATGCGGATCGGGTCGTGCCAGTCACTGGGCTGTTGGTCAAGACCGCACCTGACGTCGGCTCCGGCCTCCAAAAGGGCCTTGGCGATTCCAACCTCGATTTCCTCCGGTCTGTTACTGCCGATGGCCTCTTGGAGCGGCGTAGATCCCATGTCGTCGTACGTTTCATGAATCCCCTCTGGGTAGCGTGACAGCAGCATCTTGAACGTCTCTACGTCACAGTGTGCGGCAGCTTTGTGGAGCACGTTCCTGCCGGTGAGGTTCTTGTATCGCAAATGCGCCTCGATGCCTTCTTGCTCGAGTAAAAAGGCGACGGCAGCCCCATGACCACTCTGCGCGGCTTCACCAACGGACTGGTGAGGTTCAGCACTGTGCAACCTCCCATCACCGCGGTGGCGTGTTTGGAGAATGTTCTGCTGGAGAGCTGGATTGCACGAGGCAGCTCGAAAGAGCCTCTCGAGAACTGGGAGGCATCCGCGGCTAGCAGCTATGCAGAGTAACTCATTAGGCCATTCTTCATCCACGACAAAATCTAAGCCGCGAACTATGTGGTCAAAAATTGCATCGAGGCTGCTCTTCTTCTCTGCAGTAGACTGATACTGGTACGACGGATGCCAACCCCGAATTACTCGAACAGAGAGTCTCCGAGCTTCGTCAACTTCTTTCTCCACGTCGAAGTTGATCAGTCCAAGGAGTCTACTCGTGTCATCCTGTCTAAGAAGCGTGTCGACGACACGGGTTCGCTGTTCTTCCGTAACGGACAGCCTTCCTGCTTTCACTTCTTGCAGAAGCTCCTCGAAGAGATATGCGGATCCGTAGAGCGACACCATCGTAAGAGGGTCATCGTCTGCGTCCATGAGCAAGTCATAGCGTTTGCGTCTGCAATCAGGGTGCTGAAACTGTTCGCGCCAATTTTTTGATCTGATTGTTCCCGAGCCTAGGAGGCTGATGACATCCGAGAGGCCCGGTCCATTCTTACGATTGGTTTTTTTCGAGTGATGCAGCCAGTAGCACGAAGCGTACGTGAAGAACTCTCCGAAGCCACGCTCAACCGGGTCGAAATGGTGCACGTCTGTCTCTGACAGCGGCGTAGACATTCCGCTATCAGCACTGCTGTTGCCATCACTCGAGTCGTCGTCAAGGGCACCTACTCGTGGCAACGTAAAAAGAACGGTGGCCATTTCCTCCTGTTCCCTTGAAAATAAATCTCGATCCCCAATTTCGGCCAGAAAGAGGTACTCTACACATTCATGCGCGAGCTTGCCGTGTAGCTGCGACCGGCGCTCAAGAGGAACTGCATCTGACCACGGCGTCAAGTCACGGAGCTGTGCCCATTCGCGAGGAGGAGATCGGAAAACAAGCTCCCTGATAGATTGGTGTGCCAATCGCACTTGACGGCTGTTGGCTGCCTCGGAATCAAAACTGGATATGAAGGGGCTCAAGAAGCCGCCTCGTAGTCGGTCCTCTTCGACGTAGTCCTGTAAATCTCGGACTGTTTTGAGACTTGTTTCGGAGCCTCGGAGTGCCACGGCCCAGGCAAGCTCCGGCATACTCAGTGGCCGCTCGGCGGTGGCTAAGAGTTCAAGAGCATCCGAGAGGAATCGGGCTCTGTCGTTCTCATTCTTGGACACTTGGAAAAACAGCTTGGCGTACAGGTCCGACAATTTGGATCCTGGCAGCTCGTCGACCAGGAAGGCCCGAAGTTTGGCAATCGCCCTGGTTTCGCGCAATTTAAGCAGGTTCACCGCCGTTTCTACCCATATGGCGCTTCCTTTGGCCAGCTTCGAAAGCAAGTCAATCACGAGCGTTCGAGCTTCACCCTTCAGGTACGACAGCTGTTGCTCCACCAAGTGCGAGACAATGATTTTGTCACGTTCAGCATCATCCTTTGGCATCTTGATTCCAGGAAACCTCTCGAGGGCAGTCTGGATATGTTGGTGATACCGCACAGACATGCAGCATTTCAGTCCATCGATCTTCAGTGACTGGCTCCCGAGACTAGTCACAAGCTCCTTGCAAGAATCGATGTCGCATTCGTCTAGACCATCCAAAAATATGAATACTGGCCGTTGCAGGCTCTTGATCGAGTCAAAAAAGAAGTCGCTGAGCAATTTTGGGTCATGAGTGGGAGAATAGTTTCCCTCGGATTTTTTCTTCTCGATCCAGCGGCAGAAATGAGCTTTGATGTGCTTCTTCTTTTCCATCAATTGCTGAATGAGGCTGGAGTACACATATACCGACATGCCAGTTTCGTCGTTTCGGCAGTAATGATAGAAAATCAGGGCGCTAGGAATACGTCTTTGCAGCTGAGTGACATGTTCTATAATGAAGGTTATAGTAATGGTTTTACCACTGCCCATCTCACCATAGAGAACGAGGGGATGGGTTGCAGTAGCTTTATACCATGCACAAAAGACTGGATCAGCGATTGCCCATTTACAGGCATCAATGGCTGTCTTTTTTGTGCACTCAAAGTAGAATTTCTCATCAAGATAGTTGCTTCCAAGAGTCTGCTCAACTGTTCTCGGTTAGTAAAGAGCTGCATGAACCATTTGACGTCTGAGCCACTCACTCTTTTTGTCCATGTGTTGAGACTGAATAGACTTGGTGTTGGCGTTATTGATGTGTTGACGAAGTAGTTTGGCGTTTTTAAGAAAGCTGTGTACCACGGGAGTAATTCGTTCGTTGATGTTTTCTGATATCCAAGACCACGCAACCGCCTTTCCGGTGAGCACTTGAACACCGTTGTAGTAAAACAACAACAAGTCCTTGTAAACTTCCACCAGTGCCTAGCCATACTTAGTTTGCTGTAATATTTGGTAGTCAAATTCACATTCTTACCTTGTATATGAGCTCGTTGTCGTCAAATTGTTGGAACATTTCGTCGCATTCATCGACGACTTTGATTTGGCTCAACATGTCTTTGATGTAATTGTCCAGCCGACTTCCCATACCAAGGACCCCAACGGCCAGCTGTAAGGTTATATTTAGTTAGCTGGAGGCGCCAAAACAGAAATGCTCTCAAGTTCGATCTTACAGTAGTGACACCCTGCAACATGTTGAGCCCGGCTGAGGCCGCCGGGTTGAAGCCAGCGAAAGGCGACGATATCTTTATTGCCGTATTGACACCTTTGATGGGGCCTTCGAGTTTTTCGAGACCTCGTCTAATCATTGACTCTTCTTTCTGTTTGTTGTTCGCCGCGCTCAAGCTGTCAAACAGCTCTTCCAGGTCTCGGTCTTGGCTCACAACACGACGTATCTTTTCGTCGACCTGCGACAGGGCTTCGTCGTATGCAGTGGGCCGAACAGTCTCCGGCTGTGCTACAGTGATGCAGGATTTAGGCGTGCTAGGGTGGCTATTCAATGGAGCCGGGCCAGTCGAGGTTGGAGGTTGGGTCGGAGTTGGAGGTTGAGTCGGAGCCGGAGGTTGAGTCGGAGCTGGAGGTGTTGCGCTGGGTACTGCGGATACTGGCTGCTGGCCGCGGCGGCGGTGGATGCAACAAGAGAGGCAATTCATCTTGCATGCGAAGTGAAGTACGGATAAACCGCTTTAGTCACCGCAGGATTGGAGTCCAGGACAATCGATGCCCGCTTGGCTATCTCGGGTGAGATGTGAATTGGGGGGGAAGGGAGCTAGAAGCAACTGAGCGAGAAGGGGATCGTGGGAAAGGAGAACTGCGGGAGAATGTAGTCGAGGGAGAAGGTAGCTAAGTAAAGAGGCATTCGGGGAAAAGAAAATTACAGCTCTCAGGTGGGAGAGGGGTCGCATTCATACAATGCCGCCCATGCCTCGTCAACCCCTAGCATCCAAAGGTGTACGGAGTCCGTAATCTGTAATTTGTACTGCAGTTTACGCGCCGTACTTCAGCTGCTGCGGGTCTCTGATGTATGATGACAGCCCAGCCAAGCATGAGTATGCAGTCAACCACGGTAAGAATGAATTGAAGAGCCTTGCCGGTGGCTGAGGGGAGAGAATGGGCGATGAACGTGCCGGGTTGCGCTTGTGAATGCTACGACTCAGCCTCGTTAAAATATCCGGTTTCTTACTCGTAGTCATCTTGCCATCCGAACCGGAATAAATAGAGTACCTATCGAGGAAAAGTATTGTGCTCGCTGTGGGTAATTAAAACTTGGTCTCTTATGGAAAAGGGGCGAAATAGGTTGTAGAGGGGATTCTATACGTCTCTCAGTATTCGATCTTAGTTATCCAAGCCTCCTACAGATTACGGGAGCTAGTTAATAATAACAAAGAAGACAGCCTTGTTCCTGGACCGAAAGCGTTCATAGCTCGTAACTACAAACTGCAGGGTAGTTGCGAGGATTCGGCAGAAGGCTGCGTGAGGCACGTACACTCATTGTTTTGAACTTGTAGTGAATTCAGCGATTTGAAAAAAATAAATAGAGCCGAGTTTTCCTATCGCCCTAAGTCATCATGAAAAGAGCAATCGCAGCTGGGAGCCATAATCCGTCGTAGACAAAAAACACCTCGTCCTCGTGAGTCAGGCCGTCGTCCATGTCCCTTCCCCAAAAACTATCACCAAACAAGGGAAGGAAAAAAGCGGCAAGACATACGTAACCCACACGATACAAGTCGCAGCTGGATTTCCCCAAGCAGTCGCCCAGATGCCCGGGCAATTCGTCTGGATCAACGGCATGCCCGGCGTCGGCAAGCTCACCGTCGCGCGGGCCCTCTGCGCCCTCGTCCCCGACACGCAGCTCGTCGACAACCACTCGCTGATTGACCAGGTGCAGCTACCGCGCGACCACGCCGACTACAATGCCGAGCGGGCGCGTGTCCGCGACGCCGCCTACGCCTCTGTTGTGCATCCCTCCGACGAGAGACAACTAGCCCGCGTCGTCATCTTTACAGGTGCGTTTTTCGTCCCCCCCAAAGGAAGAAGTCGCCAACATGGAGCATTAACACTCCGCAGACTTCTTCACCGCCGGCACAATCGGCGCAGAGTGGTCGCAGGCGCACCAGGCAGCCGCGGCGCGCGGTGGACGCCTGTTCTTGCCCGTGTACCTGACGTGTGAGCGCGAGGAGAACCTGCGACGCGTGGCGCGGCCGGAGCGCGGCGCGGCGGGGTGCGGCAAGCTCACAGACGTGGCGCTGGTGGCGAGGTTCTTGGACGACTCGACGATTTACAGGTTTCCGGGCCGCGGGGTGGACATTGACACGACCGGGCGGGAACCGGACGAGACGGCGCTGCTGATACAGGAGGCAATGAGGGCACAGCTACAAGAGGCGCAAATATGAGGGTTGCATGACAAAACTCGCCAGCTGTCAACACATAAAGAATTGGTCAAAATCGCTCTAGATTCCTCTCTCTATATTGTAATCTTTTTTCCTCCAAATTATACACTCTTCACATTTCCTCTGCCTCCAAACAAACGAGCTGAACCTTTACAGGAACTTGCTCTTCTCAACCGTGTAGAGGTCGACGTACTCGTCCACGGACAAGCTCTCGAGCTTCTTAGCGTTCTGGCTCAGCTCGACAAGCTCGTTGACACGGGCCTCGGGCAGATGGGGGGTAAGGTGACGCTTGTATTTGGCGAGAATGACGGGCTTTGCCTCGTCGCGGCGGAGACGGTGGCCGAGAGGAGCCTCAACAGCAACCTCGTCCAGGATGGTGCCGTCGTTGAGCTCGACGGTGAGGGCGTTGGAAATGGTGCGGAGCTCAGGGTTGTGGTAGTCTTCGGTGTACTGCGTGTCTTCGACACACTTGAACTTCTTGCGGAGGGACTCGACGAGCTCCGAGGTAGCGGCCTCGCCGCCGTCGGTATAGTCGGTGGCCTCGAGGCGGCCAAAGACGAGCATGACGGAGCACATGTACTGGATGCAATGGTCGCGGTCGGCAAAGTTGTCCATGGGCTTGAACTGCTTGTCGATGATGCGGATGCAGGCTTCGTGGGTACGGCAGGTAATGGCCTTGATGTCGGCGGCGGACTTGCCCAAGGCCTTGAGCTGGTGGAAGATCTTCTCAGAGGCCTCGACGGCGGTCTGGGAGTGGAACTCGGCTGAAAGATTGCTAGTCAGTCATCGTGAAAACTAAAGGCGAGTAGGGTGAAGACGTACCAGGGTAGGAGACCTTGAAGAGGACATTCTCCATGACGTAGCTGCCATAGGGGCGCTGGAACTCAAACTTGTTGCCCTTGAAGAGAACATCGTAGAAGCCCCAGACGGGGGCGGAGAGTACGGTAGGAACACCGGCTTCACCATTCATGACCTTGAGGGCCAGGTTGACAGCACGCTGGCAAGCGTCACCGGCAGCCCACGACTTGCGGGACATGGTGTTGGGGGTGTGGCGATAGGTGCGGAGGGACTGGCCGTCAACCCAGGCCTGGGTGACAGCGTCGGCAATCTGCTTCTCGTTGAGGCCGAGCATCTTGGAGACGACGGCGGTGGACGCGACCTTGACGAGGACGACGTGGTCGAGGCCGACCTTGTTGTACGAGTTGAGGAGGGCGAGGCAACCCTGGATCTCGTGGGCCTTGATCATAGCCTCAAGGACGTCCTTGATGTTGAAAATCTTGCCGCCAGCGAGATTGCCGCCGGCCTTGTTGGTGCGGTTAACCCAGTCGGCGACGGCGAGGATGGCACCGAGGTTGTCCGAGGGGTGACCCCACTCGGCAGCCAGCCAGCAGTCGTTGAAGTCGAGCCAGCGGATCATGGCACCGATGTTGAAGGCGCCGTTGACAGGGTCGAGGACAAAGGGAGTGCCGGGAACCCTGGTGCCATTAGGGACGATAGTACCGGGGACAATAGGACCGAGGAGCTTGGTGCACTCCTTGAAGCGAAGGCCCTCAAGACCGCAGCCGAGGGTGTCAAGGAGGATCCATCGCGCAGTGTCGAACTGGAACGGGTGTCAGTCGTGGGTTGCACGTGTTGGAAGGGTGCGGTTGAAGTTTCTCATGAACCCCATTACCCCGCGGTGAGAGAAAACAGCCTGGGGATGGTGGGGTACGGCGAGAAGGTGGTCACGGTGGCACGTACAGCGAGCTCAGAGTCAATCTTCTTGTTGGCGACAAAGTCGGCAATGTCCTTGATCTCTGGATCGTATTCTCTGGCACCGGAAGTCATGTTGGGAGCGCCGGAAAGTCTGGCGGCAGCGGTGGAAAAGTTGTTGCGGGAGGCAGGAAGCGAGCCGGCGATGCGAAGGGCGCCGACGGAGGCCGAGCGGATGGCAGCGGCGCAAGGCAGGACACGAGTAGGCTGGAGACGCAGCTGCTTGGAGGCGGAACGCAGGCTACGGTTGACAGCAGACATGATGCTGTCAATCAATTGAGTCGGGGGAGGATATGCGAGGAGAAAGAGCGGAGATTTGGGGGAAGGTTGAGGAAGGAGATAAAAAGGTTGAGAGGGCAACAAGGTGAAAAATAAAGTATTGGACGGTCACAGACGTGTTGAAGTTGAGCCGAAGTCTAGGTGAGGTTCGGCTTGGGGCTTTGCCGCGGAATGCCGATCGGCCAGGGGGAGTTGTTGGGTGCTGCCAGGTACCTGTCTTCGGGTGCTTGTAGGGTGAAGAGAGAAGGTACCTGGGTGCAGGCTGGTATAGGTACTTGCCCCGGCGGTTGCTGGGGCCAGTTTGCACACATTCTGCACCCTTCACCCTTTTAAGTGACCACTTCCCAGTGTACATAGAATCCGGGGGTCTTCCAAAAAGGCTATTTGCTTCCACGCGCACAGCACAATAACTCGCGCCATTTTTTTCGGCCCGGCTACAAGGCACCTAATAGGAGGTAGGAGGTTACGACATGTACACTCTGCAAAAAACAGGGCAAACACTTGGGGGGTTCAATTTTGGGGACATTGAACTGCGAACGGCAGTTTTATTATATTCATCAATTCTGCAATAAATTGCAATAAATTGTAGAAACCAGACTCAATCTTGATTGTCTGAATCGTTTCCCATGTGATTGCTCATTCGGCAGTCAGTGTTGGCCCGTAGACGACGCTTCAACGGTTCGGCAAGAATAGGAACAGCTCGCTCTCAGTGTCATGGCCTCACTGCCTCAGGCAGCACGCACAGATCTGCACAAAACTCTCACAGCAGCTCGCTCCAGGCCGTCAAGGTGGCCACGACAACCTAATTATTGCCGCTACACAAACTTTGAACATGTGGACACGCTTTTTCATCATGCCCAAAACAGTCACAGCTCGAGTTTGCAGTCTAGCCTGACCTGCACCCAAGTCTGCAGAGCTGGTCGTGGTGACACACCGAGGATCTCTGTCTGTAGATGCCCAACCTGATAGGGATTGGGCTCGATCGCCAAATCCCCAAATCGCCATCCTCTTAACGAATAATATGACTGAATTTTTGTCACATTGACGAGCCACATCCATCTTGTACACAGCTTTTAGATACGAGCCTTGCGTTCCTGTGGCCACTCCCTGTCACCTACCTATGTATCTGAGGCTATCTCTTGGCTACAGTGTGGCTGATACACGAATTTTTCTAGTGCGTAGGAAGGTAGCCACACAGTTACCCAGCGAGGGAGATGTGCAGCCTGTAGTTAATACTAACTACCTAGTTGGAACGAGTACCTTTTAGTATCTCCCAGGGCACCCGCTTTCAGTGGCTTGGAGGGAGGGGAACCAGACAAGACAAGAGGCCAAAGATCTCAGCGCTCGTCGCAACCCAACCAGCCCCTCTCAATTGGTTCGAATGTATTGATGCGCAGAAGCGCGCACCCCGTCCAACAGCGGGTATTAATAAATGGTAATGGATATTACTGCTGCGCGACTGGGAGAGCTGGCGGCTCTGATGTACAATGTACCCTACTTGCCTGCCTGCCCATGAGACGTAATGGTGGCCTGTGCAGCCCGTGAAATCTCTGCGCCACAGCAAGATACGTAAGGAGGGGCATGGAGGGGTAAGGCAGCAGAAGCAGCACAGTTTGGGGGTATCTACAGCCACGCAGACTCTGAAAACAGCCAAGAAACGAGCAAAAAATCATTCACCGGTTGACTCAATCCGCCATCGTCTTATTCACTTCACTTTGATGATCCGCTTGGTGCCTTGCTGCCCTGCGATGGGCCCAAACCTCCGAGGAGCAGCCTCCTAATTGGTGAGCCCCTCTAAAAATAAGTGGAAATGCTGCGAGTGAAGGAAAAGTGAGAAGCAGAATTTTTTTGTGCCTCACCTTATTTGCTGCCGCAGCAGGAAAACAAAACAGACCTCCCACTTGTTAGGGCTAGTGGACCACCTGGCCTGCCGCCACTCTTCGTTGCCCCGCGCCAGCGTGCACCAGCCAGGTTTTTTTTCTCCCACTCCACCCCTCCCCCGCCAGACCTTTTTAAACTCCTCCTCCCACCACCAGCTTTGTGAAATTTTTCTCTTTTGCTCCTTGTCTCGCATACCCGGTTCAAGCATCCGATCTGCGAATTCATGTATGTCTTCACTTACCTACGCCTCCCAAGCTGTTGATAGCTTCGAATATGGCTCGGACATCTCATAGAGGACTGCGTTGTTTGCTAACATGACGGCCTTCAGATTTCCGAAAGGACCTCATAAAAGAATCACTCGCATTCAATAACAAACACCTTCAAAATGGGGTATGTCATATCCATTAACCTCATCCTACCCGCAAATATGCTAACAATCTCTGCAGCAAGGACGACGAGAAGCTCCTCCACATCAACGTTGTCGTTATCGGGTGCGTCTCAACGACTTCACATTCGACGAACCATAAATACTGACTATGTCGCAGCCACGTCGATTCTGGCAAGTCTACCACCGTAAGTTTAGCCTATCAGTCGAGCATCGCTACGGCGCCGGATCAGAATGCCTCACCCGGTCCTCAACGGTCACATACAGTTCACACAGCTAACTCGCAAATAGACTGGTCACTTGATCTACAAGTGCGGTGGAATTGACGAGCGTACCATCGAGAAGTTCGAGAAGGTAAGCATAGTATCCAGCATTTATCTACCCTTCTTTCCCTCCTCCGACTTGCTCTGCGACTTTGCTCAGCGGTTGTCCCGTTACTTTGGCAGCCATTACCCCTCCTTGCTGCGGCAAAATTTTCAGAGTGCCTTATCACTTCAGTGGGGCTACTCAGGAATACCCCGCCACCTGTCGCAGGCTCAGGCTTGCCCCTCATTCTTTTGCTTATTGAGCAACAAAAACCTTTATTCGGGTCGGATGTGAATTATTTGCTAACCACCTCGTCTATAGGAAGCCACCGAACTCGGAAAGGGCTCCTTCAAGTATGCCTGGGTTCTTGACAAGCTCAAGGCCGAGCGTGAGCGTGGTATCACCATTGATATCGCCCTCTGGAAGTTCGAGACCAAGAAGTACCAGGTCACCGTCATTGACGCTCCCGGTCACCGTGATTTCATCAAGAACATGATTACTGGTACTTCTCAGGCCGATTGCGCTATCCTCATCATCGCTGCCGGTACTGGTGAGTTCGAGGCTGGTATCTCCAAGGATGGCCAGACTCGTGAGCACGCTCTGCTTGCCAACACCCTCGGTGTCAAGCAGCTCATTGTTGCCGTCAACAAGATGGACACCGCCAAGTGGTCTGAGACCCGTCTCCAGGAAATTGTCAAGGAGACCTCCAGCTTCATCAAGAAGGTCGGCTTCAACCCCGACACTGTCCCCTTCGTCCCCATCTCCGGTTTCCACGGCGACAACATGGTTCTGCCCACCGAGAACATGCCCTGGTACACCGGCTGGACCAAGACGTCCAAGGCTACCGGCAAGACCGTCACTGGCAAGACCCTCCTGCAGGCCATCGACGCCATTGAGCCCCCAGAGCGTCCCACCAACAAGCCCCTCCGCCTTCCCCTCCAGGATGTTTACAAGATCGGTGGTATCGGAACTGTGCCTGTCGGCCGTGTCGAGACTGGTATCATCAAGCCCGGCATGGTCGTCACCTTTGCCCCCTCCATGGTCAGCACTGAAGTCAAGTCCGTCGAGATGCACCACGAGCAGCTGGCTCAGGGTGTTCCCGGTGACAACGTCGGCTTCAACGTGAAGAACGTTTCCGTCAAGGAAATCCGTCGTGGTAACGTCGCTGGTGACTCCAAGAACGACCCCCCCGCCGGCGCTGCTTCCTTCAACGCCCAGGTCATTGTCATCAACCACCCTGGCCAGATTTCCAACGGTTACGCCCCCGTTCTTGACTGCCACACTGCTCACATCGCCTGCAAGTTCTCCGAGATTCTTGAGAAGATCGATCGCCGTACCAACAAGGTCACTGAGACCAACCCCAAGTTCATCAAGTCTGGTGACTCCGCCCTGGTCAAGATGGTTCCTTCCAAGCCCCTGTGCGTTGAGACTTTCAGCGAGTACCCCCCTCTGGGCCGTTTCGCCGTCCGTGACATGCGTCAGACCGTCGCTGTCGGTGTCATCAAGGCTGTCGAGAAGGCCGTCGCCACCGGCAAGGTCACCAAGTCTGCTGCCAAGGCTGTCGGCAAGAAATAAGCAATTTAACCTTGCTGCCCCCCCTGGTTTTATGACCGCACTTCGATGACTGGGATGAAAACTTTTGCTACTCAAGACTGCTTGGCTTGTAGAGCCGAGACTCAATTGTGAGAGGGCCAGATTAAGGATTTTCTTTGCCGAGGGTTTCTCATAATGCGTTATGTGATGAAGAAAAATGAAAGCTAAATACAAAGTCAAGAAGTGATTCTGAAATAATCTTTTCTTTTCCATTAACGTGACTCGATTGAAATGCAATGCGCGCTCACGTATGAAACCTCACAAATACGGCCTGCGTGGAACCCGTAACACTTGGCCTTGGCACTTGCGGTGGTGCTATTAGGAAGTATCAACGCTCAACTGTGATCTTGGCGCTGATGATCTTCTGTCGAACTACTTACTCCAGCCTCATCAAGACGTACATGTCCTAATAATACATATTCTAATATACAACAACGTGGAAGTGGTGGTGGTACAGGTCTCTATATTATTGTACAGTTTACAGTTTGTCGTCCGATGATGAAGGTGGTGGCTCCTCCGCCGCAGCCGACAAAGTCGAGGCAGACTCGCTCGCCGTCGCTTCTCCACCGAGAGAACTCTCTTCCGAGTCGGCCGTTTCCTTGGTCAGCCGCTCGCTTTCTGAGGCAGCCGTCTCCTGAGCGCCGGGCTCTGCGGGCACCTCCTCCACGTGCTCTGCTACCACGCTCTCCTCCCTCGACCCGGTCGCGTCATCCCGCGGCTGCTCCGTCTCCTCTGCCTCTGGCTCAAGAAGCAGGGGCTCGTCGTCGAGCGCTGCGTCCTCGAGCATGTCCATTGTAAACGTCTCGCTCGAGCGGCGCTGCATCAGGGCCGCGCCGTCGTTCCACGAGAAGACGTGACCGGCGGCGACGTCCTCGACGAGCTGCAGGAAGCCGTCGTCGCCTTCCTTGGCGCCGTCGGCGGCGGTCGCTGGCGGCACCGCCCGGTGCAGGGAGAGCTCCTGGCGCTGGCCGCCGTGCTGCCCGGCCTCCACGCTCTCGTAGCGGATGGTGTGGTGCCGGCCGAGGCGCGTCTCGACCGCCTGGCGCACCTCGAGACCCATGAAGAGGTACAACGCCGCCTCCGCGCCTCCGCCGGGCAAGGAGAGGGCGACGCGGCTGGGCGTGCGCAGCCGCCCCTCGAGCAGGTTAAACTCGGACGCGGCCAGGAAGCGTCGCATGGCTGGCTGGTGGGCGGTGTCGAGGGCGATGAGCCGCTGCCGGGTCAGGCGCACGTCGACGCTCTCGCCGGGCAGGAGCAGGTCCTGCACGCGCTGCGCGGCCACGGCGTGCAGGGTTGAGCTGGGCGGCACGTCAAAGTTGGAGAGGTCTGTGGTCTCGTCGACAGGGAGGGTGAGCCGCACACGCGGGAGCGGCGTGGCATCCTCGGTGGTGGCGCTGCCGGCGTGCTGCTCCGTCGTCGGATCGGGAGCAAAGTGCAGGACGATGGCGGTGGACTGCGTGACAGGCTGGTCGCCGGCGGAGAGCGTGGTGAGCGCGGCGGGGTGTGGAATCACGGGCGACAGGATGCGGCGGCTCGCGGTGGCGTTCTTCTTGCCTGGTACCTTGGCGGCGTCTTTGGGGTGTAGAAGATGACCAAACGTGGCGAATGTCACCTCGGACACACTGAGCGCCTCTGAGGCTGGCGATGATGGCAGCTCCTCAAGCATGACTCGAGTTGAGAGTTGCAACGGTGGCAAAGGGCTGTTCTCCTCCGTCTTGGCCACGACGTCGGTGTAGCGCGTCCACGGCCTGAGCTTGTCCCGCCATGACCTGCTGCGGTCGTCCCGGTGGTGATCGATGTATACAGCACCCTTTGGTTTCTTGCCTCGCCCTGCGCGTGTAATCATCTTGGAAGAAAGGTCGGCTTCGGCTTCGGGGGCACTTTGGGCAGCCATGAGAAGACGCCAAACGATATCTGCAGGCCCTTCCGGCGTAATGCTTGCATCCGCGGCCGCGTTTGTTGGCTTTGGTCTGTCGTGGTCGGCGATCCAGTGAACTGTCAAGTGCTAGAGGAAGGGTTAGCATAAAAGATTGGAACGCTGCTCTTTTGGTCGTCCACTTACATCTCCACTGCCACTCTTTTCTATGATAGTATTCGTGATGCTTGCGAGGCTATCGAGTGTAAATTGTGTCAAGTTCTCCTTCTTTATGTCCTTTGTCGGGATTTTAGTAGACGTGACTGCCTGCGCAAGGCTATTCAATCGTGCTATTATGGGAGGGATGGCTGCTTTGGGGGCGTATATGCCAATCCGGGACTCTTCAGATTTGGCGGCAAGCCTCTCGTTGTTTCCGGGGTTCAGCATTTCACGCTGAATGGCTTCAAGCACAGGTCGCCCATGTCCTGCAGAAATCTGTTAGCTGCAGCTTGGAGAAGATTGAGCCTAGTTCTTTACCTGTGAGCAGTCGAAAGGTAACAGGTTGAACCCATACTAATGCACGCCCCAGGGACTCGACTTGCTCTTGCACCTCGAGCTTCCAAATTTTGTCAATAATGGCGGCCGAGCAGACGAATTTTGGTTTTTTGCTTTCCAGCTCAATTCGATAGCCTGCTTGCCAAGGCGTCTGCTTTTGAATCCAGGGGTGCATTTGTGACTCCTGTGCCTCTTGCGCTTCAAGTTCTTGCGCGTGCTTCATGGTAATGTAGCTGGTGAGCTGCCCCTGCGTAAAGCCGTCGACGAGTGACCCTACTAATCTGTGATATTCATGGGCAGATATCGTCTTTGTCTCGGCTGGTCGCATCTCGTCAATGTTGTCCCAGGCTTCGAGTACCGGGTCCTGTTCCTCGTCCGGGTTCGCAACGTAGTCGGTCCACTTCAGCTCGGCAGAAGGTTCAGCGTTTGTGACTTCAGGTTCAATTACTGGTATTTGCTTCCTCGAGCGCCGCATTCGATTGGGGTTCTTGATTATTAGGGCTTCGACAGGACGACCGAGCGCTGATACACCGAGATGTTGATGTGTGAGAAGTTCGTGATTGAAGGGACGGCTCCTACGAAGCGATTCTCCAGGGGAAGTTTCGAAAAGAATATCGTCTTCTGCAGCCAAGGTATCGTATTCGCCGTGGGCTGCGTTGTTGTGCTGCGCGTCCATGTCTGCTACTTCAGCCTCCTCTGTGGACAGCCCTTCGTCGCCGAGAGCAGCACCTGCTGATGCTAGTACGTCGGCAAGCTCAGCATCTGTTGGCTCGTAATTTTCAATATCGGGCATTTCGGCATGTTCGGTCGTTCTCGATTTGCTGTTATTGGCTTCGACGGTGTCCCGGGATTCGACTTGGTTTTCCACTTGACTAGAAGCCTGCGCATGATCCACTTCCTTGCCTGGGATGCTTGATGTATGGCTGTCATGATTGAATTTACCAGAGGAAGGCCCGCGTATCAGCTCGTTTACCTGCTGTGGTGAATACAGCTTGTGTGATGTGTCGCTCCGTCGAGCCCGTCGAGCAGTAGTAGTAGCAACAAAAGTTCTGGCGAGACCTGCACACCTCCATCGTGTCGGCGCCAGTGGTCGCGCGGCCGCAATGCGCCGCAGCTGAGCTGACCGAGACAACATCGGATAGATATTACCTGCGGCTGGCGCACATCTGTAAAGCTGGTCGTTGACGAGTAAAAGTTGTTGCGAATGCCATGTTACAGGGGTACGTCGCAGCTAAATTTGTCGCCGATATCGATAAGCCGCGTCTAAGGTACGTACCGTGCCTACTTGCGTCGTCGTTGCAGATCCAGAGTTGGCATGGCTAGTTTCAATTCGTGATGCAAATAATTCGTAAATAATAATACGTAGTGTCAATAAATCGCATCCACTGATTAACTGCATTTTCTTTGTATGTGTTGGGCTGGCCAGTCGCTCTATCTCACAACGGCGCGCCAGCCGAAAGTAATAAGTGCGCACTCCATCAAGACGCGAGCGGACGCGGTGCACTTTACGCCCCTCCAAGAGTCTCGATACACACGCAACCATCCCAAGCCACAGTGCTGCCAAGACCCTTCAGCAAGCACCCCATTTCGCCCAATTAAACCACATACAACATTTACAACATAGCTAAATAATGCCTCCATCAAGGCGCCGAGCTCGACAGGTACGGATCCATACAGGTTGCGCCATCCAACCAGCCACGGCTAACAAAGTCCAGGTGGACGAGGACGAAACCGAGGGGAACAGCACGCACCTCCAACGGGACAACGGCACTGGCTCTGCAGCAGAGGCGGAAACTGGAGATGAAGCGAGCGAAAACGAGGACCCGAGTCGCGCCGGAGACGAGCAGCTAGCGAAGAAGCTGGTCCGCTATGCCCTATCCTGCGAGTTCTCGCGCACACCCATACGGCGTGATGGAATCAAAGAACGAGGTCAGTCATCCACGGGGACGTTTTCAATGAAAACTATCTACAAATCTAACAGACTGCAATAGTCCTTGGAAACCAGGGCAGAGCTTTCAGGAAAATATTCGCCTTGGCGCAGAAACAATTGCGAACTATCTGGGGAATGGAGCTTAGGGAGCTGCCTGTTCGCGAAAAAATGACGCTGCAAGAGAAGCGTCATGCCATGAGGTCGAATGCCCAGCCCAAGACCGGTTCTGGCGCCTACATTCTCACCTCGGTCCTGCCCGCTGCGTACCGCTCCGCCGCCATCGTACCGCCATCCAGAATCCCGACCGTCGAAGACGAAGCCATATACCTTGCCTTTTACACCATGGTGGTATCGCTGATATGGCTAAGCGCCAATGAGCTCAGCGACCCAAAGCTGAAGCGACATCTCCAGCGACTCAACGCCGACAAGAACGTCGCCAGCGAAAAGACGGAACTGACCCTCAAGCGCATGGAGCGACAGGGCTACGTGGTACGCAATGTAAACCGGCCACCAGTAGGGCATGAAGGTGATGAGATAGTGACGTGGCACGTAGGGCCTCGCGGACGAGAGGAGATTGGCCTAGATGGCGTGATGGGATTTGTGCGAGAAGTATACGGAGGGCCAAGCGATGACCTTGAGAAGAAGCTGCGGTCCAGTCTGGGAATCAAGCAAGTCCAAGAAGCCGGGGCTGAAGATGCTGACGGAGATACTGTCATGTAATATTTCGCGAAAAAGATATGAATGTATAGTGCACCTGTGACGCAGGGCGACCTACTCAATTACGTTGAGCCTGCTATTGCCTGCAATAACTTGAACTTATGAACCAATGGTATAATGTGCCCCAAACGCCGCGGAATAAACTGAAATACGCCTCGATATGCCGTTTGCTATAATATTCGACGGACATCATTGATTCCGATCGTTGTACTGATTGTATTTAATCTTCGCGCGCTGGCGGAGGACCGGCGGGTTGCAGCATTTTCTGTACCATATTAGTTTCCAGTGCCCAAGGATAAACATAATCAGCAAGGCGCATACCCGAATCATCTTCGCCCTCGTTTTCGTCAGCGGTTCATTCTCGGCCAGGGCAATGTACGACAGGAGCGGGCGATGGCCGGCGATAGAAGAGTATGTGTCGCGTTGGATGTTCGTTCGCCACTCCCAGCTCGTCGTATCGGCATGGCCCGTGCCAATGAATTTGGCTTGGAGACGTTCGAGTTCTTGCTGGGTACGAAGTTTGTCCGCCTGGTATGATGTTAGCCGGCGCGCAAAGATGCGACAATATGTATACACTGACCATGATGACAAGGTATTTCGGGGTGTCGGATTTCGGCAAGGGTGTAATCAATCGAGGGAGGCTATATTGCAGCACACTTTCAAACACACAACAGTTGGGTTGAAGCGGAAATGTAGGACAGATGTGAAGCTCTTTCTCGTAGAACCGCCAGGCGTAAAGAAAGGCTGGTGATGGTGGGGCTTGCTGATGTCGGTTGATGTTCGGTAATCGCGCTGTTCATCTTTCGTGTTCGTTTGTCACCAAAGGCCCATCTTGCACAACGACGAGTGAGGAACCAACTTGAAAATTATCATGATGAAACTCGAATGAGGTATCACCATCGTTTTTATCCCAGAAAATCTACTTATTGCTGGCTGTCAAGCTGGCCGCCACGTCGCGGCACCGCCTAAAATCGTGTTTCATCTACGGCGCCATCTCGAATCTCAAACCGAACAACCGGCAGAGCGCGAAATCAGCGGGACCAATTGATCATGGCTAGTCAAGTGCTGCCAGAACACTGGTCTGAGCTGAACGCCGCTCGTAGCCAACGAAGTCTCTGTAGCTTGGATGTGGGCAAGCTCAAGAGTACCTGTGTGCAGGGCTGCGGCAAGAAGCATGTTACCGAGTGCAAGGACTGCTACGGCAAGATCCTCGATCGCATGAGGAAACGGTATAGCGAAAGCCAGGAGAAGGAGTGGTTCTCACAACGACGGGCGTTTCTGCAGGAGCTGGATGATCTCTTTACGGACGCCAAGGACAACAACGGTAGCCTCCAGGCTATCGAGGCGCACATTGAGTCCGAGAAAGAGGCATGGTACCGCTGGGTCCTACGGAGGCACCCAGACTTTCTCGAAGTTGCCGAGCATAACACGTCACTTGAAGAAATGAGAGGAATGCTAGGGGATCCGGACCGCAGTCGTGAAGAGCTCGTCGCCATGATGTGGCAAGGCGTCGGCCAGCCAGAAAATTGGTCAGAAAAAGTTGATGACTTTGTTGAAAAGGTGTCCACGCTCAAAGACAGACCTGATGAGCTCAAGAAGCTCTACATTGACGAAATTTTTAAAGACGGTATGGGAGGCTGTGTCTTTGAGCACGCTCAGCCCTATTTAGACGAATACCAAGCCTCGAGTACTTTGACGTTGGAGCAAATTGTTGGTCGCATTGTTGAAGATCATCACCGCAGCAGGAGCACGCAACCGCAAAGAGATACACATGCCAGTCGTCTGAATGAGTTGCGCAGAGCAAAGACGGCCTTTGAGCAGAAGAGGAAGGAGTCTAAGGCACTCCTCCGCGAAGCTCAGGCTAATTCAGTGCTCTACAACCTACCGACGTGTGCAGTATGCCAGCGCACAGTTTCTCCAGACGACATTTTTTCATGCTCTCTTTGCCAAACTATTGTGCAAATGGGCGGGAGCGGTAAACTGACAGTCTACTGCTCAGAGGATTGCTATGAGAATGGACAGGTAAGCATCTCTTGCCCGGTATAAAGCAGCTCGTCAGACTAACGTCCAACAGGGAGAGCACATTGGAAAGCAGCATGACTGCAGTGCCGGAAACCAGTGTGTCCAGCTCTCAGAGGAGGACACGGAAATGACGGACGATGCGACACAGGCCGTGCTGTGTAAGCAATGCTTTGGCGACAAGCGGGCTACAGTGTACTGCTCGCAGCGGTGCGCTTCGGAAAGACTCTCAGCGCATATACAGGAGGTACACGGTACCGGCTCGGAGGATGCTGGGTCGACTGCCATGCTCCTCTCGGAGGTAGTTGGACCGACTCTGGAAAGGGAGAATCCTACGCTCAAGATTGAGCTGCTCCAGTCGACAATATCGTTCGGATAGAAACAGAACGTGTACTGATAACTTGCACAAATATACCCAAAACATTGGATTTTCTTACTACAATGGAGCTCTCTCGAATCAAGCTAAAACTCGACGTCTGCCCACATCTCATCTGACGCGACCAAGTTCCTGGACACCATTTCCCCCCACTGCTACCGCCTCCTCAGCGGCGCCTCCGGGACATTGGCCACGTGCGGCACGCTCCTGACAATCAATGTCCGCCGGTCGCAGTACAAACAGTAAGTACAACGAGTACAAGCACGAATCACGTTCTAGTCAAGTCAGAGTGATGTGATCTGTTTGTAGCGGATCCGCACCTTCAGAAGCGACCCCCCGTTCGTCGGACTATTTCTTGTAAACCTTGATTACTGCGAGAATCCCAATATCCGTGTACGCCTTGTACACCTCTGGCGAAAACTCATTTCGCAGCACGACACCCGGCGGGACAAAGTCCTCGCGCGGCAGATTCGCCGGCAACCACTCAATGTCGGTAAAGCCCGCCTCCTTGGCCACCTCGTCATATACCGACTTGCGGTGATGCGCACACTCAAAGTTGAGTGTCTCGTCGACATTGCACGTGAACCACCAGCCCGAGCCGTCCTCCAGCGGCCGCGTAAAGTCGAGAAACGGATAGATGTGGCGCAGCGGCGGGGCCCGGCACGCGCGGCCCCGGGCCTCGAGGTCCTCGGTCGGGTACGGCACGACGCCGACGAAGAAGCCGCCCGGCTTGACGTTGAGCGCAATGTTGTCAAACATGCGGCGCAGCGCGGCGCGGCTGTCGGCGTAGTTGAGGAACCAGCCGCCAAAGGCGCCGTCGAAGCAGTCGCCGCCGTCGGGCGGCCCGTAGGACTGCGGCCGGGCCCCGTCAGCGGCGGCGAGGAGGCGCAGCCGACCCGCGGCCACGGCTTCTGCGTTGCTGGCGGCGTTGATGTCGAGCATGGCCTGGGAAATGTCCATGGAAGTGATGGTGGCCCCCGGGCTCCATGCGAGGACGCGCGACGTGTAGAAGCCGCTGCCGGCGGCGAACTCGAGCAGTTGTTGCTTGGGCTTCTTGCGCAGCTCGGGGACGAGGGCGTTTTGCATCAGCCGGCCCTCGAGCAGCTTGTAGAACTGCTCATTCACCTGCTCGTACTTGGCACCAATGTCGTCGTACTGCGTCATTTTGACTGCACAGCTGAGGCGAGGTTTTCTAGACTGCAAATGTTCGCCGGATAGCCCGATGAGGTCATGGACAAGTATACAGCTCATTGAGACTGAAGCTGACGATGCACAGTGGGCGGGGTACCTTTATACATGGCGATGGATGACGCTACCGGCTTACGGCAACCAAAATCTATGATATGGATGGCTCGCTTCTAGGGCATTTCTTACTGTGCTAACTAGCCATAATTACGTTGCCTTTTTTGGGCAAATGCAACCCGCCTGCAAGACATGCTCGTCTACTATCACTACCATGCCGGTGGTGTTTCCGGCAACTTGCAGCACGTACACCAGACCTATTATTGCAGCGAATAGCATGAACCATAGTGACTCTCTATCCATTTAGTGTATTCTCGACATAAAATTTCTGACGGGGCAGACTGAAGCGGCCTCCAAGTAATTAGAGGAACCAGTCTACAACGGGCGGCCAGTCACCGCCCATGTCGAATCCCGCATCAAAGCTCGCCCAGTCAATGTCCTCGGCTGGCAAGGCGTGGGCGAGCGCGGCGTCCTTTAGGGCCAGCTTGGCGTCGGAAAGACCCCTCGCGGCCGTGATAACCTGCCGCGCCGTGTCGAGCGCCTCGGCGGCCATGTGCGAGCCAAAGGTGTCGGCGATGCGGCGGAGCAGCGCCATGGCCGGCGGCAGCAGCGCCAGCATGCCCGCGTCGTCGGCCGCCACGCACACGCACACGGTCTGAAACGGCACGCTCAGCATGTTCCACCAGGTCCGGCCCGCCGCCAGCAGCGCGGGGATGCCGTCGTCGTCGAGCGCCCGCTGCAGGACGGCGACGGCGCTGGCGACGACGGCTTGCGGCCCGGGCCTCCGCGCAGACGCCGTGAACCGCCGCAGCAGGCAGAGACATACGTCGGCGGCAAACAGCGCCACCGTGGCATCGCTGCGCGGCATGTCCTCCAGACTCCGGAACAGGGCGGCAAAGTCGTCCGAGTCGAGGCCCGCGGCGTCGCGCGCCTCGGCGGCGTCGAGCACGGCGCTCATGGCGTGCAGGACGTCAATCTGCGCGCCGGGGACGGGTGCGGGCGCCACGTACCGGGCGTGGCGCAGCGACACGCTCGACAAGCCGTACTCGGCCGCGAGCAGCAGGTTGAGGAAGCGCGCGACGCAAATGTGGCGGCGGCGGGACTCGCGCTGCTGCTCCTCGTCGTCACTCCACGCCGCCACGTTCAACGCGGCGGCGTCGTCGTCGTCACCTCGCACGTCCCTGTGCAGGCCCATCATCTCGGCCAGGTGCATGGCCGTGTGGCTCGCCAGGCAGGAAACGGCCGGGCGCGTGGTGAGGCGCGTGTAGAGCGCGCGCAGGAGCCACCCCGCGACGGCGTCCATGTCGACGGCCGCGACGGGGCTCGACAGCGCCCGGTCGAGAATGGCCAGCCCGAGGTGCTTCACGTCGCCCTCGCGCGGGTGCGACTCGGACACGGGCCCGAAAAGCGAGCCGAGCGCGGCGACGAGCGCGACCACGGCGGTCCAGTTGGGCTGCTGCCGGCGGCTGTCGTCGCCACCGGCCCCCCAGCCCTGCGTCAGCCGGCGCATAAAGGCCCCGCGAGAAGGAAAAAAGGCAAAGAGCGGATGGACAGCGTCAAAGTAGACGTCGCACAGCGTCTGGCACTCGGCCAGGGTCAGGTAGTCGGACAGCGACGACGCCGATGCAGCAGCGCCGCCGCTGGCGTCATCCTCCTCTGGCCGCTGCTCCGGCCGGATGCCGAGGTTCCACGCGTACGAGTGCAGACGCGGCGGCGGCGCCATGGAAAGCGCCTGTCCGACGATGTGAGGCAGCGCAACGGCGCTGGTGGCGTTGAGCAGGCGTCCCCTCGCTCGGCTGACGATGAGCGGCGGCTCGGCGGCGGTCACGCGACGCTGCGCCGTTTCCGGCGGGTGGCGGGAACGGACAGGCGGTGGAGGGGCCGGGGAGGACTGCGCCGGACAGGTCTCGGCGGCATCGTATGTGCACGCGTAGCCGTAGGCCTGGCACGGGCCGCAAGGCTGGCTTCCGTCGCATTTGCGTCTTCGACGACGGCAATCGCGACAGGCGGCGTAGACGCGCTGCCGGTGCTGGGCATTGGGCTGCGGTCGGTTAACTTGTCTTCGCTTTGGCATGGCGATATGAAAGGTGTTTAAAATGATGATGTTGATGCTCGAGGGAAAGCTTTGGACTGGCAACTGTCTTGCATTTTTTTTTTCTCGCTTTCGAGTCTAGCCTGGTGTTGTCAACAGCTACAAGATGTAATGAACTGCTCCCACACATCGCTACCGCAACAACAAACTACCAAAGCTTGAGAGCCTGGCGACTATTTCCAAGTTGAAAATTAAATTGTCTTTTGTACAGTCCCTACGCAATCGCTACTGGGCCCCCATCTCCTCCGCCGCCGACCGCAATGTCTCCGGCACGTCGGCGCTCGCCCACCGCTGCAGCACATCCTGGCTGAGCGCGCCCTGGGCCAGACACTCGTCCACATCGCCCATGATCACGACGAGGGGCACCACCGTGGCAGCGACTTGTATCTTGAGGCCCGTCAGGATCTGCTGCAGGTGCGCGGCCGCCCGGCCGCCACCGCGGCTGCCGTACGCGACGACGGCAGCGGGCTTGCCAGCCCACTCGTGGTACAGGTAGTCGAGCGCGTTCTTGAGGCTGGCCGGCACGCTCCAGTTGTACTGCGGCGTGACAAAGACAAAGGCGTCGTGGGCGCCGACGACGGCCGACCACCGCCGCGTGTGCGCCTGCTGGTAGTGCGGCGTCGGGTCGGCGGCGGGCAGCCCGGCCGGGACCGCGGGCTCGTCGAAGAGCGGCAGGCCCTGCGCTTCCAGGTCGATGATGCTGAGCGTGGCGTCTTGCAGACCAGGCACGTCGTGCACCATGGCGGCGAGGAGAGCGTGGATGTGCTGCGTGATGTAGGGGTTGACGCGCGTCGAGCGCGTGCTGCAGGTGACGATGCCGATGTTGCGGATGTTGGCTGGCATTGTGACTGGGTAGAAGATGAAAGGGACGTTGGCCTGACTGGTAGTGAGGGGCGGATTGTCCAATGGCAAGAGACAAGAATCAGACTGGCAACAGTGAGGATTTTGCCTGGAAATGGCTGCGCCGACTTGCCTTCTTATAGATCTTGTTTTGCACAATCGACTTACACGAGTTGCTGCTATTGCGAATATTGCGGATAGTGCGGAAGATCCGTGCAAGTCATGCGGAAGTTGCGGGAAGCGATTCCCAAGTTCGACTCTGGTAGAAAGCCACACACTTCACTAGACTAGAGTAAGCTTGCAATCTCAATGAACTAGATATTGCAACAAGTGTAATAGCCGAAGGTAGAAGATGCGCCGTTGGTGGGTTTGCAGTCGTGTCGACCCCCATGCAACTTGTCCGATACGGCGGGCGGCGATCTTGACGTCTCTAGCAACGAGATTCCAGCCACAGTATCTGTTTTCCAGTGGAGACTTCTTTTTCGATCATCTCAATATCTTGCGGGGTTGCGGGTGCCAATGGCCACCTTGGAATTTCGGCTGCGGGTTGCCCCCGCAGATAGGCGCCCGCCGTGGACGAGTGAGCAAGTATGCGTGAGATTCAAAAAAGCGAAACGCGCAAGTATTAGCACAGGATGTGTGAGAACCATCCGCGCGCGGAATGCAACAATGAGAAACGGGCTCAAAGTGCATCAACGGGCATCACGCGATGGCTACACGGGTTCTCACCGTTGACCGCACTTGTATACCGACCCTGTCCAGCTCCCACATGCTGCAACGTCTCTCTCTCTCCTTCTCCATCAATTTCCAGCACAGCTAGGACTACAGAGGGAAGCCATGCACTTTTCCCAAGCCGTCCGCAAGTCTCACCGACTCTTTGCTCCTCACCACCGAGGCGGCCACAACAGCAAGCGGCGGTATGCCAGCTCTGGCCAGACGAGCCCGGACACGCCGTCGCGCATCGTCTGGCCGGCCGATGCGCGGCCGACGCCGTACCAGGTGCTCAACATGGCGGCGACCGGCCAGCCGTACGACAAGAGCAGCTTCAACCGCCTCGTCAAGGTGTACCACCCGGACATGCGCCATCACCACCACCACCACCACCACACCGAGCTCGACGCGCAGACGCTGCTGCACCGCTACCATCTCGTGGTCGCGGCGCACGAGCTGCTCAGCAACCCGGCGCAGCGCCGGCGCTACGACCTGTACAAGCTGGGGTGGATGGGTGGCCCCGTCGGCGCAGAGGACCGGCGGCGCCCCCGCGCGGACTGGAGCCGGCGGCGGCCCCGCCCCGACGACACCGACCCTCCCGCTCCGTCGCCGATGCGGCAGACACCCATCTACATGTCCAACCACGTGTTTGCCATTCTCGCGCTGGCGCTGGCGTTTGGGTACGCCGTCGTCTCGTGCGAGCGCGTGCGCCGGGCCGCGTGGCGGGAGCAGACGCAACGGATGCAGCTGGTCGACGGCGACGTGGTGCGGGCGCTGTACGGCGCGCAGCACCTCGTGAGCGGGCGGTCCAAGGACGAGCGCATCCTCGCCTTCTTGTGCCGCCGACATGGGGCGGAGCGAAGATGCCGGGAGCAGGTCGAGGGGGGGGTTGTGCCGCTGGATGAAGACTGGGAGCAGAATATTTGCCGGCACTAGAGAGGTAGCGCAAACACTTGAAGACTTGGGCCAGTGTCATCAACGGCTGGTTGGGGAGGGTCTACCATTTGACATTTAGGCGCAGTCATTCATGACATGTAGGGCGCAGGGCGGACATGAAATTTAGAGAAATAATTGATACTCATGGGCATTTAGCCATATTAATAAATGTGCAGTTATCGCTGTTTGATATCAATATAAAAGGCACCAATTCCAAGCTTGCAACCACGTGATGGGTGCGTTGTACGCATGTCGTCGTTTCTCATGCAAAACCCATTTTCAAATACCCTTGGAAAATACAAGAACAAGAAAGAAAAAGCACAAAGAAGGGGGTCTATAGTGACTCGTTTGCGGCCCCCCTAACTATCTCGTCAAAGGACTTGGGGGCATTGTTGGCGCAAGACCAGGGCTTAGTACCCTTTTCGTTGGCAATGGCCTCGACGGAAGCCCAGAGACCAAGGACACAGAGCATGGTGCCGGTGACGACGAGCAAGACGTTGGCGACAAATGCAAAGGTGCGGGCGCGGGTGCTGAACCAGGAGCCCTTGCGCATCCACAGCCAAAAGATGCCGGGAAGGCCGTACGAGAACCACGAGACGAAGAGGGCGGCAAGGATGCCGAGCAACGAGTTGAAAACGGGAATGGACTCGGCAATGATGAGAGCAATGGCCCACATGGCAAGAGTCATGCCGGACCAACCGAGAATGGAGACAAAAGTGCGGCGGACAAGATGCTTGCTGTTCTTAAACATGCGGTTAAAGACGTACTTGCCAGCGACGTGGCCGTAAATGACGCCGGCGATGACAATGGTGGGAATAGCAACACCCCAGATAGCCTTGCGCATCGTGTCGGAGCCAGCGGCAGAGAGAGCGGGGGAGGGCACACCAGGGCCGATGTAGTAGTAGATGACAATGGCAGCAATGAGGTACAGGGAGGTGTCGACAATCTGGAGGAGGGCGAGAGCCTTGGGCCAGTCCTCGGGCTTCTCAAACTCGCCAATGACACCAAAGAAGCAAGAGTGGCTGGAAAAGGCGACGGCAATGTTGGTAACAGCCAAGAAGGCCGATGTGAAGCCAATCTCTCTGCTGACCTGGAAAGTGGTGGCACCGATAGGCTTACTGCTGGCGACATCGCCGACTGTCATGAGGGTGGCAACGGTGATTGATATGCACGAGGCCATGGACATCCAGCTGGTGTGTCGGAGGGTACGGGGGAGGTTGAGGACCCAGAAGACGGCCAGACCGACGACGGCCCAAACTATGGTGCAGGCAGCGTGGTCGGAGAGGGCGTTGAGGCAAATGGTCCAGGTGAGGAGATGGGCACCCATGACGAAGACTTGGAAGATGACCTGTGCCCAGCCAAAGACCTCCTGGAAGATGCGGGCAAAGGTGATGTTGTAACCAAAGAGGCCAACGGAGCCCATGGTTCGGCCAATGACCTCGACGGCATCGCCAAAGTTTTCGACAAAGGGGTACTCTTTTTGGAACTCGCCGAGCATGAGACCCGAGTATGTGGAGAGAAAGCTCATGACGAGAATGAGAACGATGCCGGGTGCGAGGCCGAGGGTGGCGACGACAGAGGGGAGGGACAGAATTCCGAGCGAGACGGTTTCGGCGATGAGGATAATACCACCTTTCCTTGGAGGACATTAGCAGGTGCGGGCGAGCAGAATGGAGGATCGACGGGGAAGCTTACCACCAAGACAGGGACTTGAAGTTGATGAGGGCAGCGTCGCTGGAGGCGTCGTCCATGCTATGGTTGGGTGAGCGAGGAGCAGCCTCGATGTCGGTCTTGCCTTTGTGCTCGGGGGCCGGGCCATCGGCTTGAGACGCGGCCGGGCCAATGTCTTGTCTTTGAGCGTCCATGGCTAAGAATTTGCAAGGTTGCGGATGGACCAAAACAGAGCGTGGGGAAGGTGTTATGGAGAGAAACGGGGAAGAGAGCAAGACAATGGGAAAAAGCTGGGGTAGTCGAGGGCTTTTATGTAAGAGGAAGCGAGGACGGGCGGGAAACTAGTGGTTTACTTAGCTGGGGATTCTGCTGACGCGAACAGGGCGAGGCGACGAGGCGTGCGAGAGGCTCAGGGATTTGACGTCGAGGTGTGTGAGTGGCGCAGGGGGGAGGGAAGGATATTGAGTCGTTTGAGGTAATGACGAATTCCCCGCAATGGAAAAGTCTATAGATGGACTATATTCGCTTGTATAGCGCGGACAATGACTTAAAGCGCCTGTCGAGGAGAAAGAGGTGACGGCGCAGAAGACGGACAAGCCAGCTAGGAAGAAGAGTGCAAAGACGAAGAGGCCAGATGTGGGGGAGGAGCAAAGAGAGTTTTATTCCAAGATGAAAGAGGATGGGATGGGGATGGTACAAGGTACCTGTTGAAAGCTCGACCGTTGCAGGAGGTGACGATGTGGGATGGCAAATGGGTTGGGCGGTCGAAGGAAACGAGGCGAGACGAAACAAAATCAGACAATTGCCACGAGAAACTAAACTCAAAGGATCGATGTTGGGGGTTTATTAGGCTACTAAGGAAAAAAAGAAAAAAAAAAAAAAGTAACCCGCGCGCACCGCAATAGGTTCAAGGCGAGAAGGACTTTGGAATGCCCAGTTCTCGATCCACCAACTTGTTAGCAGTGGATAAACAAGAGTCGTGGATACGTGGAGCCAGACCCCGTCAAGAGAGGGCACGTCTGGGCCCTGGCGAATCCATTGACTGGCTGGCAGTTGAGTTGTCTGGGGATTGTAATAGTATTCTTGTTTTATCATGGCAAAGCAAAGCGTCCGTCATCGGAGCATGTCGTGGAGGCCCGGCAAAATTGTCGTGTAGTTGTCGATTACTCTGTACTCGGCGATTTGTTTGCGGCGATGGCATCGGGAATGACCAAGAAAAAAGTCAGCCACAAAGTGAGCGATCGGAACGGGAGCCGCGGAACAAGAAAAAAAAAAGACTAGAAGAATGAAAAATTAAAGAAGAGGTACCTACCTACCTAGGTAGGTAGTAGCTTGGCTAGGATAAGGTTGTGTACGCCCCCGGAATCTCAGGACGGGCTACTGCTGCACCCAGCGCGGCCCCCCAGCCACTGCAGCCTCTGCAAGCCACAGTCCTTGATTGATTCACAGCGCCCACTACTCCGAGACTTGGGCGCCGCCAACACGCCGAACGCGGGTGGCGCCACTCTGGCAGGAATCCACACTTCCTTCTGTCGCCTCGCCAGCTGCGAGCCGCCAGCTGCCACACACGGGCACCTGCGAGGTTTGGTCTGTCCACTGCACACTGCAGGGGCCGGCTTGGTTGCTTGGCTTGCATCGTTTTATCCGCGCGAGCGCGCGCTCTTGATTGCCGGCACAACCACATGGCGTGACGTGACGTGCATCATTCAACTACACTACTACACTCACCAAAGTGAATAGCCCAGGTATCGAAAGCAACACATCATCACCTCTGGTCGCGCTGCGGGTATCAAGCACCAGAAGAAAAGGAAAAAGTTAACCTTGTCTTCCCGCTGAGTGCATTAGTTGCCCCCGCCCCCGCTCCAGGCCCTGCGCCGCGCTGTTTTTTCTATCCCCACCCATTGCATTGCTGCCTCCTGTACGGAGTACTGGTTGCAAATGATTAGGGAGATTTGGATTGACGATGCCTTGGCCTTTTAAATGGAAAAAAAAACAAAAGAAAAAAAAGCTTTTCAAAGTGTTTCCGCTGCTTTTTGAGCCAAGATACCCCTACCGACCACTCGCCTCCTCTCGTCTCGCAAATGAAAAATTATGCTTCTCCACACGTAACACGGCACCGCCGGCCTCCGAATGCGGAACAGTACCGTAAACGCCCCAAAAGAATCCATTTTAACTACTATTAGTAGGTAGCATTCGGGCCACTCCATCTTGAGATGCACGCGACTGAATCGCTCAATGCATTACCAAACAGCTTATTCGTAATCTACTACAACCTATTCTCCCCAGAAATAGTCTCATTTCAACATTTCAATCCCTGTTTTGCCGTCCTTGGCCCCCTTGTTCTCTCCGCATCTTTCCTCATTTAGCATCTACCCCGTGCAGCCTCGGCAGAGAGCGAAAGGCATGCAAAGGGATGGCTTTAAAATAGAACTTAAACAACACCACCAGGTTCGGCAAATGATATTCAAAAATTCTTATAGCGTATGAAATGAGAATCAGCGATGGACAATAATTCCATGTATAATCAAACGATATTGCCTTATACGAACAACAAATGAGGCATCGTTTGCAGCATCACCACTGGCTGACTCAGCCGTTGGGACCCTCATCACCCATAGGCTGTTGAGATGTCGAAAGAGAAGAAGAAATATCTGGAAAAACTGGAAATACAATCAGAATAAGAAAGACAGACTTCAAGATATTACTCTCCGCGCTGCTCCTGACTTGGGAACGGGCCTGTCCTTAAAGTCAAGATGGCGACGAGACATCGGTTGCAAGTAAACGTGGTCATGTCGTGATAAAAAGTCCAACACGTAACAGCAAACGAGAAATAGGGCCAAATTCAGACCGAGTTTCTTTTCGTTTAAATCGCGACTTACGGCGACGATGCAATGATGGGTCAGTTACCCCGAGATGGCGCTTGCAAGTAACTACCAGCTGGCCACTGTAAGAACCCTAAACCTGCATTATCAAGGCACCTTCAAAAGCCATGCACAAGGGCCTTGTTTAATGTTTAATGTTTAATGTTGAATGACAGCGATTAATAAGGAAATAATTAGTCACTTGATGCATGTCTATCCAAAAAGCGCGGCCTGTCGCCCAGCAAAAAAATTGGTGGGGCATCCATCCTCGAAGATTGATCCATCCTGACTCTGGGTGCAGCCATCAAACCTCGCACTAGCATCTCATAGTTCGTTTGCTGAAGATGGCCATCATCTCATGCCGTCCGGCACCAAGCTCCAGATTCATCCAAACTCTTTGCCAACAGCCTCTGACCGTCAACTCGAGCTGCTACTCGTCTCACTTCCATCTCAGACGCTTGATAAAACCGAAACGACCCCTCATTATACCCCTCCTTCTGTCGAGCTGAAGCCAATGCTCACCTGAGGCTCTGCCCATCTCTGGCGATTATTACAAATTCTCCGGACCAACTCGCACACCACCGCCCAGAAGCTACTGTCCCGCCCTCACCGAAGAGTCGGCAGGATACCTAATTATGCGACGGTGGTCTGCGCCATAATCCTGCCAAGTGCCGGGCCTAGTTTCTTACCCTGCGGGTTTGTTGCAGAAACCGGCCACCGGCTTCAAGCTAAAAGATGCAGTCGGGAGGGTCCCTGACGGAATGCCGCGCTTCTGCACTGCCAACGCAGCAATCATGGGTCGGAGTCTGACGGAATCTCGGTGTCGAGGGGCTTTCCCCCTCTTCTGCTCGATCCTCAGCCTCGTTCCTCTCAGAGACATTTCCATGCGCGGTTTTAAAAAAAGCTGCTTATTACAAGACAAGCCTCACCACCGTGCCGTGATACCACATCCCGCCCCGTACCCATGGCGCCAGCTGCTGCACAAGTACAAGTCCGTCGCGGCGGCGATGACGCTCGCACCATCCTGAACTGGTCGGCCGACGAGACCGTCGCGGCCATTCGCGAGAAACGCATCTCTGCCCGTCGCTACATCACCACCGTCCTGGAGCAGGCCCAGCGCGGTGCCTCGCTCAATGCCTTTGTCACGCTGCTTCGCCAACAGGCTCTCGAGGCCGCCGACAAGGTCGACGTGGCCATCTCCTGCGGTGCCGCGCTGCCGCCTCTTGCCGGGCTCGCCATTGTCGCCAAAGACAATATCAATTTGGAGGGCGTTGCCACCACGGGCGGCACGCCGGCGCTGCAGTACGCGAGACCCAACAACACGGCGCCGAGCCTGCGCAAGCTCATCACCGCCGGCGCCATCGTCATTGGCAAGGCCAACATGCACGAGCTCGCGTTTGGCATCACCAGCACGAATTTCGCCCCGTTTGCCCTGCCCGTGCACAATCCGTACGCGGCAAACATGATTCCGGGCGGCTCGTCTGGCGGCACCGCCGCCGCCATTTCGTCCCATGTGGTCCCCTGCGGCTTGGGCACGGACACGGGTGGCTCAGTCCGCATCCCGGCAGCGCTCACTGGCATTGTCGGCTTTCGCCCCTCCCTTGGCGACGGCGGCCCAGAGCGCCGCTATGTCGACGACGACGCCGTCCTGCCCATTAGTCACACCCGCGACACCGTCGGCACAATGGGCCGGTCTGTCGCCGACGTGACGCTCCTCGATTCCATCATTGCCGGCCAGCCTCGCCCCGAGGCGGCTAATCTGGCCGGTGTCCGCCTGGGCGTTCCACGTGTGCTCTGGACCGGACTGGACAAGAATCTAGAGCAAGTCGTGTTGAAAGCGCGCCAGCTGCTCGAGCAGGCCGGTGCCGTTCTGGTAGATGCTGACATTCCCGACCTCATCACCCTCGACAACAAAATCTCTCTACCTCTTGCGCTCCACGAACCCCGAACTGACATTCCTGCCTATCTCAAGGCCTCGGGCATAAACAACGTCACCATTGACGATATTGCTCAACGCATTGCTAGCCCTGACGTCCAGAAACTGTTCAAGCTGGTGACGGACGACGCCTTTGGCGGTGCCTACAATGACGCCATCACAATCCACCGTCCAGCCCTGAAACGCCTGTACGCGGATTACTTTGTCAGCGCCAACGTGTCCGCGATTCTATTTCCCACGACGCCTCTGCCCGCTACACCCATTGACTACACCAATGGCTCCGGCACCGTCTCCATCAACGGCGGCCCGCCGCAGGACACGTTTGGCACCTACATCAGCTTCACCTCGCCCGGCAGCGACGCCGGTATCCCCGGGCTGAGCATCCCAGCTGGCTTGACGCGAAGTGGGCTGCCCGTGGGCATCGAGATTGACGGGCCACTCGGCAGCGACGTCCGCCTGCTGAGCTTGGGTCTGGCCATTGAGAAGATCCTGGGCCGCCTTCCACCACCCAAATTATTCGTCTGAATACAGGTGCATGATGATCATGATGGCCCCGATTTTACGAATTCCGTTATGACTTCCGTTATGAATTTATTTTATGAATTATGTTATGAATTACATTGATGATAGCACGAAAGAATTAGAGGTTTATAGCGCTCTTTCCATGATTTCTGCCTTGCTCTCGCTCGAGCCAATGTGTGGTCTGTGAATGTGGTAGTATTGCATATAAAACTCAATAAACTCGTATATAGTAGGAAAGTATACGTCAAAATGTGGTATAATAGTGTTCCTAAAAAAGATCAATTCGCCAGAGGCATCGTGTCCAATGATGCATCTCAGTGCTGTGGTGCTGTTGAATTCCCAAACGCTGACTGTAAATCCCAAAAAAAAAATCGCTCAAGTTGAAATCGGTAAAAGAGATTGCGGCATCCAAAAAACAGGGGATATAATCGCAGAAAGAAAGAAAAAAACGCCAAAAATAGTCGAAGGAAGTCGATCAGGGCCGACGCTCTAGACCAAGTCGCTGACCGCCGTCGTTGATGAAGTTGCCATCGAGGCCACGGCCGTCTGTTTCGTCTTCGCATCGCCCTTGGCGTTGGCCGTTGTTGGGCCGGCGCCGGCGCCGCTGGCGAGCGGCGCGCCGATGCACTCGTCGCTGTCGTTGATGGTCGTCCAGCCGATGGTGGCGCCGGCGCGACCTTCGGCCTTGCCATCCTTTTTCAGCCGTCCGAGGCGCATGCTGCGCTGGCCAATGGTGATGATGGTGGGCAGGCCGCCGTTGTGGTCGTTGTTCTTGGACGAGTTGCGCGACGAGGAGATGCTCTGGGCCCAGAGGCTGCCCTTTCGCACGAGCCAGGGTCCGAGAATGGGCGCGTTGACGCAGATGATGCCGACAAAGGTCTCGCGGATGGCCCAGATGGTGGACACGTCGACCTCGTTGGCGTACCGGATGGAGAGGACGCAGCGGAGAAGGCTTGCTACGACGACGAAGATGCCGGTTGTGAGCCAGAGGCAGTAGATGATTTTTCTGATGGAGGTGGTGGTTGTTAGCGTTGGGGGAACCCGTGGGTGTTGAAGGGGGCTTGCGTACTTTCCCAGGGGAATCTTGACAACCCAGAGCAGGGGCAGTGGGATGTAGAGGATGAGCAGGTCGGTCGAGACGTTGGTGATGACGAGGGTCAGGAATATTTGGTTGGGCGTGCCGCACTCGTCGCCCGGGTAGGGGTAGACCTGCCAGTTGCGGTGAAAGGGAAGGCAGCGCAGCAGCACGACGCCAATCGTGGCCACGTATGAGCATATCCAGGCCACGCCGGCCACCAGAACCAGGCGCTTCTGGAAGGTGTCGAGGCTGCACACATGCGCTGTTAGCAACCTGATGTTTGTCTGTCGAGGGGGGGCGCGCGGCACAGCAGACTCACGTAAGTCGACGGTAGAAGAAGAGCATACACGCCTTGAGGCACCAAATCAGGGTAATGTAGAGGCACCAGCCTGCAATGTCGGCCTTGGCGCCCTTGGCAATAGTTGCCTTTTCTTCTTCACTGAGCAGGAGAGCCTTTTCGTCGGTCATGCCCACAATCGATCCCCAGAGTCCTGTGGTCGGGGGTGGTCCAGGTTAGTCCTCTTGGCCGTTGCACTGAACAAGTTCACCTTGTCCGGGAGTAGTCGCGCCGTGGATGTATGGGTTGTTGCTCACCTATTACGTGTAGCATCGCCGTCTCGCCCGCCAGAAACAGAGCCGCCGCCACGGCAAAGTAGTCGTCGCCGGCCCAGTTGCGTCCTACCTGCTTCGTCCGGTACACGATGCGCGAGAACAGGATGACGATGCCAATCGCAAACTCGATCCACGCCTCCAACTGAAACGGCGTCATCCCCATGGTGTCGTGTGTGTGTTGCTTGCGGCGCGCAGCCTCGCAAGTCGTTTTTTCGTTATTTTTCCGTTTGCTCGTTGATCGTCGTCGTTTTTCTTTTATCCGTCGGGTAGCAGCCCGGAGGCCAGGGCAAAACAAGGACCAGCCCAAAGCAAGGACAAAGAGCAAAAATCAGGTGTCGAGGCTCTGTCCGGCGATGACGGCCACGGACATTATTCCACGTAACCAAGTTGAAGATTTAATTGGTTTTGTGTAAGAACAGGTTGGATGGCGAAAAGCAGACGGGAGATCGGAGGGCCTAGCTTGACAGGGCTTGGAAGAGGGGAGGGGCGGGCGGCGGGCGGCGCATCTTCTAGTTATACATTCGTATACTTGGTGATTCAGGGTAAAACGATGGGCCCGTTGCAAAAGAGGTCTGTGTTGTATCTTGCGGGCGCGTGTCGATGCTCGCCATGTCGTGAGGTGGTGTCATGGCGCACCGAATGCACCAAATGCCGGGCAGGGGGGGAGGGAGGGGAAGGGGGGCGGAGGCGTTTGTCTTGACGCCACGCACGGCAGTTTTGCTTCTCCTGCCCCCTGGACTTGACCAACTCGCTGGGTCTTTATGATGATCCCATAGTTAACTGGTATATTAACTTTTTGTCTTTTTTTGTGGTGCCATGTTGAAAGACGGATGGAGTCACCCCAGCAGCCTGCAGGTGCAGCCCAGATCTGTCTCTGCGAGACCAATATGTTGGACCAGTTGATTCAGTTGACGACAAAAGGTACAGGCTACGAATAGGTCAAGCCGAAACTGATAGCCTATATTCTCTTCCACAATCCGAGCACACTGTCTCAGACGGAGCGGTCTGCTTGACTACTGAGGCGGACTAGCAGGGGAGGAGACTGGCTAGCGGGACAAGTTGTTGAACCCCAGGTCCTTTTCCCGATTGTCCAACTAGTTAACTAATTAACTAACTAGTTATTTCTCAGCCTTTTTGTACAAACAGGCAGAAAACAGCCCAAGGATGCACAGACATTGCAGACATGACCCTGCACCCTGCACTGCACACTAGGATACTTCGTACAGACGAAAAGACAAGAACCGTTGCATCAAGGCTTGTCGATCAATGCCTTTTCCGTCTTCTCTCACAAAATTGCCCTTGTCTTTTCTCTCGCCTCGGCCGGACCGTTTCCGATTCTCTGCTGCGCATCGTGTTCCTGAAAGGAACCATTTCTCACCATGACCTGCGCTTCGGCTCATTACCGAGTCGCCAAAAAGCCAAGGTCCATTCCCGTCGTATTTAATCTATTCAAGTCCACTACATGATATTATTACAGAAGGCAGAAGCAAATTCACACCAGTACGTCAAAGCGGCAACTACGGACGCTATCTTCGGGCAGATATGGGGGCATCGAGGGGAGAGGAGAGTATGCTCTCTCGGCAGAACTACCAGTCGGCAAAAGATGGATCATGAAAACACGCGCGCTCGGATTCTTTTCCCGCCTGGTCCCCGCCCAAGTTGCTTGTCATATATGATACAGTTGTGCTTTTTTCCCTCTTGCTTTGTTGAGCCTCTTACTCGGCTATGTAGAGCTTGAGGGTCTTTCTCTCACACTTGACAACTCACGCAGCATGACTAGTGGCGTACTAATAGAACCTAGGGACTTTTCATGTCGAGTTTATACTGAGTCAAGATGCGTGATCCAGCACCGGCTAGAGACTACCCGTGGACCCTGTTTCCAGAAACGGTGGTTGCGTATAGCGCCTGATTTATTACTCGCGTGGAAAATTGCCGAGGCCTTTCCAACTAACTCGGCGCCGCCGTTGGTTTTAGTCTTTCTGCCTAGCCTGCCACTAGAAGCACTGACAGGTGCTATCAGTTCAATCGCTTATAGTGGTCTGGACGGCTACTCCGTGCTACAGAATTGACTACGTTGGATTCATTCACATATTGGTTCCTGTCGACTGAAACCTCCAGGTAGCAAGCCGTGCTACTTGGTGAGTACGATACTGAGTACAAGTCCATCCCACCTCGCATTGCCGGACTAGTCACGCGCAAGTGCATACTGACTGTATCAGCACCTGGGATAACTGCCGTCGACGATGTTGGCGCATGTTTGCTGTGCGGGGAAGGCTACGCTATCGTCCCGTTTGCGCTCCGCCGTTGAAGCAGCCACCGTGATCTAGGAAATCATGCAGTGCTTCCCCAAGGTGCGATCGACGCCTCCCAGATGTCCCCCAGTCCACTCCAACCCTCACGTATTATCGCCAACCGATCGAATTACGTAACTACCGTTCTGCTTGACTTTTTGAACTTATACTCGCCTAATTCGTGTCTATAGAACAACAAAACAAGACGCTCGAAAGAATTTTGGCCGTGCAAAGAGAAGACAGCCAGCAACGGCAGACATTGAGCCGCTTCTGTTGCGGCATAGTAATGTCGAGTAGCCGAAGCCAAGCTGATACTGCAAGTACGAATTATTGCCGAGAGTTTTACTCTCATCGGATGGTAGTACACATGCCTCGATCGAAAGGCAAGCGAGATTGGTGATGTGTTTCCAAATTGATCAACATACCGTACATGTCACATTATCCAAAAAGAGCAGGTGCCCAAGGCGTATCGAGGAACGGAAAGCTAGGCGCAGATTCCAATTGCTTAGTTGACGCTCAGATCCCCCCCGCCAAGGTGGCTGCAACGTCTTCGCCCTCGGCGTTGTGCGTTTTGTCGTGACGGCTATAATAAGGCGTGGCACGAGGCAAAAGAAGATCATGTGAGTCAACTTTTGTGCGAGAAAGCTTGCTGCATGATTCTTGGCTCGTCCGCGGCAGGGGTTCCAATCCGAGACGGCAGTCTTACTACAATGGTTGCGCAAGTGTTCCCTATGAGTAGTGCCAGGGTTTAGATACGCTCCACATGATGAGCCATCGTTGAAGGTTAATGAGACCTGGGATCCTTGTTCTGTTGGTACAATGCCATCAGCTCATACATGGATCACTGGCTTGAGTTACAATTTAGACAACATGGTACAGGACGTACAGGACGTACAGGACGTAATATTGAGTACCGGTAGAGACGGTGTGGTGTGACTAGCCAAGATTTCCCAGGGCCCTCGAGGAAAACTTGAGTCATTTGTCCCGGCCTGGGAGCCCAAAACAATCCCAAAATTTCGCCCAACGAACCACAACAATTGGACCCGTAATCTCCCATACCCCGATTAAATCATCAAGACGCCGTCCTCTCTTCCCGGCCCCACCGGAACTGCACCCCGGACGCCAAAGGTGGCATAACTAGCCTGGCTACTTGACCTATAGATGGATAGCCTTTGCCTTATGGTCGGGATCCTTCCACCGTGTTGGTGACATTGACGCTGAGGCGAGGCCGACCAGGCCGGATGTCGCGACTCCCGGTACTGCGACAGCCAAGAGCGTCCGTCTTCCGTCTCCTGGAGATTCTGCTCCGGAGAAAGATTAAGTATGACATGTCACTTAAATCACTACTAGGGGAAAAAGCTTGTTTCGTGTCTAAACCGCGAAATCCCGTTGTTGCGCCGGCAGGGCGACGGACCTGGGTGTATACATTGTCCCGGCATCCTGTATTTCGCGCATTGAGGTGTGGTAAAGCTTGGCCCGAAAAATGAAGCCGAACTCGGATCAAATAAGTTGATCAATTGTCAAGGAGAAGAGGGGAGGGGGTGAATGCTCAGCTCTCATTGTCCGACGACTATTACAGGACAAGGCTGCTGTCAATCACAGCGCGCCCGATGATCCTCTACCGGCCTGTCTCGCTCGGGAATTGTGCTGATGAAAAGAGCGGGAAAATCGCACTGTGCAAAAGATCTGCAAGCACTGCGCGGGAATTCCATGGCGCCTTTTTCCGCCTTTTGGGCGGCGGCATGTCGGAGGGTTCAGCCCCGAGTACACACCACCTCAGACAGCCCTGGCGGGCAACGATCGGGCCATCGAGCAGCGGAAGATGTATAATGTTATTATGCCGGGCCACAGCGCGACCGTTATTTCCCCGGAAGATGTCCCATGTCATCTGACCGCAGCTGTTCCCCATCCGCTTTGCAGTTATCGCCCGTTCATCTAACATTAAATAGTACCCAAGTTTTCTTTGCAAATACTCTCGCTATTCCGCGATTTTGTACAATGACGTACCACGTAGCCTGAAAAATGAATTCTTTTCTGGTGACCTCTTCCTTGTCTTTCATCAAGGGCGAAGAAGTGGTGGTTGGGCTGATCATACTTGGTGCCAACCCCGGTTGACAAGTAATTCTCGGGCTGAAAGTGACGCGCTCTAAATTCTTACTGATGAGGACATATCCCATCGGGTGGCTTTTTGCACATTTTGATGAATTCTCGTCTCTCATTCGTCTGGTAGTGACGGCAGTCTGCAATGACAGCTCGCACCCGAGCCGCTGCATGAAAGCGGCGTCAGTTGTGTTTTCCGAGGCTGAATTTGGATCTGCAGCCCGGCTGACACACGGGCCAACGTTCACGCCCATCTGTATTCGGTAAAATCATGTATGAAAGGTTAATATAACAGCCACCGGGAGAATGGGGCCGGCGATGGGCCGAACTGCCGCAATTTGTCGTGGGGCAACGGTGCCGTAAACCGGTGGATGACGATTGAGTTGAGAAGCTCTGATACACGCAATGTATGTCGTAGAGTAGTTGGGACCGTCACGGCTTTCTCAACAGATCTACTTGGCATCCGGTCTCCGAAAACACTCATCGTTTCCCGCCGACGACCCATCCATAGGGCCCTCTGCACATCAGCAGAGACATTCACTCCGTTGTCCCTCCCTGCATCGCCAGATGTCTCAGCCCTGGGCGCGCCCAACAGCGCGGGGGTCAGAATCGACTCATGTGCTGGCAGACTTGTCTTGGCAGCTCGTTCATAGCCACGCGAGCTCGCGATACGTCTGCTTCGGTCCTTGTCTTATCGACGTGTGGTCAGCAAAAGCCCTCCCTTTCGGCACCCAACCGGGGTGGCAAGGCTGAGATAGGCGACCCGATCATTGGACGAAGGGGGCTTATGCCGATCATGCCAACCGCGTCGTGCTAGAAACGGTTGAGGGCGCAGAAAGAGAATAAAGTTGTTGCCTGATGATATTGGCATGCTGTGCGACCTCAGCCCCGACGAACCGTCAGCAGGCGACGATGCGAGCCGAGGAGGAAACAAGGTGCCGGTATCGCACGCGCCAGCTGTGGGCACATATTGTCAAAGTCTGCGCTTCTCGGCCGCATATTTGTTGGGCAGCAGGATCAACTGTCACGGGAAGATCATGGTAGGAAAAGGTATGTAGTTATCCGACGTGCAGAAAAGGTTTGATAATATGATCGTCCTCCGCTTCATTCGCCTACGCTGCGGAATATCATGTCCATATAGAGCAGATATGCGAACTTGATGTTTCAAATACACCGCTCTAGACCTTGACAATGGCACTTCTGCCGCCTCTTACTGCATCTTGGCGCAGCGAGCTGAGAGTGAGCTGAACACTCGTAAACTTTGGGTATGGCTTTGTAATATTCTCGTATCTGTTGAACAGCCAAAGTTCAGATGAACTGCTCAACACGCGACGCCTATAAAGTCAAGGCCAATCCCCTCTCTCAAAGCGACCATTTCAGACAACAAACATCACAAACCAGAGTTTCATACAATCTACACTTCAACCCAGCCCCTGACACCTCTCACCATGAAGTTTGCCCTCGTCAGCCTTCTCCCACTTCTCGTTGCGGCCAACACGGTCGGCGACCGGGATGTGACGGCCATGAAGAAGGAGCTCGACACCGTCGACATCAAGAGCCTCCCCAGTGACGCCAAGATCTCGAACCTCGAGGACCCCAACGTCGCCAACATCGGACACTCCAAGGCCGGCGTCAGCGCCGCCGCCGGCTGCGCTCCGGGCTACCCGCTGTACTGCTACCGCTACGGCTGGTGCTGCCCATCCTACTCGCCCTCGTGCTGCCCGCGATCCTGCTGCCTCCCCGGCACCCGCTTCTGCGGCACTGACGGCAACTGCTACAGATAAATGCCACGCTTGGCCTCGGCTAGCTGCACACAATGCCAAAGGTTTGTGGGACGGCGATGAAAAACGAAACCAGGAATAAGTGCTGACGTTGGCAAAACTTTAGCTGATGGCCGGTGGAGGAAGTTGGCTTTGGGCATGATTACAGACACGCTCGTTCCTAGCAGCTTTTGATAGCAAGGCAATTGACCGAAAGTAAAGTCCGCGCTTGTGCCTAGTTGTGATTGAGTTCCGTGACACCACGCTATTCGTATGATGCACGCAGAGATGCCACACAGTTCCCAAGGACCCAGGGTGACAGAGCTTCGCATTCTAGATAGACTTGACTCTTACCAGCCATACATTTCTTCAAACAGTTCGACATCCTTTGCACTCGAGTCAGCTTCCCTTCTCACCGCCGCCCTCGTCTCATCCGCCATCCGTGCAGGACCACAGACAAACACGGCCGCCCTGTTCGTCTCCATACCGCCGACAAAGTCACGAACAACATCCCCAACAACCGGCTTACGGTACGCAAACCTGCCGTCGACCATGTCCGTCGACGTGTTGTCCGAGTCCCCCTTCTCCGCCGCGCTGCCGTCCCCGTCGCCGCTACCCGACGTCACGTAAATGTCCACCTGTAGACTAGCGGCTGCCTCGACCAGGCGCAGGTCGTTGGCCAGCACGTCCCGGGCGAAGCCAGCCCGGCGCACAGCCCACACGAGACGTACGCGGGGCGGGCAGGGCGCGTCCTGTGCCGCATCTTCAAAGAGGCGGCGGATGTAGGGGAGGATGGCCGTGATACCGCTGCCGCCTGCGATGAAGAGCATCTCGTTGAAACTGGACATATTGGCGCCGGTGCCGTAGGGTCCTTCCAGCACCACGCGGAGCCGCGAGAGTCCTGCCTGGTCCTGCTTGATGATGGAGTCGCGCAAGCGACGGGTAAAACCGTTGCGTGGGCGAATCAGGAACGTCTTGTACGACTGGCCGCCAAGGAGCTCCTTGCCTTGGGGCTGAGTGCGGACTACCACGTTCTTCTTCTCGGCGTCTGCAGTCTCAACAGGTGCAGCTTCACGCACCTCCTCAGCTGACGAACCCGCTAAACTGAAAGGGTGATTTTCCCAAATGCGCCAGCCTCCAAAGTGCAGGTGATAGTAGGTGCCCGGGCTCTGGTGGGAATGGGTTCCCGAGGCATGGACCTGCAGCCGGATCATACCCGTGTCCTCGCTGTAGCTTGCAATGGCGTGACGGTCCTTGCCGATAAAGGCATTGAAGTTGAGCCAGATGATGCGGACAATGCGGAAGAAATAGTCGCTTGCCCAGATGCCCACACAGACCCAGGTCCAGACTCGGTAGTCGCCTCCAAACTTTTCCTTGATGTGACTGTCTGAGGTTAGTTCAATTTTCCTTCCTTGTTGGAGAAACAGGGTAGACATACTCCCAATAGTTTGCAAGGAAAACGATTCCCATGGCAATGTGCGCAATTTTGAACAGCTCGTACGCCATTTGGCGAATCTTCGCATGCGCAAATGCGGTCGAAATACCCATGGCAGTGAGCATGAAGATTCCTGAACGGAACATGACATCTGTCTTTAACCGATGGCGATAATCGGGCCAGCCCTTTTCGTCGACGTAGTAGGCGGAAAAGACGATGCCATGGCAGATGGACTCGACCAACATGACAATGGCCACCCATCGGTGAAAGGCGCTGAATGTACGGTAGCTCCATCCAGTCATGATGGGAAGAGGGCTCGATCGGGCGCCGAAGAGGAAGATGAAGGGCATGCTGGCCGCCATAAGCGTGCCCAGTCGGTCGGCGATCCAACGAAGGGTCTGGGTTTGTCGGCTTTTGAAGCTGGGTAGTGTCAGTATTAATCGTCTTCTGCTTGGCTGCCTGATGGATGTTGTACTGACTAGTCATTTTCATCTGCGACACGGTACCGCGTTGCGACGACTAAGATATTCAGAAGAATGTACAGGGCAATGACAATGGTGTGGATGCGGAGGGGGACCGTGAACCAGCCCCAGGGCTCGTGGTGGTGATGCGATCCGGTGGGAGCCTGGAGGAGATGGAGGTTGAACCATTTTGTGATTTTTCTCCAAGCGCCGAGTTCGCCAGTCTGGGACTCGATCGACGCTCTCGTGCGACGGCTGGAGACGAGTGTCCAGAGTCGGTTGCAGACACCAACCAGGATAACAAGTCCCCAAAACCCGTACAAAGACCACCTAAAGAAAGATAAGCGAGATGGGGCGGTCAGAGGGTCATGTCAACGTACCTAATGGCATCATTGTAGCGTCTAGCATCAGCATAGAGGAAAGTGGTCGTGTGCATGTACACCCAATTGGCTTGCGATGGCAGTGCAGGGCCGCTGAAGAATTGCTTGGACTTTTGGTCCACCGTGGGCAGGCTGTTCAAGTAGGTGTCTGTAACATTGGATACGGCAGTGCGGTAGCTCTTCACATTGACGACTTTGGAGGAATTCTTGCAGGCGTCGGCCCACCACTCGATGCCATCGTCGGTCGCCTTGTCGCTCTCGGCGGCGCAGCGCTCCGCGATGCAATAGTACGTGGACTGCACGCGGAGAGGGTTCGTGCAGGCCGTCTGGGCCTTGTCGCTGGCGCCGGCATACTTGGCCTTGAGTAGGGCGTAGTAGCAGGTGGCGACGCAGACCTGGTCGCCCAGAGGCTTGGCGGCGTGGACCAGCACCGCCAAGACGGCAGGTAAGAGGATCTGGATGTGGAAACGCATCTCGGCGATGTAAAGTAGCTCAGCGAATCTGAGACTTGGGGAATGACTTGCATGCAACGGATGATCTGAGACTTTGACTCGGGACTAACGTGCCAAGTGAGCAACCATGATGATCTCCATCACGAATGGGCAAACGACTTGCTTTTAAAACTCTCAACCATATGGGGACAGTCGGCAATGGCTGATAAAGAAACAGACGTCCCTGCCGGCCCTGCCCTGCCCTACATTGTTGTGGAAAAGTCTGCCATCTCCACCAGATGGAGAGTCCGGGACACAACTGCAACGGCGTTAATTTTAACCTTGAGAACCGATTTAATCAAGCTTCTAACCTTGATTTGGTTGGTGTGTGTGTGGGCTGGCAAACAGGCGAGAATGTAATTCGGCGTCGGGTCCCTCAATATCCAGCGTGCGGCACTTGTAGATCCTCCTTCAGCCACGCTAGATTGATAAAGAGGCCATCAACGGCCCACAACTGATAATATTTTTTCCCTCCTCCCTTGCCGCACTAGCTGCACTCGGAAGGCCCAGCCCAAGAAACGGATACAACAGGTACAGAAACGCATGAAGAATGGGAGGGGCCCGGTGGCCGTGGAATGGACACGAGAGCCATCAGTCCACCAATGAACGAGGCGACTTTTGGCATAGTTACGCTGCGGGTCGTATGGAATCGCAGAGACTGGTCGAGCGCGGTTCGTGAGCAACGTCTCGTGGATACCGTGAGGGTCCGTGGTCCGACGTTTTTCATGGTTCATCAGCCGCACGTTGTCAGGGACTGGTCATGCGGTCTCGGACACGCTAGTAGATGCTTGAATGAGGCAGATTAAGAAAATCTATGCTTAATGCTGCCCAGCAGGGAACGCCGACGTTGTACAGGCGTCGGATAATAAATCACGAGCCGACTAGGCTCGGGCAGGTAGGTCAATCCGGAGCGGAGTTTGGAGCCGATGCGGTTCGCTGTGTTGCTGCTTCGTCTCGCACAGAGTCAAGGTCCGGGTAGCGCGCTTGACGGTAAATATTTCCAGGGTTACACAAAGAAAATGTCCTCAGAAATTGAACGGTAGATGGCCATGGTTGGTAGTTGATACGACTGTTATGATCCCTGTCTCGCAAGCCGTCAATCTCGTGGCCTTCGGCAAACGGGTCCATGTTGGCTCTTTGGCGGCGGCGGTCAATTGTTCCTCGCAAGCGCCACCTGGTCGGCTCCTGAAGCTCGTCTTTGTCGAAAGCTCGGCTTTGTCGATGCGGCCACGTTGAACGTGGCGCCCACAGGATGCAATACACGTCCAGGGACCTGGATGGCTCCGTAGTCCCTGTCACCGGATTCATCGCGCTGCCTTGTGCAAGAACGGTCCGCGACTCGGCTCTTCGCGGGGCAGCCTGGGACCATGGCACAAGCAGCCTCTATGCCGAATGCGTTCCGTCCAACGGACGAGCCCTCAATGTCGAAATCGCCTGGCAACTCTTGGTTGTCGCTGGCGATGCCGTTATCGCTACCGAGTACGCCGACCTTAACAACAAGAACCCATGGATAGATGGACACGCTATCCGGCGCTGGGAAATGATACCCTGTATTCCGTCGTGGCCGCTTGGCAGGCGTTTGGCGGTCTGTTGTCTGCGCACTGGTTCAGCACCCGCCGATTCCAGGGCGGCGGTATCGTCTGGAAGCTTGCCGGGTTAGACTTCGTGCAAGCGGGCGACTCGCCATCTCGTAATGGTGACACTTGCTCCTGGTGCTTATATTGCTGCAGTGGAAAAACAAGACGGCGCCTGCGCTGGGAGAAATAATGTGTGCTGATGTTTTCTTAAGATCCCAGGCAGGCTGCGCAAACGCGCGAGTCGTGCAAACGCAGCATCCAACACACAGCAACTTCTTCTTCCCGCAAACTTCCTCCCGCGACTCTCGTTCTGTCACCCTACCTAGTATCATCGTTATGTTTGTGCTCATCGCCAAATGCCGAGGCAATCTGTCTTTGTACTCTGAAGCTGTCCTGACTTCCTATTTTCACTACCCATCTGCGACAGAACACGGTGGTTCAGTCCTGTGCCACGACATTTTACCATCTTCGTATTTCGATTGGAACAAGTCGTTTCTCCAATTGCTATACATCTCTCGATATTCTTCTCAAAACTACCTTCCAGGTTACGAACACATACATCAGACACACAACACATGTTTAGAGCGTGCAGCGCTATGCTTTTGGAAACGAAAGAGGCCCTTTCGGCGGTGTAGCTTCAATTTCTCGCGAGTCTCCATCTACTTGGAATTTGATGACTATACAGCCTGAGCCGACAGTCCCTTTCTCATCCCGCGGGGGAGTATAATGGCGACTAAACAGTCAAGTGCGCCATGAGAGGCAGCTTACTACTACTCCGTCCAATGTATACCTGATAGCTGCCTCTCTGCAGCTGCCACTTCTGTACGTCCGTGTTCCAGACGCTCAGGTCCCTCCTCGTTAACTCAAACGACACCTCGGTCGACTCGCCCGGCCGCAGCACCGGCTTCTCAAAGCCGCGCAGCTGTTTGGCCTGCATGCCCGGGAAGCGCACGTACAGCTGCACCGCCTCGGCGCCAGCCACCTTGCCGCCATTGACGAGCGTGCACTTGACCGTCGCGACCACGTCCCAGAGGTCGCTCGGCCCGCCGCTCACAACCCCGCCGCTCGGGTACTCGGCGGCCGGCGCCGCGGCCCGCCGCACCACCATGTCGGCGTAGTCGAAGCGGGTGTAGCTCAGGCCGAAACCAAACTCGTACTGCGGCGCGACGTGCGCCCGCTCAAAGTACTTGTAGTCGGTGTAGACGCCCTGCGGAAAGTAGGCCTGCGGCGACTTGCCGCCTTGGGCCTGAGGGTCAAGCAGCGGCCCGTAGTCGGCCGCGCTCCGCGCCACCGTGTACGGCAGCTTGCCCGACGGGTTGGCATCGCCCCAGAGTAGGGCCACGACGGCATCGCCCGCCTGCTGCCCGGGGAGGTGCGCAAACAGGATGGCCGTGACGTTGGGGTCGTCCGCAAAACCGCCGACGAGCCGCGGGCCGGCATTGTGCAGCACGACAACGGTCCGCGCGCACCGGTCCGCCACCGCGCGCACCAGACTATCTGTGTATGCGTCCTCGAGCTGCGGCCGGTCGTTGCCCTCGCGCGCCCACGCGTTGCCAAACACGAGGCAGACGTCCGAAGCCGGGTCCACAGTGGTAGTGGGCGTTGCCGAAGTGAGGTCCTGCCGGAGCGTGAAGCCGTCCTTGGCGGCACGCGCGACGAGGGCATCTTGCGGCGAGACGTGCGTCTGCGGCGTAATGGCGCCGGAGCCGCCTCCGCCAAACATGGTGCCACGGCCACCGATGGGGCTCGTGGCTGCGTCCAGCCCGAGAACGGGGGCGAGGCCGTAGCGCCACGTGCCGTCGGCGTCGGTCGCGGCCGTCCAGGCTGGTGGCGTATTAGCCGAGTAGCCAAACACGGAAACAAGCTTGGGCGCTTTGAGGGGCAGCGTGTTGTGGTCGTTCTTGACGAGCACGTGGCTCTCAATGGCACCCTGGAGGATGACGGGCAGGTCGGCGGGATCGCGGCCCTCGATAATGCGGTGCGGCGCGCTGAGGTTGCCAGGCATGCCGATGCCGGGCTCGGGGAAGCTGGGGTCGTCCTGCTTGAGCTGGTACCAAGATGCAATGATTCTGTACTTTTTGTCAGTTGTCAATTCTCAATGAGGATAGCGAGACGTACCTCATGGCCATGTCCGTTACGCGCGACTCGGCCAAGGTTCCGTTCTTGACGGCGTTGACGAGGTTTGCGCCCCAGAAGGGATCCGAGTTGGGCATGCCCATGTCAAGTCCGTTGGGAGCATCGCTGAATGAGTGCTGCGCTCCCCAGTCCGAAACCACAAATCCCTATACACGCGTTAGTGTCCCATTTCTTTTCCTATTTTGTAAGCGACTATACCTGAAAGCCAAGCTCCGTCTTGAGAAGTCCATTCAGCGTCTTGCTGTTTCCGCAGGCATACGTCTGGTTGAGTCGGTTATACGAGCACATGACGTTGGCGGCTCCGGCCTTGACCAAGTCGACAAAGGGCCTACCCAGTTAGTTGGTTGCACTCATCGAGCAGCTCTTGGCAGTTCATACCAGAGATATAGCTCATGCATCGTCTTGTCATCGATGTTGGACGAGACAGCCGCGATATCACCCTCAGGCGCGCGGTAGAGCTCTTGCTCATTGCCGATATAATGCTGCAGAAGTGTCAGCGCGCCATCCTCCCAAGTGACCGCAAGGGCCTGCCAACATACCTTGACACTCGTCATCACGTTTTGGCTCTGCACGCCTCGGACAGTCTCGGCCGACAGAACACCGGAGAGGTACGGATCGGCCGAGGAGCCTTCCCAGTTGCGGCCTCCTTTGACAACGGTCCAGGCAGGACCAACGACAGGTCCCAGCATGACGTTGACGCCCTTGCGTCGGTTCTCGCCTCCGAGGGCCGCGCCACGCTTGCGCGCGAGATCCTTGTTCCAGCTTTGCGCGTGTGTTAGCCTCGGGCATTTCTTTGGCACTGCCTGGTCGTGATGCTCACCTCGCGCCGACGCCGATGCCGCTGGCAAAACCGCTGACGTTGTCGGTTGCGCGGACGCCGTTGCCGGCGTCATTCAAGCACAGGCCGGGGAACTTGAGCCGGGGGATACCAGCAATCGTGCCCGAGCAGCCCGACTTGAGATCCACGCCGCCAGTCAGGGTGACCTGGACTGTGTCAGTACAGTTCAATAGTGTGAGAGAGCTCCGCGTGTTTACTTTTTCCTCCAGTGTCATCTGGTCGACCATGGCCTTGGCCTTGACAAAAGCATCTGCCCATTCATTCTGCCCGCTGATTTGTGCTGTAACAGTTTGTCAGGGAAAGGGGGCCGGATTGAGCAAGGACAGACACGTACGCGACGGAAGCACGTCTGGTGAGTGCTGGTATGCATCGGCCTCTGATCTCAGGTAGGTCTGCCTGCCCACGGCGGGATGGAGCAGGGCCAGACTCGCCAGCAGAGGTAAAAGCATGACTTTTCAAAGGTGTGAATTGCGCTGAAAGCTGAAACTGAATACCGTTGGCCGCGTGCAGCTGCAGAGATTCTAGCAATGATGACCAGAAAGAGGAGCAGGGCATCTCCCCTCATTTATACCAAGGCGGACGCGATTCTAGTCTCCTCGTACCCAGGGTACCACAAGCTTGGTTGGGCACGGCATGTACTGCAGCCTAGGCGTACCATCGGAGCAGTGACGGACGGCTTGTGGACTTGTCTTCCCCGCGCCCAGGCGTATCATCGGTGAAATGACGATCTATTGAGGTTATGCCCCGCGCGGGGAACGCATGCAAGTCACCAACTTGTGCAGTAATGAAGCCCGTCGGTGGTTGTGTTTCTGCGGGTTCAGGTCTCGCCCGGTCATCTGTTCTATACAGGCGTTTCTTGCAGACGCCTCTGCATCGTGAGACAGGCACGGCAGTTCCGTTCGCTGGCAGGTACTTTTGAGAAACCTTGCCGTCATAGGTCAGTGGGACGCGCTCCACGATCCATCGCCGGTGTTATTGTTCCCCCCCGCACGGCGCGCCCACGGCTGGTCGGCAAGACCCCGCTCAGTCCAGCAAATAGGCGAAGAGGGTGAAGAATAGACAATGACAAAAAGAGAAAAGAGAAGAAAAGAGAAAAACAAGGGCTCGGCTTTCGTCCCAGACTAGTGGCTGCTAAAATGGGTGCTAGAGGATGGCAGCTTCGGTACTTGGTGACGGTAGTGAGTACCCTGTACAAGAACAAGACGGGGACGGATACAGCTGCAACCCATGCGAGACGACAAGACAGATTCGAAAAGTGTTTGAAAAGATGGCAATAAGTGCGCCTCATTGTGTGAGATAAATCAGGTCAAGCCGTACGAGTTGAGCTGGCGGGATTTCCTGTCCAGGCAAGTGTTATAAGTTGGAGGAATCGGTGCTTAAAATGTGCCGGCTACCGCTGAGCAACTCGAACTTGTCCATTGCATATCTACAGCCGAACACAAAAGGAAAACGGAAAACAAAGAAAACAAAGAAAACAAAGAAAACAAAGAGGACAATAGAGGCATTCGTCATCGGACAACACATAGAGCCCACAACGACCGGCGCGCCTCCGGCCCTCCGGCCCAACGCCGGCGACACTAAAGCTAGTTAACATCCGAAGTCCTCCGGAACTAGGGGTAACCCCTGCCCAGCGAACTCGTCCCCGCCCCGTCCCGCAAGCCCTCACCGTTCGGGATGCGGCACCTCATCCTGACTCCAACTTGTTCATTCTAAATGAAACTTGCCGGCATCGCCCGCCCGCCTGCCCGCCCGCTCTCGTCCCATGTCTTGCCCCATATCGGCCGAGGACGCCGCCACCGGCCGGAAGCGCACCTCGACGGCCTGCGAAGCCTGTCGCGTCGCCAAGACTCGCTGTCTGCCGAGCGACGAGGCAGGCGTGTGTCAAAAGTACCCCCCCCTCTGATTCCATGTTTTTTTCTTTGCCCCCGCATCATAGTCTACTAACTTGGGTTCGCCCCCTTCAACAGGTGTCTCGTCTCCAAGAAGGAATGCGTCTCCCGGACGGGCCCTCGGCGACGGCGTCCCAATAGGTCCAAACTGTACGTAAGGACCTAAACTCATTTACACGACACGTAGCTGATGATCAATGACAGCCCCCCCGGTGATCAACTGCCGCCGCCACCAAAGCCCACCGGCACATTCACCATTGACATTCCCCTCGCGCGGCCCAGCGACGTCGGCGCCTCCACCTCGACGCTGCGGGACTCCCACGCCGCGTACCTGGACAACCTCTTTTCCCCTACCGACCCCATCACCACCACCTCCTTCTCCTCCTCCTCTGCCTCTCCCTTTCCCTGGCCGGGGAGTAGCAGCATCTCCTCCGAGGCCGCCTCCAGCCCGCACTCCTCGTCCTCGCCGCCGCCGTTCGACCCGTCATGCCGGCCCAGCTTCAACATTGCCTCGGCCGCATCCCTCCTCGACACGTTTCGCGACGGCATGCTCGGCTGGTGCCCGTGCGTCCTGGTGCCCGCGCACCTGTCGGTGCAGACGCTCGCGCGGACGCGGCCGTTTGTGCTGCTCGCCATTCTCGCGGCGGCGGCCGCCGGCGCGCGCTCGCTGCGCGGCCACGCGCTCTACGACGACGAGTTCCGCAAGGTGTTTGCGCTCAAGCTTGTCGCCGGCGGCGAGCGCAGCGTCGAGCTCCTGCAGGGCCTGCTGGTCTACTGCCTGTGGTACCCCTTTCATCTGCGCCCGCGCGTCAGGCACGTCTTTCAGTACACGCGCATGGCCGCCGACCTCGTGCACGATCTGCAGCTCGACGTCCAAGCCCACCGCGTTGACGAGCCCATGACGCCAGAACGGCTCGACGCGATCCGGGCCTACGTTGCCCAGTACTATCTCTCCTCCTCGTAAACCCACCCCCCCCTCCGCTTCCGTTGTTACCAAAGAGCCAACCCCCAACTAACCATCACGGGGCTGCACACACCAGATTCGCAATCACTTGGCAAGCCCACCGCAGCCGGGGCAGTTCCGTCCCGTTCACGGCGTGGACAGAGCGTTGCTGCCAGCTCCTCGTAGAGCACGCCGCGTGCCCCGGGGACGCCGTGCTCGCCTCGCTCGCGCGTCTAGGCCGCACCGTCCGGGAAGCGTGGGCCGCGGTCCGTGACGGCGCGGCGTCGTCCAACAGCAGTCTCGTCTTTCGCGGCCTGGAGGCGCAGTTTCAGGACCAGCAGGCCAGCCTCCCGCCTGCCGTGTCCAACACCTGTACTATGCCTCCTCTCCCGGTTCGTCGCTTGTTTCCCGCAAATGCTGACACACAAGCAGTGCCTATCCGGCTACAAACGCTCTTTACGGAGTTCTTCCTCCTCGGCGGCTCCATCCTCCGCATGCCCACCTCCAAACCAAGTCCGCCCACCTCCTCCTCTGACCCCTTTCTCCCGACACCCGCCCGGCTCCGACGATGCGTCGACGTTGTCGCGGAGTTCCTTGCGCTGCTGCGCACGACGATGCTCGGTCCCCCCAGCAGCAGCAGCCTCGCGCACTTTTCCACCGGCGACTGGGGCCGGCTTGTGCTCGGCGTCGTCGTCGCCATGCGCCTGTCGTTTCCGCTCGCCGAGTGTCCCGCGTATGATGATGGTGCCTGGGCGCGCGACCGGCTCGGCTTCGTGGCGTTTCTCGATGCCATGACCGGCGGCGCGGCCGATGGAGTGGTTCGGACAGGGGCGGCGAAACAGCAGCAGCAGCGTGTCGACGTCGTCTCGGCAAGCAAGGTCGTCTTGGCGGTCGTCAAGGAAAAGTACGAACAGCGGCTGGCGTTGCTGATGCGCCGGCAGCAGGAGATGGTGGACGCCGGGGAAGGGTGGGATAAGGTCGTACTGCCCCGGTCCACGTGCCCGATGCTGGACGGCTCGCTGGATCGCTACTTTCCGCTCTGGGACGGGAGCGGTGCGCAGTCGGTGAGCGTCGCGCCGCAGTCGTTTGCAGAGGGCGAAGCCAGTGGTGATGGTGACGCCATGTTAGATGCGTGGGCCGAAGAGCTGTTCGACTGGATCGAGCCGATGCAGGATCTGCACTAAACAGCACTCGGTCAATTATTACCAACATGTCACCATTCATACACAATATACTATAGGCCGTAGAGAGAAACGCATAATTGTATCGTGTACTAGCTGAAAGAGAAAAAAAGACATTGATATATGAGAAAAAATTATTACGCCACCACCGTGAAAGCAACGCAACCGCCCCCCCAAAAAGAGTCCCAAAAGAGTCCCAAGTTCATGTACCATTTTCCAATAAAGAACCACGCAAAAAGAAACGCTCTCGAAACGAGTCAAAACATCATTCTGCGCCGTGTTCCCCATGCCGATGCATAAAAAATTCAAACAAAAGTGTCTGCCAACAGTCAAAGTAAAACAATGGCCGGGGAAATATAATGAACCGACTTTCAAACGAATCACGGGGCGCTAAAACTCCTCAACTCATGTTTCTCAAGTACAATAGGACGGTGTGTTCCATGGGCTGTTGCTGTTTGTGGGATAGCCAGGGTAGCCAAACTGTTGCTGCTGGTTGCTGGCTGCGCCATTGCCGTTGGAACCAAAGTTGTGCCGTCTGTTTCCCAGACCGGGGGGGACGGGAATGGGTAGGCCCGGAGGGGGTCCGGAGGCGCTGAAGCCATTGGCGATGCCGTTAGTAATGCCATTGGCATTGGGTTGCTGCATAGACGAGGGCTGGGCGGAGACCTGGCTGGACCTGACCCCCAGAGGGTTTTTGGAGAAGCTCAGACGAATGCCGCCCTTTGTGCTGTTATGGAGTGGATGGCCGTAGAGCTCGTGAAGAGCCTTGGTCGCAAAAGAAACATCCTCAAACTCGACAAAACACATGGGGCCATTCGACTTGGTGCGAAAGCATAGACGCTTGTAGCCGCGTTGCTTGGAGAACATGGCCTTGAGCTCTTCCTCGGACGTGTCACTGGGTAAATTTCCAACATACAGCGTGTTGCATGGCGGGTTCTGGTCGGCCGGGTTTGCAGGAGGAGGACGAGGGTGGTGAGACCCAGGAGGGTGGTTGAAATTCATGTGGGTGACACTGTTACCAGGTCCAGCGCCGCCTGCCGCATTGTTGACAGGCACATTGCTCACGGGTGAAAGTGAGTTCATGTGCGGCGGTAATGAGGAGGAGCCAGGGGGGCTGTTGTTATGGTTGTTATGGCTGTTATGGCTGTTATGGTTGTTATGGCTGTGATGGCTGTGATGGTTGTGGTGGTTGTTGTGGTTATTGTTGAGAGAGAGTCCGGCCATACCGTTAATGGGAAGCTGCGGGGCAGTTGCGCGTCGGCCAAAAGGGATGCCCTGAGAAACATTGTTCTCAGCATAGGCAACAGGATCCTTCAACAGATCACTAGTATCGTCATCATCGTTGTAGTCGCCGGTAATGAGAGACTTGCTCGAGAAGTGAGTTCGATCCGAGACTTGCTTGAGGTGGTTTCCGATGGGGGATTGCGGGGAGAAGATGCTTTGGTGAAAAGTATTCGCGCCAGGGACAAACTCGTGGCCAGGGAAGATGCCCGAAGTGTCGAGCGGGTGGAAAGAAGTCGGGAACTGCGAAGGTAGGCGACCAGAAGGGCCTCCAGGGGCAGCAGAGGCGGGAATGTAGCTGTTGGTTCCTGCCGTAGAGGTTCCATCAAAACGACGGGCAGTGAGAGCGGTGGGGTTGAGGATCTCAACAATCATCTCGGCATCTTTGGAAATATTTAAACGTCCGTCAAGTATTTTCTTTGCGTCATTGGCACCGTCCAAGGTTTTGAAGTAGACTAGTGCGGAAAGAAAGCCTGGGTCTTGGGATTCTTCGGGGGAGAGCAGCTTGATTAGTGTGACCTCGTTGGACCAGACCAGCATGGATTGAATTGAGTTTATGGAGGAGCTGGGGGGGAGGCGACGAAAGAGAGTACAGCAAGTGGACGGCGTAGAGGTGTAGGGGAAGGGTTTCCCGATGGGCATGAACTCGCGATCTCCGGGGTTGCGACGGCCGTTGGCGGCGAAGGGACGCGACATTGAGACAGAGGTGGTGGGCTGGAAGGTGTGTGATGCGCTGGGATAGGCGAAGGCGGTCATACCACCAGAGTCTGCGCCTGAGAAGGGCGCAAAGGAGCTTGAGCGGCTGGACTGGGAAGATTGTCGGGAGGCGGTAGGTGAGTCGACTGGGGGTTGAGCCGGCGACGATTGGCGGCCGTTATTCATGGCCTCAAGGTTATGTGCATATGTTTTCGTGGGAGAGAAAGTTGCCCTTGTCTTGTGGCAAGGGAGATGGATGTAGCGGACAAGAACGCGTCAAGCGGCAGTCGCGAAGCGGGAGGGCGCAGTCGGGCTGGCACAGTTTCTTGGCTCGATCGTGAGGGTGCTGTCGCAAAGCCGCAAGGAAAGAGGATGGCAAAGGGCAAAAGCGTCGCAAAGTGTGTCGCTGAGGCGGCGCAAGAATAATACCAAGTTGGTAAATGGCGCAAGATGGTGACAGAATATATTTGATGATGCGACAGTCGTTGCGCAGACGAGAAGAGGCAGCGGTGCTGTTGCGACTGGCAAACGGGATCGCGATGGGGATGCTTAGCCGAGGGGTATGGCGGCGCGCGTGAGGATGATGGAAAAGGTACAGACGGGTTCGCAAAAACGATCTTGGCGCGGCCGAGGTTGGATGCTAGTGATAGGGTTACAAGTAAGGTTGGGCGCTTGGCGAAGGAAATGTCGGGTTGCGGGCGGTGATTGTCGGTCGGTGCTGCCTGAGTGAAAGGATGCACGGTCGGCGAAAGGGATGGCGAGGGCGAGAGGAGCAGGTTCGAAGGATTGTTGTCGCAAAGGGAGAAAATGGGGGAGACGGGGGGAATAAAAGGGTGGGTAGATGCAAGAACGGTTGGCAGATGATGCGAAGAAAATAATCAATCAGAGTCGGAATAAAATAATGTAAAAGTGAAGATGATGACGGGGGTGGCCAAACGAGAGAGTATGCGGATGCAAAGGGCAGAAAGGATGGCGGCAGAAGGCGCAGATGAGAGGGCAAAAGAGGCGCGCCGCCAGTGGCCCAGCCAGAGTGGTAAGTGGTAGTGGCAGTAGTGGCCTAGTACCTACTAAGTACTAGAGTTAGTAGTGGACAGTAGTGGGTGGGCAGGCGGCGCCGACAGTGGGTAGTACCTGGAGTGTTGGTGGTGCCATGCGCTGGGGACGAGGTACCTTGGGCCAGGGTCTCGATCAAGTTAGTGTCTGGTGTTTACAAACCTTGTAGTGGGTGGGCGCAGCGCAAAATATTATGCCTGCCTCCTAAATCAGTAGCCTGAATTCCTGCACCGCGCCGTCAAACGCAAAAGAGGTACATAACAAATAACCAGCGCAGAGCGGTACTAATTCCAGTTAGGTTTCCTCGACGCTGGACAGACATACATGCAATCAAAGAAAGACACTCGTACCAGACAACCAGATTCCGGCCAATGCAACCACCACAACCACACCCTCTCGTCGACCCTCCATCTTTCCTACCTCCCAGCCAGCCCTTTTCTGCTCTCTCATTTGCTCGCTCACAACAGCCGATGGGCCCAACGCAAAGCTTGCCCTGGTCGGGACTGGAGCCTTTGCCTGCCTGTAATAGCGGCAGGGCGTGTGTGCCAGACTTGTCCACCCTCTTCTGCTCTAGTTCCAGGGGCGTCGCCTTTTCGTAACAAAATGACCTGTGAGACAAGCCCATTCTGCTCGTCGGGTTTGGCCTTTTTTTTTTTTTTTTTTTTTTGTTCTTTCAAGTACAAATTAGCGCTTGCGGAATCGAGGTGGCTCTCGATCGCATCTATCAGAGGGCCCTATATGTACAAAGCTAGCCACAAAATATAGAACGACGACCGTTGCGCCTTTTGCCTTTGTGACTCATCCTCGACGTGTCATTGACTTGCCTTAAGGCTTGCCCTGGCGACCAAAAGAAGAGCCCAAACAATATATCCCGTCTTTGATTCGCATAACTAGTTACCTACGTAGTAAAATTATTCAAGTCCATAGCACTTTGTGTCACCCAGCAAGGCGGCGACACACTTGCCTCGGCCTGCAGGTAAACTGATCCGCCCTGCAGAGTCGTAGCACAGGAATATCGAGCCAATCATGCTTCAGCCATACCTTTATAGTACGTACATATATGCGACATTTTCCCACCATCGGCTCTGCGCGTGCGCGCGCATGTCCATCCAGGTGCTATTAACTATCGCGCGCTTTCGCACATCAGTCGACATATATATCAAAACTGGCTGAAAGAATGAGCGACTTGGGGAAAAAAAAAAAAAAAAAAAAAAAAAAAAGGTCAAGACACCTGGCTTCAAGATATTCACGTCCAGCACTGGAACCCTTGATCCCGTCGCCAACCACAACCACTAAACAGGGCGTGCAGCTATCAAGGCCAGACTCAGCCACAGCGCAGAAAGTGTATTTCGCCGAAAGAGGTCTAGTCCTCATCAACGGAGAGGGTGTGCGCATCATGTATGTTTTCCCAATCCGACCAATCAGCGACCGAGCGCATCGGCTGGTGAAAAAAGTCAAAGTCGAGGAGGGGGGGCCGTGAGATGGCTTGGAAGCCGACCTAGGGCCAAAAACTAAAATTGCGGCAGACCTTGTGACGCTCGTGGCCCGCTGTTTTCTGCCTTTTCCTCTTTTCCTGAGCTTGCGATATGAAGCATCGCGTTTGATCTTTCGAGGCCATCTCTCACCTCAGCGCCATTGTCGACGTGTTATTCCCCAACCTCTCGCGTCCGTCCGAACTATATCCCGTCCGCCCCAAACAGGTCGCACGCATGTGCTGTCTTGGTGGCGGTAGGACTGTCGCAGTCACAAACGTCACAAACCGCTTTGTCTCTCTCTTTCCAGTGTCATACCAACACTGTGCCTCTGCTTCTCTCCCTTGCTGTTGTTGTTGTGTGTCTCTCTGCCTCTGCTGTCCCGTGTGTCCCATCCTTCTCCGTGTGTCCCATCCTTCTAGAGACCCATACTCCCTCTCTGGGTCTGTCTTGACCCCTCCCGCTCGTCCTTGTTCGGATCGTAGTTCATGTCCGTCGCCCTAAAAAAACACGCTTTTAAGGGCCTGGCACGCGTTCCGTTCTGAGTGTGTAATGAGGATGAAGCGTCAGAGTCGAGCTGACGCGTGGCCCGTGGGGGATCGATCCGCTAACGCGCGCAGCGGACTGAAGGCGGCAGTACTGTAGGTGGGTATATCGTGATGAATGTACTGCATTTGGTCTGTCTTGGTGTTTTGCGAAGCTCTGCCCCGTCTCTTAGTTACTAGCTGCAAACATCCCACCGCGGGACCCATGACGGACTGTTGTCTGCATCCGCCCAACTGTTTCCGAATTCGGTCCTTAATATCGACTTGAAAGGCGACCGACTACTACTGCCGCAAGCCCCAGCTATCTGGAGTTAAGCGGGCGCAGCTGCCCTAGCCGGTCACACATCGTCTGATGCCTTCAAGCCAGAGAGAGTTTCACGGGACGCTCCCGATCTGACCCTATTCGGCTACCTGTTGCCTGGCACGGCTGCCGTCGAACTGTAATTTGTACCTCGCCTGTATTACTCTGTAACCTCCCTGGCCTTGTCAGAAGCTCATTCCCCACCCTATGCATATCCTTGTACCATCAGTTGTCATGGATGGGCTTTGTCAGTATTCCCGTCGGCGTCGCCTCCTCCTCGTGGCCATATATAGGGTCCGAGGCCGTATTGGGATACCTGGCGCATGATTAGCATGTGCAATTCGTCGTCACGTATCACCTTGCGCCCCCCTTGCGAATCCAACGGCATGGTTCCGACATACATGCATGAAAGAAGCCCCCCTCCGGCCCACCAGCATGCCGGTAGTTTTGAAACGACCATTCATTGTCTGCAGGCCCTGGTCATTCGTACATGTACTCACACAGCGAGTGGACGACGGGCTGGACTTTGGATGCGCGGCAAGGACCCGCGGCCACCCAGAGGATCCGGCCATTCCGCGGCCGAGGATGAGGCGGGTTATTTGGGTGGGTATGGGGGATCTCTCGTCCGTTCATGGTCCCTCTTTGTTGACGCAGATTGGCGAACTCGCCTACACTTGGAAATGGAAAATCTTAGGTAAATACCATGGATGTGGGTTATCTTTCAAGTCTGCTTTGTTGCCAACATTGTGTCATGGTGATGCACAGCAGCTGTATATTACCTACCAAGCCGACAAACCAAAAGGGTAACCGCTGGCAGACTGCATCTCACAACGGACTTGCCACATTGATTTTTAAATCATGCCAAGTAGACCACGGGCTCCCATCATATTCTGCCTCTTTCTCAGTCGCTCAAGTATAGATGCTTGTCAACCGTTTCCAAGTAAACAACAGAAGTTGCTGCATGCGGCCGTTCTCTGACCGCCTCTCTCTACACACCACTACCGGGCTCTGTTTCAACATTACGGCAGGTTGGGAAAAGTATAATCGACATTGTCAAACGCCGCTTCAGTTACTCTGAAACCCTTGGTCGAGCATACATCAACATATTCCATCGACTGCCGCGGTGATATGTGACGCCTACATCCTTCCGCATCCCCTTTGCATGCAAAAAACAACCGGATCGCTCACGTTCTGCAGCCCTCCACAGTCCTTGCGGCACTGCGCCGTGATAACGTGCCGCATAAGCTGATGCAGACCCTTGCCCTTGCCCTTGCAATAATCGATTACCTCAGCTGGGTAACTATCTCTCTGTGCGGTTTCGACAGCCTAGAGCATCGGCCTTTGAGGGTGCGTGAGAGGCGTGCGCAGGCGTGCTAGGGTTGGAAATGTTCAGGAAAGGGCGGGAAAATGAGAGAAATGAGGCTCGGCGCCCAGCATGCCGCCCACGTGCCGCCAATGTCATCCATGCTTGCTGCAGGCGAAGACTCTTTGGCTCACCGACAGGCTGCAGCAGACCGGCCGCTTTTTCGAGAACGTGACCGCGGGGAGGCGCGGGAGAAATAAGACTTGATATTAGCATATGTGCAGGAGCTTTGTATGACATCTCGTAGACACCTCCCGACAGGGAAATAGGCTACATGTCTTTTCCGCGTTCCGCACCGCAACGCTCTCTCCACCGAAAGAAATGTACAAGGAATTATCGAGACCGGCGCTCAATTGATGAGCAGCGGCCGGTATATAACAAGGTTCGAACCCAATCCAAAGACTCCATAGACAAATTAAAACCGGCAAAGTATAGCGACGCCTGTATGCCACACGCAGTTGTGTGATGGTCAGTGCCAGCTTGCGTCCTTCGAATGCCTAGTAGTAGCTGCACCGAGTGCACTCATCTTATTATATTAATATCTTGCTAAACATTTTCCAAAAGACAAGAAAAAGAGCCGCATCGCTTGCCATGGCTCCTGTCAAGGTATGTTGTGGTGGGGCAAATGAGTATGGCGATAGGAAGAAGCCTGCTTCTCCGAATCGTGGAAATTGAGTGCACCGCATGCAATAGCAAGTCATGTCCACGTTCACTGATGCCTATGGCAGAGCGACTTCATAGAATAGTACAGCGCGGTTGGCCATTCTCCCGGAAGCGTAATCTGTGGCGCCGTTTTTGACCGCTTCTGGCGGAGTCAAACTTAAAGCCATCATCTGCATCGCCAGTGGTAAGATAGTCGTCATCTTTGCGCAGCATCTGCCGTGAGAGATCAATGAAAACTTCATCCACATTGGCTATTTCATGTTAATAGCTTTTCAAGAGACGCAGCGTTACTGCACGTACTGCGAGTTCTGGCGCTTGCTTCATAGTATGGCGCCCCCCAACGTTGCGATATCGAGAATCCCTTGGCACGAGGAACAGCGCGGCTGTCTTCCAAGTCTGCTTTGTTGCCAACAATGACCATTGGGATATTTTCGTCGTCCTTGATGCGAATGATTTCCTCGCGTAGACCGGCGAGTTCGCTCAAAGAGGACGGTGATGTGATGCTGAAGACTAGCAAGAACCCTTGACCTGTCTTCATGTACAAGTCGCGCATCGCAACTACGACACTTCATATTAGCCAAGAACTGAGTACTAGGTGGAAATTGCATACCAAACTGCTCAGTACCGGCAGTATCCAGACTACTCAAGGTCAGCAATAGGAGCATTTCGATGTCAGCGGGCCGCTCACATTTCCAAGACTACTTGACGACCCTACGGAGACATTAGCAGGGGAAGAGTATATGCGAATAGGCGACATACATCAACTTGTATTTGCGTCCGATAGGAGTCTTCGATAGTCGGATCGTAGCTCTCGATCCATTCATTGTGTACAAATTGGGCTGTAGGTGCGTTAGGTCGATGATGATCGTGCGTGAATGCTCGTTCAATAGAGCCATACCGGTCAAGCAGCTCTTCCCAACACCACCTAGACATGTTTATCAGTTGAGGGCGCAAAATGAGATATTATGAGAAATGGCAGTACGAACCGGCTCCAAGGACCACAACATGAAGCTCGCGGCTGTCAGAAGATTAGCCGCAATTCTTAATAGAGCAGGATGCAACGTATACTTTGAGGAGTGATTGAATCGCCCCATCACGATTTGGTTGTTTGGCTAGATTTTTTATGAGGCAGTTATAGTTGGTGGTAAAATGAATGAAGAAGTGTGCTGAGAAGATAGTCGAGAGTGAGCAGCGGCGTGCAGGGCGCGCGCAGATCGGGCAGCTGGTGGCGGCGATGGAAGCTGAATAAATGACGAGTAGGCGTGATTGGCTGGCGGCGACGGAACGGGGATCCGGATGAAAAAGATGTCGGCCGAAATTGCTCGAGCTGCCCAAAATCTGAATCAATCAGAACAAGCAAAGAGGTGCGTAGGTAGATAGCAGCAAGAGCCTTGGCTTCGAGGGGCGGTGTGAAGGCCCAACGGGGGGACGTGGGTGTGGTGAACTGGTGGTCGTCTTGGAAGCGATTGGTGGTATGTAGTCAGCCGAAGCCGAGTTGATGATGCAAGTTCGTTGTAGCGGGCTTTTTTTGGACAAGAGTGTTCGCCTATCCGGTGTGACAGCGCCGCAATTGCGCGCAAGGAACAAATTGACTTTATGAATAAATGGCCAGGGCGGGCGGGATGCGTGCCTTTTGTGCGTGGGTGAGAAAAAACGTGGTGGCCAAAGCTGGCAGCCAGGACTGTTGAGCGCGAGACGCTAGAGATGTGGGTTGAGGAAGTTTTTGACGTCTTGCCGCCCGTCTCTTGTATAATTTTGTCCTCTTGTTCCCTCCAACGAGAGTACAGCCGGCGTACCAGGTCGAGGAGTAGCGTCAAGAAACAAGAGAATCCACAAGCCGGGGCCGCAGCCAATCCTATTGTCGCAGTCTCAGCGAGAACGAAACTAGCCAAGTATTTGGCAAGTAGCTGCTGCAAGGAATGATGAATGGTCTGGTAATGTGTTTGAATGGTCGAGCCAGGTAGCTGGTCCTGGAGCTTTGGCTGGGAGCTTGCTCGAAGGAGCCGTAGTATGGTGGGGTGAAAGGGGGGTGGCTTTGGAGCAGGAGGGGAGCAAGATGTCGTCCTTGTCGCAAGAATAATAAGGGACGGGCATCAAGGTCTTTTTTTTTTCGCCGATTCCCCCTCCCTCTTTGCGTGTTGCGTCTATCAGGCTGCTAGGTACTGATCGAGGTTTTGGAGGTCTGTAGCGGCGTGTTGGCGGTAGCGTGCGGCGGCGTGCTGGTGTGGGTAGGACAGTGAGCGCAGATCAGATACCGTTGAGCTGTTGGGCCGCGAGAGTTGGCGATGGTGTAAAACAGGGTAGCCGGATGGAATCAAGGCGCGCGAGCGGTTTGCAACAGATGACTGGACGACGAAGGTAGGATCTGTGATGGAGAGAGCAGGGCAAAGGGAGATGACGCCGGGCAAACCGGGAGCAAAAGAGGCGAGAGGAAAAATCGAAAAAGTGCCGTGTAGGAGGCGGTTTGCTGGTGGTTTACTAATTGGGGTTGGCAGTACGGGTGGGTGACTTGAGGCATTGCGGGCTGTTGGCTGTGGCGCATGTACTTGACAGGTAGAGGCGCGATACAGGCGTTGGCAACTTTGTAATACTTGGCAGCTGGCGGGCGGCGTTTGCCTTGCCACGAGGACCGACGGAATAACTCCCGAGGCAATGTCCTTGCCGGCAACAAGACTCGGAACTAATATTATTTTGAACAGGTAACTAAACAAATGCACAGAAAATTGCAAGATGCCCTCTAGCTGAGACGCGAGGCTTGCCTTTGATGGAGTGTTGGCAATAAGTGCCCAGCGGGGGCATCTTAATTTCAAGGTTTCGTCAATTGGGCCATGTTATGGCAGCGCTTTTATTTATTATATTTATTATATTTATTATCTATCTATTTATTTATTCCCCCACCTACGGTCAATATAACATGGTCCAGAGTCTTTGCAGGCCAAAATCTTGGTCTTCTTTAGTCATGATACCAGCACAAGGCTGACTGTCAGGCACCAACCCTTCCTTTAGATCAACAAACGCAGAATGAACGGGAAGAAGAAAAAAAACTCAATCCCGGTGGCTGCAAGGTCGTCTCATGTAAAAGCCTCGGTATGCAGGGCAGAAAGTGAAAGCGCCGAGCAGTCGGGTTGACCGTCCGGGCCCCTGTTGCGCGTTCCCCAAACTGGTTCAAGCCCAGTACGGAACTGCTACAAAGGGGAGTAGATGTGCCCATCATCAAGCCATTTGATAAGAGGGAATTTCAATCCCTGTCCTGTTTTGTCTTCCTCCTGTTTTTCTTCCAGCTTTTGTCTACTCTCCTCTGCTTCCCATTGGTTATGTGCCGCCCTCCTCTATCGCTCCCTTTACTTCCCGTCTCCAAAATCTATACTATGACCAGGGTTACTATATCACGACCCAAAACCCCATATATCCATTAGGCTCACATTATCCTCTTTTTATTAGACAAACAAGATTACAAGGATTCACACGTTTCGTCTCCAACTTTACCCAGCGGATGTATATTCAAGACCACATGGGTTCAGGGTTCAGGCCCAGCCCTCTCTTCGTTGCACGCTTGCAGCATCCAGGGCGAGATGGTCCGGCAATCCACTGAGACCTTCGCGCCTTGAGCGCGCCGTTGGTCCTGCTTCTGGCGAGGCCGATTTGTGCTTCTCCACGGCTTATACTAGCAGGAAAGAACTAAAAAGGGCAATGAAATACAACCCATCTCCCACCTCGAGCCCCCGTACGGCCCGCCTTCCACCCTGCTTCCATCTCTACTTCTAGCCCGTCTTTAGTCTCCGTCTGCCATCCAAATAGCCTGTGATGTTCCGGTATTAGAGGGTTGATGTCTGCCCAACCAGCCGCCTCTGACGTCTTCGACTTGTCACCCCATGCCGGTTAATACCGGTGCAATAAGTGCATAATTATCCACACCCTGAAGAAACAAACAATATCAGCGAGTTGGTGCGTGCACCCCTGTTGCCGAAGGTTCAATGCCAGTGAGCAGAGTAATCGGCGAGGCCTATGTATCCGTACACCGTTGTCAATTTGGCAGCCCCCCATGTCTCGGCTAGCCACCGTGGGCCATCTGTCTCTTTTATCGCTCCACGTTGTTCTGTTGATTTTCAAGTCTCTCAAGCATCTCCCCCGGTCCAAAGCGCCAAGATCTACACTCTTCATCTCCGCCCCGAGGAATCTGTACTTCGTAACTACCTATGCAAACAACGGTCTGCGGAGAGGGTCTTGTTCCAGATATGTCACTTGGTCATTTCACCATTCTCTATGGCAAGACTTCATGTCTCGTCTGTCATCAACCTACAGCAGGCAATACATAGTTAGTGCAACATGTCTAACATTGGCCCCGCCTGCACGAGGGACAGTCGTCGCCGACCCAAGCTGTCGGCAACGGTACCACACGCATGCGAGGCGGCTCTCCTACATACCCTCCCACGATCTTGATTGGTTCCACGGATGGAGGAGTAGCATTGCAGATAAAAACAGGCAAGGTAGAGAAAACAGGCAAGGCCAGCGGAAACAGGCAAGGCCATTGCAGAGTAGCGCCACCATCGATCGACGTCGTCCCATACAATCGAACTCGGCGCAGCCTTGGGCGCAGACTACACCCTCCACCATCCCCGTACCCACAGGTGATAGGTAATTTAGATGTTTAGTCCTGGATCAAAACAGGACCTCATGACTCAAATATCACAGTCGGCACCGTGCCCCCGTTAGGCCGGTCCCCGTAAATCCAGTTTGCTGACTCGGTATCAGGCTTCAGCACCCTGTCATCTGCTACTAGATTGAGACAAGCCTAGAGTTGAACTGAAGACATGTACCTGTATATAACGAGAGGTATACCTTAGCTTTTAGGTAACACTTTCAACTTCTTGCCCAATATAGAAAATGTTGGCAGAGAATTGCAACCCAACTGAGCAATGAATGTCTCGTCGACGATACACTAAAGCATTACGAGACCCATAGCGCGCAAAGCACTGCTCAGTACCCAAAAACGAAAATATAACGTGAAGAAAATGATAAAGATCATACATATCTTCTTTCAATATACGTACAGGAATCAAGTCTGAATCAAGTATGGGGTATCAAGTAAGGCGAGACGCACCCAAATACCTGTCAATCGAGGAAGGTAAAGCACACAGTCTGGCAAATGGACAGCTTGCGTGATTGAGCAGAACCGAAATATTTAAAAGAATGCATACAATGCTATCTGAAGATCAGAAACGCTGCATTTCTGGATATTGAAAAGGAACGCTTCAAATGCCGCTTCAAATGCTGTAGGTTTGCCAGGCACCACATAACTCTCGCCATATCCGTAAAACCGCTTGACATAATCAATCGACGCATTGTTTTAACTCCGTAAAAATTAGGAAACAAATATTTTTCACTTCGTTATCACCTTGTACTTCAGCAACGCCGCCGCTACACAAATTAGGAGCGTAGTAAGCACTATCGCGATCAGCGTTCCAATCAGCCACTTGCGCCTGCTACGGCGCCGATTCTCATCGTCGATTCTGACTTGCATGCGGTCGTACTCCTTGTAGCGATGCGCCAGCGCTGACGAGACGTTGCTGCGCTGAGCGACGTGGCCGATGGCGTTCTGATGCACTGCAAACGTTGTCATGGGGATTCTCGCCGGCTTCTGCCGTGGTTGGCTTGCGAACGGCCATCGGTTTTGCGTATGTGGAGGACGAGACGGAGGAGCTGCGCCTCCGACTCCGGGTGGTTGGTACGGCGGGGGGGGTGGCAGTTCGCAGCCGTTAAGTTGCGATATATTGACACCTGAAGGCCCGGCTGCGGCTGAAGATCGACCACGTCTTGGCCTGTGGGTTTGTGATGATGGCCTGCTCTCGAGGTGCTTGGGACAAGGCAGCGGACACCTGTTGGGCGGCGGGCCGGGGCTTGCTCCGGAGTATACCGTGCTTGGTCGGCAACCTGAGTCGGAAATTGGGGCGCTGTTGATGACAGCTGAAGCAAGCTCTGCCGACTTTCCGCCAGATGGTGAGTATCTTCTTCCTGGTTCATAACGAGGCCCTGTACTCACTGCGCTATTGATATACGAGGCTAGACTGGCGGACGGTAAGCATCTCTGCCTTGTTCTGTAATTCGAAGCAGGGTAGGAGGCGTCGTGGATAAAGTTTGGCGGCATCTCTTGTCGCGGCCGTGATGGCGGAGAAGGCTCCGAGTCTTGCCCAAAAGCAGCGTCGGTATTTGGCAATGGACCCAGCAGTAGGCCCGGGACAACATCAGGTACCACCAAATTGAGAGCAGTTCTACACCCCCCGACAGCATGTTCATAATCCGAGCCAGGGTGTGCCGCATTGTGCAAATCGGGTGGTGGATGGCTGCTTGGTTGGTCACCCGTAACCTCCGGATCCGTTTGGTCCATGACGGACAGAGAGCGGAGCTGCGCTGAGGAGTATTTGTTGCGATGCCGCTCGAAGATAGACAACCAGTGTTATATCGTCTTGTCGATACTTTCAAGTAATTGATACTCGATACTTACGCCTATTGACGAATTCCACAGTAGCGATAGGGATGCGGGTTGGGATCCGATTCTGCTCAGTACTTTTCTCATGTGCGATGACACGGTGGAAAATGGGCGCGATAATGTAAGAGGGAATTTGACCAGTCTTCCAATAGTAAGGAGTTGACTGAGTTATGTCGAGGAGAGGATGTCATGCGCTGGACTCTGTAAGAATCTGACGTGTGGAAGTAATACGACGCTGCGTAACTAGGAAGGAAAAGCCGGGTTGGGGCGGAAACAGCGACGCAAATCACCCACGGATTCCAGGGTCAACTTTGTGAAATGTTGACGGAGGTATTTGTAGCCCTCGCCCGGTTCTTCGAATAAGTGTGCTTGGAAAAAGAAAAATCTCCAGACTGCGGGCATTTGTGAGGAGATGTGGCACATATATGGTGGCTGTACAAACGGCCATTGTCAGCGAGAGAAGACAGACCAAAATAAGCCACCAGGATCATTTCTAAGCCTTACCTACCGAGGTATGAAGCAGTTAAAAAAAAAGTGAGCGAGAGCCAGATAGGTTCCCAGTAATCAGTACGAATTACTCTGTAATAAAACATGCAATTCGAGGATGCCCACGGCCGAAAGCCGCTTCAGCCAGCCGACTGGTTGGCAGCTGGCAGCTGGCAGCTTTATTATGATGGTGCAAATGGCTACTAATACAGGTCTAGCCGTCAGCTAAACTGGCAAACGGTCACCGTGATTCTTGCTGCTCCCCATCTTCTGCAAACCGCTAAATTCGTTTATATTGGTTATCATTTCAACTTCATCGATGCCAAGCTTCTTCAACTCCGATCCGCCCAAGCCATATGCCGCACCTAGCGCCCTTTCTCGTCTTACATACCATTTCGAATCCCGTTTCCGTGCACCCGCTTTACCCAGGCTTACTGTGTTTTCGACACCTGTAGTATTACGACGTAATAACTGGGACAATAACGACAATTTATTGGGCATTTTGCCGCCAGATCAGCCCCTGTGTACTCCATCCACCGGCAAGGTCTTCTTCTTTGCCGACGTGCATCCTTGGTAGCCGTCCCCCAAAGCTGCACGACCACGTCACCTGTTGACTCCACGATGTGCGTGGCCATGTAGGTGCCAGCTCAGCGGCGTTGCTCTTTTGTGGAGGGACATTCTTCTCCCGTGCTAGACCGGAAGAGGGTATGTGATGATATATAAACATACTGTATTGATGCTGAATAAACTGATAAGAAGAAAAACAAACCTGGCTTTGCATTACGTCGCTTGAAATCGAGAATTATTGTTCCATGCCTGCTGTTGCCTCTCTGTTTCTTTGTGTGCGAACATCTCTCTCGCACATATTACACCACAAAAGGTCTCAACCAGGGACGCTTCCCAGCTTGCTAAACTTTGAGCAAACAAAACATTCTTTCCTTGAACCGTTGTCCCACTCGAATCCCTCCCAAAATATGCAACTGACACTAATAATAATGCGTGCGCATAAAAGAATAGAAAACCCCCAAGAATCTTACTATTTCACCTTTTTCAGAACAGACAGTATATATGAAATTCTCGGGCATCCAGCCTTAGAACAAACCAGTTCAATTTCCCATTGCCCCTTCCCACTCTTTTATTTTCCCAACTCAGTATGGCGGACGGGTGAGGTTGCCCAGAGTCCCCTCGTCAGATGTGCTGTCAATGCCCCTCAGCAGGTCCTGCAGGTCAACCGGGCCTCGCGCCGTCGCAGCGCCCTGGCTGCCGTTGCGCTGGCGACCTACATCCACGTGGGCGTTGGTGCCACGCTTCATCCCTTTAAGAGACGCGTCATGCCCGAGCAGGCCGCCTGGCTGCTTGCCTGGGTAGGTAGCAATGTTCGGCAGCGGCGGGACGGGGGGTACGATGTCCTCCTCCTCACCGTCAGCGCTGTAGGAGATGATGGTGCTGCGATCTGTGTGCGCCGTCGACGGCGGAGCGCCGCGTGAGGACATCGAGGCGTTGCGCCTGAACATGTCCTGTCCCGCGGGACTACCGGCCCCACCGCCGCGGCTGCTGAATGCATCTGGCTGTCCGGTTGCCGGATTAAAGCTGAGCTCGGACATGGTGTAGTCATAGCTAAGCATGGACTCGCCACTATCATCCGAGTCCGGGTTGGTGACGCCCGGGATACCAGCGGCACGCGGCGAGACGTTGCCGGATAGCATCATCTTGAGCTGGTCAACCGAGGCAATAGCGCTGCCCTTTTCCCTTTGCTGGCTGGGTGAGGGCGAGGGGACGTTGGCACTCTGAACGCTCGACTTGCGCATCTTGGAGCCGAAGCGGTCCACAGCCGTCTGCGGTTGTGCCGAATGCGGCCGCAAGTTATGCAGACTGCCATACGGCGAGACGGGCAAGCCGGCGGCGTTGACATTGTTGCCGCCGGGGCCGCCCGTCGTGTTAATAGCCAGGCGGTTACCCCGGGTGGCAGTGTTGCCCGTCTTCTTCGACCCTGCGAGAGACTCGGTCCTGCGCTGGGCAGCCATCGCGGCAATGGTGCCATCGCGAGACCATTCGGCAAGCAGCTGCTGGCGGTAGTTGGTTGGCAGTTCCGAGTCACGCTCCGTCTCGCTGATGGACTGCATGTTGGCGCCAAAGGCCGGCATCTGCTGACGGCCACTTGGCGAGGCTGCCGGACTAGCAGGAGGCGACTGGACGCTATCCTGGTATGCTGAGGCAATGCTCTCTACCAGCGATAGTTTGTCGTCGAAAGGCAGAAGTTCACCGGTCTCGACGACCTTTGTATCCCAGGTAGGATCCTGTCCAGCGCGGCCGAGAACGCCAATCTCGTAGAGTGGCTTGGGAGGGACCGTGATGCCCTCGACCCAGAATTGCGTCTGCTGGCGGCGCTTGATCTCGTTGCGAATGGCGCGGCCAACGTTGGAGTTGTCGAGCTGGAACTTATCGGTGACGCTCCAGAAGTAGCCGTGGCAGAGCGCTGCAATGCGCACCTTTTGGATAGGCAAGTCGACTTCTTGAATCTCCTCCTGTAGGCGGAAAATCATGGGCAAGCCGTAGCGGACGGCGTTGATGCCGAGCTTAGCGACGAGCTTGGAAAGCAGGGCGTGCAGCAAGCACATGTCGCTGTCAAAGTCGACAAGCTGCAGGGCAGAGTCGTAGACGGCGAGGTGCAGCATGGGCAAAAAGTGGGAGACGTGGTGGTTCTTGAGCGCCTTCTCGCGCTGGGCATTGCCGGAGGCGGCGCGGCGCGAGGAGAGTATATCATGGTTTCTTGAAGGCGACGAGGGGCTTTTAAAGTCGTCGTCGGCGTTGCAATCCTGCGAGACGGTCTCCCTATCCAGCCATATGAGAAGAGCGTCGACGTAGGCCTTTCGAACGCTGCCATTGGGATCCTGCAGAAGCCACTGCGTCTCCTCCCAGACCTGGATGGGCACCCGGCTTCGCGAGAGATTCATGTTGCCTGTCACCTTTTTCTGCGGGTTAGCGACGAGCAGAATAGCCTTGATGGCGCGCAGGGCTGAAGCGCGACCCGACGTGTAGGAAAGGTATTGGTCGTTCTGCGAGTTTTGCGTGGTTTCGCCAGAGGCAGGGTCGGGCGTAACGGCCTCAGCGTAGCCATTCTCAACGGCGTTGGGCCTGTCTACGGGCGGCAGCGAAGCGGAACTGCCGGCGTTGGTAGGCTTCAGGCGGGCGAGAATGGCGGTGATCATGTCCCAGACTTGATCGGCGTAGTATATGTGGTGGGCCAAATCTCCGATGCAAGACTCAAGGCGATGGAGAAGGCTGGCACGCAGGGAGTCGCGAGAGGGGTGGAGGTTTTCGAGTTGGTCGTCGCTGCCGCTGCCGGATCGGTTGCTGCCGGATCGGTTACTGCCACTGCGCAGCTGGAAGAGCTTACGCATCTGGCGGATGAGACCGTGAAGCACATCCATGACGCTAAGACCAATCAAGTTGAGGTCGGAGCGCAGCATGGCGCCTATGATGGCGGTATATACAATCTGCGGCTCAAGAGTATCCTCTTTGACGGGGCCACGAACCATGGTGTCGAGGACGACAAGCAAAATAATGTAGCGATCCTGAACGGGGGCCCAGCGTGAGATGATGTTGAAGATTTGGATGGCAGGGCCTGAGTCGGCGTTGGTAGCGAAGTCAGAGGCAATGACCCTGTCACCAGCAACGGCTCGTTGGGTAATGAATCGCAGCAGAGCTGTGGTGGCAGAGTGAATCTGGGACCTATTGGGGGCGACAAAGATGCTTTGGAGGCACTGTAGTGCCAGGACACCTGTCTCCTCCTCGGCAATGTTGTCAACGTCGGCGGCGGTGCCCGAGATGGCGAGGGGGTTGGCGTCGGCGGGCTCCTCGTTGGTGCGGACGGTGGCGACGCTCGTCCTGCGACGGACCGTCTTGTCGGCGCCCTGCTTCTCCTCGAGCTGGTGGCGATCGTAAACGACATCGAGGAAGTTGTCATTGTCGGACCAGAGGTTGTCGAGGATAACGGGCACGATGACGTTGATCTGGCGACCGGAGAGGGAGGAGAGGGCGTCGGCGGCGGAGACGCACTTGATGGCGCTAAGGCCGGCATTGCGCCAACGGATCTGGACGGAGCGGGTGGTCGCGGGCTTGTCGGTGTGATACTTGTTTGAGGCGAGCTGGGCGTAGGCGCGAATGACGGCTTCGTAGTGGGTGAGGTAGTCCTTGTCGCCAAAAAGGGAGCTGGGGTCGTGGTTTTCGCAAAAGGCCTCGAAGGTGGGGATGGAGGATTCAATCATGGTGATGTCGTCGGAGCGGAGGATGAGGTCGAGGATTTTGAGAACGGTAGAAGCGATGAGAGTGGCCTCCTTCGGGGACTTTTCGACGAGGGCGGCGAGGATGGCAAGGGTGACTTGCACATTGCTAGGCACGTTAGCATGGACCAGGGTTCGAGATGGTATGATGGAGGTGATGAGGGCGGGAACGCGGGGTGGAATTAGAGGACGTACCCAATGCGCATGCGCCAGACGTCACTGGCCGTCTTCTTCTCGAGAAAGGCGCCGATTTTTTGAATCTTGGAGCGTCGGCTGGTGGCGTAGAAGAGCAGGTAGCTGAGCTCGCTCGAGTTGGGCTTAACGTCGACAGCGCCTTTTGTGGTTCGGGGGTAGCACTTGAGGATGAGGACCTGGTGCTTGGGCCGCAGCCTGCTCTCGATGGCATTCATCTTGTGTGTATATGTGTATGTGGTTGTCGCGAGGCGCGCGAGCTAGTTGGAGAGGGAGGAGGTCGAGGTCGAGTAGGAGATGCGGCGTGTGTTCGGCAGCGAACGGCCTCGGTCGCTGTACGAATCGGAAGAGCTTCAGAGCGGAGCTATTGGGCCCTCTGCAGATCGAGTAGAGGATGAATCGGGTATTAATAAATTTTCTGGCCGTTTTGAGGTCTGTCGTCGAGTGGTGGTGATGTTTCGCAAAAGGGGGATAGCAAGTGGTGACGGGTACGTTTGTTTTGGTATCGGCCAGACCCCGTTGACAAAAGAGATTAAGCAGAGGAACAAGAAGAAAAAACCTGGGGAAGGGGAATCAAAAGTGGAAATGCAAATCAAAAAGGATGGTCTAAAAGACGAAGGAGGGGAAGGAAAGGAATCGGATAGATTTCAAAGAGCGACGAGCCCGAGGAGCCTTGTGTTGGGACCGGGGGGTGTGGGCGGCAAACGGTTGAGGGAGGAGAGAGCGAGGAGAGGATGAATCGTGGTGTTTTTAGTGTGCCGGGGTAAGCAAGGCATGTTAGGAGAAGGACAGAAGTACCTGCTAAGCACCGAGGATTAGGCAGGATCGGATGTACCGGCGGCCACCAGCAGGCAGGGGCTTGATTGATTGGTCCAAGCCACGCAACGATTCAGCGCCTGCAGCAAAATGCATAGCCTACCGAATTGACATGTGGCAGAAGTTGGCCAGATCAAGAAGAAGAATACCTGAATAAAATTTTATAATTCACTGTTCAGCACACAGACTCCCCCGAATTTTTTAATTCTTTTTTAGGGTCTTTTTCGAGTGTCTAGTTGTCGTCCTGCGGTACCACCCTCTCCCACCACCACTGCACGGCAGACGAGGTTGCTCCGCGTCCTCTTACTTACAGCAACCACAAGCAACAGAAGCATACAGCCGAGGCCTGCTGCAACCTTGATCTACTACTGGTTTGACCTAGAGTATAATAAATGCAAAGTTTCTGACCCAATGCGCCCAGCCACTAAAATGGCCCCTGTACTGCCTTACCCGCCCACCTGCTTCCTGCTTTTGCTGCCTGCGACTCCCCGCGCAGTGGGTTGGGTGATGGGTGATGTAGCGCTAATCCAATACATAAACAGGCCTGTAGCAGTGCTTTGATCTTCTTTCGCTAGCGCTTGTGTAAGTGGCCTCTGTCGTCGTCTCCAGTGCATGAAACCAGTCTGAACCAAACCTTGAACAACTATTCTCCAGCTGTAATAATTCATTTACTCAAACAACGTGCTCGGCACCTGAAGGATCAGTATTGGACTCGAAATCCCAGTTCACACGTTTCCCCGCGTCCTACTTTTCAATACATCCAACACCTCTCCCACCCTCCGCGCCATCCCCCGCAAAGCATATGCCAAATCCCCATCCTCACCTGCATATGCCTCGGCGATTTTGCACCCAAGAGGGGAATGCATGCAGCCGGGGTTCTATCGGGTTCCCCCATATTATTTCATACTAGCGACGGAAGGAATCCACGCAAAAGGCAATACTGGCCAAACAAGGCCCGTGGCTTGCTTTAGCGTCGTCCTTCTGCACTGCTTTTATGTGTCCTGCGACGAAATCCTATTCTTCACGGAGTACACGGTAACTGAATAACTACCTAGCAAGTCCATGTTCGTTTCTCTCTTCAAGCCATGCCCCTCCTTCCATCTGGCGCTTGTAACCCGGCATGCCCGGCCACGGGCCGCCTGCTTACCAGCCAGTACATGCAGACAGTATCAAGTACCCTGTACGAGGATACGACGAACAATCGCCTCACCACCGGGCAAAGGATAATAGAATCCAAAAAGCACATCATTTGTCCATTTCACGTGCAACAGTCAGTAGTTAGTAGAACCGCTTTCTACCGTTTTTTATGCGCTGTATTGCGCTCCGTACCAGCAACTCAAAACCAGTTGCACGTCACGTCCTGACCAGCGCACATGATCGACGTCATTTGACTCAACCACGGCGAAACCTTCGTCTCGAATTCTGTTGGGACAAGGCAAAACATATTCATGCGTTTGTCTGACGCCCATTTCCATCGCCCCTCGTAACTAGGAATCCATAACTCCTCTTCAAGCCACTTTACTACCTTGTCAAGCTGTTACTTTGGCTTACATCCTACCCAGACGGTCTGTCCTGTGGCTTACGACAGCTCATAACCCCTCTGCGTTCATCTCAGACTGACACATGTATCAAACATACACCCTCATCTCACCAGTACTGTACATCGCCATACGCGAGTTTTTCTCGTAATGTGCCCTTGGCATTGTATATCATGACTCTATCTACCATCACACTATTACCCGCAACGCCTGCCCTGTGCAACGTCTTCATTTTTAAGCTACAGATGCAATCACCAGTGCCGCCACATCCTCCTCCTCGCTGCGCACCGTAATCTTCGTCGTCACCCCCGACTTGGTAGAAAACGCCATCCGCACCGTCGCCACCACACGCCCGCCGGTCACCGTCTTGCCCAGCAGCTTCAGCGTATGCGTGCTCTGGTTCACAGGAACATCTGTCCCGTCTAGCGGCTGCAGCGACAGCGCCTGTGTGAGCTGCTCCGTAGCATCTGTCCACTCGTGTTAGCATCCCATTGCCATACTTGTCGTAGCAGTCCAAAAACTCACCCGCAATGCTCTTCATGCTGCTCAGCTGCAGCGTCTCCTCGGCCTCCTCGCCAGCCGATCCAACCTGCTCCCACAAGTCATCGAAGTTGCCTGCAAACGTAGGGATGATATAGTCGCTGCCCGTGAGCTCAAACTCTGACACCTCGTACTCGTCGTCATAGCCACTCTCCTCTGGCTCGCCCGTTGATGGGTCAATCTCCTTGCTGGTAAATCGGAGAACATTCGTAAATGACGAGACTGGTAGAGACTTTTCGCCATTCACCTTCTTGAACGCTACATAGACCTTGCCAGGTTCATCCGTCGCTAGTTTGTCGGATTGTAGGATGAATACCTCTTCTAGCTCGTCCTCTTCAGAAGGCGACGCTACCACTGACACGTTCTCCAGCACGGTATCGGGCAAGGTGTTCTTTACGTCGAATTGCAGAACAATGTGCTCCTTGAAAACATGCTTGACCAGAGACACAACGTACTCAGTTTCTGCCTCGGTGAGCTCAATGACAGGCGATGACTTGAGCACACTGCCAAACTCGGCCATGTCAGGGATGGTCATAAACTCCTCCGTGTATTTTTGCGCCTGGGCAGAAGCGGCCGCGGCAGCTTCGGCACCAGATGCGGGGGCCTTGGTCGGGCCGGCCTTCGGCGCCTTGATTGTCGGTGTCGTAGCCGTGAGCTTCTTGGTTCTGTCTTCAGCATCCGCCTGCTCTCGTGTGACGACCGGAATCTTGGAAATATCAAAGGGGTTCTCAAAGTTGCTCTTGTCTTCCGATGTCACGTACATGACCAGCTGGTGCTCAAAGTACGGAAGCGCAAACATGCTCTCGTTCTTGACAAAGTTGCTCGCCATCTGGTCATCCTGCTCACTCATAAGTTTAAGGTTGAGCGCAGCGCGGTCGCGTACTTCGTCGTCGACGTCGTCGAGGCAGCGAGCAAGCAGAACCTTGACACTGCTCTTGACGTCGGCATCAGTCTGTCCAACGCCAAACTTGGCCAGCGCCGTCACGGCAGCCGCACGCACAATGGCGTTCTCCAAGACGACGCGGTTGTAGATGTAGCGAATATATTTGGTAGGGTTGCTGGTCTTGGGTCCCTCAAGACCAATGAGGTGCAGGATGCGCACCGCAAGCTTGGTGAACTCGCAGTCCTCAATAAACTCGCACAGGTGTGCCAGCGCCTCGTCCTTGGAGTCGGGAACAAACTTGATGAGGTCAAACATGCTCTCAATAACAGCCTTCTTGAACTCGAAGCCGCCCTCGTCGCGCAAGATGCCACTGAGGAATGTCAGCATGCCAGCCTGCTTGTTGGGGAACTTGAGGCACAGTGTGCGGATGGCCTCGACAATGGTAATCTTGAACTCGTCGGTGATCTCAGACATGAAGCTGGCAATCTGCTTCATCAGACGGTCGACACTAGCCTCGTTACCAGTTTTGAGAAGCGTCGTAATAGCAAACGTGGCAATGGAGCGGTTCGAGTTGGAGATGAGAAGCTCAATATCTTGGTTGCAAGGGGCGACGGCGGTGGGCGTGAACGAGGCAAAGTTGTGGAGGATGCGGAGGGCGGCAAACTTGGTGACGGCGCGCGGCGAGGTGAGGAACATCTGCAGGACATGGACGGCTTGGTTAATCTCGTCGTCGGTAACGTCGCGGAGGTCGCAGATGGCCTTGGCAGCCTCGAAGTTGACCATTTCCGACTTGTGGCGCAACCAGCCAACGAGCAATTGTGACATGGGTTTGCGGAGAGAGACGTCTTCCTCGGCGAGCTGGGCGGCGAGTCTGACCAGCATGACGGTGGCGGGGGCGCTCTTGACGGCACCAGGGGAACCAAATTGCTGGACCATCTTAACCAGAGCCATGCGGTCGTGCATGCGCATCTGGTAGAGCAGGCCTATGGCGTGGTACTGCGTCATGCTCGAGTTGTTCGCGGGCAATTGGTTGCTGGACGAGAAGCCAAGGGAGAAACCACCACCCGACTTGGAGCTGGCGGCGGCCTCCTGGGTCTCGCTCTGCCAACGGCGGACGACATCCTTGGCGATGGGGAGAAGGTGGTAAGAGGAAACGAGGGCGGCGGATGAGACGGACGAGTTCTTGTCGACAATAGCAGTCTTCATAACACGTTCGATCGATTGAACAGTGGTAGCCTAGGGAGGGATTAGCGCAACTAGCAATCGTCAGACAGCAAGGGAACTGACGTCAATAATGCGGCAAAGGGCTCTGATGGCATTGGGGCGGTAGATGGCGTCGCTGCCACCACCGGTATCCTTCATAATCGTACTCGTAACCATGATGATGTCCTCGGCCGAGTTGGCGAGCTCCTTGATAACAAGGTGCACCATCTGGCGGAGACTGGCATCCTTGTTCTGGAAGAGCTTCGAGATGCCAAAGAACAGGGTGGTGGCTTCATTCGTCGGGAACTTTTCGCCCGTATAGAGCAGGAGGGAAATCTTGGTCAAGAGAATTCGGCATCGTCGCGGCTGGATCGGGGAGCTGTTGAAGAGTCGAGCTGTTCGGGCCAGCTTGTTAGCATGGAATGGCGGGGTGCGGCGAGCAGCTGGCGCAGGCAGGCATTGGGCGCAGACGAACCTTCTTGGAAGACCTGAGTGCGATCTACCTTGACCAGGCCCAGGTCGGCATCTTCGTCCTTTTTGCCGTAGCTCATGATGGGCAACTGGTTGGGGGTTTTGGTTGCAGGTTGTCGTGGTCAGTTTGGCCCGCTGGCCAGGGGAATCTCCACGTTGACACTTCGACGGGGAGGGTGTGGGACGAATCACGTGACTTTTTACTAATTTGTCTGTACAGTTGGTAAAACAAATTATGTGTATTTCGTAAAATATATACGTTACTTCACGGGAAGAATCTCTATTTACTGATGTAGTACTGACCGATTTGGTATCGGCGATGAAAGGGGTTGCGGATGATGTTGCTTTGTGACTGATGTTGTTACTGGTTGGAGCAGACAAATGTAGAGGCAAACGATCGACCTGCAACTTGGGTACGAAGAAGAAATAAAATAGCCTGTAAAATCTTCCAAAACTCTCCGATCCGAGTGGCATAGTAAGGTTTCTTTTTAATTTCCCTGCGAGGGTGAATTGGCCACACGTGTAGCCCCTTACCGCACACTGCCACATCCACACTATTCCAAAATTTCCAGCCCTCACCAACAAGCCATCTACATCCTACCTACATCACACCCACCGCAACCATGCAGTCAACAATTCGAATACCGCTGCGGCTGGCGCCCCGTATGGCCAATGGTATCGCTCGACCCTTCCGCAGCATCCATGTCTCCGCCATCAAAGCCGCCAACGTCGCCCCCGTCGTTGGCACCGGGCCGCCCCCCGAAGCGCCAGTCGAGCGCACCCTCAACGACGAGCGCGTGGAGCGCCGGCGGCGGCAGGCCGAGATGCTCAGGACGGCCCAGGAAATCCGCAGCTCCAAGGACATGAAGAAGTCCTCTTCCTCCTCGTCAGCCTCGCCCATCAAGCGCCGCTTCTGGAGGGACGTCCGCGTCGACGAGGTCAACGGCGCGCTGCAGGTGCTCCTCGACGCGCGCCCGCTGCGCCACCCCAACACCAAGGAGATTGTCCGCGTGCCGCTCAGCAAGCCGACGCTCGCGGCGGCGCTCGCCATCGAGTGGGACCTGCTCACGTCGGCGCAGCAGGCCACGCAGCAGCACCTCATCCCGCTGACGAGCCTCGTCTGCCGCGCCCTCGACATTGCCGCCGAAGACGCCGCCGCTGCCACAACCGGCGTCGCCGCCGCGACGCGCACTGCTATTGCCAACTCGGTGCTGCGCTACCTCGACACCGACTCCCTGCTGTGCTGGGCGCCGCCCGCCGGGGCGCGGGACCTGCTCAACGACGCCGGCGAGTCCCTCCGCGACGTCCAGAAGCGCGCCGCCGAGGACACGGTCGGCTTCCTGACGACGCATGTCTGGCCCGGCATCACCATAAAGCCCGTTCTCGACGGCCACTCCATCTTCCCCGCCAGCCAGGACGAGGGCGTGCGCGAGGTCGTCCAGGGTTGGGTCCTGGGCCTATCGGCCTGGGAGCTTGCCGGTCTGGAGCGCGCCGTGCTCGCGGGCAAGAGCCTCGTCACCGCCGCCCGCTTCATTGCCGAGTGGAGCGATGGCCCTGCTGGTCTGCGCGACGCGGCGACGCGCGAGACGAGGTTTGGCGCCGAGGAGGCAGCTCGCGCGACGAGTTTGGAGGTTGACTGGCAGACGTCCAATTGGGGCGAGGTGGAAGATACCCACGATGTGAATAGGGAGGATGTTCGTCGCCAGCTTGGCAGCGTTGTCCTGCTCGTCTCGGGCACAAGCAAGTCGTCGTAGAAGACGACCAAGAAAAGCCCTGGTTGCCATGTATTTTACTCTACTGTACACCAAAGCCAACAACTGTAAAACAAACATATTGTACTAGACGGTGGTCAATTTACTGTTCAGGAGTCCTTCGATTACAATCTGCTATACGAAATGACGTGATTTACGGTCTTGCCTTATCCCCCACGAGCGACTGCAAGTTCCACTGGCCAGTGTTTATTTCTATTTGGCCCTGATGGCTTGCTGGACGCGCATGCGAAGCATGTGAAATTTCAAAAAGGCTTGAATAGCGTAACCTTGAAAAATATTCTTGAAGCCCTCTTCCCTGACGGCGCGCGCTGCCTTGACAGAGGCGAAGAGGGCAAATGCCAAGACTGCAATCTTGATGTAGCGGCCAACCCTCTTTGTCCGGCGGTCAAGCGTAGGCTATGAAGCTGGTTAGCACTTTCGATGGGTGGGATTTCAGCGAAGGAAAAGGACTTGCGGTATATTTCAGGTCCTCGTAGACCGGGAAGAAGCACTTGTACCAAAAGTGGCCCTGCATAAAGGGATATGTCGACGAGTTGCGAGCCTGCTCCCCCTTGGCATTGCGAGAATACCAGTTGTTGCAGATGCCGTCAGCCCAGACGGTCTTTGTCAGACCCTCCTGGATGGTCTGATCCCATCGGTCCTCTGCTTCCTGGAGGCAGTCGACCGAGACGGTCTCGCCGTCCAGGACGGGCTTGAGAATGCGTAGTGCATAGTTGATTGAGTTTTCAATCGCAAAGACGGTCGAGGTATGACCAGTGACGGTATTTGGGCCTGCGCTGCGAGTTAGCTTCTTATTTCCTTTCTGCAAGCAGCGGGCGAAAACTTGCCTAGAATCATGAAAAAGTTGGGAAAGCCGCTCAGCAGAGTAGCATTGTACGCTGCAGCACCGTTGGTCTTTTCCCAGTGCTCCTCGGCCGTCTCACCGTTTCTGCCTACGAGCTCGATACGGGGCAAGAAGCTGTTTGTGGTGTACCCCGTCGCGAGGGCAATGACGTCTGCCTCGATGATGCCGTCCTGTGTGCGCACGCCCTCTGGCACAACTTCGAGAATGGCCTTGTCCGTCAGCGTGAGGTTGTCCTCGTGGAGGCACTCGAGGTAGCCGGGATTGAAGATGCGACGCTTGCAGCCGATGGGGAAGTCGGGGATCAGCATGTCGTGGTACTTTGCCGGGGCGAGCTCCTTCATGTAGGCGCGCGCGGTCGCCTCGCTAGATTTGCGCAGGCGCGCGGCCGTCTTTGTCAAGTAGAAGGCGCGCCACGAGTTTTCGAGGGCGAGCCAGATGGTCAGGCGTATAAAGTTGAGCATGCCCGGCACCCTCCTGAACAAAAAGGTCATCAGTCGCGGGTTGGGCATCAGCGGCGGCTTGACGATCCAGTGCTTAGAGCGCACAATCTGCGTCAGCGACTTGGTCTCCTTGACGATGGCGGGGACGATCTGGTCCGCCGTGCAGCCGTTGCCGACGACGATGACATTCTTGTCCTTGAGAGACACGTCGTGCTTCCAGCGGGCGGCATGGAACATGTCGCCCTTGAAGGTGTCCATGCCCGGGAAATTAGGCACGCGCGGCTGGATCAACTGTCCGACACCGCTAAAGAGGAACTTGCATTCGTGGTACGAGACTGTGCCGGTTGTCTCGTCGCGAATCTCCATGCGCCACCGGGCTCGAGCCTCGTTCCACTCACAGCGCTCGACAGTGGCGTTGAACCGCATCTTGGAGAGAAGATCATATTCCTCAGCAACCTTGGTTAGGTAGTCGAAGATATCGGCCTGCGCGTTGAAGAGCTGCTTCCAGTCGCCGTTGGGGGCAAAGGAGAAGCTATACAAGGGCGACGGCACATCACAGGCGCATCCTGTCGGGAGAAGGAAAAGGTGTAAGTACTGTTCCACCAATATTGTCCATGACAGCGCTTACCGGGATACTGGTTAATGTGCCAAGTGCCACCCAGCTTGCTCTCGCGCTCAAAGAGCACCACGTCAGTAATGTTGTACCATCGCTTGAGTGTCGCGCCCAAACCGATACCGGAGAAACCAGTGCCGATGCAAGCAAACTGGCTGTAGGTAGCGTTGCTCTTTTCAGTCGCCATGTTGTGATGGTTTGTTTTGTTGTCGTGGGCGCCGCGGTTGAGCTGAGGCTGCAGCCGGCAACTTTTAGGGGTAACAGAGAGGTTAAAGGAAGGGAGGAACCCGGCATACAGCCGTTATTACTAGGAACTTGGAAGCGAGCTACCCGTAAAAGCTGGGGAAAGCCGAGGCCCCCGCCTCTTCCTTTATTAGTGCGACGGCGACGGCGACGGGATGATGCGGCCAGTCGAAGTCATGGCCGGTTACATTTGGGGTCGGATAAGACGCGCTTTATTCACCGCGGAAACGCCGTGCATTCACTTTAAGACGGCTACTACGGTAGGGCAGGAGTGACTTGTTAGCCGGAGTGAAAAGATGCTGGCATGTGCTGGGGCACTTGGAGGTTCAGCTCGCCCCGGCGGAAGGGGGGGAGGTCGCGGAGCAATCACCCGTTGTGGCCTTTGAGTGACTTTATTTTACAGATGTACATTGGGCTTTTACATGGACAAGGACACACCTTGATCAAGGCCATTCACAGCTCAAGGAGACAAGTCCGGTGGACGCGAAGGAAGACAGAGCCAGGTCGTTGCAGGAACTAGATAGGTAATACTAGGGACGAGACAGCTAGCGCACCAACTTTTGACCGATCGGAGCACTAACTAAATTGCCCTAAGTTATACAAATTAGTGTATGGGGCATTTTCAGATGGCGGGCACTGGGGCCAAAGTGGAAGCGCGGGGAGTCAGCTGCATTTGCTGGATGGATACATTACTATAACTATCTCTGATATGAGATGCTGCGCGGGACAATAATAGCAATAATACTAGTCAGTGCTGTCATCAGGAGGTGGGCAAACTTCATGCTCCTTTGCCCTGAGAACTTGCTGTTTAGTCATATTGAGAATTAAATGACTCGTTTGAAATGAGATGCAGCCAAACGCGACCAAGGGGAATGAATCGTTATTTATTCAGAATTTAATAGTTGCATCACCTGCGCCGAGGGACTATTACAGGGAATCCTACAGTGGTCATGTACCAGGTACCTATTGTGCGTCGCTTATTAGCAATGGTAGGGCTGGTCCGACAAGGCCGCTACACTGACGGGCAGCAACTCTTTCTAGCACAGAATGCTAACTAATAAAACCCTTAGGAAAATGGCCAAGCAGCATCCATAGGAACAATTGGCTGGTTATGTCTGGCTGCCCAAATGGTCAGGCGCATAGTACTACCAACCATAGTACCAACAGGTGCCCAATTGTTCACACAGTGTGCGAGTCTGGACAAGTGACGAGCAAGAGTCCGAGTACACTCAAATAAACTCCTCGAAGCTCGATCGACAACACGATGACGTTGAAACGGATGGGCGGCAACGTCTTGTCGGATCTCAAGGCTCTGTCTCCGGATCTGGTCCGCCATCTCGCCCGGAGCATCCACTTAACTCCGGTATTCGCACAGGGTGCGTGCGAATTTCAATCGTTCGCTGCACATTGGTGCTAAACGTCACCGACCGACTACCAAAAGTGGATAGAATTCTGGTGTAAATGCCCCAATTGATCTTGTCCAAATATCTTGTTCATCACTACGAAAATACCTATATAAGCCCTTTGCTCCCTTTCCATAAAATGGACAATCAATCATAACAACTATCAAACAAGTTCTGTCAACTACTCTTCTCCTTCCCATCAAAAAGCATACTATAACCAACATGTCTTCCCCTACTGTCGTTCTGGTCACTGGTGCCAACAGCGGCATCGGCTACGAGATTGTCAAGTCCTTCTACGAGGCACCCAAATCATACCACATCATCATGACCAGCCGATCTCTGGAAAATGGCACAAAGGCCATGGAAAAGATCAAGAGCGAGGTGCCCTCCTCGTCCAATACCCTCCAGGTTGTGCAAATGGACCTCACCAGCGACGAGTCCATCAACGCTGCGTTTGCTACTGTCCAGTCAACCAATCAAAGAATTGACGCCCTCATCAACAATGCCGGTACGCATCTACCTCATCCCCCCCTCTTCACGCCACGCAACACTCTAACCGTCTTCTTCTTCTTTCTCACAAGGCGCCACCTTTGACATCCAGTACAGCGCCGGGGAGGTGTCCCTCCGCGACTGCTTCAACCGGGCCTACGACGTCAACGTGACCGGCACCACCATTGCCACGCACACCTTTATGCCGCTGCTGCTACGCTCCGCCGACCCGCGCCTGCTCTTCCTCGCCGGCCTGTCGCAAATCACCGAGGCCGCCAAGAGCTACTTCCCCACGCCGCCGCAGCCCGCCGGCTGGCCCAAGCCGCCCGTCGGCTTCGAGACGATTGGCTACCGCTGCAGCAAGACGGCGCTCAACATGCTCATGCTGGACTGGAACCACAAGCTGCGCGCGGACGGCGTCAGGGTCTGGGCCGTCGGGCCGGGCATGCTCGCCACCAACCTCGGCGGCAACCCGGAGCTGGTCGCGGCGCTCAACTTGCCGCACCCGCGCAAGGGAGGCCGGGTGATGCGGGCCGTGGTCGAGGGCGAGCGGGATGGGGATGCGGGACAGGTCATTTCGTACGATGGACGTATGCCACTGTAGATGGGCGAACAACCGGGGTGAGAAAATGGATCAGAGGTTGTAGTCGAATAAAGGACGGATTGAGTGTGCTGGTTAGGGAGAGCAAATGAAACAAGCCTGCTATTATTCAAGTACAATAAAAAGGCTGCTGAAGAATACCATCTCACTCATAACACAGCTTCAACTCTACCTCTGTGTAATCTTACGGATTTGCTCTCCAAATGCTGGCATGCGTAGTTTGGCCAAGCCTGCTCCAAAGCCAAAGCGCAAGTTTGTCAACATCCACGTAGGCGCACCTCGCTGAAGCAAAAGTTAGTAGTGTACTCGGTGCAAATGGTAAAAGACGAGAACATGTAGCCCGTTGTCATTTTTTCTTGTTCTCTTCTGCGAGTGACTTACCAAGCCTGCACTGAAGCCGGCGGCACCGGGCAAGTAGATTGTGCTCGAGTATGTGCTGTAGACGGAGTCGACAATGGCCTCGGCCACCGTTTCGACCTCGAGGAACGGAACGGCAAAGCTGCCGCCCTTGGTCGCTGCGCCTACCATGGGCGTGCGGATGAAGCCAAAGATGCCGAGCGTCTGGCGGACGCGAGGGGCGTCGTACATGAACTTGAGTTCCAGTTGGAGAGCCTGTCAAGACGCATCAATAAGCCGGGGGAAAAAAAAGCCAAAGGAAAAAAAGAAAACATATTGCTTACGTCGTGCATGGCGGAAAGACCTGCCTTGGTGGAGGAATAAGGACCGATGCTCGGGCCGGCAATCACCGAGCTCAGCGATCCCGAGTACACAATGTGTCCGTGGTCGCGGCGCACCATGTCTCCCAGGAACTGCTGCGTGACGTAGTACTGCGCGAGCAGGTTCGTCCTGACGACGAGCTCAAAGTCCTCGGGCGGCGCCGTCAGAATCGGCGACCCGCGCGCGACGCCCGCATTGTTGAAGAGCACCGTCGGGTGGCCGACCTCGTCGCGGACGCGGTCCGCCATGGCCCGTACGGCGGCGGCGTCCGCCACGTCGCACTGGTAAAAGTGCACGCGCGCGCCGTCCGCCGCCGCGGGCACCTCCCACGTGAGCGCGGCGGCGATGTCGACGACGACGACGGCGGTGCGCGGGTTGCGGCGCAGGAACTCGCGCGCGACGCCGGCGCCGATGCCGCTGCTGCCGCCCGTCACGAGCACAATCTCGCTGTCAAAGTCCCACGTCGGGTCCTCGACCCAGTTGTTGGTGCTCTTGTGCGTGAGCCAGCCGCTCAGCGCCCACGCCGACGTGAGCACCGCCGCGATCCACGCCGGCCGCCGCAGGCCCGCGTGCCCGGCCGCGAAGCGCAGCAGCCCGGCCGCCGTCTCGTTTTGGGAGAGGGCGCGCAGAAGGGCCGGCGCCCAGCGCGCGAGCAGAGGCTCCAGCGACAGGCCGAGGGCGAGGGGCAGGGTCGTGCGGTGGTTCACGACGCGGCTCAGGGTGCTGACGACGCCGTCGATGTTGAGGCCCTCGCGGTTGGTGAACATGGCAGCTGCTGTCGCGTTTCAATCAGATAGAGACGGGAGCTTGTTGGGTAGGATAGAATCAGTCGCGTCTTGGAAACAACAAATTCACGACGAAATGCTGGCTTTTTAAACACTTTGATTCCTCCTGCCACAAAAGTACCCACGCGTCGTCATCTTGTATTATGGGCGCCTCTGTAATATAGGTAGGCCCTTGCGTTTTAATGTCACTGTCGTTTCCGTTTTGTGGCTCAATTCTTTCGAGTTTGCCCCAAGTCCGCTCGCGAGCTGGGGCGGCTGATGAAAGATCAGCTCAAGGTATTCCCTCTCAATGTGTCTTACTTGATGTAGGTGCGGAATTCGCTGAGAACCCGTCGGAGTTGGCGCTCAGTCTCACCTCGTACCTCTTCTCACATGTGTCGACAGCGCAAGAGACTGTTTTCCGATCCAAGCTCCACTGGTGAGAGAACTCATTTGCCACAAACCGATCCGCTATATCTATTCCTCGCGCCGTATGGTTGTCTCGCAAACCCTCTGGGCAGAGCCAACTGCTTGACAACTAGACAGGCACCAATCAGTTCAACCATTGTTCATCACTGATCCACACGATGATTCTCCAGCGCGATGGGGCCATCTCTGGCCGGCGAACTGAAGTGTTACTCTATGAGGTTAGCTAGCACGCGATAGATGCAGGCTAGCTGCCTTATTGCTGTGGACTCGAGCGCCAAGCTCTGGAACGGAGTGCCGATTCAAGCAAAGAACCTCGGCTACTGGCTACTCCAGAAGATTACCCCGTCTTCCGTGCGCAAGCCAACTCAATCGGGTCATTTACAATTGCCAGGGCGTTTGAATATAGAGCCTGACTTGGCCTTTTCCTCGCACGTCTTCTTCACCATATCTCATTCTTCTCCCTGGCTCTCTTGCCCTGATTATCGCCTTCTTACTCAGCGTGCGAAAGACATTGCGAAGCGACTCTGTTAGCGTCTCTGCTCCCTTCCTGTTACGGACAACCTCGGCTGAAGCTTGTGCGACCGCACCAACCCGAAACCGATACGATAAACCCCGGACGAAATCCGTTCACCATGGTAAGCTGATGCGTACACATCTTTCGGAGCAAAGACCGCCCGAGTCGGGCGCGTGCGACTGTGCTCAACTGGAAGCTGCAAAAGAGCCAGGTTTTCTTTTCAGAAAAAAAAAGGCAAAAAAAAAACCGTCGCCTTGTTCCGCGACGAGCAGATGGACATGTTGAAACGGCGTCGCAAAGAAGCCGAGGCTGACATTGCAATGTAGGCTGGCTTCCCGAGCAAGCCGGACATGAGCGTCGGCGAGCGCCTCAAGATGATTCTCAAGCTCCTCACCATCTGTACGTTTGCTCTCGCTTGCTGCCCACCCACCGCCGGCTAACAAGGGGCCGCCGTGGCGAACCTGCAGTCCCCGTGAGCCTCGCCCTCAACATCCTGCGCATGCTCGTGCTGTCCGTCGTGCACGGCATGAAGCTGCGCCCGTCGCTGCTGGCCGCCGTCGTGCGCACCACCTTTGGCATCCTGACGGGCAAGGAGATTCAGAAGCTGCAGCCGACGACGCGCCAAGAGTACGCCAAGTTCATCAAGTACGCGGCCAAGCGGTGGAGCGCGCCCAACTTCAAGAACCGCGTCGTCTACGACGTGCAGGAGCTCAACAAGGGTGTCGACGACTCGGCCATTCTCTGGCTCGGCGACCGCAAAAAGGCAAAAAAGGTGGTCCTCTTCCTCCACGGCGGCGGCTACGTGCTGCCCGCCTCCGACGGCCACTTCCTCTGGGCCTGGAACGCCTACGTCATGTCGGGCGTCGAGGCCGGCGTCGAGACGGCCGTCGCCTTCTTGCAGTACACGCTCGCGCCCCGCGGCGTCCTGCCCGGCCCCCTGCGCCAGACCGTCGCCGCCTACGAGGAGGTCCGCGCGCAGGGCTTCCAGGCACGCGACGTGGTCGTCGGCGGCGACTCGGCCGGCGGGAACCTGACGATGCAGTTCCTCGGCCACGCCCTCCATCCGCAGCCAACCGTTACCGAGCTCAAGCTGTCGGAGCCCCTTGCCGGCGCCTTCCTCGTGTCTGCCTGGCTGGGCCAGAGCGACGACACCGAGTCCTTCCGCACCTTTGGTAATAATGACATGGTCAGCACGGCTATCATCCAGAAGCTGGGACCGGAGTCGATTGACCCTCACAAGCACGCTACCGTCAGGTTTGAGTCAGACCCTTGGTCGCGCCCCCTCGAGGCCGACTTTGGCTGGTTCCAAGGCTTTGAAGCGATTACGCCCAAGCTCTACATCACGTATGGCGGCCGAGAGGTGCTGCGCGACCACAGCCTTGCCATGATTGAGACAATCAAGCGCGAGGCGCCCGCCGTGAACTTGCTCACCTACGAGGCCCCCAAGGAGCTCCACGACGGTGTTCTCCTTGAGCACATTTTCAAGAAGCCCGACCACAACGCCAAGAAGATGAAGACATGGTTCAAGAGCGTCATCATTGAATAAGCGCTCGACTCTTTCGGAAATTGAATTGTATGACATGGGAGGTTATTCGTATGTGCGTAAAACGCATACTGGCTCAGTGTAGATATGTATGCTCAAGTCACCTCTACCATGATGCCGTGCAGCCCTATCAAGTGAGGCATTAGTCCACAACAACGCAGGAGCGGGAGATTCTGTGGCTCATCCCCTTTTGAAACCCCTGGCGCCGGCACCGTAACAGTGCGATAAATATGGACGACTGTCTTAATACAGGCCATTCTCCGACATTTTGATACTTTGAGCAACTTCTTTCTCGAGGCGTAGTCCGCCTACGAATGCCGCCTCTTGCGCAGCGGTAAGCCTGGTGCCTATAAAGACGGCACCGGCGTACTCTGCCCGGTATTGAAGCCATTTCTGGATATACTAGCGAGCTAACGTAGGCAGAGCAGGCAAGACCGGCCTTAGTAATGCCGGCCACTCCTCTGGTCGGCACCTCTCTCCGGTTTCAGCAGGCGAGGCTACGGCTAGGCGGTAAGCACGGCAAGCTCCCCTTCTATTGACGCCGGGAAAAAGGCTACACCGGCCTCGTTCTCGCAGGGGTCGGCCGTGAGGCGCCGCAGCCCCTCATAGTCTCGGTGTTTCCAATGGTGTCCTGCGCTGTGCCTGGACGGCGATGGGCCGAGAGTGGGCATCGGTGCGGGTTGAGGTATAGTCAATGTCCTAATCGCCGGGAAGCTCGCGCGCGTGAGGACTGTCATGGCCTATAGGATACCCGCGGAGGGCCAGCTGCAGGATGATGGACAGGCCAATGACGCCGGCACTGTAATGTCCGGCATGATCAGCAAAGGACGCTGGGGGGGGGCATAATTGCATACCAAATCACGGCAATGTGTTGGCGTGAGGTCATTTCTTCCATAATTGATCAATGTGGTGATGCGATGTCTAACCTCCGTAAGGGTGTTTGTCGATTGTCAAGCAACCGGTGTATTTGACTCCTTGTAAATATGTCAATTGCTCCAGCGTGCTACGATACACGCACTGCTTGTCAGACTTTGAAAATGTGCGAAACAAGCATGTACAACTCTCCCCCCATTACCAGGCATAAGTCAATGGCAGGAGAGAATGCAGACCTGCAGAGGATGCTGTGAGATCTGGTATTCCATATCCATACTGCGCCTGGGGCTGTTTTTCGATATCGAAAGGGCATGGGAAAACGGGCGCCCTTCGGCATATTGCTGTACTTAGATGCATCAGCATGGCAGGGTGGACGACCCGGAGAGTGCACATTGATAGACTCGTCTCTGCAATCAGTCTCCCTATTCACCATTCCGATGCTGGGAAAGTCATCGCCACCAGTTCCGTTTCACGTCCAAGTAGTAGCCCGGTTAAATCCAATGGAGGAGCATTTCGCCTGTGGCCTTGGCTAGAACCATGGGTGGCTACAAATTTGGTGAAACGGTCTTCATCTAAACACACGACTAATGAGTTTGGGAGTGGAAGTTTAATTTCATGAGTAACATACTGGGTCAATCTCGAGTCATTTCATTCTATTTGGCGATTTGGGCCTGTCGCTCGCTGTTCGTAAATGTGTAGTGTTCAAGGGTTGTCGGGTAGTGCTCGTCCGGTTTGATGGACTGTCTGATGTCGGCAATTGCATGAATCTTGTCTGGGGTACGGTTACAGACAACCTAGAAGTGGCTTGCGCGAAGCATGCCTCATCAGCGCAGTGCTTGGCTTGGCAGCAGTGGTCGTGAGGGAATTCGATAATTCGATACAAATCCTCACTTGCAGGCCGCGCATAGGAAGCTGTATAGGATGAGGAAGCCGCGGGAAGGGACGGCGTCCTTGTTTTCTTTTCCCAGTCACTAGCACGACAACTGAGGCTCCAAACAGCGTTTCTTCTGCGACGCGGAATCGGTCCCGCCCAAATACCCCTCTATCCCTTCCTCTAGACAATTGGCAGCAATGCACTGCCCATCTGCCTGTCATTCCTATTTATAAACACTCAACTTGATCGACTCGCTCGCCCACTAGGGCGTTCTGCAGCCGATTGCCACCGAACTGTACATACCTACCCGTGTGGCTGACGTGGAAGACGAGACATCCATCCACACGAAGCGCCTGCGTCCACGCACTCGACGGATGAAGCACACTTTTGGAGAACCGAAGTTGGCCACACAACCATCATGTTCTTTCTTCTTTCTTCTGACTGCTCCGCCGGCACTTTATAGCACGGTTTTGTGGCGGCGAGATTCGCGGCCGCCCTTCTCAAATAGGCAACTAACTGGTCGAATGTGGCTGACCGTTGTAACCTCGTCCGTACCACCTTTTGTTTGTGGTCAAGATCTCGGTGTCACTTATCTCTCCAGCTCGCCCCGAAGACAAGCGTTATTTTTCGTTTCCTTTGTCGGACAAGACCACAGCACTTTGCAGATAGAATAAACTGTCCCATATGCGGCCAAGATTTGGAATTCGCTTGACTTGCCAACCCACTAGCTACCGCGGGGAGTACTTGGCAAGGCAGTCGTCCCTGTAGTTATGGATGCAACTGGACCATTGGCAGGTGGGTTGCGTTCATCAGCGCCCCCGCCGTGGCCAAATATAGCACCTACGGCCGTGAAGGTTAATGGTTGATGCTTGATGGAGCCTCGAACGTGGTGGTATCTAGGGAGGTTTCGAAAGACTCATCGTTTGTGTCAGATGGCTTGAAAAAGAAAAGCCAAGACCCGAAAGGGCTCGCTGCACCAACTTTGTTTGTACGGGCACGAGCATGTCGTTCGAACAGTGTAGTATAAGCCAAGCTACAAGGATCCATTGCAGCAGTGTCGTCAAAGTGAAGGAGCAGAAGCCGATGGCGGTAGATGAAGGAGACGACAGATACACGAATAATAACTTTTTGCGAGAGGGAATTGATGTAACAGGAGAAAGTCAAGGTACTACCTAGCGAGGTACCTCAGGTAGGTAGTGACCCGTCGGCAGCTGGCAGCTGGCAACTACAAATTGGGTAACAAACGGCTGGCAGCCCAAAAACGCCAGCCAGCATTCTCTACAACGTCGCATCTACCCACCACAATATTTCAAGAGAGAAACCCCCTCTTATCACTTTGATCATTGCCAATTCATCAAGACCGATGGCACCCATCCTACTCAGTCATTGCTGATCCGCCGAGACGCTAAAACACCCCTGGCTCCTCTATTGCCCACCGCCTAGCATCTGTTACAGACTCAGTTTTGGGGGCGCCACTGCGACACTATTTCTCTCGGCCATTTAGACATGCATTGATGCGACTCAGCCTGATGCTGACACTAGAAAGACTGTACTTAAGACGGAGCCACCAGGTGCTGTTGTTAAGTAGCCTGGTCGTCTCTGGGTTGTCGCTCAGGGGGATTCGATACTTTACTGTTTTATCTTTTTCTTCTTGTACATACGATACGATAGACGGACATTGTCGAGTGCTGGCGTCTCGACTGCTCTTCAGACTGATACCTCATAGGCGTGGAGGCTGACAGGATAGCTACCTACCCAACTTCCGAAACCACGACGCCTTGCATACAAGCTTCTGCAACTGGAAATAAGACAACTGGCCTAACAAGATCACGTATGCCTCGAATCTGCAGAGTATAGGCATCACCATGCGCTTGTCCAGCGCCAGCCTGGCCGCCGGGCTCGTCTTGGGGGCTCGATATGTCGCAGGCACAACGCAGAGCGTCACTGGCGCTGACAGCAACCCTGGCTATCTCGCCGTACCAGTGGGCACAATACCGCGCACGCAACACAGCGAGAAGCGATCCCAGAAAGCCATCCAAACGACATTGGAAAATAAGGACTTTTTCTATGCCGCACAGAGTATGTTGAGGTCTGCGTGACGAATCAAGGTCCAGTTGGCGACCCCTTTGCCGCTTCTTGTTGGATACAATTGAGTGTCGAGCTGGCGAACCTAACGTCAGACATAAACGCAAAGGAGCAGAAGGGCTAACAATATGTTCTCACCAGTTGGCATTGGAACGCCACCGCAAAATATCACTGTCCTCATCGACACGGGCTCGAGCGAATTATGGGTGAACCCAGACTGCTCGACAGTCCGCGCGCAAGAGCAACTACAATGCGACCAGTTTGGTCAATACGACCCCAGCCAGTCACGGACACCGGCAATCGGACCATTCGGGAATGAGGAGATAAAGTTTGGGGACGCGACAAATAGAGCAACACAGACGTCTGTCATGATTGAATACTATTGTGACAAGCTCGCATTTGGCTCGTTGTCCATATTGAACCAGACGTTTGGCGTGGTGCAGGAGAGTGAGCGGCAGTCACAAGGAATCCTGGGCCTGGCACCCGACCTGCAGGCAGGGTTTAACGGCGAGAAACCGTACAGCCTGGTGCTGAATACCATGGCCGAGCAAGGTGTCATCGCCAGCCGGGTATTTTCTCTGGATTTGCGGCACTCAGACGTCAAGACTGGGGCCCTCATCTACGGCGGGCTAGACCGCAGCAAGTTTATGGGCACGCTGCAAAAAGTTCCCATCATCAAAGGCTTGGCAGGCGAGGCTCGACTGGCCGTGTCCCTTGACACGGTGGGCATCACACTGTCCACGTCGGAAACTAACAGGCGGCTGCAGGGCGACAACAGCAACGTCATGCTCGACTCGGGCACGACGATTTCGCGGCTGCAAGAGCAGGTGGCGATGCCGATCCTCAGTGCGCTGAATGCCCAGCCGGACGGCGATGGCTACTTTCAGATTCCCTGCCAGAGCCAGAACTTGCCAGGGTCGGTAAACTTTGGATTTGGTGGGGTGATTGTCAGGGTGCCATTCAAAGACTTCATCATCAACGTCGGCGACCCGTTGACATGCTACGCGGGCATCGCGCTGACAGAAGGGCAGCAGATTCTGGGCGACACGGTGCTGCGGGCGGGGTACTTTGTGTTTGACTGGGACAACGAGGCGGTGCACATTGCGCAGGCGGCCGACTGCGGCAGCCCGGACATTGTGACGGTCGGCAAGGGCGTGAATGCGGTGCCGTCAGTCCGGGGCAACTGCGGCGCGGCACCTGGCACACCCACGCAGACCATCTCGGCCGGGGGCGGCGCCAGCAGCAGCAGCAGCAGCAGCAGCAGCGTCCGCCCGGTGACGACGACGTACACGGTGACAGTGTGCCCCGCGTTCGACCCCAACTGCAAGACGGGAGTGGTCATGACAGCCACGGCTGAGGCGAAGGCCAGCGAGACCAGCGAGGCCGGGGGCACCGGAGAGAGCGGAAAGACCAGCAGCAACAGCAGCAAGGAGTCCAGCAGCGGTAGCGGGCGGTATGGCGTGGTCTGGTCGTTACTGGCGGTGCTGTGCTCGGTGAGCATGGGCAACGTGATTATTGCTTTGCTGTAGTGGATGATTTTGTTTTGGTATTTTTTGCATGTTGCATTTTCTGGGATAGCGATGGTGATAGAGGGATAGATCCGAGCTTGCGGCCGCAATGTGATTATTTTGTTGGTCATGGGACGGGGCCGGCCGGCAGGCGTGCGGCTAGCAGGATATGGGTGTATATATGCATAAATTACATTCGCAGTGACAAATAGAATTGAAGTTGTCTCTGTGCTGCTCGCAGGGATCAAGTAGCTACATACGAACCATTAAGCTAGGATGCGCAAAGGGTCCTTTATCGTGTGCCTGGGGCCGTCGGGGCATTCGGGGCAATGTAGCGCCGTGACAAGATGGGGCCGGCCTCGGCATGTGGGTTCCATCAGGTTGGTAGCTTGACGAGACAAGATGGAAGCAGCGGAGATTGGGACAGGCCAACAAGGAATAATACAAGAAAAAACAAAACAGCTCAGGAGAGTATCCGGTTTCTCAAGAAAAAAACCCACTTAACGGACTTTTCAATCCCATCACATCCGAACAAAAGAACTGCATGGTGCAGGTGCCGCGGCGGCCCCCCGGAGATGTGCTCCACTGAAGCTCGAGGGCATGTTTCCCTCGGCTGTGCGGAATAATAGTTCAAGAAAATGGAGAAAATAGGCCAAGCCATTCTCCACTCGCCTCCGGAATCGCCAACAGTGCTTATTGGGCAGGCGGAGCAAGAGCAAAGAGCCAACATCGGCGGGCGTGGGGAAGGCTTTTGCCGAGACGGGCACGCTGGCGGCGGCGCCCGTTGCAAATAGTCTTTTTTCTTTTTTTCTTCTTTTGACTCTCCTCTCTTTTTCTTCCTTCCTTCATCTCTTGCCATCGCCTTTATTACTTGTTCGTTTTCCTGTTGCCGATTGCTCTTCTTCTCTTGCGACAACTCGGACCCGGCTTGTATCTGCCTCTTCATAACCATCCCGCGCGCACACGCCGCTGCCCCCCCAATCATCATGGTCTTTCAACCAGCTTCTTGGGTCCCGTCCCTGACCGGTACGTTGTCGCATAAAAAAAGCTCATAGCCTTTGATGGCTTCTTCCCTCCCCCCTAGCGCGCTCCGGGCGGAACAAACCCGCGCGCGCGCTCTTGGGTCGCATTTCTTGCTAAGACACCAGACCCGGGCCAGACATCCCCGACAGCATCCCGCTGTGCGAGTTCATGTACAATGACCGCTACGGCCGCTGCAGCGCGGCCCAGTCCCGCAACCCGTACACGTGCGGCGTCACCGGCAGCACCTACACCTCCAAGCAGGTTCCCGAGCGCGTCGACCTCCTCGCCCGCGCCATTGCCAAGCGCCTCGGCTTCAGCCCCAACGAGGGCACCGAGTGGGACAGGGTCGTGGCCGTCTATGCTGTCAACACGGTGTGTCTCTACTACTCTCTTCAAACCACCAAACTTTTTGAGTGAAAAACTAACTCATGTATTTTTTTTTCTGCTTCACCCTAGATTGACTACATTCCCGTCTCCCACGCCGTCCACCGCCTCTCCGGCATCATCACCCCGGCCAACGCCCAGTACTCGGTGCCGGAGCTCGAGCACCAGCTCGTCTCCTCGGGCGCCAAGGCCCTCTTCACATGCCTGCCGCTGCTCGAGACCGCGCTCCAGGCCGCCGACGCTGCCGGCATCGCCCGCTCCGCCGTCTTCCTCCTCCCCGTCCCGGGCGGCAAGCCCCACCCCGATTTTCTCTCCTCCGACGACCTCATCACCCAGGGCCGGTCGCTGCCGTCCCCGCCGCCGCTGGCCTGGATCAAGGGCCAGGGCGCCCGCCAGACGGCCTTTCTCTGCTACTCGTCCGGCACGTCTGGTCTTCCTGTAAGCACATTTTCCTCTCCTCGCTTCGCTCTAGTGAAAAAAAAACGAAGGCCACGCAGCTTCGCAAGACTATGTGGTGCTAACGAATAAGTAGAAAGCCGTCATGATCTCGCACTACAACATCATTTCCAACATTGTCCAAATGACGCTCCACCAGAGCGTCGGCCGCAAGCAGGACAATGTCACGACCGAAAACGTCCTCGGCATCCTGCCCCTCAGCCACATCTACGGCCTCACCGTCGTCGCCCACGTCTCCCAGTACCGCGGCGACCAGCTCGTCATCCTGCCCAAGTTCGACCTCGCCCTCTTCCTCCGCACCATCCAGGACTACAAGCTCAACTTCCTGCCCGTCGTGCCCCCGATGCTCATCCAGCTCATCACCAACAAGCAGGTCGTCACCCAGTACAACCTCGACAGCGTCCGCTGCGTCTTTTCTGGCGCCGCGCCCCTCGGCATTGAGACCCAGGAGGCGGCCAACAAGATGTTTCCCAAGTGGAAGATTGGTCAAGGCTATGGTATGTCTTCCCCCCCCTGGTCCTCTATTTCCTTCTTGAACCCCAACAAATTTCATGCCCCCAACCTGCTTACTGATTTAACCTGTTCCCTAGGCATGACGGAAACCTCTCCCGTCGCCACCGCCAGCACCGAAATCGACCTCGTCCCCGGTTCCTCGGGCGGTCTGCTGCCCGGGTACAAGGCCAAGCTCATCGACGCCGAGGGCAAGGTAGTCTCCGGCCACGACCAGCGCGGCGAGCTGCTCCTGCAGTCGCCCTCGGTCGTCCTCGGCTACCTGCACAACGAAAAGGCCAACGCCGAGACCTTTGTCCACCACGCCGACGGCCGCTGGATCCGCACCGGCGACGAGGCTCTCATCCGCAAGTCGGCCAAAGGCCACGAGCACATCTTCATCACCGACCGCATCAAGGAGCTCATCAAGGTCAAGGTATGTATCTCGCACAATGTTCTTTAAATCTTCCTTGAACCCCAAGCAGAAGCGAGAACAAAAAAGCAAGTTACTCACAACCCACACAGGGCTTCCAAGTCGCCCCCGCCGAGCTCGAGGCGCACCTCCTGACCCACGACTTCGTCCACGACTGCACCGTCATCCCCGTCCCCGACGACCGCGCCGGCGAGGTCCCCAAGGCCTTTGTCGTCAAGAGCCCCGCCGCCACGTCCTCGGGCAAGTCGGATGCCGAAATTCGCCGCGCCGTCGAGGAGCACGTCGAGAAGCACAAGACAAAGTACAAGTGGCTCAAGGGCGGCGTCGAGTTCATCGACGCCATCCCCAAGAGCCCCAGCGGCAAGATCCTCCGCCGCGTCCTCAAGGACAAGGAGAAGGCCATCCGCAAGGCTCAGGGTGCCAAGCTGTAAGGGGGAAAGGGATGGACCGACGGGGTGTGTGTATACTTTGTGCGCAGACCGAGACAGGTGGGAGAGTGCAATATTTGATGTAAAGGATTTACGACAATATATGTCGGGTAGGATAATATACAACTGTTGTTCGTTTTTGACATAGCAATAACATGGATACTTTTTTTCGTTTTTGGACACAAGTTGCATGCGGATACTAGACACTGTTCAAAGATCTGTCGCGCATCTATATCAATTAAGATTATTGTCTTTTTGTCATTTGAGCGCGCTTCGATTCACAATCATCGCAGAAAATCTTAAAGCAAACCAGTCCAGTGGGTATTAATTAATAAAGCTGTCTGCTCCCAGGGGAGATGCTGCTCCCCTGTATAGAGAACATTTCATATAGTAAGGATCGTAAGAATTATAATATCAAGTCCATTTGTTGGTATACTTCTTCGTAGTCAAAAAGTTATCACAACAAAGGTTCAGTTTTTTCCCGGATAACGTCCAAATATCTTTTTCCGTTTTCATGTACCGAATAAATTACCAGCATACACTATGCACATACACGTGCTGCTCCTTTACAGAGCAGCAACGAGGGCCATGACGATGGCGCCGAAGATACCGGCCTGGGCCTTGCCAGCACCCGCAACGACGGGAACAGTACCAGATGGGGCAATGGGAACACCAGTGCCCGTGGGCCGGCCAGGAGCGACGGTGGTGGGAGCCGGAGTAGCAACAGGCTCCTTCTCTCCAGCGGGAGGAGAAAAGGTGACAACGGGCACGGGCATCTCAGTGCTGATGACACGAGTGGTGCTGCTACCAGGGACGGTGCTACCACCGGTGACGTAGGGCTCGGTGACGGTGGTGTCGATGGAAATGGTGGTGCCGCTGGGCTGGGGAGCGGCGGTGACGGTGATGATCTTGGTAATGGTCTCGGCGCCAGTGACAATGTTGGGGTTGCCGCCGGCATAGGGAGCGCAGATACCCTGGAAGAAGGAGATGGAGTCTGCGACGTCCTTGTCGCTACCACTGTACGAGTACAGGCAGTTGAAGACGTTCTTGGTGAACTCGCTGTTCTTGCAGAAGCAGGCAGCATCGGCATTGTTCTTGCACTCCTTGACGACGTCGAGCCACGAGGTCAAGCAGCGAGGAACAGACTCGGGGCAAGGAAGAGACTGCGAGGGGACAGGAGGAGAGGTCTTGGTCTCGCTCTCCTTGGGCTTGTCAGAGGTCTGGGCGGGCTGGGTCTCAGTGGGCTGGGTCTCAGCGGGCTGAGTCTGAGTGATGACAACAGGGCGAGTCTCAGTGACGGGGCAGATGGTGGTGCTGACAGGGATGGTGACAGTAACGGTGTGAGTCTCGCCAGGAGTCTTAACGGGGCAAGAGGTGATCTCGGGACCGCAGCTGGTGATGGTCTTGGTGGTGGTGGTGAAGACCGTCGAGGTGGTGTCGTAGGTGGTGGTGATGAGGCTGGTGGTGACGACGGGCGGCGTGCTCTGGCCAGGAGTGGTCTGCTTGCTCGTGGTGCCAGGAACAGTCTCGACCGGGGTAGAGGTCGTCTGGGGAGGAGGAGTGTTCTTGGTGGTTGTCTGGGCAGGAGGGGTTGTCTGAGCAGGAGGAGTGGTCTCCTTGCTGGTGGTGCCAGGAACTGTCTCGAAGGTAGTCGGGGTAGTCTGGGCAGGAGGAGTAGTCTCCTTGCTCGTGGTACCAGGAACCGTCTCAACCGGCGTCGAGGTAGTCTGAGCAGGAGGAGTGGTCTGCTTGGTGGTAGTCTGAGCAGGAGGAGTAGTCTCCTTGCTGGTTGTGCCAGGAACAGTCTCAACCGAGGTAGAGGTCGTCTGGGGAGGAGGAGTGTTCTTGGTGGTTGTCTGGGCAGGAGGGGTTGTCTGAGCAGGAGGAGTGGTAGTCTGAGGAGGCTTGCACCAGAAGTCAATCTTGTGGCACTTGACCTTGCAAATCTTCTTCAGAAGGCCAAAGGTTCTCTTCTGGTTGCCGCCCTGGTTCTCGGGGAGGACAATCTTAACGGACTTGGCACCACCGCACTGGGTGTTGACGATGGAGGTACCCTGGCTGGAGACGGGAGAGGACTGCTTGCAGATGGAGCCATCATCCATGGTGTAGTGGAACTCGAAGCGAGCATCGAACTCGGACTCAACAGAGAAGCTGTTAATATCGAAGGTGCCAATGTCGCTGCCAGCGGATATGACGGGGTTGTTGGTGCCATCAGCGCCAACATCGGCCTCGATAAGTTTGCTACCGTCATCCTGACGACCAGCAAGCATGTCGCGGCGGCCAAACTTCTTCTTGCAGGTCCAGCCCTTGAAATCACAGCCGCCGTAACCACCAACGGGGCCGATGGGAGTGTCCTTCCAGTCATAGCCGGGAACCTGGTCAGGCTTGCAGATGACGGGAACCTTGCCGGGGCAAGTGAAAGGCTTCAGTCCAGTCCAGTACTTGAAGACATCACCGCCAATGCCAAACTAGTACAGTGTTAGTCGAGCCGGCGCATAAGTGGAAGGAGAGTACACACAGTAGCAGAGGCCTGCTCGATAGTGGCCGCAACGGCCAAGGCGTAGGTGACCTTCATGATGTAGGATATACGACTCGAATTGGCGAAATAGTAGAAAGTACAAGAACCGAAATAGCGAGATAAGCGACAGTGGTTGATATAAGTGAGATGAAACTCAAACTTTTGTAAGCGATGGTGGTGTCAAAGAAAACGAACGGCTTTGACGTTTGAGAACGATAGACAATGAATCGGAAATAAACAAGGAAGAAAGAAATAAAAGAGACGAAAGTGTAGATGAGACACAAGAGAGACTATGGACCAAGAGGAGGCGAGCGGCTACATCTATATACCACGAGCTGGCAGCGGCATCTGTGCAGTGGAACATGGCCACAGGTACGAGCGGACCTGAGCCGGCCGACTGGCTGTACCTGCATGGCTAGAAAGGATGGCATGTCATAGCTCAACCATGGCGTCCGGAGACGAGAGACTCCATCGAGGCCAGCTGGCGCGCGAAACGACCAGAGCAATAGAGCCCCTGTCCAATATCATCCTGAAGCGCTGGAGAGAGGCGGAGCAGCGACCCGAATCAGGTACATACGCTCGGTGCTGCAGCAGCCATCTCGCGATGGTGGTTTCGCTGGACATCAAAGCTACTGGTAGTAAGTGGCTGACCCGCACGCATTGTTCGCCCAGCCCATGCATCCGAGGTCAACCAGGGGCAGCCCCTGCAGCGCCCAATTTAGGTTGGCGCGAAGAAATTGCTGGTTCCGCACTCCCAACCATGCGTGCGGCATGGTCGCGCAAGTCTGTGCTTCGACCTCTTCCTTCCCCGCTTGTTAGTCTCGTTGGCTGTTGTCCCTGACCACTTTGCTGCGCACCGGTCTACTCACGCCCCATTTACCACGGTGCCAACTGCCCACCAAACCGGCAATGATGGAACCCTGGAGCCGTGAGCTTCAGGCGAGCTATGCTTGGCGTCCAGCTAGCAACCGGGTTGCGGGCAAGCTGCCTCTTTGGCAGCGCGGGGGGTGGAAGCCCTGTCGAAACAGCATCTGGCGGGTCGTCGTATGGAATTGCCCCATCTCGGCGTGTCAGTCTGGTGGTGACAGCCAGGTGGCCGACGGTGAAGCTTGAAGAATAAACACGGCGCGGGGGCAGAAGACTGGTAGGGCTGTTGGAAACAGGTGGCTCCAAAGTGGCGTGCGCAAGCCATGAGGATGGAGTCTTTGATGAAGCCAGCCATATCATCCTCGGAGCTCTTTTGTGCGGATAATTAACTCGAAGAATCAAGCTTGTTTGTAGATGCGCCAATGTGACTGTTGTGGGATGCCTCTCGAACAATAACTATTAGGGGGCCTTTGGTAGCATAATTTTGAGCGGGTGATTAGGTCAGCCGGCGCAAAGCAAACACCAAGCAGGAACCAAGTTAGCCGACAATCACGACAAACGAACGACAACCTTGGACAGTAAACAAATTCGCCTCTTCATCATCATGGCAATGCAATCTAGAAACACGGCTGAATCGTGTTCATGGTTTCGACCTCGAACTATCTGTCAGCATATCTTGCACCGCTGTGTGCCTGAATCCCCCGTCACACTGCTTGGAGCGACGCTACTGCAAGTGCAAGGAACTGTACACAATGGGTGTCCTAGTTATCATCAGCCATACAAGTTTCTGTCAACTCCATTGTTACGCTGCCGTCTTGAATCTACTGCACGGTGTTATACTCGACGTTTCACAAAGGACCCCAGTGCGCGAAAGCGGTCTCGATGGTTGTTACCTAGTATCACCATAAGCGGCCTAGGCCGCAGATCAACTCAACAAAGGTTGGTAGACAAGGGCAAAGTTGAAGGTCCTATTCTTATTTCCCCTGTTCCTGGCTCTGATGGCTTCATTAGGTCTCTTAATATGTTTTTAATCTCGATATACAGGTATATTGGACGCTACGAATATCCAGCAATAGCTCTCTCGACTCGCAACCCGTGTGCATCAGGTTACCTACCAATACGGAGTACGGATACTACATACTACGACCTGATACATGTCGATACAACGCGAAAACCATCACTCCTGTAATCCGTACAGGGGCCCAGCATGGCCTTGCAGAGCACTTTACAACCTTGCGGGTCATGAAGCAGCTCCTCGCTAAACCTGGCATCTGTAGGGGTATTCACCGTCACTAATCCCGGATTTCCGTGACCGACCCGCGACATGGTTCAGAGTAGCATTGTCAGGTCCAGACGCAAACTATTGGAATTACTTTGCAAGCCTAGCGCTGCACCAGCCGTCGGCAGTCATCCCATGCAAGATCGTCCTGCGTGTTGCCAGTTTGGTTGCACCCAGCCTGGCCGAAAATTCCCAGGAGCACGGTTTCAGTGGCAGCCACGCGAAGGAGCTCTAACTACGGTGAGGCGGGCGTAGGAGGGCGCTGGATAGACCACGCGAATAATGGTGCCGACTAAGACTACTCTCAGTCCATGTCAATGCCCATGTCATAATGGCACCCGCAATGACCTCTTTTCTTCACAGAGAGACTTGGCGCTTCCAAGTTCCAACCAGGGCCGCCGGAGCTATTGACTCTGAACTCCGCACAGCGGGCACAGTGGAACTATGTACACAGACTTCAACAAATTGCCAACGGCCGTAAGAGCCAGGGCCAGTTGCGATGGTAGTTGCTAACTAAATTGCTATCAAAACGGAAGTGCACCAGGGTCGGAAATTTTGACGAAAACGAGGCGAAGAATCCCAACTCGGATTGATCGATCGTCCCAACTCTCGTTTTTTTTCTTTTTCTTTTTGCCTTGCTTATATCTTTTTTTAGAAGCGAAAACTAACCAATTTGTTCCCAGTGCCAGGTACAATAAGCCTGGCCTTATGCAGTGATGACTGCGCCGCCGCCTATTATGGACAACCTGGGGTATATGAACAGAGCATAACATACCAGAGCCATGAACCCGATGAGAGATTTGCTGATATCCGCAGCGATCATAATAGATCATATTACCTACCTATCCCTTAGTCCTGCATGAAGATGAGCTGATATGCCGCCTTCACGACTGACAGACGCTCAAAATACCGGCACAATGACTTCAACGTACAGCGGAAGGCTGAAGTGGTGATTCCTTCTTGGCAACCAACATGCGAGAACTCGGCCGATGCAGCGGTTTGTTGGCATGGCTTACTACACCGAACAAAAAAATTTGACCAGCAACCGAAGCCCCCGATTCCTTCTGCCACCATCGCCGAGTCAGCGGCTTCCCCATTCAAGGTGGCGTGTTTCGGGTTCCGGTGAGGTCTGGAGTATTCATAGTAACAAAACGGCATTGGGTGACGGGATGGAAAGGCGGGGACAGCCAGTTCGCAGGGCACAGCCGTGCCGTCTACAGTACAAGTTTTCTCCCGCCAAGCTGGTTATAGACTTATAGTCACAGTTTGGGCTTCGATTTGAAACACTCCGATTCGCTGGTGATTGGTTTTTGTCCTATTGGCAGCCACATACATACCCTCTTCGACTACAGCACGGCCCCCCTCGGAAGCGACCCCTGAGTTCCACAATTCATTTATTTCCTACTCTGGCCAGCGACTTACACCAACGCGAACCGCTACTCGCCTCGCCGCCTTGCAGCTTTTATTCTCTCAAAGTTTTAGAGCTGCAGGGGAACTTTGCAGCCTCCCCTCTAGTACTCTCTTGAACCCTATCCTAGCCGTCTTTTGTTCTTGTTTTTGCGGAGATGGACAGCTCGGGGCCTTCCTGCGCGTCCTGGTGGCAACCAATGGTTCTCCGGCAGCAGCCTTGCCCAATCTGGCTCAAATCGTCATGCGCTGAATCTGAGACGTTGCAGCCTTCGGGGCGGGAGACCACGCTCGTATTTTCCTGCTCACGGAGGTGGCTATGTACGCGGATACTGAGAAAAGACTGTTGAGCTGTTGAACAAGAATAGTTTCCTTTCTTTTCCGAGGGCTGTTCCTTGTCCTCGCAACCGGCATTGTTGTGAAGCTGGTCGGCTTTGACTTTTTCCCCAAAATGTGGAAATTGGATGATCTTCACGCCTCTGGTTAACCTTCCAGGCACAACGCCAGGCACAACGCCAGGCACAACGCCACAGGCGACGGCGCAGGCATCTGCCTTTCCAGGCGAGATGAGATAGACAAGACCGCTTACTAGAATAGGAAAAAATACGCAACTCCAAGGAAGAGAGAGACGGAAAACTCTAATTCTTAACGAGGTGGGAACTGGGAAGTTCGCCTGCAGGCTGCAACTTATTAGTTAGCTAATAGCCATCGCGACGGAGAAAAGTATCTTGGCGCTAGCCATGGATGCAAGTCATCCCAACTCGCGGGTCGTTCGTATGTACAGTATCCGTATGTCATGTCAGTTGCTTTTGCACCGGGCGCACAGCCTGCGCACGCACACTCGTTCGATGCGAGACAGGAGATCTTCGGAAAGGGGGGGGGGCGGGGTAGTGGCTATCTGTGCGCTGCCCTCGGAAGGAGATTTAGTTGTTATGCAGCTTTATGCAGACATTTCCCATGCGGGCCCATACGAGCAGCTGGTGTTGTGTTGTCCCTCGCGTCTCGCGTCGTGTGGGAAGTGAAGTTGCACGCGGTGACTATGTTGGTCGCGTCCCGGGTAGCATCACGCCCCGATGAGACTGGCTGCGCGCAAGGAATGGCGCTCAGTGTTGATAGAACCTTTTCATGAATCGTTGGAGAGATTTGCTTGGTATTTCTTTTTTCCTTTTTTTTTTTTTTTTTTCCAAAGTGGGAGGGTAGCTCATCGCTGGGCGTGGCCGGTTTTTATGGTAATTCTAGTTGCTTAAGCATGTTTCTTGATACGTGATAACCTCATCAATGTACGGCTGCGAAAACCCATCACCTGCCATCTATTTCAATACTATACCTGCGACATTCCGTTTTTAATACACGTTTGATATCAGGCTGTAGTCTCGAGCGGCCTGGGCAGGGGCTATTCCCAAGGCTATTCCCGACGTGATCTTGCCGACACGATCTCTTCATCCAGTATCTCGTCTCGTAAACAGCCCGAACAGCCGAAGCAGGCACAGGGTGATTACCCAAGAATCCTTGCCTATCAATATGGAAAACCGCATAAAGCGTCGCAAGATGACTTGAGAGTGTCGGGCATGTTCGAGCAATCAACCACCGGGCCCGTATTGTCACATCTAACCAGCCCGACGGACTCGTTGGGGACCATGTGCGCGTGAACGGGGTTTTCTTCTTTCAACGTTTCTTAAATCATCCTTTGTCAAAGCCCTTCGGACGTTTCATGGGAGACAAGTACGAGTCGTGTGTTGTTCATTCGACGTGATGCCCTCATCAAGGAGCGACAGGAAGCTGGTGAAAGGGTCTCAGGTTTTTGGTCTTGCGGTGATCTGGGCTGTTCGATTGGCTTAAGAAGAGGAAACGATGTGTTTCAATCGTGGCGCCGAGACGTCTTTAAAGGGATGAATTGTGTTCCCCTGGATGTTGCGAACGTCGTGATGATGCCGTGGCGTAGAGATATACATACGGCCAGTCATGCTCAAAGTCCTCAACATCTTTCGCCAGAGAAAAAACCACCTTCAATATTCACGACCAATCAACACCAAACATCACCAATAATCAAGCACACTCATCCATAATGCACTTCACTCGCACAGTCTTCGCCTGCCTCATGGCGCATCTCGCCCTCGTCAACGCCGCGGTCCTTCCCGTCGCCAGAGGTAAAGTCCCAAACGCTACACCTCTGCATTCACACCTGCATTCACACCTGCATTCCCGTTGTGAGTTTTTCTAATCAGATTCCATCCTTGTGCTGCAGACCTCGACGCGCAGCAGGTGCAGGCTCGCGCGGGCGGCGGCGGCACTGTCACCGAGATCCTCAAGGACCACGCCAAGTACGTGATGAAGCCGGCGTCGGCAGAGGAGCCCATCCCCGAGGACGAGAACAATGCGCTGCGTGAAATGCACCGACAGGCACACAAGATGATTTTCGAGACCATGTCTGGCAAGAAGGCTGGCGACGACAAGAAGGCCGGCGGCGACGATAAGGCGGGCGAGGAAGAAAAGGCTGGCAAGGAGGAAGAAAAGGCCGGAGACGAGAAGAAGAAGGGCGCTGATAAGGCTGAAGAATAGGCTGCCGCGCCGGCCAAGGAGACGTCCAAGCCGGAGAAGGAAACGAACAAGGCTGCTGCTGGAAGCAAACAAGTCTTTCCCGCTTAATACGATATTGTATACAATGTATATAGTTCAATAAAACCAAGACAGGGGAGCGAGATTTTCACCATACATATCTAATACAAAGAAGCCGCCGGCATCCAATCTAGCCCCAGCGGTCGAGGCTATTGACCCAGGCACAAGTTGTAGCCAAGCGCGCGCAGTTGCCTACACCGGACAAGTTTGACCGGGAATAAGACAGACGAAGAAATTGGCGCGGACAAAAGACGAGATGAGGCAATGCGGTTTGTTGAACTTGGCCCGGCCGATGGATCCGACGCCTGCCGCGTCATACGATCCCGCTGACCCGCCTGAGAGAGTGCCTCCTAAATTCAACGCGATTCTTTACCGAGATCCGAAATTGACGATTCGAAATCCGCCCATCAACCATTGTGCCTGCGAGTTCCGTACATGGACTGCGGTGGGTGGTTCTTCGCTCAGATGCAACAAACGCTCAGGGCGCGCGTTCACGATTCACCGACCCGCCTGCTCGGCCTATCGAATGAATACATGAGCTTTTGTGTTGCTATGGCCCGTTGCTCAGACATGGAGGGTACACCGAGACAAGAGTTTGTTGGATTTATCGTATTTTCTTTTCTTTTCGGACATATTTGGGCATGGATTACTCAACCTTCTGTGCTTGGGCTGTTGCAGTTCTGAACCATCAGCTAGCTCATCAAGAAAAGCAGAAAGGAATAGATCAAATATGACATGCGTATTTCTTCTATATGAAATGCTTTTACTTGCCCTGAAGCTGTCTCATTCGCTGCTCCGCTGCCCGCGCTCTCCTTTCGCGATCCAGCCGTAGCCGCATCTCGGGCGTGAGCCCTCTGGCCTCCTCCTCGCGCCGCTCCTGCGCCGTCTTGGGCACCGCCGCGGCGCCCAGCACTTGTCCCCTGCCGCCGTGCCGTCTCGGCTCCTGCACCGTGGGCCCCTCCGTCTTGAGCCTCTCCTCCTCCGCGCGGCGTCGCTCCGCCTCCTTGGCATCAGCCTCGTCCTGTTCGCGCCGACCGCGCTGGTCCGCCTCGGCCCTGCTCATGGCCGCGGGCACGCGCGCCGCCTCCCAGTCCCAACGGGCCTCGCCGAGCTCGGCGCGTGCCACGCGAAAGGCGTCGCGCGTGGCCCGGTCGCCGGCCAGTTCAAACGGCGTTTTGCCCTCGGCGTTGGCGTGCAGCGGGTTGGCCCCGCCGCGCGCTAGCAGACCGAGCACCATGGGCGCCGCGTTTTGTGACGCCGCGAGGTGCAGCAGCCGGGGCGTGTGGTGGTACGAGTCGGCGGGCTGGAAGGCGAAGTCGGCCGACAACTGGTTGTTGGTCACGTAGGAGAGAAGGGCTGGCAGCTTGGAGCGGCGAACGAAGGCCTGGAGTTGAGACGTGTGTAGTAGAGCATTTTGCTCCGCTTCTGTGAGCTTCGGCTTAGAGGGCTTTGGTGTTGCCGGCGTGGAAGAGACTGGAGTGGTCCTTTCAGGCTTGACTTCGCTGGCCGGATCGATCTCGCGGACCTTGAGTCTCGTCAGCTCGATAAAGCACCGCATCAGTTCCTTTTGCGTAGGCCGGCGTGTGTTAAATGGGAATCCTCGTATTCTTGGGTCGGTGTGTCGTATAACCTGATTATCGTGCGGTCCATACAAAGTTCGTCTATTGGTGATGCCAGTGGCCCGAATGAACATGAGCTCGGAAGTGTCTAGCAAGGCCTTCCAGTCATGAAGGAGCTCTCGGACATCCTCTACCAACGCCTGCTCGTTGTATCGTCGCAGAGTAGAACCCGCAGAGTGCGCTGTGCCCTTTGCGTTATCGTTGGCCGATTGCGAACCACCCTGCTTCCGTCTCGTCGTGTACCTGTGAAATGTCTTGTGCGCCAGGACCGTTGCCTCGCGATTCATGGGTGCGTTGTGTTTGCTCTGGCGCGGCGCTAGGGAGACGACCATGGCGGCGAAGTGGCCGCCTCCAATCATGCAAAGAAAAATGTGCGGCCCTTTGTATGCGACTGGGGCCAGTGTGCCGTCCTTGGCAGGGTGCGGAATGGTGACGGGATCTAGCTGCTTCTTGCGCAACTCTTGCGCGAAATCGGCAGCCTTCTGTTGCTCGTCGGTAAAAAGCGCACGGTATAGTCCGAAGAAGTGGTTTTGGGGAAGCAGCGGCGAGCTAAACCAGAGCAGAGGTGTCTTTCCGGTCCGGTGTACCCTTGCGTCGCCGTCCTCGTCGTTGGCTGCAGAGTTCTTATCGGCGATTCTGGCCTGTCGCTTCAGCAGCGCAGTCAACGTCGTATCGTTCGCGTCGTCGTCTTCGTCTTGGTCATCGTCGGAATCGGAGCCTGACAGCGACTCGTCGAGGTCTTCGACGAGCTTTTCAAACTCCGTCTCCGAGACGGGTTTCCTGTCGCGCAGCTTCTGCTTGAGGTTGTAGCTGTGAAGGTCGGATTTCAGGTGCCCGCGCTGATCCAGGACATTGGTAAACGCCAGGCCGCACAGCGAACAGGATTGCGATCCGACAGGGCCTGCCTCGTCGGTGCCTTTGGGGCTGCGCGAGCCCGGGAGTTCTGACTGAGGGTGTAATGCCGTCGCAGGTGTATAGACGTCGGGCTTGAGCGTTATTGAGCCTAGAAGCTGCGGAGGAAGGTCGTAGGCTGCGTTTGTCGATGCTGGTTAGCCGTCATCGTCATTCTTGGTGGGGTGGTGAACGGCGAGCCTACCGTAGAGCGGGCGACCCGTGTAGTCTTCCATTTGAGCGCCCATGTTAATTTTTTTTTGGCCTGGGATAACAAGTTTCTGTCTTTGCAGCAGTGCCCGCCGCGAGTGGAGGAGTTGCGTTGTCTCTTGTAGTGGGAAAGTAGATAGCGATGATGACTCTTCGCCGGCGTGGCAAACTGGAGCTTAGTCAAATCAGAAATGAGGGTCTGTAATGACGCAGGTTTTGAACAAGACAATGAATTGCCTGATAACTAACGAAAATGCAAACTCGGCAGCAAATATTTGTTCTTTCCTTTCATAAATTTGTATAAATTTGAGAACACTGGAAAACCGGCCAATAATCCCAAACGCGTCCGCTGCTTCTCTGGCTAGACCGTGTGCAGACAAACGGCTCTCCGTGCTTGAGTACACGCGTTCCCTTTCAACTGGATATACCCCTCGATTTTTATTCGGGAGGACGGCATCATACCAGCTCTGAACTCGATAGCTTTCTGCTGCTTGAGCACAACGCATCTCCAAGTCTACAGCTTCGTTCTATAGCGGGCTGCTCCTCTGTCTACCATCATTCCATGAGGTTATTTAGGCGCGAACCACGAGCTCAAAGACGATTACTGGAAAAGGTTCTGAAAAAAAGGCAAGTAAAATTCCATTAATTAACCCCACAACTCCAGTTCCCCTTTTCTTTTAGTACATACACAGTCCGCGCCTTGGCTGTGGCCAGCACAACAGCCCAGAAAAACAGATTACCAACTCCAGAATACAACACCAAATGCATTTCAAACTGAAGAGAATATATATCTATACATTACCTTGTTCGGATGTTCCTCTTGCTTCTGCGAAGAGGCTGCAAAGCTCGCTGCTCTACAGTGTCCCTGTGACGCTGTCTGGCCCTGGCCCGAGGGGATAATTCTATCCTGGGCTCTTCCACCGGCGGATCTTGCTCGTTCTGCGGGGTATCTTCTCTAATCACGAAGTCCCCATCCTGAGGAATGTCCTGTCGAACGACAGAGTTCCCATACGAGGTAGTATTCGCTCGGATAGGGCTATCTTCCCTGATGATGAAGCTGCCAGTGGAAATCTGACTGCTACCAGACTCCACAGAGTGACCACGATCCTCGGGACGCAGAGGAGCCAGAATGACCGTGGTGGCTGTAGAGGAAGCCGGCGATGCTCCCAGTCCAAGCAGCCCAGTCCGTCCTGGCACCGTTTTCCCCTTGCCCTTTTTGGACACTCTCTGTGTCGAAGGCAAGGGACCGAGAACGTGACGCTGAGGCGACCTTGCAGCGGATTCCTCCTTGATGCGCTGGCGTCGGCTATACGATCCTCGGACGGCCGAAAACTGAGCCGCAAGCTGCTTCTGCGCATCCAGCGCTTGCTGCGCAAGGTCTTGTACGACCACGATCTGCCTAGAGACTGCGTCGAGGAAATCGTCCGCGTTCTCATCGCCGTACAAGGCCCCAGACGACGTCTCCGAAGGTGTATGCTCCTCACCCGACGGCGCTCTTTGGCCCGACGAGCCAGCCGAGGCAAGATCCTGCGGTCGCCGGTGTGCAGATAGCGGGGGCAATGAGTCCGACGACGAGGAGCCCGGGGAACTGCCGTCTTCGGACTGCGCCATCTGTTCCTGTCTATGCATCGACGCGGGAGCCACTCTCGAAGCCGGGCTTCTTTGCGAATCTAGCGTGAAGTGGCTGGAGCGTGGGTCGGCATTGTTCTCCTCCTCGGCATGTGGCTGCAGCTCCGGATAGAAGATATGCATGGGGTCGACGGGTAGAGGCACTTCGTCGGGCCACCCAAGGCCCTGTTGCGCACTGAGGAGCTGATTCTCCAGAGCCTTTGGGAGAAACCCCAGACATCCGAACCTTCGATTCCGGAAGGTCTCTTGCCTTTGCAGCGAGTCACTCATGTCGAGGTATCGTTGCGGAATATGATCCACAGAGTTGAACTCGGCCTGGAAACGTGAGCGAATGTCGGTCTCATGTTTCCAGAACATGCCCGGGAGTTGCCCCCAGCTGGCGTCCCACAGACCATTCGCCACCCACTGGTCGTATCGTACGTTGGAGTACGCAGCGGTATGTAGGTCGTCTGGGGTTGTTTCCTCGCGTTGCGATGGAGGTATGGCGGCGGTTATCAGACCGTCGGGGAGCCGAGGCGGATACCTGAGGAATTCAATATGATCCCGCTCCATCGCGACCTCGTGCATGAACTGAAAATAGGGCCGGGACATGTCCAGCTTGCAAACTTCCTCTGGCCCGTGATCATTGCGGATCTCCTGGTGCTTCCAAAAGCCAAAGGGGTCGGTCGAGGGGCCGCAAAACCATGTGCCCTCTTTCGAGATGCCCTGTCTCTCCCAGCGCCGCTGAACATTCTCCCTTGCCCGCTGAGTGAGCTCCGAACCCTGAAGGCGATAGTCCGTCTTCAGGTTGCAGGCTTGATACTTCTCCAAAATCCGGGTCTTCTCTCTCTGCACTTGCTCTTGGAACCGATTCTCCGGCAGAGATGCACGCTGCATGGACAAGAGACAGAAGCGTCTTTCCTCGCGCTCCATGCTGCCAGGGAGGATGTGCCGGTCCTCGTACGGCTCTGGTATCGTCCTTTGGTGGTCTCTCGAGCGATAGGGCGGCGGTTGCTCGCTTTCCCGCTCAGCATCTCGAGAGACGTTGTTCCCCTGGCGGTCGTCTTGGTTTGTCCCGAACCGGGTAGGTATAGGCCCAGGGCGAGATTCTAATAGAGACTGCCGGGAAGCCTCTAGAACGTTGGTTAAGAACGGGCTCGGTGGCCCCGCAGCGCTTCTCGGTCTATGATCAACTGATGGACGGGGCTGTTGAAGAGGTGTAGAGTCTTGTTCTAGCACAATGTGAACCCCGGTAGGGGGCTGCTGCTCTTCATCGATGGCGGAGTCGGAGCTGGCAGGTGCTGGAGGGGCAAGTGACTGGCCACCAAAGATGAAGGATGACAGGTTTCTGAGAATGAAAGCCATGATGAACAGGGATTTACTATATGCCTTTCTGAAGAATGTCGACCGACAGTTAGAAGAGGTGACAAAGGCAGAGTAGATGTATAGAACGTGAGGTGGTTGATGATGACGATAATTGTGAGAGGAAAGGGCTGGGGGCAGTTGGACGTAAAATATAGAGGCACTTGCTCAGCAATTTCCGGTAGTCGTACAAAGCGCCGGATATTGAAACGTACAATGCAATACATTGACTGTACGAGTACAAATCAGTGAGTACGTTCTTGTAAGACATAGAGCTGTGCAATATTTCGTTTGAACGTAGTAATAGGAACTCCTCCACAATTTAGCCCGTTCTGTGGGAGAGCAGTGCAGTGCAACATACCTGGAAACAGAGTACTGTCCAATAGATGCTGTGCTTTCACATTATTGTAGATTTCACATGCATGCGTTTCCCCCAGCTCAGTGTCCGCCAGCGAGTGTGTAAGCTGGCCTATGAATGGCGGGTATTTGTCGCTTCGCAGATCCCTTGCTGTAACGATCAAGCATTTAAAGAATCTCTCAAAAGTATGAAAGCTTGGGACAAGTACGTCAAGTAGGTCCGAGACTTGGGTAGAGGCAACACGTCGATGCAACCGTTGACTGTTGCTAAATTGATGTACACTGCACAGCGTGCCCGTATCTCGCCGACATTGGACAACCACCGGTCAGCGTCTAGAACAGCTTCGAGCTATCAAAAATAGGCAACCGACTGTTGCATAGGGTGTCTGGAGTAGCTCCGTATCAAATACTCAGAGCAGCCATAAGTAAGCCCTTGGCAGAACCTCTCTAACTCCGGGTTTCGAAAGCTCTTCACCATGTGATTCGTCGCAGCACATCACCTCTCCCATTTTATTTATATAGAAAGGCTTTCAACCACTACCACACAGGGAGAAAACTGCGAGGAACGGGACCCCTCGACGCAGCTGTTTTCGTCAAGCCGTGCAGCTCCTGCAGTGGCCAACTCCTGTACCTCCCTCGCACAACTTCTCCTCGCACAGTTTCGGCTGCCGCCTCGTCAAACTACATATACGGAGTTGCACGGGGAGAGGGGCTGCGTAGCACGGCAGAACCGGCGGGGGGGTTGCGGTCGTGCATGGCGCATAGACTCGAAGGTGATGCGCGGAAGAGCCTGTGCGAGGTACAAGAGTCACTCGAGATTTCTTGCGTGAAGAGAATGGTTAATGGTTCTTTTTGTGATTTACTTTTTCTTTGCCGAAAAGTAAAGATTTCCTCTTGCTCAAAAAGAAACAGGTAAAGCTGTCCAATGGCATTCCCGTGTTGCATCGTGCCACCTCAGTAGAAAATATGTTGTTAAAAGTATATATATCAAGTTGGGTATCTACGAATTGTCAAGAGCGAAACCAAACACCACCTGATCCAAGAAAAAAAAAACCCCAACCTTCAAAGTGGTATATCCTTCCATCTAAAATCCGTTGAACCTATACGTAAATAACAATGCCACCCCAAACCTCGTATATAATGTATCGAAGAAAACAGGCAAGAAAGAAAACAAGATAAAAGACTCCCCCTTTACTTCTTTCCGGTGCGCCGCCGGGTTCTTTTTGCCGGCGGTTCCGCATCCTGTCCACTGCGGGAACCTTGCCGCGCCGGCGCTTCTTTCCGCCCCCCTTCCCCTTGGAAGACCTTTTGGCTTTGGTAGGTTTCTCCGTGGGACACTTGCCTGGGTGCTCTGTAATCGTAGCGCTGCCTTCTAGTGGCCTTTTGCGCTGCGCTGCGATGCGGGCACTCCTTCGCGGCCCGGGTACGTCGGCGGGCTCCTGTGCATCTGGAATAGTTCGCGCGGCCCCAGAAGATGCTACCTCTGGCTGTTTAACCGGAGACAGTGGATTCAGAAGATATTTGATTGTATGTTGTTCGATTATGGGACGCTCCGTCGTAGGCTGTTCGACGGAGGGCTCCTTGATCGAAAGCTCTTGTTCTACTGTAGGCTCTTTGACTTGAGGAGATGGCTCCTTTGCAGGCGTCCCCGTAGGAGGCGACGAGACAGGGGGCGACGACGGTACGGGCAATTGGACAGGAAGCCGGACAGCAGGTGACGGGACAGGGGGCGTCAACATGGCGCCTGGGAAAGGGGTTGCCTCCGAAAATGCACCGACACCAGATCGGTGCTCCCTGTTACTGCTAGGTCCGGCTTCGGCGGCAGCAGCAGCCTGCCCATAACTCACAGCGGGAGGGACGACACTCACCCTCTGGCTCGTAGTCGCACTATCCTCTGGCATCACTCGAGCCGAGAGGAACGATACGCGAGGTGCCCTGCCAGGCGGCATCTGACCAGTCTCGCACCGTATCTCATAGTATCTATCCTTGGCCCAAGCGAGCAGGTACTCATGCCGGTCGCGGATATCGCACGCCTCCCGGTACGTCTCCGTCTCGTGCAGAAACTGCACCACAGCCTCTTCATGTCGCAGCATCGCGTCCTTGGCCTCCTCGGCAGCGTCCAGCTGGACCTGGGCTTCGGCCAGCATGCGCGTCCGCCGGATGTGCGACATGAACATTTGCTCGTGGCTCCGGCCCCGCGGTTGACGCTGCAGCCGCGCAAACTCCAGCGCAGCCAGGTCCAGCTGCCGATAGGCCTGGTCCCTTTCGACACGGCGCTGCGTCTGAGCCTCTTGTGTCGGCAGGTACTCGGGCGTCTCGTGGGCGCCCAGCGCCGTCTTTTGCCGCAGCCGCTCGTACGCCTCGTCGTGCCTGACCCGCCAGTCGGTGACGTCGTCGCTCATTTGCTCCATGTGCCAGTACTCGAACGCGAGATACTCGGTCCACATGGTCAGCCGGTCCTGCAACCAAAAGTCGACGAGCAAGTCAAACCCCGCTGATACTTGCACGCCATTCCGAGCCAAGCGCGCGACGACGCCCGCTCGGTACTCGTCAAAGTTGGCACATTCGTCGTCGTGCAAGAGTTCCTTCTCCTCTCTGCGCCGGTTCCAGAATTCCTCCTGCCGGGCGGCGCTGTGGGCGAGTTTCGGGTTCGCCATCAGCGCCCGCCACTCGCGGGCGCTGGTGGCCTCGCGGACAAGGGCGGCGTTGTAGGACTCGACCATGAATTCTTCTTGCATGGTGTCGATGTCGCGGTGATACGACTGCCACCGAGTGAACTCTTCGAAGCGCAGGCATTGCCGCTCGAAGAAGTTGGCCTCTGGTGCGTCAAAGTCCAAAGGCGGGTGCAGGTAAAACGGCCGAATCATACCCGCGAAGCGGTTCGGCTGCTCGAAAACACGCCCAAGGTAACGGGGGTGATAGAGAAGGGGAACCTTTCTTTCTCTCAGCCACTTTATTGCCATGGACTCGCGCTGGACGTAGACTTCCCTTTCAAGCAGCATCGTCTCTTCGTCGACCAACTCCCCCGTCTCTTCGACGACGTACCGCTCCGCATTTTCGTCGTCCGTGTCGTCCAGGATATCCTGGAGCCGAAGGTGGGCGGCCTCGAGATGCACTGTTCTGGTGTAGACTCGGGTGCCTCGAGGTGGTGAGACTCGAGGGGGATTGCTGCTTACTGTTTGTTAGCACAAGTACAACGAGACCCTGTGGAAAAAAGAAAAGTGTCCTTACGGTGAGGCGCTGGGAGAAAGATGGAAATCCCCCGACGCGAGATACTCTGACCCAGGGAGCGAGAGATGCGTTGCATTGCCAGGTTGTGTCTGGGCAGCGATGATCTCTGCCAATGCCTCGCGGCTGGCTGCCGTCTTTTGCTCTGCACGAGCAGGGGGACTGTTGCTGCCGTCTGAGTCTGCCATTGTAAAGAGATGCTTTTTATACTCGAAATCAGGCTGCCCCGGGCGTGGTGGATCAGGTCGAAAAGGAGCAAAGGAAGGAAGCACTTTTGACGGTGCTGTCCTGCTGTTGCCGGGACGGAAGACAAGTGTGCAAGACGATTGGGATATCTGCAAACATGGAGACAAGGCCAGACTCGTGCCAGAAGGCGAGGCGAGAGGCGTGATATATACGCCCATCATGGTATTGCCTAAAAGGCGATCTGGGTTTCGGCAATGTGTGCAACGTCGACGTGTACGACGATGAATCGCGCAGCACCCGCAGGGCGCCCAATCAGGCCAACTCTCTAGGCGCTGCAAACGGTTATGGTTCACAGCATAAAAGCAGCATGACAAGAAACATGAGCCAGCACAAGACGTTGTGCAAAAGAGCCTGTTTGAAATACTGCAACAGCGAGGGCAGATGGATGCTGCGGTGCGACGTCAGGGAAGTCTGGGCCGGAACCGGAGCCTTTTCGCGCGCGACACAGGGCGATAGGGTAGAAAGAATGTAAGCCCGAAACCATACCAGAGGACCGAGTTTCAGAGTCCAGAAAAAAAAAGAGGATATTCTGGTGTTTTGTGGTAGGCGATTGAGAACGGCAAAATTTTCCCACAACGCCTCTAGTTCGGGCGATTAGCACAGTCCCCACGACATCTACACGATTAGGCCCAGTGGAAGCGGTCACTGGCCCAAGAGCTCCGACGGGTAGGTGCAGCCAAGTGACCGCCGTTCTGGTATACGGTTTGGTGCACAGGTTTCAGTCTCAGCGCCGAGTGCTGTGGCGAACCAGACGAGAGGACGGTTGTACCGGCTGCGAGTGCCACTACGAGCAGAAATTAAACTCCAGGATGAGAACGACTCTGGAGGACAGGAGCGTAGAGTTTTTTTGTTCTCGGCGATGCGGGTGGGGAGTTTGTGCTGCTCGCTAGCAGCTGTTGGCTGGATCAGCCATGATGCGCAGGCAGAACGCTCAGCTCGCGGCGCTGCATGGCGGCTTGCGCTTTCGTGTCAGTCGCCTACCCTGGATGTCATAATCAGGCTTCCGTCGTTGCTGATGTGCGTGTCCAAACGTAAAGCTGTGTCGCTGTCGTGGATCTGGCTCTGGGCAGTTCTTTGGTGTTTGGTCTTGGCAGGGCGGTGTTGGTCGGTTCTGCCAAGTCGGCTGACCTAGCTTCTCCAACCAACCAACAATCAATCTACTCTGACACCGGACAATTCACAACTACAACTACACATGCACAATAAATAGCTTATCCACTATGTTTGAAACAGATCCCACTTCCAACATCCAAGCCCCCTCGTTCACTCAGCGTCCCGGCCACCGCGCGCTTATCCAAAACCCCAACGAATAGCCATCTCACTCCTGACGGGGTGCCGAACACACGACCACACTTCTCACGACACGCCGACCATCGTGCTCTGGTTATACGCGACACGGACGCATAAAGTCTCAGCCGGCCCAAGAAACACGAGCTACTACGTGACCTTGCCGGTGGCGAGCGGCTCTACGTACCTCGCACGACGCTGCGGTGCGACGACGGGAGGATACATGCAACTGAATGGTCGCGAACCACTCCGTCCGGGTACACTGGTCAGTTGTGCAGGGAACAGCAATATAGTCTGGATTTGAGAGTGCCGATACACAGGGCGCGAGCTGACATGGACTCGCCGTCTGCGCAATAACAATTGGCACTTTTGGTCTTGTGTCTCAGCGCCCCAGGTACACCTTGTCCACATCCGAAAAGTAATACGTGAAGTCAATGCAATGCATAACATGTGCTATTTGCGTCCCATCTATATACCCAATCGTCAAGTTACGTAGGTCTGGGTGTCATGTATTCGTAACATTCCCCCCAACAGGTTAACCTGATATAGCCCCCCAAAAACTAGAAAAACAAAAAACACCGCCGGTATGTGCAACCCGATAGAATAACCCCGTCTATATGGCCCATGACTAGTGTATACCCAAATCCGTTCCTTGTTTGTTACTTTCCGCGATACACCCCATTAGTTTGGCATGTAGCCTCCCCTGCCTTGCTGCATTCGCCCAGGTTGGTAGCCCCCACGTCCGTTGCCACGACCCCGGTAATGCATGGCGGATAGTGGGAGCCCCCCCTGCATATGATTATAGTCGTTAAACATGGGCGGTCCCCCTGACACCCAGCCGCTGCTTACCACCGGGGCACCGGTGTTGGCACCCCAGTGGTGAGACGGCGGAGCGCCGCCGTGATGCAGAGGCGGCGGCATACCCATCGGAGTCGGACTCCATTGATAGCTCTGCTTATCATACCCCATACCGACTGTTCCGTACATGGGAGGACTTGTGGGAAGCCCTCCAGAGATCATCGTGTCCATGGGAACGGGGACGACCTGCACCTGCATGGGCATGGGCATGCCTCCGCGACCGAATCCGGACGAGCCGCCGCCGCCACGCCTTCCACCTCGTCCATTGCCTGCACCTCGTCCCCGAACGAATGGCCGTCTCTGCGATTTGGGTTTACGGTCGACAGTAAAATCAATCTTCTTGAGTGGGTCCGTAACCATGACGTTGTTGGCGAGATTCTGCTTTTCAAGCTCCTCAGGCGTCGCAGTCCAAGCTTGAAACACGTTTTCAATGTTTTCAAAGCCTCGTACCTCAGGAATCCAGGTGCGCACATAGTCTCCTTGCTTATCATAGTCAAAAGCCTGCTTGACTGGGTTGAAGATACGGGCATCGCCGCGAGGGTCGTTGCCAACGCCGGCGACGTATTGCCAGTTGGCCCAGTTCGAGGAAGCGTCATAGTCAACCAACATGCATTCGTACCATTCCGCTCCGTAGCGCCAGTCGATATCCAAGTGTTTTGCAAAAAAGCTGGCTACATTCTGTCTCGCTCGGTTTGACGTGTAGCCAGTGAGGAATAATTCCCTCTGCGACGCGTCGATGAGACCCATTCCTGTGTCGCCTTGTAGAACTCGCAGGATCATTTCGGCGATTCTTTGCGGAGGGGGATTTTGGTCTTGGCTGGCGGTCGCGGGGTTGGCTGTTTTCCACTTCTTGGAGTATCCGTCGACCTCTCGAAACCCTGAGGCACCAAACAGCTTTGCGCCGAATTTCTTGGTACAAAGTCGCATGTAATCGCGCCATAAGAGTTCGAGACGAATAGCCTTGGTACCGTTGTTTTCCCCTTGGCCATATCCAGTAGCTTCTTGGTACTGTGAGTCGGTGCCGTCCTCAAACTTGACTAGTTCGCCGTGTACTTGCCGGGCAGTCAGGCAACCCAGGCAAAGGAAGGCAGACAGTTTGGTGCTGAAGTCGGCGCCGAGAAGACCATTGCGAGTATCGGAGTAGGAGGAAGCGGCACCAGACTTAACCAAGTGCTGCAATCGATTCATTGCACTCTGCTCGCCGCCGAGGAAAGGGTGGGCTGATTGAGCGTCTGGGGGTGGAGCAGGGGGGTTGGGCAATTCGAAAGCGAGGGGTTTGACTAGGCATTTCAAAAAACTGTCAAGATTATCCGGTACCTGAAATGGTATCGACTGTGGCGGTATTAACGCCTCTGGCGGGAATGGAGGTAGAGGAGACTTGGAGTCGGGATATACGTCGCGTGGCTTCTCGCGCAGCGGCTCCTGAGCCTTGCGGTAGGTTGTAAACACATCCGGAAGCTCCTGGGTAGCAATATCGAGGTCGCGACTGTATGTTTAAATTTAGTGTTAGACGTTTGATGTGACAGATAGTTGGTTAACGGGGTAGAAGGGGCAGAAACGCACTCGTCAATATAGTATTTCTCGTCAGGGATGAGGGTGAAATCGATGTTGGCTCTATCGCATACGACTGATATATCGGCTTGCTGTTGCCTTTCCTCGATGGGAACATCGTCGGTCATCCAGACGGCAGATACAGCCGCGTTGCCCGAAGTTTGGAGGTGTTGGATGATACCGCGGACAATATCGGCCGGTGTTCCAATACGGACAATGAGACCACTGTGACGGGAGACCAGTGTGTCCTTGAGATCCCAGACAGCTTCGGCAAGGAACTTTGCTCGGTGAGGACCACATCGCCAAAAGTTGCCGACTTTGCTCTTGGCTAGTGGAAAGGGAGAAGTTTGGGCAGGGTTCAGGAAGCCAGAGGTCTCGATTTGGTCAGGTGGCAAGACCACGACCGGAAGAAGGTGAGTAAAGCCATGGTCCGAAGTCGAGGTAAGACGGTGGAAGACAGGATTATCGGAGATTCTTAGATCGCGGCGGAGCAGATAAACGAGGACTCGGCTGGCAGGCATGGTGAGCTAGGTAGCACCGGCGATTCGATAGGAGTGCTAAGAGATCGTCTCGACCAATACGAGCCAGGCCGCGCGAGGGTGTGAGAAGGAGGGAAAGGCGGGAAGTGGCGGGAGCTGAAGGATAGACGATTAGGCGAGACTGAAAGCTGAGGTAGAAAAAGAAGCGCAATAGTAGTTATTGGCTAGGTCGAAAACAGGGAAGATGGGTCGTAAGAACCGAGATTGACAAGTTGGCCCAAGCAAGCTATGTCGCTTGCTAGGTAGGTAGCGAAGGCGGGCTCGGCGTGGACAAGGAGAAAGAGATGTGGTACGGCAATGAATAACTCTAAGCCAAGGTCCACCGGAGCATTGTTGGCGTTTTTATGCTGGCGACATATAATTCATGCAGGAGCAAGGTAGGAACGAGGAGCCGGGGCCGTAACAAGTTGGATTGGTGGCAAAGCGGGAGAGAGCGGCTGTTGAGCACTGATGAGTACGGAGTAGACGCCACGGCCAAGCTGATATGTGTAGCGTTGGAGCAGCAAGCGGGAACGAAGCCTAATGGACAACGGTACGTGAGGCTGAGGAGGGTACGAAAGGGTACAGAAAGAAGCGTCCAGGAACAGAGGATAAGACGAGTCAGAATTGGCGGTAGGACCTGTTGTTGTAATTGAGACGAGATTATTTGCCAATGGGTAGCGTTGTCGGTTTGGTCATGGATCTTGGGATGAGCTATTGAGTGATGCTGGACAGCGACGGTGCGGAAGTGGAAATCGAGAGCAAGCACGGGACATCAGGTCGTCTCGGAATCGATGGGGAGGAAGGATGAAGCTAGTCCGAGAGACTGGTAACGGGGTGTAAGAAGAAGGGGTCATGTTGGCTTTTGTCTTGATTGCGGCGGCCTAGTCGATGGAGAAAGGCGGCGGCGACGCGAGAGTTTGCGGCCACCTCGAACCCATTGGGAGGAGAGTGAGGTGAGGCCCCGGGAGGGTGGGCGGTTTTTGCCGGGCATGCTGGGGGGTGGCATGCTAGCAACTGGGTTGGTATCGATGGGTGGGAGCTGCAGGAGGGTGATCGATCGCGGGAGGGAATGAAATGCATCCATGCGGCTTGGGGCGTTTGTGTTGATGGATGGTGATGACGGATGGAGGGGTGGTGATGGAGAGAATGGGAGTGTGTTGGAGGTACTTGTGATCTCGTACTGTTTCTATGAGAGACGAAAGTACTCTTGACAACCACCAAAGGTGGGCTGGTGGGTGATAGACCAGGGGAGCTCTTGAGCCCCTCTCAGCGCCTCTCAGCGCCTCCACCCCTGGAAAGGCTCGCTGGAAAGGTTCGCTGGTGCAGTGAAATGGAGACGTCGTTTTGGGACAGTTATTACTGCGACATGCGTTTCCATGGAATGCAATCACGCACGATTCGACTCAATTGAGAACAATTGTTTGCAAATTGTTTTTATTGAATTGTTGTTGCTCGACACGACATGGCTTCCACTGCCTACCAGTCACAACCGGCCTTCGCGATATCCGTCCCCTGTTCACCGTCGAGCCCATCGGAAACCCAGATGAGCCGGCCACTAGCAAGGATGGCCATGTTATGATTGGGCCAACCGGGCAAGGTGCATCTTTTGCAGAAACGCAAACTACATACTTGTGCATTCGTTTAATTTCGTCTTGATACTCTTTGATCATGATAACTGATGAAATTGTATCCCTTGACGAGCTGGCGACCTGGCTAGCATGGACTCCAGCACCTTTTGTGCCCCCAGGCACAGCTGGCAATGGGTCACTCCAACGGTGGACCACTGGACCTGGACCAACTACTAATGCCCACTGTAAACTGTAAGAACGACCTCTAAATTGTCACCATATAGCTCCGTGATAATTCTCGGCATCTCGGCGTTTGGAATTTTAAATTCAAACTACAACCCATTAAAACCCCATACAAAACAAGTAACCCTGAATATTCTTCCTTTCACTGCTGGGATGAGTATGTGCGTCGTCACCAACCAAACCTTATCCTCGCCCAGTCCGAACCCCTCTGCTAGCCTTCTCCATGATCCCCTACGTACGTACCCCTCTTCAGGTTATAAGCTTCACCCACACATCACACTTGCAGGCGCCCATCAACACCCTCGCCAAAACCCGCGCTTTAACTGCCCTTCCCGAATTGCAACACACCTCATTGCCTGCCCTTTGCTGGCAGCCTCAGCCGTCCATTCGATCCCGCCACAGCCCCGCGCTCCTCCCCCTCAACCCCTGCATAGCTGAGATGCCTAAAGCTAGCACGGTTCCCTGGTCCGCGCCAAGTGGGCGTTGGCGTCGTCTTTCTCCTAGAACCTCTGGTACACTGAGGTAACACTCAAAATGGCATCTTTGAAATGCTGGTATATCTTGCGGTTTGCCTTGCTGATACAAGGGTGCCTAGTAACCGAGAAGCGCCAAGGCTGATACATGACCGCCGACAGGAGCCCGCCACGGAAGCGAATGCATCGAATACTCCACGTCAATCCGTCCCCCTCCATCCACGACATTCAAAATTTCCCATCACTCACCTCATCGACTTCGCCGAGACCGCCGTTACACTGCAGCCCGTCATATGCCGCTCATGCCATGCATGACGGGGCTGATGCCTTTCTCAGCATCTACACTAAATTTAAACTGCACTATGATCGACACCACCACTAGCGATCATCAATCAAGCCGAAAGCCATGATTCCACTGACGGAGAAACATACATGACTTATTACTGGTAGCACCTGCCACCATTTCTAATCGTCATTTCGGGGACTTACTTCCTGCGCACTGTTCTCGGCTGGCTGATTCAGAGCCCTGGTTCCCCTTCCCGTCAACTAATTTACACCAAACGCCGTTATGAGACCTATTCGCTTCTGTTACTAGAAAATTTGATAGTTTCGACAGGCAGTCCGCTTCGTCCCGGGGCTCGCTACACGACATATAGGACCCGGATTTATTCTCTACTATTACAAGGTCCTACTCAAATACGTCACCACCTCACGCACCTTCTAGCACACTAATAACACCCATCCCATCTTTGGAATCCGTCTAGCCGTCTCCAGAAACCCGCTCGAGCTAGGCCAGCAAAACGCTGGCGTCCTGCCTTTTTCGGGGGCACATTTGCAGCGCCAATCGCATAGTATTACGTCAACGGTCAAGCCCACCCACCACTTCTTCGATTCTCCGATGGGATGGGGGTTCCGACCACCCATCGAGTTTGCACGATACCAATCGTGAAATGTCGTCGTTCGTTCCGGCTCACATGATAAAGTCCCCGATTACCGGCTGCACTCTACTTGAAATCTCAAAAGAGACCGTTCTCTGGCATATGTATCTGCGTCACCACGTTACTTTAGCTCGCCCAGACACATCATAGCCAGTCATGGACCATGGGTAATGAGTTGCTTCGGTCCGTATAACTGAGGGCTGACTGACTGGTTTGTATTCTGGCCCGTATCGATCAAGCCTGGCAAACTGACCTTTGACCTGGGAGTGGCGAGTGTTTTCGGCCCTGCACTTACTGAGACATGCTTCCCACGTTGGTTGCCATTATTCGGCGGCAAGTCATCCGCGTGTGAAAGATGCACTTTCTGTCCCGTCTTGTGCAACATGGGGCACTACAAAGACATATACCTAGGTAGTTGGGCAGCTAGGGAAACTGCACAACCCCCCCCGAGACAGTCTCTACTCGCCCGTTCTCCTGGAGTCTATATTCGCACTGCGGATGCTAGCTTCTGCAGTCATGCTTGCATCTCGCCAAACGCTACCATAACCATGCTTCCGCCTACCCCACCACCAAGTTCCGCGTACAACAGTGCGGACGATTCAAAAACATAACATTGCCATACGAGGTTATTGAAGACTGCTGGCTTGGGGGCTCCCATACGTGACTCGGTGATCTGTTATATGAAGGCCGCTCTCGGGCTATCCGCAAACTCGGTGAGGGGTATTCTCCAACAGCATGGCTGGCACGCGACGGGAGGTATGTCGGGATCATGTCTTGGTAACTGTGGCTCAGTTGTTACCATAGAGAAATTCAAAACATGTTGATCCGTTCAATGAAAAATACCACAACGTGGCACTAAGGATTCGAGATGCTAAGCATGCAGCTCAGTAGCGCATGTTGAACCACATCACCGACGTTGCAGCTGGCAATGGCCGTCAGTGTGTGGTTCAGCCTTCGGACGAATTTACTCTCTATGGCCCTAATGGAATACATATGTACCTGGTCTATGAATCCATGGAGCCGAGTGTTAAAATCATTGTCGAGAAGCTTCCCCAGTTCAAGCCTGGCAAGTAGGGGATGAAGCTCCGTCATCCTCCGCAGATGGCAAAAATCATTATAAAACAGCCTTTCAAAGCGGTGTCCGTTCTTCATCGAGGTTGTCCATGGAGACTTCCAACCTGAGAATGCTGTTCGTATTGCACTGTCGGATGACGCCGCCCGACGCCGCCCGACAGAATGAAGGCGCAGATGCAAAAGTGCTTTTTTCATTCTGTGGAAAGGCTGGACGGCAAGGAGGGTCATCGCCGTATCTTTACGCTGCGTGGTCGCTGGTCGCTTCACACTGTTTGAGAATGGGACCAATATCAAGTTATCGGACATAGGAGGAGGCAGGTAATACTCGCAACCCTAGAGACCTCGATTAACAGCAGGAGCCTACTTTCTGTCCTATAAATTACATAGCTCGTTACCACGCGTGGACTTTTGACCGAATATATCTTTACGGGGGAGATGGGCGCCGTCGCTTGATATTTATATCAGGAGTTTCGGCTGCCTCGTTTTCGAAATCATCACGGAACAACCTCTTTTCTATGTGCTTGGTTCCAAGTATCAAGATGGCGACCCTATCACGAGGGTTTTCTCGCGGCTAGGTGCTCCGCCTGACGAGTACCATGAGGCTTGAAAGGCGTCGTCCTGTTGTTTCACGCCATCCAAGAGCTTAACAATGTTTACTGGGCAGCGTGCCTAAGGGCTGCGAGCTCCTGATGCAGCCACAAACTACTGTGGATGTCATGAAACCTTTGAGGACGCGATACCAGGTATCGAAGGCGCTGATGGACTTTGCAATATGATTCTGTGAAGCGCCGTACAGCGGCCGACACTTTACAGAATATATAGTTCCAAGAGATTGAAGCGGAGTAGATTCGGTAAGGAGAATGGTGAAATGATGACAAAGTTGAATCTCTTCTACTTGACATGATCTTGGCTTTGTTCTGCCTTGTAGCATGACATACGGAATTTTGCTACATGGGCTTGATAGTACTGTTGCCCTCAATACATGACGATAGGATAGCGTAACGAGCGATTGAGACATTCTAATAGTCGGCAAATAAATCTAGAAGCGATTTTTTCGCCATCCGATGACACATCTATGAGTAACTAATGGTACAAGTTGCCAAGTTGCACTGCCACAGCGCATCGCCACGCCCAGTAGGCTGGCGCGTATGAGGATCCCCCCACTAGTCCGTTCCGAATTGCCATGGCGTCCGCCATCCAACCACCAGCGTTCATTCATCTCTTCCACATCTTCCGCTATTATCCTCGTCAAGACTCTCTTCCAACTTTCATCACCAACACGCGGCGATCTCCTCCTCTACAGTCCCAGAGTCGAACGGTTGCCGACCTATATCCCTCGTTTCAGCAACACGCACACCCCCGCCAAGATGGTGTCCGCCGACCGCCAGACCATCATGGAGGTCAACCGGTCGCTCCGGAATATAAAAACGGTATAAGCTGCCCTTGCGCAATCTGCCACGAATTAAGCTGTGATTTCCAGGCAGGAAAACAAGACGCTGTTTTGCTAACCACTGGCTGTGGTGTAGGAGCTGGAGAACCTGCTCGAAAAGGGCGTCATTGACGAAAACGTCTTCGACACCATCCACGCCTCCCTCCCCCCCGAGTCCTCCGTCTCCGGCCCTCTACGCACGACCAGCAACACTAACGGCGCCTCCGCCAACACATCGCCCGCCGCCCGCGACAACGGGCCGACGTACACGCCGCCGACGCAGGGCCTTCAGACCGCGCACCTCGGCAACTCAACGTCCCCCGTGCCCCCCTCCTACAACGACACGCCCGCGCCCGGCGTGCCCCCGCGTGGTGGTAGCGGAAAGCCCACCCTGACGACGGCGCGCGCGCTCTACCGCTACGGCGCGACCGACGCCCGCGACCTGACCTTTGAAAAGGACGACATCATCGCCGTCTACGAGTACATGAACCAGGACTGGTGGATGGGCATGAACCAGCGCACTGGCCAGGAGGGCATTTTCCCCCGCAGCTACGTCCTGCCCGAGCAGGACAACAAGGCCCCTGGGGGTTACGGTCCGCCGCAGCCGCAGTACGGCTATCCCGCCGGCCCGCCGCAGCAGCAGAACCCGTACAACGCCAACGTGCCCCCGATGGCGGTGGCAGAGGGCGGGCAGGCAGAGGGCGGCGCAGGGGGGGGGAAAGCGGGCGAGCTGGGTAAGAAGTTTGGTAAGAAGCTGGGAAATGCGGCTATCTTTGGCGCCGGTGCGACTATTGGTGGCAATATCGTCAATAGCATCTTTTAGACGATATGCGGGCATACCATACTCTTTGGTTACCTTTTTTTGTTGGTTTCCCTGCGTTGCATCTGGGATTGATTGACCAGGACTCTGGTGACGCCCATATCACTGGTGATGCTCATGTCACGTCGAACCAGCCTTTGTGGGGTTGGACGACGGCTGTTATATTAGCGACGAACTCTATTGATTATTCTTGAATTACTACCACATCTTTACCCCTTTGAAGGTTACGTTGCATGGCTTGCGGGCGGGCACCCTTGTGGCTCAAGATGAAACCTGGGCTACGCGTGTGCTTGATGCGATGGATCGTGGGTGGAACTGGCGGCGACTCGATGAGGCGGATAGTCATGGGATTAGGCAGGGGTCACGGCTATGCAATCGGCCAACTCTCATCATGCCGGGAATGCTGCTGGATGTTGAGCAATGGGTCCTTACGTGGCCACCTTGCGCATACCGTTATTGCTCGGCGTCGCAGGCTCACAAAGCTAGAATCGCATAGTAAGGAAACCTTGCCAATATCTCTATGTATAACAGTAGGATTGAGATTTCACCCTAACTGGGTATTATAGTATGTAGATTCGCTCCCACCTTGTATTACACTGCGTCTAGCACAGAAGCCACCCCCATTATATACTCCGCGTGGTTACCAGTTCCCCGAGGTCCTCTATTCTATATGGCTTTGATAGAATAGGCTATAAATACAAACTCGATAATATCACATGTCACACTGTGTCTAGCACAGACGCCGCTTTTAGTCTCATCTTCAAACGCAGTCAACGGTTCCCCATAATCTTCTTCAGTGTGGCCGGAGGCGTGGCTGCAAGCGAGTATTCTTGATACTTGGAGGCCGTGAGCATGCGGCCTCGGCGACCCCAGATGAGGAGGGGGATGGGAATGAGCAGAACGACCGAGGTCGCGATAGATGTAAAGACGAAGACGCAGTTGATGCCGTTCGCGCCCACGCGCGGCATGATACCGATCCATAGAATGACGGCCAAAATGTTGCGGAAGAAGACGATGCCAACCATGGCATCTCCAATCATCTAGCACGTGTTAGCCATGGGAAACGTTACTATAGCTCCTCTTGAGACGTACATTGTGATAGCAGTCCGTGATGTACGTCAGGCTTGTTTCCTGGCACAAGCCAAGGCCAAAAGAGAAGAGTATGTAGCTGATTAGCAAGACTGAAATCGGTGCTTTCTAGACGCAGAAAACAGATCAGTCATCGATGTACTTTGATGTTTTAACAAGCTTCATTTTTGTCGTAATCTTACCTCGCCGATGCCTAGTCCAAATATCAGGATTCCTGCGGCAACAAAGACACCACCAAGCAGGGCAAACCACAGCCGCATCTCGGGCTCGTACATACCACCGCTGCGACGTGCCTTTGACACGACCCAGTAGTCGCTGAGCGGCGGCACGACCAGACTGCCGAGGAAGTGACCCAGCAGCGGGCCGAGATCGAGCAGTGCGAGCCCGCGTCGGTCGAGGTTGTACGGCGGCTGCGTCATCTGCGTCTGTACCACCAGGCTGAACAGAGACAGCCAGGCCATGAGAAAGCCGTACGTCAGCGCGGCGTAGATGACGCCGGGGAAGGTGCCGAGAATGACAAACGCGGACAGGAAGCGGCGGCGAATTGGCCGGCCTGTCGGCGTGACAAACGCGAAGCGCTTCCGGAGCGGTCGCGGCCCGGGCGGCAGGTCGAGATAGACGCTGCGGCCGGCCTGGCGGTTGACGTTGACGAGGTCGAGCAGCTCGAGCTCGTCGGCGATACTCCCGTCGTCGGTGCTGGCGCCGTACGAGACGCGGCGGTTGTAAAAGGTGCTGGGGGCGCGGGCGTCCTCCTCCTCCTGCTGCTTGGCGGCGAGGCGGGCGTCAATGTTGGGGACAAAGGTGGACTCCTCGGCGGCGACGAGGACGAGCAGGGCGGTGACGCCAAAGGCGACGGCCATGGCCCAGGGCGACCAGCGCCAGTCGCGGCCGTGGTGCGAGCCAATCTCGGACACGAGGATGGGGCCGATGAAGCACCCGACCCCCTGCGCGAACACGACCAGCCCGTACACGGTCGCGAACTGGTGCACGAAGAAGAGGTCGGTAATGGTCATGGGCACGAGCGCCTGCGCGACGACGGCGCCCGCCCCCGCGAGGCAGTTGGCCGCGCGGTACTCCCACGGGTGCCGCACGAGCGCCATCCACACGGCCGCCGCGAGCTGCAGCAGCGTCGAGGCCAGGTATGCCGGCCGCCGCCCGTACTTGTACCCGAGCGGGATGAAGAGGATCGCCGCCAGCGCCATGCCAATGTACCGAAACGACGTCGACACGGCCAGCTGCGGCGCGTCCATGGCGAGGTCTGCCGCCAGGTACCGGTTGCGGATGAGCGTCAGGTCCACCCAGGCAAAGGTGACGCCGACGTAGACGAGGATGACGCCGAGATGGAGGGCCTTGCGGCGGAGGGACCAGTTCTACTCGGGGGGGAGCCTTGTTGTCAGCGAGGGCAAAGGGGGTGGTCACCGGCATAGAAGGGAGCGGGCTTACGAGGGGATCATCGTAGTCGTCTGTTGGTTTCGGGTACGAGATGATGTTGCCCTTTTGGCCAATTAACCGGATTGAGCCTGGAGGCGTCATGGTATCGGCCAAGGGCGCGATGTGTGGTCAACGTGTGTGATGCGGTTACCACTGCGGTGGGAAAGCAAGCTACATGACATGGCAGAGAAACGAGTAGAATAGGTGGGCGATGGAGTTGTTATATTATCTTGCTGGTCGATCCCGGTTTCATCTTGTTTTAGATCGATGATGGGGGCATGTCCCGAGTCCGACCGGCCATCGGCACGGTAGCTGCCAAATGGGAGGCATTAACATGACGGGGTTTTTTTTTATTTTCTGTTGGAAAATAAAAGAAAGAATCTGCGAGACCGGACGATAAGAAAAGTCTCACTCTTCCTCTCATTGACGGTGATCGTGGGGGGCATGTTTCATGAGAGGTTGCGTCTTGCCCGTTGCTGTGGGAGGGAGTTGAAGCTTAACGTTAGTGTTGGGCGGCCTGCAACGAGCGCCGCTCGAATAGGCAGAAAGTAAGAGAACTCTGGGGGCTTATGCGGTAGCGGGTTTCCGTATATTCCGCATTGTGCCTGAGCAACGCCAAGAAACGTGTGGACAGGGAGGGCAGCCTGGCAAAAGGGTCTCCCCTGCTCGTCTGGGGCGCGTATCCTTCAACTAATTTTTGAGACTCTTCAGTTCAATCCCTCCTCGCTCTTCTGCTGCTAGAGATTTGGTTGCGGTAACGTATAGAACAGTGCGATCCCGAACCCTCCCTCCGCCGGGGCAGAGAGCGTGGGGGGAAAGGGGGGGACGCAGGCTCTCGTTACAGCCCAACACGCTTTAACGTTTCAGACTTGGGTGGACGGCGATGGGCAAGTGACCAAGGTGATGGAATCGATCGCGACGCGAACGTCTCTCGCCTTGTCCAATCAAAAAAGGAAAAGAAGAAGAACAACGGCGTCTTGGCCCTGCATCCGTCGGTACGGCCGACAGACAGCCTTGCTCTGAGGCCGTTGGCGGCTGCATGTTTGACAGAAGCAGACGGCTTTCTGATGGCTTCCTCGTCCGCCTATTCCCATTCGAGGTAGAGCTTAGCGCCCGTGATCTTCTGCTTTTATGTCGGACGGGCGGCATGGACTTGAGCGCAACGGCTTGACACGACGGCTTGCGCTCATCATTCTAACAAACCCTACTTTGCTAAGGGCCGCTACCAAAGAAGAGGTAGCCAATCGTTGAGCTATATGATGACATAAAATCGACTAGTTATGGAATTATGCGTAGCAGTCGGTAGTAGAGTTTGCCCTTCAAACACTGGAAGTCTTGGGCGGACCGACATCCAGGCGATGCTAAAGAGTCGCGGGTAATGTACCGTACGTATTCTTCCATGTTCCCTGTCCCGAAATTGTCCAAAAGCAGTTTGTTGCTTTTCTCCTTGTCCCCTTTGGAGTTTGTTATTAAAGCCGACCGCCACCATTTGATGCTCTCGTTGGTCTCGATCAGGGTATGCATGCTCGCCAGGTCAAGGGCAGTAACCTGATAGCTTGGTTGGGGTGGTTGCGCGTTTCAGAACCGCAGTCTCTCCAGTTTTACTTTAGCATAAGCGTGGGGGGGCTCGCTTCATAATCTCGTTCTCACTGCCGTGATTGGATTAATAACTGCGTGAAGAAAAATAACCATCGACAAGGAAAAGAAACGCGAGCAAGACCATTCATTGTTGAAAGACTGCCGTCGCACTGATGTGACAAGGCTATCCGGAGGGGCGCAAGGCTATGAAGAGCCTCGATGTGGATAGTAGTCTCGGACCTTCTCCATCTTGGAGTCTACGTAATATCAATCTTGTCCAGTTCATGAATCGTGGCATCTGCACATCGTAGTAGTTGCGCCGCGGACCTCACATCCTTGCCGTCCATTTTGCATGCATTGCTATGTAGCCGCGCTCTGCTAAAAAGAGTCGATGACGAATGAGACTCACAATGCCTGTAGTGAGCTCGTGCTGAACGGCATTGAATAAAGTACTGCCGTCATCAACCCTTCTAGCCGGCGTGCGTCGCATCAAAACCGGCGCAGGACACAGGGAAGCAATGCATCGAGGCGGATCCCTAGGCCGGTGCCAGCTCTCCTCGCATCCCACCAAGGTTTACCAGCTTGCTCCTGTCATCAGAGTCTGTCGCAGGTTGGAGCGAACATGTCGCGTCTTCAGCACGCATACAGGTCGGGCTGCGGCCGACGTTTCGGCAGGCCACCCAGGGCACAAGGCATGCCAGCTGCGTGGCGAGCGGCCCGGGATACCAAAACGGCCGGCTTCTGTTTTTGCCCTCGAGTATGAAACTCACTCTAGAAAAAGTGCAACTGAAAATATCTCGGGCTCGGCACCAGGTGCATGAATGGCTAGTTTGGACCATCGCCAGTTCACCCCCTGGGCAAGGCCGTTGCAGCCGTCCAAGTCGGATGATTTTTCTCTACAACATTGATGTGAGAGCTGAGAGCTTCCAAACCGCTTCTTTGTGGCTTGGAATCCCCAAACCACCAATACATGGCTAGCGAGGCGCCACTCAGAACTCGCAACAAGCGGTACAGGCGTCACCGGATACGCAATTACCCAAATCATCCGAACCCAACGCTAAAAGGCCTCGAACCAACTTGCGCGTTGCAGCTTTTGATACCATCGGCCTCGCCAATAATGCAGGCATCTCTCCGCAGGTTTGGTGGATAAACCAGTCCACGGCCTACTTCCCCGTCGCAGTCAAATGGAGCAGAATGGACACTCAAGCCTCATACTATGCTCTGGTATATAGCTCCGTTGAGGATACTCGTTTGCTGCACTGAAAATCGTTCCAGCCCCAGCCAACAGCCACCAAGCCTCGTTTCCAGTTGAAACACCTCCATCACTGGCCGTGAGCGATATTTATTACTCCGATTTTTCTGTATTTCGTGGCTGTTTCTATCTCGCATGCGGAACTGGGACACAGTCTAGCAAATCACTTGGTTCGAGGTCAAAAAACGACAAGTCGCGTGTGAGCACGCTTTGATGCATAGCCTGCTGCTCACTACAGCCAGATGCTGTCCACAGCGGGAGTTCAAAATAGTGAGGGAAGAAGCCGGCATGATCCCATCCCGTAATGGCCATAATCTTGAAGTGCTCAGGATGGATCCAGATATTCTTCGCCGAGAGATTGTTGTGGCAGTAGACAAAGACGTCGCTGTGTGCCCACCACTGCTCCCACTCGCGGCTGTCTCTATTATAAATCCGTCGAGGCGGAAGCACTGGGATAAATTGGCTAAGGCTGCCAATGTACCTGCGACGCTTTCCTTGAAGCTGCGGCAGGATGAAGCGCGTCATTTGCGCTGCCACCGCGGCGACGGCGGCAATTCTGGTTACCGCAGGGACGTTTTCCAGCTGAATCGCGCCGTAGATCCGCTTCGAGGCAAAGTGCAGCAGTCCATCCACTGTGTCTAGCTGGCAAGTCTGAACGGGGATATTGGTGTGTTGCCGAATAAACGTCGTCGCCGTAAACTCGTTCCGAAGCCGCTCCGTATCCCACAGTGGGCGTATCGTCTGTCCATGCTTGTCGACTGGGAGCTCCTCGTCACTCAGTTGCCGCTTGACAAACCAGGTCTCGCCTAGTTGATAGTGTCTCTCATAGTTGCTAGCCGTCCAGTATATCTGGTGAGGGGAATCTTGCTGCATGGTAGAGCTTCAGTGTGGCACGCGCTTTTGGCGGGCCGGGTGGCAGGAAGCCACCATGATATATATATGCAACGCGGAACTCACAAGATATGAATTCGGGTTACTCTACAAAGAGCTTGTACCACGGCTAACTCGTTTTATGCTCCGTAGTCATGGAGCTATCGAGCAAACAATGTGGCATCCTATTCGGTGCTTACGCAAGTTGCGTCCTACTTATTGCGAGGCCCCTCTGCACTGTCCGTAATCTGATCGAAGTCGCAGAGGAACCATGGTCGAAGAACATTCATCACAAAGTGAACGGCAGAATGGTAGTAGGCGGCAGGTCTCCTCTCTCAGCCAGCGGCATATTCATCCGTAGGTAGATTCGCGTTCGGGACTGTATGACGAGTGCTACTTTGGGGTCCGACTTGCATTTATTCGTTTCTTTTTTTCCCTTATATACTCCACAACATTATACACCGTATTTTCGTCTCAAAATTGCTTACACAAATGACGCTTAGTACCAAACCGGGGCGATGGGCCCCATTGGGATGGCCTCAATTCTCGTCAATCCCTCACCAACCGGCTCGGTCCTGGCAACGAGGCGCGTCCTAGCCGAGTCGGCCTTGGGAACCGCAGGGCTGTTTTCCAGTCGGTGGGTGCACTGGCCGCCCGGGACGATGATGTCGCCAATGTACTTTTCGAGGGTGGTGTAGGCGTTGCGGATAGCCTGGGCGTTGGGCTGGATCTTGCTGATGCCGCCCTTGACGTTCCGGTCGTAAACGGAAACAACCATCTCCTGGGCAAAGTTCTCCTGCTGCGACGTGCGGCCGTAGTCGTCGGTGACGGCCGAGTCCCTGGCGTACGCGTCGAGCCAGGCCTTGCCGTTGGAAAAGGGCACGCCGTACACGGGATCAAAGGCGTGCGAGTCGAGCGAGTGGCCCGTCTCGTGGATGAAGACTGTGATTTCGCAGTCGCCGTTCATCTGGATGTTGTCGCCCGCGCTGCCGGCGGACCGCTGCCCTGGCAGCGCGATGATGTGCCGCACAAACTGCCGCATGCGCACCGGCAGCCGCCCAAACAGCTCCGCCAGATCCCTCTTGGACAGTGGCGCGTCCTTGTGCCGGCAAAAGACCCACGGCTGCTTCGGGCAGTCGGAGTAGCGGATGTTGAAGGCGCTCACGTCTAGCGGCGAGAAGCCGGCGCCCTTGGCCAGGTTCTTGCAGTCCCGCGGGAGGTAGTCCTTGCCCCAGTCGTCGGCCGTGTGCGCCGCGACTTTGAGAGACGACATCAGGTCCGGGCCTAGGCTGCCGAGGCCGCCGTTGGGAAACGGCGGCTTGATGACGGGCTTGTCGAGAGTGGCAGAAGCTACGGAGAGCAGAGCCGCAGCGGCAAAGGTGGTGATGACAGAGGAGTGCATGATGGGTTCGTGAGAGATCTTGAACACACAATACACGGAAAACAATCTAGCAGCAGGCGGGCCGTCGGCGATCACGACGGCCAAGGCCTCTTTATAGCTTCTGTCAACATCAATCAGCCTTGTCGAAGATATAGCTACTGGCAAGATGGCGCTGCCTTGAAACAAACTATTTTGCGATCAGCCTAGTTTTGCTGCAGTCAGCTTCTTAATCCCGGCAATTACTCTCGCCGAGTCCATCTGGGCTAATAATAAACAAGCCAAGTGCTAAAACGGGGAAGGGGAATACGGTTCCGCCAGGATAACCTGGAAATGTCTCTTCCTCTCATACTCGGTCTTGGACGACGAGGGCCACAAAGCCAATCTACCGCCAAGTCATAGACAGGCTTTACAAAGCTTACGGCTAAAAAATGAGAGAATCAGCTAGTTAGAGGAACCACAGAGCATATGTTGATCCCATGGCAAGAAACATGTTAGCGCTGTCGATCTTGGGGCGGGTGCTTTCAAACAGTGAGTGGGTTGCGCTGCCATCGAGAGAGACCTCAAAGACGGCACCTACGAGCTAGAGATTGGGTTAGAAACCCCAAGCATGAGATTGCCAGAAGTTTCATAATGCTGCCGTCGAGTGTTTCCGTGGGTGTTGGTTCCTCGGTAGTCAATCAACGTTGCATTTGTGGGAATAGTCCAGGCCACCGATGCCGGGGTTGTATCACACATCTACAATTTTTACTTAGATTGAGACGGCCATATGTTTTGATAGTCTGATGATTTTTTATTCGTACTTTCTCACTTTAGTTTTTGCATTGAAAAGTATTCAACGAGGCAAAGCAATGTATGCCTTGCCCCGCGCCAACATGCAGGGGGTTTGCTGACACTGAAAAGCTAACCACTAACAGCCTCAAAATGACCGCTGAAAAGCCACTAATCTTATGCGAGGGGTGTGATGGCTGGACTATGACGCCGTCTCGTACAGCCCTAGACCCTGCCCTATGACGAAATCTGACAGTGGTCGATGGGATTGGTGCAACTCCAACAATGGAGACGAAGGTGTTGACAAAGGTTTATATACATTCCGAATGATTTTGTGAAGTGGCAAGCTTCGATGACTTGTCTATACGAAAAGTGTGCCATTTCTTACTGTAGTTCATGTATTGAAACGAGGTGGTGGGCAGCAAGTGTCACCAATATTGGATTATGAGATACCGCTTAGTGTGCGCATAAATTTATATCCAGAGAAATATCTACCGGTTCTCCGTAACAGATTACCTTTTAGGTAAAGCCAGAGCAGACATCCTGGTAGACATTGTGCTCCAAGCTCGCCGCATCCGTGGGCACGTACTTGAGGGACGTCGCATACGAATAGGTCCAGCGAGGGTCATTGAGCTCCGTCTTCCAGGTCCAAAAGACCCATCCAGACATGCCCGGCTTCTCATACAGCTGCTGCTGTGCGGTGAACCACTTCTTGAAGAAGTCGGCGTTGTGCCAGTCCACGTTGGACGTCATGCTCCACTCGCCCGTGATATCAAAGTTCTCGCCGCCGACGACGCGCGAGTCGGTGCAGGCGCGGTGCATGAGCTGGTACTGGTCGCCGCGCTGGCTGTCCGGTAAGCCGAAGCTGATGTAGTTGTGGTCGTCGAAGCCGACGCGGGGGTCGCTCGCGACGGCGACGGCGTCGCGGGCGCTGCCGGCATCCCACTTGGCCGACATGTACTGCACGTGGAGCTTCTTGTCGTCGGGGACGCCGAGCTGGGCCTCGACGTCGCGGACGGCCTTGAGGGCGGCGGGGTAGTACGTCTGGACGAGGCCGGGCACCTCGCCGGGCGCGGGGTAGCGGCCGTTGGCGTCGTGGCGGGAGACGGGCTCGTTGAGGACCTCGATCATGCCGACGGTGCGGTAGGCGGCGTTGGTGTGGATGCGGCGCGCCATCCACGACATCCACCGCTCGGCGCGGCCAAAGTTGTAGTCGTTGAAGAAGCCGGCCGGGCGGTTGTTCTGGCCGGTGAAGACGTCCTCCTGCTGGCCGCCGGGCGCGCCGTGGAAGTCCATGATGACGTAGATGCCGAGGTCGGCCGCCTTGGACACCACCCGGTCGAGGTACGGCAGCATGCGGTTGCCGTCGGCAAAGGGCTCGCTGCCCTTGTCCACAATGTCGACGTACGACCAGTAGCCGATGGGGATGCGGATCGTGTTGAGGCCGACGTCGTGCACCGACTGCACCGTGTCCGCGTTGATCCAGTCGCGCCAGTGGTTCTCGAACCGCCGGTTGCCCTCGTCGCGGTTGCCGCCCGAGTAGTGGTCCTTCATGCAGTCAAACTCGGACGCGGAGCCGGCGCAGCCCATGACATTGTCCCACTCGTCATCCAGCGCTCGCCAACGAGCCATCCTGCGTGAGAGCTGTCAGCGTTATGCTCTTGCAACGTCATTTTTGGTCGCCAAACTCACCACCAAAGTTGACACCGCGGATCTTGTTGATGCCGTTGGGCAGGCTCGGCTTGAAGCGCTTTCCGAGCTGCTCAAAGCGGGCAATCATGTTGAACGCGGCGAGGTCGCGGTCCTCGGGCCGCCAGGCCTGGGCGACGCCGGCGAGGAGCACGGGGGCAATCACGGAGAATCTCATCTTGAATGTCAAGGATTTACAGACTTTTCCTTGTCGTTGGAACGCTTTCGGCGATCACATCGCTTTATATAGATCTGTTCTGGCAAGCTCGCGCTGCCCCGAGTCTTCCGCCAGCAACAGTTGACTTGACGGCGCTCCGCGATGGACGGCCCGATTACATGGTGTGAGGCGAACAAAACAAATACTCCGGCATTATAGAGTAACTAGCGGGTGAGACGCAATGGGGTTGGTGGAAGTACTATTTTAGCATCAGCGTAGGTACTTTTGTGGAGGCTCGCTGACCATCCAACATGCCCTTTCACAGCGCCCGTGTGGAATCAATGACTTTGAGGGGCATCGGCGATGCAGTCATCAAGTACTCGGTATAATAAACTCCACTGAATATAGCTGTCATGACCTTGTGGCTGACTGGGGAAACTTCGAGCTAGGTAATTAGCCTCACTGGCGTCTTGGACAAAGAGATTGTAATCTGTAGATTAACCCCAATTTGATGGCCACCGTACTTGTCCGTAAATTATCAACCGTCGAGACCAAGACAATCAAAGCGCTAACCTGCGGGCAACTCGCCGCCATGGGTCGTCGATCTGATACAAGGCTTTCGTCGCCTCATCGCATGTACTTGCCTGTTTTGATTTCAGCGCTTGGGTAATGCCGGATCACTTACGCGGGATGCAAGATACGGTGCATACATAGCCTTGCAGGCTGAGGGGTGCAGGGTCACAGGGTTACAGGGCCATCGGGCAATCCCGCAGGGCTGGTCAGCTCATGCATGTGCCAGTGACTGCACCAAGTGCAAAGTGCAGAGTCGAAGAATCCGAGTACCAGGGACAATTCCAGAATACACTCCATCCTTTGTGCTTGATGACTGCAAATCAGGCGTTGGCGTTGGCTGAGTATTTAAACGTTTCGGTGCACACCGGCTGGCGTCGACTCAAGTCAGGCCACAACCGCGCCAGAAGCACGAGAGGATGGTTTTGAACCACGCCATATCGGAATCCACAGGAGTCCTGATGGAATGCTGGGTTTTTCCTGCTGTAAATCGCTTTATAAAATGTGCCATTCTCGTCAAAGAGGTTACCGTTGCATTGCAAATCATACTTTCGATCAAACTGAAAGCACAAACCACAATTCGGAGTCTCTCAACCTGATCAAACGTCATCTTCAACTTATACAATGACTGTCCCATCTAGAGCAGCTGCTAGCGCCATCTCGCGCAGTTACCCCAAAAGCCTCCCCATCCTGGTCGTAGGCACGTCCGGTACGTATTCCGCCGGCTTGCTAACCCAATCTCTAATAGTAGTGAATTTCTGACGGATGATTCCAGTTCTTGCTGTTGGCGCCTACGTCAAATCCCAGTTGGACACTCAGTCCGACAATATGGATCGCTTCTTCTCCACATACAACACCCCAGAAAGTGAGGCCTCCCGCCGGAAAACCTTTGAAGGCTATCCCGACACTCGAACAAACGTGCTCAACATGCTGGGACGGAAATAATGATCTGCGAGATTGAATCTATTTGGACATTTGTTTTTATTACATTTGGGGGAGGATTTGAGCCGCCTTACCGCCCTCACCGGAGCACAGCCTCGCAAAGCATGTCGGGGAGTAAAGTACTCCGTATTATATCGAAAAATAAATTAGCACAGACCATAAAAAATACACAAAATTGGATAGTACATCCCAGACCATCTCCGATGTGTGGACACGCTCAATTTACATGCAGAAGGGGCCAGGTTATCAAGAAGCGGTCAATTCCGCCACAAATGAATAAGCAACGCCGTCGAAACCGCCTCATTCTGTGCGGTGTAAATGTTCCGTGTCACCACGCACGCAGCGGGCGTTGGCGGTCTGCAGGGCCCTTTTCATCTGTCGCATGCCAAGATGCGTCCGCTCTCAGCGGTGCGCTTCCCGAGACAGTGGCTTCCTGCATGCTATCATCCAGAGTGGTGCATTGACGATGATCGGGCAAGTAAAGTCGATGGCCGGACACCGAGGTTGGGAGGCTAGTGATTTTAGCTGATCTGTACAGAAGATGGTCTTCTCACACAAGATTCAGCTCGAATAGCAAGGTCGCTCTCTTTGACAATGTGATCATCGCTGTCAAGAAGCGACGACAAGTACGTATACCTAGTTGATGACATAGTGGCTATTACAGATTATTTGCAATAACATTTCAAAGAATCTTGGACAAAAACATACAACAGATGCATGTCGCCAAAGACATAATTTTGTGCTTCCTTCAATGATCCCTGTAAGTGACAATTGTGCCTGTCTCATATCTGGCATATGCATGGGGTCGGTGACGGTCCCCTTTTGGACCTTTATCTGCCGACCACGGCAAATCTGCTTGCCTGGCTCATATCCAATTTTCCTGAATCACATGACTTGATATTTCAAGGCCGTATTCTATTACTATTCTCCAAATTGTCGAAAGCGAATGCTCGCCTTGCCTCGCTCAATACTTGTACGAGCAAGTGTTCTGGTCTCAGTTCTTGCCTGCCAACGGCCATCAACGTCTGTTAGTGGGGATACTTTGTGCCCATTTTCTACAAGTAGGTGTCTTAATCTGCTCATGGTAGCATCGTCCGATCTGCATCGCTCAGATTTCGTTTCTTATATGATATAAGCGGGGAAAACTCACTTTGATTCTGTCGCGGCAAACATGGCCCCAGCAGCGCTGTCGCAGAGCGCTGCCGCGGATGAACCCAGTTCCTGGCGGGCGAGATGCGAACAGCGCAAGGAGGACTATATTCGGTCCATCAATGCGCAAGACGTCTGCACGCTGGCGTCGTACTATGGCGCCGGCCAGCCCTGTGCCGAGTTCCGAGAGCGCAAGCGAGGCAGCTACAATATTTGCTACTTTCTCGAGTTTCCCAATGATCAAACAAGATGGGTGGTGCGGTTCCCGCTCACGCCTGTGCTCCAAGACGCCCATCGCAAGCTAGACTGTGAGATTGCAACAATGGAGTATATCCCATCTTTGCCTCCCTTTTCCATCTGGGGCTGCTAACCGTTTCATCAGGTACGTCATTTCGAGGACCACCATTCCCGTTCCTCGCGTGCGCGCACATGGCTACTCTGGGGAGCGCGGGCCGAGCAATCCGACGGGGAAATGCTTCCTCATTATTGACTATATTCCCGGCGAGCCACTGAGTCAATGTTCGCTCAATGACACGAGTGAGGAGAGCCGCGGCAGGTTCTACGCAGACCTCGCCGGGTTCTACTCACAGATGCGCGGCTTGGAGTTTGACGCCGCTGGCGCATTGGCACTCGGCGCAGACGGCGCTTTTGGAATCACGGCTCCGCTGTCCATGGACATTGCCGCGATAGGCCTGCGCGGGATGGAATCTCATGCGCAATTCCAGGCGACCAGCAACATGGATCGATACGCGCGCCAGCTGTACTCGCTTCTGCTTCGACGCGCCGCGGACCCCATCCCGGAGATGGAGCTTCTTGACGTGCAGTATCTGGTCTTTGCGCTGCAAGACTTCGAACATCGAATGCGGGAGTTCACATCCTCGAGCCACCGACAGAAGTTTGTCCTGGCGCACGGCGATTTGCAGCCGTCAAATATTATATTAGGTGAGGACTACAGCATCAAAGGCATCATTGACTGGGAGTGGGCTGGCACAGTTCCGGTTCCTTTCTTTGTCCCTCCTCTGTGGCTTGGAAAGAATGTTGCACCGGTGGCCAACGACAATGACTTCAGGGACTCGTTGTCCAAAATTCACAGTGCCCTCGTGGCCAGCGGCTCGAAGCTGGCGACCGAGTGGCCCGCAGATATGCACAATTCTGCAGACTACTTCATTCCTGCTGCACTTTTAAATCAGCACTTTTTCATGACCATTTACTATACCCAGCTGTTTCCGCTTTACTTTGGCGAGGCGAAGCAGCATGTCAAGGTTCGACAATTCTTTCGAGATGATGGCCCAGATGGCATTCACAATCGCCAAGTGGGCTGCTTGATGCGAGCGGCAGGGCGTTGAGATGTACTTTGAGTGGCGATCCGGCATACATGGGCAGGTTTCTTATCAAATTTAGCTTACTATACCTTTACTTGATTTGTATTTGATATTGATTAGATCTGCATCCTTTTCGCAAATGCGCTTCCGTGACCAACCAGCCTTGTAAGTGGCCCACAGTGAGCATCCCAACAGTACAACTCCCTGCGCACTGTGCATTACGCCACGGAATCTCAATGGCTCTCTAGCTTCGCACTGTACAGGCAGTAACCTAAAATTCTGCGCATCAAGCATTCAACACAACCACGCCGGCATACGAAGCAGACAGCAGCACAATGGCCAGCTTGAAAAGACGCGCCGAGGAGTCGGCTCCCGCAAAGACGAATAAAAAGAAGCGCAAGAGCAAATTCCAGGTCGAAGATGAGTCGCTCGACACCGAGCTGGGTCTCAACACGCTCTTCTCACGAATGGACAATCAGCTACTAGCCGACTACTTGGCGCAAAAGATTAGCAGATTTGGGACCGATCTTAGTCCTGTAGAAGTATCCGACATGACCGTCTCCAGTGAGTGAATCATGACTTCCATGAGAATGATCCCGCTTTTGCTCTGGTCTGGTGCCTGGATAGCTGACAGCCTCAACAGCAACCGCCATCACAGACTCCACTGGCTTTACGGAACAAAGGACTCTGGAGAAGCTCCCGGATTTTCTCGGGCATTTCTGCAAAAACCCAGATAGCTTGGCAAAGGCGTCGAAAAAGATGGGAAACCCTCATTCCATCATCGTCACTGGCGCTGGGCTGCGCGCTGCCGATATTGTCAGGTACGCACTTATCTGCATCACGTATCCAGTGTCAACTAACACCCTCGTGCAGAGCACTCAGAATATTCGCTTCCAAGGATATCGCGGTGGCAAAGCTTGTAGGTGTCTTTTTTTGTTTTTGTCCTTTTACAATCTGCAGCCGACAAACCGCTGACCAATCCCAGTTTGCAAAGCACATGAAGGTCGATGAGCAAGTGGCACTCCTGAAGAAGCTGCGCGTGAGCATCGCCGTGGGCACTCCTGCACGTCTATCCGAACTTATTGATAACGGTATGCGCTTCTTGTTTGGACCTTCCTAGAACTAGCTAACACAGCTCCAGGCGCCCTGTCACTCGAAGGCCTCCACCGTATTGTCGTCGACGCGTCGCACATTGACCAGAAGAAGCGCGGAGTCATGGATATGAAGGACACTATGATGCCGCTTGCCAAATTCATCACCAGGAAAGAGTTTCAAGATAGATATATCGACGAGGAGAGACCTTTGTCGTTATTGTTTTTCTAGGTATATATCCGCTCGTCTAGGTGTATATATCCTCTCGTCCTGTACGGCTCCTCCAATGCACCCACCACATGCCAAATCGAGTTGGCGCAGAATGCAGTCGAATTTCCTCGCTACGATCCATGCTTCCTTCTGTCTGTCTTTGTATTCTCTTAACCATTAGCGAGAATTCGCATCTTTGCCGATGCTGCCTGGTACTTTGCTTTTTTGGCGCATGTCGCCCGGCCAGCCGCTGCCAGGCCGCTGGAGTCTGCCTTCCCCACGGCAGCTGCCAGGTAGCCTCGTTTGCCCTCCTCTTTTCCGTCCAGTCCCCCCTCTGCTCTTCTTCTTCTTTCTCTTCTTCTTCTTCATCACCGTTCAGTCCACCTCTCATCGAGCAGCTCTACTCTTTTTTTGGAAGCCATTCTTCTGCTTTTTTGGATCTCGTATCTCTCACTTTAATACAACACTACTCGCCAACGGCATTTGTTACATTGTGCCACGGATATGATGAAACGAGCATCAGTCTTCGCCGCCATGCTACCCTAGCTGGGGCATTGCAGTCAAGCACCTGCTGTAGATTCCCCAGGTATGCCACTTTGATGGTCGTTTGAATCCTCGCTGACAAGCCTTGTAGCGTGCGCTCGAGACTGCACCAAATCTCTTATGCAAGAGTATTCTACTACCGACTTAGCAAACATATGTAACGACGTGGCGAAGCAACGAGTGAGCTTCACTGTGAATCATGAAACCCATTATAACTACTAACACAATCAGTCTCTGTTCCTTTGCATATTTGGCTCATGCCCATCACTACACTATGGTCCCGCACTTGCCACTGCTATCCTGTCCTGCTACGATCGAGGAGCAAACATCAGCCCCCTCCTTCCAGTCGAAATTCAATCTGAGAAGCTCTTGAGCCGTCAGGTGTCGCCGGACTACGATGTTTCCGAGTCCCTTACAGAGTTGGAAACTGTACAAGACGCTGTTATTGACCGCAAACTTACACTCGCTCTCGCTTGCAATGCTGGCCCCGATGGTGTGGTGACAGTTTCTCTATCTTCTCCATCAACCTTTGCCAGCCATATTCCTGAAATTTCGGGGTTCCGGCCAGGTCCGTTCGGCCCTTCTCCCTCAGAAGGCTTATCAGAATCGGCGGGCCCGACTATGACTCAACTTCAAGGACGGCCACCTCTACCCAGCGGTGATGGTGATCATTTGACAGTCAATGAACAAGGCGGCCAGACTGGACAACGTGGGCAAGCCAGGCCTGATGCTGCAAGCGGGGTGGATCGTGATTACGGAACAACGTCCACTTCCTCTACCGCGGAATCAAGCTCCCCACGCTCAAAGAATTGCGGCTGTGCAGAAGAAGCAAAGTCGACGACTTCGCAAAGTACCAGTACCCGCCAGGCTACTGCTGAACAGGTCTCGACGCCCACGACCGCCACAAGCACTACTTCTCATCGTACCACGACGTCACCATGTGCTGGATCATCTGCGGCTGCTGTAACTTCGACAAAAGAAACATCATCGTCCACGTCGAGTACCTCGACCACTTCAAGTACCTCGACAACTTCAAGTATCTCATCAAACACCTCGTCGACTTCAAGCACCTGGTCGACGTCCAAGACTCCGTCATGCGAAACATCCGAATCCATCACCAAGCATACGACAAAGACCAGCACAACGTCTACGCCTTGCTCCGGAGAAAGCACCTACGGAGGAAATATGCATATTCCCATGATTCCTGCCCAAAGGTCGTTCTCCAATACTACTGTAACCGAGCCTATGACCTCTACACTGTCTTCAGGCCCAGTCTCTGAGACAACCTCGAGCTCTAGCTGCGATACAATGTCGTCCTTGTCAACAGTGGAGGCCTCTGCAGTCTCAAGTACTTTGACCACAATTTCTTCGATCAATTCGTTGAAATCTTCAACTACGTCTTCAATCACGTCCTCTTCGACGTCCTCAGCTGCGTCCACAACTAGCTCCACGGACTCTACATCGTCGGCCTCAACATCGTCGACCTCAACATCGTCGGCCTCAACATCGTCGCTCAAGGACGTGAGAACCTCCAACGAAGCTGAGAGTGCCTGTTCCACCTCTTCATCATCCAAATCTACCACTACATCATCCTCAACTACACTAAGCACATCCCAACGGCGCGCAGGATCACACACTGCTGAGCCACAGGCTTACACCAAGGAGCCTTTGCCTCAAGCCTACGATACCTTTACGCCTATGCCTCTGCCTTCTTACATTGACGCTGCTCCTCCTCAATATGACGCCGGTGCGTCGATGCAAGCCGAGCCCACTACGTCGCAGTCAAAGTCAAAGTCGGGTGCATCTAGCACATCAAGTGTTTCTACCTCGACATTACTATCGTCTATTGTGTCAAGCACCGCAAAAGACGCAATATCATCCTATGGGTACAACTTTCCAGCCAGAACTGAAACAGCGACACCGACTCCAGGAGCATCAACACCAGAGGCCAAGTCGTCTCGGACTGCTTCAAGAGAGGAACGCCCCGACGGAGCTACGTCGTTTCTTTCCTCTGACCTCGGTCATGAGGTGGAGAACACAGCCAGCAGCGAAAGCAAGAGCTCAATACCAGGCATTGAAACAGTGCCACTGCCAACCAAGAGCTCTGCGACGACAACAAAGCAGACTTCTGTAACCACACAGGCATTGCCCATTGGGGGCGGACCACCGGGTCTTTTTGTCACAATAATTGAGCCTGACGCAGCGGGGAACCTTGAGACATCCATCCTCACAGTTTCGGAACAGTCGCCTTGGCAGACCCCTATGGCAAGAGCAGAGAATGAGGACGATAAACCTTTGCATGCACGGGTAGATGCCCATCGAGTGGGCATTCCATCAAAAGTCACACCGGAAGATATCGATACACCAGCCACTACAATGATGTTAGTCAATGCTAGCAACCGCACGTCGGTACTCACGGGTGCCATGCCAAATGCAACGGAGACCTCAGCAGACGTCATAGAGATGACCACCCCATCAAACATAGCAGTGGTGTCGTCTGCTTCAGCTGTGAACTATTATCTGGGCTGTCTTGCCCCTTTTTTCCTGGGCTGGATTATCACCATGTAGATAATACCCTGGGCAGTGTTTTGCTGATGAGGGAAAGGCAGCGAAACAGGCGTGGTTCGGGAAGCATATACCGTTATAATATGGTTATCTTGAAGGCACAGGGATCAAACCAAGTAGAGGTGCCGCCTTATTATGAGTCTTAAATTCGAGATAAAAACTTACGGAGCTGGCTTTTGGCCATATTAGACTTGGTAGCAATAATGACGAGTTTTCTTTCGCAATTGCAAGTTTTTGTGCTGGTGTCGGGTAAGGAGCTGTGCGATCACATACAGCTGTGCGAGCTGGCTACAGTCAGTAGGTAGGTAGACATACTACGCCGAGAAAATGTGTCAACTCGTCACAGCATGCAATGTTAGGCCTCGCATTGTAAGCCTTGTAAGCATTGTGATGTTGGATTTTTTACAGCTGGATCATTGCTACGCAGCAGTATAAGGACGATCTCGCCGCCGCGTTATGTAAGCGTAGATTGGGTTATCAGTTGCCGCTAGCCACGCTTTGGGACAGCCCCGCTAAAAATTCCCAACTTGACGGGAAAAACTTCGAGAGCAATTTGCTACTTTTGCGATCCAAGAGAGTTTGCAAAAGACTTGTTCTATACACATTGTACCCTTAAAAATGAAGAGCAAACGTGCACAAGAAGCTGCTTCTGTAGCCGAAGAGAAGCCCACAGAGTCTCACGACGATGCGAATCTTCCCACAAAGAAGCGCAAGCGGGACGACGAGGTAGAGGACACAGGCAAGAAGGCCAAAAAGGACAAGAAGAAGAAGAAGGGCGAGAAGGAGAGCCGCAAAGAGAAGAAGGACAAGCGCAAGGATCTCCAGGACCTCCCCGGCGAGGACAACGACGAGCCGGAAGCCGCCAATGGCGAGGTGAGCGAGGCGGCGCCGGCAGAGTCCAAGGCGAAGAAGGACAAGAAGGACAAGAAGGACAAGAAAGAGAAGAAGGAGAAGAAGAGCAAAAAGGAAAAGAAGGACGACGACGACGAAAAGACGGACGAGCCACCCAAGAAGAAGTCCAAAAAGGACAAGAAAAAGGCCTCTTCCTCCTCCGACGAGACAACAACCGTCGCCCCCCAAGACGCCATCCCCAACGGTGCTAGCAACGGCATCGACCTGGACGTCGAGGGCGGCGCCGCCGCCAATGGTGACGATGCGGCGGCCGAGGGACAAGAGTCCGAAAAGCCGGACCGTCACATCGTCTTTGTCGGCAACCTGCCATTCACGGCCACGGCGGCGAGCATCTCGGCGCACTTTGCCTCGCTGTCCCCCATTGCCGTGCGGTGCCTGAACAACAAGGGCGACACCAAGAATACGTGCAAGGGCATCGCGTTTGTCGAGTTTGCCCACGTCTGGACGCAGCGCACCTGTCTCGACCGGTTCCACCACAGCATGTTTGACGACGGCCAGTCGGCGCCGCGCAAGATTAATGTCGAGTTGACGTGAGTAGCTTTTTTTTTTTTCGTGTCTGTTTTACGGGAATCAATATATACTGATAAAACGCACAGGGCTGGCGGCGGCGGCACCTCGGAAAACCGGGCGGAAAAGATTCGCGAAAAGAACCGCAAGCTCGACGAGAACCGCGCCAAGCGCATCGACAAGGAAAAGACGACCAAGGCAGAGGCCAAGGGCGATAGTGGCACCAAGGAGGAGCAGGAGGAGCACATGGACGAGCAGGTCCACCCGAGCCGCCGCGCGCAAATGGGGAGCGACGCGCCTCCGGATGATTTCCAGAGCGGAGGTGGTGGTGGCGGTGGTGGTCGCCGTGGCGGCTGGGGCGGTGGCGGCCGAGGAGGCGGCGGTCGTGGACGGGGAGGTCGCGGTGGCCGAGGTCGCGGACGCCGGTAGACCCGTGTTCGTGTCAAAGTCAAGTGAGGTGTGGTGGTGTGTTGGACAAGGGCTATAAAGAAAAGCATATATTTTTGTTTTGTATGATACGGCGTTTACGAATCTGTTGCATCTTGACCGTTCTTGGAATACAGTTTTGGCATATAAGTCGTCGAAGAATCTTGATTAATGAAAGACATTGATGTGGCCGCCGTTGATGAATGAAAGCGAGGACCTATATCCGCCCTCATTGCCGATGCTTGGAGTGATCCCTCTCGTCTTCTAAACTCCCAAGCACCTTTGTGGATAAAGTATGCCGGTCTGAGACAGCCGGTATGCAAAAACCAAAAAAATACGCAACTCGTATATAAATTTGTATAGGAATCAACAAGAGGTAATGAAAAAAGGTTAAAAATCAAAAGTCTCCACAGATTATAGAATGCGCCAAATAGAAAAGAGAAAGAAAGAGGATGTAAAACAAAAGTCATAAGGCACTCGGGTGGGGGCCGAGGCCCTTCTGGTATCTCGCTGGAAAAGGGATTGTCTATCTCGGTGCAAGGCCCAATGATAACACACAAAGACTCCAGAATCATTCGATATGCACCCGGCAAGTCAGTCGAAAAGTCGCACGAGACAGCAATAGCGTCGTGTAGCGTTGCGGATGGATGATGATGTTTGAATCGGGCATGCGGGCGGGCGTGTATTTTCGGGAGGTGGACGGTCGTTTACAGAATGGAGCACTTGGTCTTCTTCTTGTTGGAGGCCAGAGGGCGGGGATTCAAAACAGCGCTGAGTCAGTCAGCGGATGTGTTCAAGAGCGGGAGCTCGAGTGGGCACTTACCGGATGGCCTCGTCAAAGACGCTCTTGAGGTTTCTTTGCGTGAGAGCAGAGCACTCGAGGTACTTGTAAGCCTTAATTTCCTTGGCACAAACGAGGGCCTGCTCATAAGATACGGGCTCCATGCGCTTCTGTCGCAGAGAGTCGAGGGTGGCAACGTCGTCGCGGAGATCGAGCTTGGTGCCGACGAGGATGATGGGAATGTTGGGGGCGTGATGGTCGATTTCGGGGTACCACTGGAGCGGGTCAGTCATCTGGCAGCGGCTTTGGCGCCGTTCGCTTTGGTACATACCTTGGCGCGGACGTTGTCAAAGGAAGGAGGGCTGACGACGGAAAAGCAAATGAGAAAGACGTCTGTCTGGGGGTAGGACAGCGGGCGAAGTCGCTCGTAATCTTCCTGACCAGCGGTATCCCAGAGACCGAGGCTGATGGGCTTGCCATCAACCATGACACTGGCGGTGTAGTTGTCGAAGCTAGAGACGCGCGTTAACAGCTGTGGGAAAGGCGCAAAGTCGAATCGGCGAGGGAACGCACACTGTCGGGATGTACTCGCCGGGGAAGGCATTGGTGGTGTATGAGATGAGAAGACATGTCTTGGATCGGGATTAGCACCAGGACGCGGCCGGGAAGTGAAGCCATCCCAAATTATTTAGGGGACATACTTTACCGACAGCACCATCACCAGTCACGACGCACTGCATCGGAGGTTAGCATTTTTGACGCCGTAGAGGTAGCTCGGGGCGGGGAGGGGAGGGGCGGGAACATGCCTTGAGAGACTGCACTCCGCCTGGTTGAGCCATGGTGAATTCTGGACAAGGGCGAGGATAAAATAAAGATGTAGCTGCAGCGATTCGAGGCTATGCAGAGAGACGAGTCGGAGATTGCGAGATTGATATAAAGGTTGCCGAGATTAAGATGGCCACGGGCAGAGCAAAGAGGGCCGAAAAGGGGGGTGTCGGGTGGTCGAGGAGGGCGTGCGGCGGTTGGATTTTGGGGCACAAGTCGTTCGCAAGTGAGAGCGAGCGAGGTCTGGGTCCAACAGGTGGAAAGCAAGGGAAAAAGGGAAGCACGAGCAAATGATGAGCCAGCAAGAGGGCAGCAAAGGTCGACGAGATAGGGGGAGCAGAAGGCGATGGTGATGGCGACGAGCGGGTTTCAAGGCTGCATGAAAAGGAGATGCAGCAGCAAGTACGCAAGAGGTGGGAGATGGGAAGATGGGAGGATGAGCAGCCGGGCGGTACAACGACGGAGGTTTGTGAGGCTGGTGGTGTGGCAGAAGCTTGTGCGCGAGGATGCTAACTGGGAGGAGCTAGATAACTATACCTGGTAGTTGGGGGGAGCTAGACGGTTGGGGCTAACTGAAAGAGGCTAGCTTCATCAATTTTTAGTGAGCAAGCCCTGTATTTGTAGGTGAGGAAGGCATTACAGTGGGTGACAGGGCTGCCGGGCCAGATTTAGCGGGGCTGGGTGCTAAAACGCAGCACCAAACAGTGCTAAACCCACTGCCAAACACCACAAAGCCCACTGTTGCCGCCCTCTGGCCCTGATTCAGGCGTTTTTACAGGCCATCTACGCGCTGACCTAACCAATCTTCAGTGGGGCTTGGGCTTGCATGGCGCCCAATAACTTGCTTGCCTTGTATTAGGTATCCTTTCAATTTATTCATCAACTGTGAATGACGCTCAGCAAACAACCAGCCTCCTCTTCATCATCTCGACATCTCCCGCCACCCATCTATCGTCCATCTCCCTCCGTACCCAACCTGCGCCGCCTCGATGCTCCATTCACGCTCGACACGGAGCTTCCCTCCTGTGACGGAAACGCGTTTCGTCCCCACCAGACTCTCTCTCTCTCTTTCCCTCCTGCAGCGACTAGGCCGGTCTACTACACCACCTGTCAGGTTTCATCTCCGTCTGTTTGGCCTGACATGGGATAAAACGCAACCCATTTCTCTGCCGCAACGAAAAAAACGCCAAACGCCCATGACCAACCCAATTGCCTCACGTCGGCACTCGCCTGTCGCCGCTTAACCTGCTAGGCCGAGACACGGAACAAGCCTCATCGTAAGGCGCCAACATTGTGCCACTATAACCTGCAGATGCGAGGCAGTGACACCTGCAAGGGGATACATCGATGCGCATGTCCGTCGTTGCAAGCCGTACGTCCCGGACGTTGACGAGGGTGAGTCGTTGCCAGCCTAGTCATACGCGCCGTGACACCGGCCCGCCCACCATTACGCCGTGACTCGTACAACCCATCATCCTGTGCACAGGACAAGGCCGTATCTTCCCTTGAGAGGAGGATAGTCAGATGTCAGTGCACCATTTCATCGAACTGAGTTTCTTTAACTGCTGAAATGGTAGGCTAGCCGCCTGACGCACCCTGCCAAGACTACAGCACAGGGCCGCCTATGTCCAAGAGTCAAGTTGCTCGCGTGTAGAGGACATTGTCGTTACATTCTCCGGAAACGTGAACGGTATCACACTACTTTTTCTCCATACGACTGGTGCCTTTTCACTACGTACTAGCCTGTCAACATAACTCATATCGAGGACCTACAGAAGTTCATCGCGCTACCCGGTAATGTTCTTGATCGAAAGCTCCATCTACAAGGCTGGCGCTAAATGGGCCTTCGGCAAAGCGATCCTGTGATATGACTGAGTACGAATAAGCTTCAACATTTTGCGCGCCAGCCCCTGTACCTGATTCCCGCACAAGTATGGCCAACGACGCGATTTCTTCCATGCCCTTCGTTCTATATGTTTCTGTGTGGCAGCCTGCCCTTCTCAGCTAGGCGCTTGCGACATGTGTCACATGCTGTCGGCCCCCTAATTGACGGGTATGCTGATTCATTGGCAATCCCCATGGTGTGACATCGATAAAGCGTTGCTACTCCTGGACATGTGTATTACTGTACCAATAGTAATAACTACCTCTTGTTAGTATTTACGCGAACTGACTTGTAATACTGGTCTCGCTGATAGCGGCACAACAGCAATCTCCCACCCTCACCCTACTGGTATGGCTCAAGTAAATGATCTGAAACGTAATAGTTCGATTGACAAGCGCCTAGACGATGGCTGCTCCGAACTCTTACAAATTGCCTGACTCTAGTCGTGACCAGGAATGCATCGGAATGAGTGGATGCCCTCCCAGCCTGGAGTACTCGTGTCGAGGCACTGATTTTGCTCAAATGTGGCGACGATGTCGAATGATCCATGGCACTGATGTTCCTTGAATTGATGGCAGATCGAGTTCCAGTAATATAGCTTGATGGAGCTGCAGACAAAATAACAACAATGGTTAGCAAGTCGTGTTCTTGAGTTCTGTTTGGCCTGGCGGGAGGACGCTGGCGCGCCATCTCGCCAATAGCTCTTCTTACCCGACAGTCTTCAGCTCGATGCAATCGTTAATACCAAAATTTCGGTTCGGCAGAGAGTGCAATTTCTTGCAGTAGTGGTCCGTGTACCGTATTCCCTAGAGGACCGCCGTCAGGCAAAGGAAATTGCATGTAAGCTCGGCATGAGGACGCAGAGCGCTTTGGACTTACAAAAGGGTCTGGGTATTTGGAAGGGGGAGCGGCGACAGCAACGGCAGCTAAGAGGACGGCAACGTTGAGAGTATACATTTTCAGGATCTGCGAGAGAATTAAGAGGGATGGAATGAACGTAGTAGGCAAGTAGATGAGAAATCTATGTATAGAAGAGACACTGCATTGCCTTTTATATCTCATATCACAGAGTTTTGTCCGGCTGCGAGTGGCTGGGTAACAACGATAGGCCGGCTCTAGAATAGCTGAAAGCAGAAACTAAACGAATTAATCTCAGTTGGGTCATATCTATACGAAAACCGCCAGCCTGATGCAGTTGCCCGTTGCTGACGCTCTGCAGCCTTCTATCTGGTGGCGCCAGGCTGGCTCGTCTACTTGTGACCTAGAGGCACGCGACCGGCCCAGCTAGCGAGACGGGATGCCTCTACTAATAAAGGAAACGGGTATTACGTAAAGGGGTATGAGAAACGAAGCTGGATTTTCGCACATTAAGTTGCACGCTCGAAGCCACCTGCCCAGTGAATCGAGGCGATTCGCTCCGCCCTACACGATGAATGGGGCTATTGAGTTCTGCCAGGGCTCAAACGAAGCTATGCATGAATCACGATATTGGAAGGGTTTTATATTCCCCCT